CGGCAAAGGAGAGAAATACAGCGATACCTAGGAACAACAGCGAATTCATGAATGAGCCCGCCAGTCCCTGACGCGCTTTCGGTAACGAAGTCGTGATGAAGATGTTGCTAACGTTGTAGGTGATGTCAATACCGAGCGTAGCGCAAATCATAGCCGGAAAGATATAGGCCCAGTAGTTGAAGTGTACGGGTAAGATGGCAAAAAGAAGTGTCGAGAGGATGTATGCTACACCACTGATCAGGAGCAGGATGCGACCTGGTAAGAGATGCAGAACCAATCCGCCGATAGTGGCCAGGATGAGTCCACCAACGCACATGGGCGTGAACCAAGCGGCAGTGAGTAGTGGACTGGCGCCTACAACTTGTTCGATGTAAAAGCTGGCGTAGAAGATGAAGATACCAAAGGTGCCGTACTGGAAGAATAGCGCGAGCGCGAGCGGCTTCATACCCTTGACGCGAAACAAGTCGGGGGGTAAGAGAGGTTGTTCAGCGACCCAACCTTCGATGTAAACGAATGCGCCCAGGAAGATCCAGCCGACAACGAAGGTGACGGGAATGTATGGTGTCGCCCAGCCTTGAGGAGCATGACTTCCATCCGTAAGCGCAAAGACCACCAGCACCAATCCCGGCACCACAGTCGCTGTCCCCCACCAATCCATCTTTACCCCCTTGCCCTCTTGTTTCGCCTTCTCCTTCTCCTCTTTCGGATTCGGTATACAAAGATACGACGCAACGGCTACGATAGCGAGGATGATGGATCCAATCCAGAAGAACCAGCCCCATGTCGCGAACTGTGCCGCAACACCCGCAAAGAATATGCCAGTGAAAAAGCCCACGGGAGCAAAAGCACCGTACAAGCTGAAGACGAGATTCTTCCTGGGTCCGGGCCGGTAGATGGAACCCAACAACATAATTCCACTCGGCAAGAACGCCGCAGGCCCAAAGCCCTGCAATGCCCGACAAACGATTAACATGACATAGTTCTGGCTGAACCCCGCTATAATGCTCCAAACGAGGAACCAAGCCAGCCCACTACAAAACACGAGGTAGCCCCCAAACATATCTGCCAGGCGACCGAACGGTAGCAGGAACGCGCCTGTTACTAATGAGAACACAGAGGCTGGCCATGTCTGTGCGTTGGACGGGATGTGAAGAGCCTCGGTGAGATCTGGGAGGAGGATGTTGAAGCCTGAGATCATGTATTCCGCCACGAACATGGAGCCGAGCAGGGCGAAGCAGAAGCCTAGCTCGTGGGGCAGCGAACGGAATGCTGAAGGGCGTTCGCGGCCGAGGCGTTCGATGTCGGAGGGGGTGTAGGAACCGCGAGGGAAGTTTGCTTCTTCGATCTTGCCTGGTGGTGAAGATGCGTTGGGAGTCATGCCGCTTGGGGTTTGGTTCGGAGGCTCCATCATGGTGTTGCTCGGGCTAGTATCGTTCATGTTGGTGTTTTCCATGATGGGCTGTCTGGTGTTGGATATTGCAGTCGTTATCGTAGAGCCATCAAAGGAGTATGTGGCAAGTGGAAGCTTGTTTGATTAAACCGTGCTTGCGTCAAAGTATGCTACAAAAGAGGACTCGGAATAATTCGAGGCGATGAATAAAATTACTGAGGCGACCTAATATCTTCACTTCCTTTCTTCTTTCTATAAACTCCTCTCGGACTCCGCAATGTCCGCGGTCATTGTTGTTATGTGTAATGGAAGACATTTACTCGGGTACTGAGCCTCAGAGACAGACTCGCAAAGGCGACTCTTAGCGGTGACTGTGACGTTTGAGCATAAAGCCGTCACGATGTGGACCATCAATGCAGAGATTGAGTCTTGGCTTCTTCGTCGAGCCTAGCGTGATATCTCAGGGTCTGGGCTGAACGGCAGGTCAAGCGAACCAGGTGTGCAACTCTCGCCTCAATCCCGTCTTTGTCATCATCGGAAGACATGCGATTTGCTTGCTTCATCCTCGGTCTGCGCACCCGGTCAACATCGCTCTCTGTAGCTGCGCTGCAACGCGTGTGACGAAATCCTGCGTCCACATCAGTCTTGATCACGTTAGTAATGCATTGATCCCAACGCTCCAACCGCCACAACCACCGTGAAAGATCTCCACCCCGCCAAACTTCAGGCAACCTCGATACAGTCAATCGTTTACACATCTCGCATGGCGTCCATCCAATGAGCGTGACGCCCTTTAACCTCCCGACCAAAGCCTGCCACAATTGCCGGAAGCGACGATGGAGGTGCGATCGGTCGCTGCCAAGCTGCCAGAAATGTTTGTCAGCCGGGACAGAATGTCTGGGCTACGGCAAGCTGTTTGTATGGAACCGTGGAGTTGCAAGTCGTGGGAAGATGATGGGGAAAGGCTATGAGGAGAAGATGGAGCAGAGTCCTGCTGGTGTTGCTGCTGCGACAGAAGGGGCAGCCAAGACTCAAGATGTACCGCCGACTTTGGTATGGCAACACGAGGGTTCGTCACAACAACAACAATCATCGGACAATGATTTCGAAATGGTGTCGGCCAGTTCGGTACCGGACTTCTCCCGGACGTCCGAACAGGAACAGAATCAGACCATGGCGATGACTGCTGTACAACCGCAGATGACGGATCCTCTAGTCAATGATCTCGATCGTAACTCGCGGTACTATCTGTACCACTTCGCGACACAGTTGTGCGAAGTCATGGTTGTATACGATGAACCGGGGCAAAACCCTATCCGCGATCTCATCCCCGCTACATCTGCTTATCCATTGCTCCTGCAGATCATTGTCGCAAACTCAGCATTTCACGTCTTCAACATAACACGCAACCCGATGGGTCAGTCGGCCTATCAAGGCGAGCGAAGTCCAACGGTAATGGCATACTACCAAGCTGTAAGCCGGTTTGGGGGCCCGTTGAAGTCGTCCTATAGGGACGCACTCGTGGCGAAGCAACAAGCGCTATCCCTACTGGCAAAGAGTGTGACCTCCGTGAACACGTCAAACATTGACCTCATCTTGATCACTATTCTGCTTTTCGTTAACTATGCTCTGGTGGAATCAGGCAGAGACAAATGGAAGGTACACATGGACGGGGCGCTAAAGCTCATCAAACTCCTAGGGGAACCGCCATACCTCCAGCGACCGATGAGCAGACTTCGGCAAACAATTCTTTCTGACTTTCTTGTATTCTACATTCTTGGTTCAACATTCACTTTTACGACACTCCCCGCGTTAATCCCAGAGACTATCGAGCTGGACCCTATCCTTCGATACGCAGAAACAAACAACTACCTCTCCTGTCCCGGGCCGCTGTTACGCGTAATGCTCGAGTCCTTCGCATTGCCGGATACACACGGCTCGCCTTCCGGAACAAGCACCCCCATATACCTCCAACAGCAGGTCGGCGTACTACTTCAACGCGCTCTCGACTTTGACCCTATCGCATGGTCCGTCGACTTTGAGCGCGCCTCGCCTCTCGACGACATCCAAAAGCGCATTCGTATAGCCTCCGCCCATCGCTCGGCAGTCTGCATCTATCTCGCGCGCGTCCTTCCCTCTACAAATCCTCTTCTTGATCCAGCGAGTGGCGAAGCACTTGTTAGTCTCACTGCTCTCGCTGATGATGTTGTCCAGCATATCTCACACCTCAAGCCGGGCGATGCGCTCTTCAAATCGATTTGTTGGCCGTTATTCCTTGCGGGTGCTGAGAGCGAGGATCCTAGTCAGCGTGAGTGGATTATGAATACACTAGATGAGTTGTATGGCCAGATGTTTTGGGGTTATTTGCATACGTCTAAGCGAGTGCTGGAAACTATCTGGCGATTCAAAGATGAAGCCGGGGTTGGGGTGGGGAACTGTTGGGTGGAAGAGGTTAAGGATCTCGGTAATGATATCCTGATCGCTTGATCTTCTCTAGCGACCAGAAATTACTCTGGGATCTCACAAGCATGGAGCGCAAGGACGAATATGCGACTGCGACTGCGACTGCGACTGCGTCCTTTACATTCTCACAACAAACCGCGAAGCCCATTTCTCGATCGGATCCCCATTTTGAACAAGCAAAGACATTACTGGGATTGTCCTGGCTATTTCTGGTCAAGACCGGCCAGCGCGATGACAATCATGAGCTAGTTAGGTCTAGTTGATCACCTCAGGGATGGTAGCGGGGTACTCGGCGCGAACAACTTCAAGATTGGTGTACCGTGACACAAGCATGTGGCTTTGAGAACTTGCGCAAGCCCTCTCTTTTTCAAGCTCTCGGTCGCGCCGTCATATCCAAGATCCGAATCGTACGTTTACATCGCAAGCAAGCATTCTATGATATTCCGCCACGCGCCCTGATACGGAGATCTCTAAAGGGTGTTTGCCGACACAACCTCATGATGTGCGCATGCCTTTCTGCTGTAACACTACTTCAACTGGGTGCGCTTACAATCTCTGCAACGCAGTCAGTCCACCCGCCTTCCTCAAGAAGATTACCAGCATCTTCTAGTGCAGGACCATCGAAGCTGTCGCAACAGCTACCTGGCGGTCAAGTAGCGTTGATTGATAAGAGGTAAGACCACTCTTCAATTTCTCTCGCCACCTTCCGCTATTACGGGGATGACTGTCGTCTCCACAAGCTATGGGCCGTTCTTGTGTGATGAACGTACGCTGAGCAGGTACGACATAAGACTGTAAGAGTGGACATATTGTAAAGACTGCGAATGTGTGCCTGACGGGATCAACTATCGCATATTCCTGTTTGGAACTTCTACTAGCATCCCTGTTTGCATCTGATACCGACTGTATCACTTTTCGATGATGCGCGTCGCTTCTAGAGTCTTGATTCGTCATGCTGTCTACATTTTTTGTTCGATATCTCCTTTCCGTCCTCACATTCATCCCTAACATTTCATCGCAAAGCGACTACAGTGAAAACCATGATTCTATACTCCGTACCGAACTGGCGCTCGAGACTCTGCAAAATTGGTACAACACTAACACTGGCCTTTGGGAGTCTACAGGATGGTGGAACGGCGCGAACATTATGACTATGATCGGCGATTTTGCGAAAGCAGCTCCTGCAGATATACTATTGCAAGACCTGGCAAGAGAGGTGTTCGTGGCTGCTTTGCTGAAGGCGCCGGCCAAGAACCCGCAGCCGGGTATTGAGGATCCTCGATCAAACAACACGACGCTTGTCGCCATTGACGCAACTAGCCTTGAAACTGGGTACACAAAATACCTCGACCCGAATACCAGCAACCTTCATGTCACATATCCACCCAATTGGCATGACAATAGTGGGCGGGTCATGTTCCCTAGGACATCTTCCAATCATGGCTCCAACTCTTTTTACCACCCTGATGACATCCCTGATTATCGCGACTGGTTAGATGGCTTCTACGACGATGACCTGTGGTGGGCTCTGGCCTGGATCAACGCATACGACGTCACCTCCGAAGGCGCTTATCTTGCCCTTGCGGAGGATATATTCATCGCTGTATCACGCACCTGGGGCACTTACTGCTTTAACGGCGGTATATACTGGAGCTGGAAGAAGGACTACGTAAATGCCATCGCCAACGAACTCTTCTTCAGCACAGCCGCGCATCTGGCAAACCGCGCCCAGGGCCGTAGGAAAAGAGCCACATATCTGGCTTGGGCGGAGGAAAGTCTACAATGGTTCCTCGAAAGTGGAATGATCACAGATGACGGTATAATCAACGACGGTCTAACCGAGGACTGCGAGAACAATAACAAAACTGCGTGGTCCTACAACCAAGGTGTTATCTTGGGAGGACTCGCCGAACTATACCGAGCTGGGAATACACCAGAAGTCACACCTCTCAGTCTCGCAGTTCATCTCGCGCGGGCGGCACTCATCGCTCTCTCGGATGAGGATGGTATCGTACACGACGAATGCGAACCTGATTGTGGTGACGATGGCGCTCAGTTCAAAGGGATCTTCATGCGGAACCTGGTCAAGCTGCACAGTGTAGCACCGGACAAGATGTTCGCAAATGCCATTCGCAGGAATGCGGAGTCTATCTGGACACGGGATAGGAAAGTCACACCAGATGGTTTACCTGCATTTAGCGTGAATTGGGCTGGGCCATGGATCAGCCCGGCGAATGCAAGCACGCAGAGTTCGGCGATGGATGCTCTTGTGGCTGCTATAGTTATCCGTTCGACTCCACAGTCATTAGTGTGAAGAGCATGAAGTCGTGCGTAATATTCATTCATCGTTGTTCCTATATTGCTTTGCGCCCAGGTGTCACCTTTTCTCCAGAACGTCGCTGCACATCCGTACTGCTCACGTCTACTGCTGAGGAACATCCTCAATGGTGATTCCGCCCGCACCGTTCAAGAAGTCCATCTTTCCAACATCAACGCCCTTCATCCTCAATATGTCGTACGCAGTCACAATGTGGAACCTGTAGTGATCAGCAAAAACTCCTTCCCAATCGAAAACAGACCACTTACCACATGTTCGGATGCGCAAACCTGCTAATGTACTCCGCTGCCGGCATTCTGACCTGCTTCTGGCCACCGGGGAACTTGATAATCACCTCGTCATCCTGCTTGCCCTCGAAGTCTTTCTCGGAAAAGCTCTCGAGGTACTTGGTGCACTTCTCGATGCGCTCAAGTAGCTCGGGGAAGGTCTGCTCTTCGTCGGGGAGCGTTATGCCTTCGAGGCTGGGGTTCACTCGGCTGGGAATGAACTTGGCAGCGTCGGTGAGACGGTAGATTTGGTAGCGGAAGTCCTTCATGTCGGGGTGGAGAGAGGCGGTTAGAAAGGTGTTTGGGTCGGACGCTTTGGCATGTTCGTAGCCTTTGGAGACGACGAAGTGGGCGTTTTTGAGGGCGGAGATGGCTGGCGCGACGGCCATCTTGTGGAAGGTGAGGGACATGTTGGGTGAGTGAGTGATGTATGGGCGGCGATTGTATGTATTGATTGGGTGTGTGATGGAGTAGATATTGTTGTTGTCGTTGATTGAGAATAAAGAACGCTTGTACTGGCGGGGCAGTAGTCTATTTATGTTCCACTATCATGTATCTCGCACCTTCTCCTAGATACCTCAAATGCCTCGAAGCTCTTCCCCCATCAAGCTCACCACGTTCCACTTGGCATTATCGCTCCACTGTGTAACCTAAAGCGGACGAAAAAGTCTAACCCAATCGTTACATGGTTAGGCGGTGAGTATACAGTGAATTACAAAGCAAGGTGGGTTGTAAAAGGTGGAGCCTCGCGAGCGGCCAATCAAATCGTGGCGCGACCTACCGATCGGAATTCCGCACGATCGGCCGCGGGGCAACAACAAGCTGTACGTACGTTTCTGTAACACAACACGATGCAGGATCATCACATTCAATATGCGCCCCTTCCTCATGTAGATGGGACGATGCAATGTGCAAATATGCTGACAAAAGACGCAGCCGTGCGGTTTGGTCCTCTGGACGCCTGATATTGATGCTACTTCGTACCTCTCTGGGTGTGGAAAGTGCGCCTTACTTTCTTTTTACGACAGACACCGGTCGAAGCTTACTGCGCCTTTGCTTTTCACCTGCGTATGTATCTGCTTACCAATACTACCCTCTCCAATAAGGGGGGTTCTGAGCTTGAACTGCTGTGAGTACCCAGAGCGGGTGACAGCCTCGCTCGTTTGTGAACAGGTTACAAAGACAACAAGCGAATACACTTGAGAAATCGTAAAAGCGATGATCATGAAGAGAAGACTGGGTTCGACTTTAAATGCAGTCTACAGCACGAAATCAGAGTTGGTTTCGACCTGGGAAGTGCTAACGGTGAAGTCGTTGTCTTTCCTTCAAGAACTTTGCTGGTAAACCAACGTCTTCATTGGGTTCAAGCCCTTTTTCGAGTGGAACATCATTATCGCAATTCTCTTGCAATGGACCAAGAAGACTGTGCGAGGGCGTTCTTCGCATCTTCTCATAGCTCCGATACTTTGCTGTCGCTTCAGCACAGTATAGGGCTTAAGAGGACTGAGGCTCACGAACGAATCTCGTCACGGTTCATATCCTACTGATACAAGATCAATGCTGTAACGAGAAGTTTTCGTATGCCCGCTCCTGGCTCTGAGCCCGACTCGAACATAGCATGAAGCTCGGCGTACTACCATGAACCACATCGTATTCCATCATACGCTCCGCACGAGCCCATTTACCCCATATCATGTCGCGATCGCTGTACACCTGCCACTTGTATCTCTCGGCGGTTTTCCCAGCGACGCTTCTCGACTTTCCGTTTACAGTCATTATTTGCAAACCTGCTTCCTCTCGACAGCCGCTTGCTTACACTGCAAGCTCAACATCAGGGAGTGATCCACGTGCTTTAGTAAGGTATTTGCGTAGATGAGTCGTGTGAGCAGGGCACGGTTCGACGATTTACGCTGGATAGTCTCTAGTCGCTTGCTTTGAGACAAGTTGGCTGAAAACGTTTTACACAACCAGTGAACTGTCTCATTGTGTAGTGCTTGCTTAGCGGTTTGGGTACCTCAAGACTAACATATAATACAACTGCTCTACTCACAAGAAAGTTGGCATCACACAGCCAGATAATCACCTCTCTTCACCTTGATACCAACTTCTATCCCGTCAAGTTAAATCAACGTTTCACTCTGATCAGCATGCCACCCAAAACCGCATATAGGGAATTCGACGACGCGTTCAAAGGCGAGTTACTTGGTGAGATGGAGGCTTCTACATCCACCGGCAATCCATGCATGAGATGCGGGAAGGACACGCACGGCCATATCAACGAATGTACCGAGAATTTTAAGCAAACTTGGAAGGGGAATGGTAAGTTCAAAGCGGAAACCAAGATGGACGTCGAAGAGTGGTTCAAGGACCAACGCGCTAGAATCATCAAAGAGAGGATCCAGCCTGAAGCAGAAAATCCAGCCGAAAGTGGGGTCCAAACAGTCGAGACACCCATCGCAGTAGATACGCCAACTAGCAGTGCCTCTGGAAATACATCTGACACGCCCGCCAAGAACAGAAAGACCATTGAGACCGATAATGTCGGCTTAGTCGAGTACAAGAACCACACATTACCAGTTCAAGAGATTCCAGACGACATTCGTGAAGAGGATTTGCCTAAGGTCGAAACTGAGCTGGTAGGTTCATCAGCATCTTCAGACGAGCTCAACGTCATCAGCAACTATGTAAAAGTGCTCGAAGTACCCTCTCAGCTCCATACGTATGCCTTGACATTCTGGAGACCAAGCCTCGATCCATTGAAGTCTGGAGCGCGCGTTGAGCTCACTAAGCGACTGGAACTGGAGCGTGCGTTCGAGGCGATGGAGAAGGCGGATACCCTGGGGTTCAACAAGAGCAAGAAGGCATGGGCAACTGACTTCAGGAGTCTTTGGTGCGAATCGGCTTTGCAAGGGCCAGTCGCAGGGGACACTGAGTGGGATACGACAGTTTTCGACTGCCAACTTCTTGATGGTCGTACCTATAAAGGAGTTTATGCGACAGTAAAGGAGAGCAACGTTCTGAGAGACATCAAGAAGGTACTCGGCAAGGAACACATCTCTGACAGTAACGACTACATTCGAGCTTTAAATGCCTATGTAGCGCAGTGTGTCCGCAATTACAACAAGGACTCTGCTGTGTCGATTACGCAACTCGGCGCGAACAAGTTCTATCTTGATCGAGGCTTCAAGGATATGTTCGATCGCAAGAACAAGAGCCTGGGGCTGCGTACAGTTCGCGGCTACTACATGTCGATCAGACCCGGGGCTTCAGACTTATTGCTCAACGTCAATGTGGCGACAACGGCATTCTTACCTCCTGTGCGGGTTTCGGAGTTGTTGGGTTTGCTGTCGCAGGACACCGTCGAGAAGATGTTGAGAGGTAAGCGGGTAAGACTTGCTTACCGTCGTCGAGACTTCGAAGACAACAAGAACGCCGGTTTTTCTATCAACGATGAGCTGCCACGCACAAAGGTCTTCCAACAGTTCGGCCTAGCTGCATCCAAACAGACGTTCTTTACAGTTCTCGGCAAGGACAAAACCAGCAAAGGTCGCGTGGATCCAAACGACAGGGGAACCTCTTTTCTCAGATACTTCCAAGGTAAGGTTTTTAATCCGCTCCGAATTGAAGGAAGCTGACAGATGCAGGTATCAACGTACGAATGCCAGGAGAAACTGAGAACGACCTCCGGTGTGTCAACGTTGGCAAGCGTATCAAGTCGCCTAGAAGTGGAAACCTGGTAGACATGCGTGAGCAATCTAAAGATGGCGCGCAGTGGATCCCTGCCTGTCTCCTCGAGATACTACCTTACCAACCGATGACAGGGCAGATGAGCCCTGAGCAAACTACCGAGATGTTGAATCATGCTCTGCATCTGCCAGCGAAGAATGCAGGTCTGATTGACCAAGAAGGCCTGCGAATCCTTGGCCTCAAGCCCCCATCTGGTGCTGGAAGCAACGAACAACTTGTGAGTTTTCAGGCCAGTAGATATCTTACACGCTAACGAATAGCAGGTGCACAATGGATTCCAACTCGACTCAAAACTGATAAGATTTGCAGCCAAGAAGCTGTCCCTCCCTCGTCTTGTGTATAAGCAAAAAGCCGCAGATGATACCACTGATTCCGTACCAGAGATTAACGAACAACGAGCGTCCTGGAACTTACAAGATGTTGCTTTCACGAACCCAGGCGCGCTCAACAACCTTCATGTTTTCTCGATGTACAATCACTACAAGCCTCTGCAGGGGTCAACTGTTGTAAACATTCGGAGAGACTTCGTCAGACAGCTGAAAGCGCACAGGGTCGTCGCTACCGCTGGATATGTGGGACCACAAGAGCGCGGAGACGATGAACTAGAAGCTGAACTCGAGCATTGGTTTAGCCTTTGCCAGAAGGACGATTGCACGGTCGTACTACTATCGAAGAAGAACTTCGACATCTACGCCAAGATCAAGCGGGTCGGTGACTTCTTGGGTCACCATACGATCTGCGCTATTGAGAACAAGATCAAGGATGGTAAGCCGAATGAAATCGGTGGATTTTGTTGGCAGCATTTCTCCAACATGGCTCTCAAGGTCAACTTGAAGCTGGGCGGCGACAATCACTGGCTTAACGACGACGACTTGAACGAGGTACTCGTAGGAGAACTCCGAAATAACACCATGATATTAGGATCGGATGTCACTCATCCTGGCCATGGCGCAAAAATCGGTTATCCTAGCATCGCCTGCGTCGTGGGTACGGTCGACGCTAAATTCATGAGCTATCGCGGTTCCATGAGGCTCCAAGCCGGCGGTCAGGAGCAAATCGACGAAGCCAACCTTTGCAGTATGATCATGGAACGGCTCGAAACCTGGAAGTCAAACAACAATGAGAGACTTCCAACAACGATCTTGTTTTATCGTGACGGTGTCTCTGAGTCACAGTTCGCCGCCGTAGAAAAACTCGAGATCCCACAGATTAAAGAAGCGTACAAGAAGGCTGGAGGGAAACCAGACCAGCTTAGGGTATGCTTCCTTGTTGTCAGCAAGCGTCATCACACACGCTTCTACGCTGCCGACAAGGAGGCCTCATACAAGTCTAAGGGGAAGATTAACGGCAACGTCAAAGCCGGGCTTCTTGTGGATGATATCGTCACAGCACCCAAACCCACCAACTTCTTCTTGCAATCCCACTGCGCGATCAAGGGTACCGCACGTTCAGCTCATTACTATGTGCTCCGCAACGATACCAACATCAGCGAAGCGAATCTAAAGCAGTTGACGATGATGCTCTGCTACACCTTCGGACGATCTACTACCGGGGTCTCGTACGCGACGCCCGCATATGTAGCCGATAGACTATGCGACCGGGGCAGATCCTACATACGTCTCTGGGCAGAGAACGAATACGCAAAACCTGTCTTTACGTACAAGAAGTACTATGGTGCCGATGGAACCGAACGAAAGGCCACCGACAAGGAGATCTTGGACGAGAAGAACGCGATGGTCAAGAAGTTCTTGCATTCCCCCGTGTGGGGTGATAACTACGAAGATGACCCAAACATGCCACAGAGGCTAAACCCATGGCACCCGAACCTTGACGATGGTATGTTCTGGATGTGACGAACTGGGTTTGTGGTAAACTACGAGTGGTCGACGGGTATGGTCTCCTTTGTTTTCCTTATTCCTTGCTCTCATCGTTTCTCGGGTCGTTCTGCTTCTTCCTGTTCTGCGCGTTGTTTCTTCGTTACTCGTTGCCTCCTATCGGCTTTTTGTCGTCGCGTGTGCTTTTTGCTTTCCATAGACTTTGATTCGTACACTCATTTAATGCATCTGCCGGTGCACCTACTATTGCGATCAATCTACAATATCGTATTCGTATCAGTTGCCTTGGTTCCGTTGAGTCCCTTCGCGATGAGATTGTTGCGATGAGTGATGATACTGTTCGACATGCGACATCCCACGCTCGCACGAACGGCAAGTTAACGCGTCTTCCCGAGATCGGCAAGCCATAGCTTCCGCGCTACATCGACATCGTCATCAACAATCTTATAGCCGAATTGGAGATAAGTCTGCCGAAGTAACTACCAGAGATGGCTGATCTCCATTTTCCTTGGATATCCGACGCTGTCGTCAACCTTGACCTCCTGTGCAAACCCCCAAATACGCCCGCACTGCTTTCTTCCTCGTCGCATCACATCCTCGTACCGCACCGCCCAACATGTCTCAAACAAAGACTCCCCACGACCTGAATTGTCTCACGATCGGCGAACTCGAAAAGCTAGCTGCAGAGCGCATGGACAAGCAAACCCGCGACTACTACAATGAAGGCGCAGACTCTGGCTCCACCCTCCTCGAGAACATCACCGCATACCAGAAATACCGCATCCGACCACGCGTGCTCCGCGACATCTCTTCCATCGACACGACCGTAAATGTCTTCGGACACAAGAACAGCTTTCCCCTCGGCGTCGCGCCAACCGCAATGCAATGTCTTGCGCACGGCGACGGCGAACTGGCGACGGCGCGCGCGTGCAAGAACATGGACGTCGTAATGGGCTTGAGCAGTTTCAGCACGACGAGTCTGGAAGATGTCAAGGGAGCATTGGGCGAACACCCAGGGGCCTTACAACTCTACCTCTTCGAAGACCGCGCCAAGAGCCAGAAGCTCATCCAACGCGCGAAGAAAGCAGGCTACAAAGCCGTTATGCTAACCGTCGACACCCCCGTCCTCGGTCGCCGGAATCTAGAAATCAGGAACCAGTTCAAACTGCCCAAACACCTCAAAGTCGCAAACTTCAACCAGGAGAACGAAGATGACGACACACCAGTAAAAGAAGAAGAAGACAAGACCGCCTCCGCAACAGCCGAAGCAAATGAATCGCGAAAACGAAGTGGGCGACAACCGCCCAGCGGCCCAATAACATTCCACACGCACGCCCCCAACCCTACCCTCTGCTGGGAACGCGACATAGCCTGGCTGAAAGAACAATGTCACCCAGAAATGCAAGTCTGGGTAAAAGGCGTCGCAACAGGCGAAGACGCGCTACTCGCCGTGCACCACGGCGTCGACGGCATCGTCGTCTCCAACCACGGTGGCCGCCAGCTAAACGGCGCACTAGCCACCATCGATGCGCTGCCTGAAGTCGTCGCCGCCGTTCGTTCACAGACTGGGACCTCTGGCAAGAAGATTCCTGTGCATGTTGATGGCGGGATTAGGCACGGGACGGATGTCTTCAAGGCGTTGGCGCTGGGAGCGGATTTCGTGTGGGTGGGACGGCCGGTTCTTTGGGGCTTGGCGTATAAGGGGCAGGAAGGTGTGGAGCTGGCGTTGAGGTTGCTTGGTGATGAATTTAGATTGTGTATGGGACTTGCGGGTGTGACGAGAGTTGAAGATATCGGGCGCGAGTATCTGGTCAAGATGGATAGGAGTGGATTTGTCAGTCGGCTTTAAGGGGGGATAGCAGTGTGCTGTGGACACTGGACTCATTTATTGATAGCCGTAAGATCTTTGTATTTACACGGGATTTGTTGGTATTGCTATCTTACTTCACTTACTCCACATGTTGTCGCCTGCTCTCAATGAAATCCACAAAATCGAAGAAACTCTTCTTATACCTCCTAACCTGCGTCGTCCGGTTGACCGTCTGAATTCCAAACTGCTGATCATAATCACCAAACTCCCAGTTATCCGCCCAGCTCCACGCGAACGCGCCAATAAAGTTGACGCCATCTTCCCAAATCGCCTTCAAGCCCTCATTTAGATAGGTCTGGTAGTACCAACTGCGCGGGCTGTCGAACTCTTGGTCTACCTGTTCTTTCTGTGCCTCGGCGAAGACGGGGAAGCCGAATTCTGTAATGGCGACGGGAGTGCGCCAGGTGTTCCAGAGGTAGTTTAGATAGGTGCGCAAGTAGCTCGGGGTGAGGTAGACGTAGGATTGGCTGCGATATCCAATGTTCCAGCCAGTGGTTGTAAGAGTGCTTTGGGTGACGCAGTAAGGACGGAGGGGGTGAGTGATGTTAGCGGCGCAGTCGGCGATGGTGTCGTTGGGTGGTGGGCTGACCACGGTTGCGGTGTAGGGTTGGATGGAGAAGAAGTCGGCTGTCCCATTGATGTATGCCAGATCCTCATCGCTCAAGGGCACGTAGTCAGCGATACTGCTTGTGAATGATTCTGGGTAATCGGTGCCGAGGAAGATGGGGTTTGCAAATGTGGCTAATTGGAAGGAGTTGAAGTGGTTGGCTGCATCGACATCTGCAGGGTCTTCTGGATTACGCGGGACGCCAAAGTTGTCGTTGAATGTGAGTGACATCTTTCCCGTGCCACCAATGTCATCGTGGTAGAAGTGGTAAAGTCTCGCGTGAGACTTGATAACAGCATCGATGGACTTGCCATTCCTTGCGCCTAGCAGCGGCTCGTTGAACGACCACCAGATAGGCACGCGGTCCGCAAAGTGCGTCATGACAATCTTTCCGTAGTTGACGAAAGCGTCTTCAAATGAAACATTCTTGTAGCTGCACTGGAAGCAAGAGTCCAAGTAACCGATACCCCCTGTTCCGGGCGTGATGAAGATATTGCTGATGTTTGAGTAAAATTGGAGGGGTGAGTCATTGTGGTAGAGAACGATAGCCGGAAGCATTCCTTTCTCTAGAACGAAGTTGATGAGGTCGTCGTAGTGTGAAAGACCTTGCTCGTTGACTGGGGTACCCGGCAGAACGAACGGAAGGATACGCGTCCAGGGGATGGAGAATCTGTAGTACTTTACTCCCATAGCAGCGATGCGCTCAATATCTTGTTTGTACAAGTAGTAGTGTTCATTGGCGATCCAGTTTGGCGATCGACCTGGAGTGCTCAAGCTTGCAACATCGTTGTGAACAGGCGTTCGTCCTTCTTCGGCGATAGCTCCCTCAATTTGGACTGCTGATGCCGCCACACCAAGCATGAAGTCTTTTGGGAAAGTGTAGCATTGCTGAGGCACCAATGGCTCGGGTGGTGGCAGGATGAGCTCGCTGGATGGTACTGGAGTTGGCTCGACAGTTGAAGAATAAATGGCGTTGTCGGTATAGCTAGTAAAATTGGACGGCCAAGGTACGGTTGTCCAGAGAGCTGTCCATGACGCATTGCCGTACGGACTTCCCAAGTCAGTCGCTGACGGGGTGACTTTTGCGTCCCAATTTCCCCATTGCGTTGTCGTCAGATTCGGCACGAAGCTGCTGAGTGACGCATATGGGGGTGCGTAGGTAGTCGTAGTAGTAGGCGCTGGGGCAGACTTTGCTGTACGAACTGTCTCAGTCTGCGTGAAGCTGAACTCGCTGAACGTGTACTGGGGTGAAGGCAACGCAGTCGCATATGAACCATTCGCTGAGCATTGTGGTCGTGAGGCGGGTCCTTCAGCCGGTATGTAGACTTGCTGGGCAAGAGCCACGGTTCCGCATGCCAAAAGAGCTTGAGGCTTCATGGTGCTGGCCAAGGAGTGCTTGATACATCTCCATAGTACCTACCAAGTCTTTTATACACGCAACGCTTTCCAATCGGACCGTGGGGCTCCGGGCTCGCTCTGACTGTGGTACCATCGTCATTCGGCATGTGGAGTTGCTTGTACCAGCACAATTTCTCGCGGCCCTAGCCCCATCGTAAGTCAACACGAAAAGCGTGGTCGGCCTTGATCCCTAATCTGGGGTCTGGCGGAGGGCGGATTCCTCGGGTGAGCTCGGTCGGGCTAAATCTCGGTAGTGCTTTGCGGGGGCTCGCGGGGTACAGCTTGTTATGATGAGCGCGATGCAACCTTTAGTGTTGACCGTCACTCTTGGTGCTTTGGCCATGATGACGATCCTAGCCTGCCGAAGATTCTCAGTGGTTGTTCGCGCAGGTCCACGTTTTGCGTCGCCTGGTCTTGCGCAAACAAGCCTAGCCTTTTCACATCCTGAGAACTTCCTTGTTCCGCGTCCCCCAGCCATGGCGTTTTTTTGTTTCTTCGGTATATCATTGCGCGACACTGTCAATTGATAATTGCTAACTGGAACTCTGAGCCCTGGGTAGTTACTTGCAAGGATTTCTGGGTCGCGTTTTGCTTCCTAAGCTAGGTACTCGGTCGCTAGTTATATACCCGCCTTCTACCATAGCGAGTAGGCAAGAGGGGACCAGCGATATTCTCGACTTGGGTTCTTCTTTTCCATAATTGGTTCCAAAATTTCCAACCACATCTTGGACATTAGATAACTCGTGTGAGACCACACCTTTAACCTAAGCTGTCAGCGAGTTGCATGACCTGTCATCAGACCTTTGGTACTGTGTAGAAGCTATCGTGAAACAGCTGCGGCAAGGGCGATACGTCGTATTGTCGAATACGACGTATAAACAATGATGCACCAGTGCTTCATGCGGTGCTGCAGGGGCTTGCGGTGAATGAAGGCGGATGTCTTCTGAGCCCGAATCAGTTCCGGTTGGGAACTCGTCAATACTTTACTTCACAAAGACTTATTCAGGTCCAGATGTGAACAGGTAGAAAACTTGACAAAAGCTATGAATACGGAATATGGATGGATGTTTGCATCTGCAGTGTAACTTGGTGCACGGTATCCGGAAGTCTCGACCAGGTGATTTATAGGGGCCTCACAGGCGACTAAGGGCTAACGAATGTCATGTTCGTTATCGACTGTTTTGTTAAGACTTTTGTTGTTCACATCGAATGCGATGTCTGGAAGTGCACCTAGCTCTCTTCGCTTCAGAGCATCACCAGAATCGTGATTGTGGTAGAGTAGTTGCGTCTTACGCTTGCAGAAAGTGGCTGAGCAGGCAGCTTCATAAGTGCCGGTATCTGGGAGCGCATCCTCTCAGAAATGTTCCATGACGGGTGTCGTGTTGCTGTGCTACTGGTGCTGGTGCTGGTGTTGGTGTTGGGGTCTCTGCTGCAATGACGCTAGCGGGAGTCCGTGCGCGCACACAATTTCGTCGTCTGCAACCCACTGGACGAACTTCCAGCGCTCACGACAACTCCAGCGACGACGCACCCGAAACCCGCCCAAGTCGAACATCCCCCCCGATAATCTATCAACATGTCTGGAAAGCGCGGGTACGTTGTTGTCGCCGCAGATGGACAGTGAAAGAGGAAGATTGCTGACAGTCCGCAGTCGAGGTTCTACCTCCGGTAACAAGCTCAAGATGACTCTTGGTCTGCCAGTGTACGTTTGACCCCGATGCGATCGCCCGACCAGGACATTCCCGATTGCGAAACAGGATATTTGAGGAACACAGGCTAATGGAAACAGCGGCGCCGTCATGAACTGCTGCGACAACTCCGGTGCCCGTAACCTGTACATCATCTCCGTCAAGGGTATCGGTGCGCGCCTCAACCGTCTGCCCGCTGGCGGTGCTGGTGACATGGTCATGGCGACCGTCAAGAAGGGAAAGCCCGAGCTGAGGAAGAAGGTCATGCCCGCCGTCATTGTCCGCCAGAGCAAGCCATGGAGGCGAGCAGACGGTATCTACCTGTACTTCGAGGACAACGCCGGTGTCATCGTCAACCCCAAGGGTGAGATGAAGGGCTCTGCCATCACTGGACCCGTCGCAAAGGAGGCCGCTGAGCTGTGGCCGGTACGTCAAACACCACCCTTGCGCAAAACTCTGCTAATAACGTACAGCGTATCGCCTCCAACTCCGGTGTCGTCATGTGAGGTGTCTCTTTTCCTGCTTTCGATAACATTCATGGGTTCACAGGCACGGCGAAAATGCATTTACGGGGTGAAGGATTTGGGAGACGACATTGCAACTACGATTAGCAATGGGACGACCTTCACAATACCAGTCAAATGAACATTACGACCAACCACAATGTCTAGCTCTTTGCAGTGATGGATAATGAACACAGAAGTAATGCGATAGGGGAACTTTTTGAGAAGGACCGTCAGCCATCGGTCCGGGAGATACAACATTATATACTGAACTTGGATATCTAGATCCTAGGCTCGTCAGCCGAGCACGAACTCCTATCGCACGCCAGCATCTGAAAGTCCGGCTCCTCAACAACATCCTGCGCCCACCGCAACTGTACCATGCTCCTCGCTTCCACGTCCACCTCGCGCTTCCTCCCACCCACAAATTGCAAGTTCTCATTTCCAACAACACCCGTCGTGACCACACCCGTACTCGGCGCTCCAATACCCTGCACCGCCCCATTGCCACCCTGCATAACATTTGCATAGCTGCTCGACATGGTCTGCACACCACTCACAAAATCCTGTCCATCGAACTCGCAATGCCCTCCCTGCGGCGTGTTGTCCACAGTCTGCAGCTGATTGATCTGTGCAGCAGATAGACCTGCGTCTGCGCCTAGCTGTTCGTAGGCTGTTACGGCTTGCGGGATGCTCCCCTGAAGTAACTGAAGCTCCGACTGTGTAGACTGGAAGTGTATCCTCGTCTGCTGCATAACAGTGGCCGCATTCTGGAACGCGACCTGAGGAGGCATGCCACCACAGTTTAGCTCCACAGCCGAGTTGGCATAGTTTTGCATTTGCGCTGGGATGAAGAAACCAGACATCATCAGACTGCCTCCCGAGACACCTGTGAAGACAATGTTGGACATGTTGACCGCGACACGTGCTGGGAGCTCGGTTTGAATAAAGTCATTTACGGCTTGCGCGTGTGCGACACCATCCGTTCGCTGCAAGCCGGCACCTCCGCCCCAGAACAGATTGTCATCGGGTGCTAGAAGCGCGACGCCCATGGTGTTGGCCTGCACGGCTTGATTCGGCATGTCGAAGAAACTCTGTCCACCATCACCATGCAGCAGTACGTTTGCGCCGAGCGTGCCGTTGGACGAAGTAGCTGCTGCACCGGGCACGCCAGACGCAGGTAGGAACTGGTCTGCTGGAGCGGAGATTTTGAAGCGGATGGGTAGATTGTTGACCATGACTGTGTCGTCGAGGATCATGGAGCCGTCGGTTGCAGTGCTTATGCCCTGAGGGACTTGGGCGGCTTGTTGAAAGGCGGTTGCTTGTTGTCGTTGGCCGCCGCCGTTGCCGCCGCCGCGGTTCCGTTGGGGCAGGGCAGATGTCAGAGACAAGAGCGAGAGAGTGACGATTTGCTTGTACATGGTGGCGGTACCGGGGATGCAATGGGGTAGTAGGTAGAATTAAAATTAGGATAGAGAAATGATGGACCGGCCAGAAGTCAAGAATCGAAAAGAAGAACACGAATGTGAGGTACCGCACGGCAGTATGGGGAAGGGAGAAAAGAAAAGAAGGGATTGTGGGGATATTCGGTACATGTATACTTTGCGTGACGGTCAAATTACGAGCTTTCGAGCAGTCCTGCGAAACGCGTTTACTCCCAAACACGTACGAGTACAGCCAAGTCTACAAGCTCAGCCTCGCCTCGCCTTTCTTGAGCTTGACATGCGTGATTTCCACCACTAGACGGTGGTCCCGTTAAGAACATGTGTTTGATACGCGGATGATGCAGCACTTGTGGTTTGAGCTTGGGGGCCTTGGTGTTTCGGCAGGGCACTTGGCAGTAGCGAGCATCTCGAACATTGCGAATACTACAAATATTTACAAATAGATGTAGGACGGGATGGGTGTCGGAAATTCACTATTCATGAATTAAAAACATACAGAGACAGTCAGAGACGCTATGATGATTGTTTGCGTGGAAAAAGGGTTGATAAAATCGGGTGCTAGGTAGACATTTCCGGATCGGGCAGGTCTTGGATATCGGTGTGGATTACAGTTGCGCGCTGCACTGTGACCCCAGGGCGGTCCCGGTCGAGAGTCCGTGTGTCTAGAGAAGTTCATCATCGTCTGTAGACATCGCTCTCATAATATCAGGTATTGTTTCCGTCTGCTTCCTCTGCAGTCGGTTCTGGCACCTGTACTATTGGTGACAGGAAGTCTGTAAACCGTATCGAACCAGGCTGTAGTTTAGTAACATAGGAATACATAATTAATTAAATGCTTTAGCATATGTCTAACTACAAAATGCAAAAAAAGGGAGTATATGCTTAAATCAAGAGCAAATCTAATAACACAGCATCAGAAAGTATAGGTGAGTATAACAACGGAATATATTCCCACTCGAAGGACAGCTATGTGACGTTCGTTCTCAGAGGATCTGCGCATTGCGAACGTGAACAACAAGAACTTAGAGTAGGCTTTAACGATTGTGCTTGGTGAGAGTTGAAAACAAAAGCAAAAAGAACAAGAGAGGGAACGGAAGATATTCAAATATTGTTTAAACCTCAAAAAACGCAAAAAAGAAGTTTGCCACCTGCCCGAATCGAACGAGCGATCTTCGCATATCCAGTTGATACAAGTGCGACGCTTTACCACTTAGCCAAGGAGGCGATTGTTGAAGAGTGGCAAAATTAGATGTAATATATTAAAAGACGTATGTCAGTGTACACGACATGAACGCAGCATGCAAAGATGTGGGGTAAAACCGGTCACGAGGAACCACAGCAATACTCGAGTACTGTTCGATATACCCACTTGACTCGAGCGACCAACATCATAGTAAGACTCCAAGGTGGAAGTAGTCATGAGTAATATTCATACTGATATCAGATTCTTCAATATCGTTCACAACCAGAAATATCGCTATGCAAATCAAACCCAATTTCTCATCTGCCATGACAGGCAGGAAAGGCAAACATGCCGAAACCAACTTCCAACCATCCCTCCCAGAATGATAAAACGGGAAAAAACGCCACGCTCATGCTCATGCTTCATACCGAAAATGCTTCGCTTCGTAACAAAGGAAAAAATCCACATCTCTCTCTCTCTCTCTCTCTCTCTCTCTTGCATCTCGAATGTGTTTAGGCAAGGCCAAAAACACCCCTCAACCTCCTCCAAAGCTCCTTAGCCATCGCCTTGCGGGTATCCTCTGTGCGCAGCGCCGCCTCCTTGTTCTCACTTGCGCGCCTGAGCAAAAAGTTGAGGCACTCAGTCGTAGTACCCCAAGTCATGCACTTGACAACCTTGGCTTGCGTATCCGCCTTCATAGTCTCATCTTGAACCAGCGCCTGAGAAATCTCATCCGCCATACCTTGCAGCTGTGCATATGTGAGACGGGGTAGTTGGTCAGGCGACGTAGTAAGCATCTGCTCGGCGCGGATCTTCTGGGCGGCTTGGACGGAAGCGAGGTTGTGCGTTGCAAGGACGATGTTCACGCGAGGGAAGGGAGTACCGGGAGTAGGGGCGGGGATTTTGTCGGTCCATTGTTGGCGGACGACAGCGTCGGCACAGGCGTCGTAGTTGGCGTCTGTTCCTGCTTTGGTGTCGAAGGTGATGTGTTTGGGTTCAGAAGTGAGGTATGCGCCGCGGACAAGCTTGACACCCGCAATGTAGCCTTTCTTTGAGGCGCGCTCAAGATGCGCAGCCATGCGTTTGGAGATGTCGCGGAGGTAGCATTGGTAGGTGATGTAGAGGACGGCACGACCGTTTTCAGGCTTGTTGTACTTTTCTTGCAGGGCAAGGGTCCATTTCTCGAGGCCGAGGTTCGTGGCCTCTTCTTCAGCGCCGGGTAGGAGGCTTACACCTTTCGCGGCGGCGGCGTCGCAAGCGGCAGTTATAGCGGACCACATTTCGGGAGTGGCTTCTTGTTGGTTCTGGAGGAGGTTGAGGGCATGGCGACCTAGACCGGACCATCTAAATGGTGGTTAGAATATCTCCACGAAAGTGACCAAGAAGATGACTTACTTGAGTCCAACAAAGTCGCCTTCCTTGGCCATATCGACACTCTGTAGCATTCCCTTCCTCCACACTTCAATCTCCATCTTGGTTTCCTCGGCAGTTGGCGCTTTTCCACCAAGCACCTCAAGCGCATACTCGAACAGGATACCGCCATAACCGAGCGTACGTGCGAATTCAGTGTTCCTGACAACCTCATCTTTCTTCTCGCCAACACAGTATTGCGCGTAGAATGTCTTCTTGAGCAAGTTGGACAATACAGGGTTGCGCTCGATGCTCAAGAGGAAAGACTTGGAGTCAAGCATACGCCTCAGGATTCCGAAACAAGCATTGAGTAGGAGAGGCCTTGAGGATACGGCGGTGATGAGGTAGGAGCGGAGGACAGTCTCTGTGGGTAGGCGGCCGAGAACCACTTTCGTTTGCGCTATCTGTGACTCTGGCTGTGTGGACAGGAGATGTGCAGTCGAAACTTGTGATGAGTCGGCGGGGACAGAGACATTCTGTCGTGCGCTCTGTGAGACGTAACGCGGTGTTGATGCGAGAGTTCGGGATGTGTGTGCCAGGGCAAGGCTCTGGAAGCGTTGGAGGTTCTGTCTCCGGAGCATCATTTTGAGATTGTGTGTGATTTGGACGCTCGAGTGGTTAGTTGGAGCTGGTGTATTTTACACTCGGAGGCGTATGCAGGTGGTGTAGTATATGGCCGGAGTCCGTGAATTACTATTCTTTATAAAGTCGATACCGGCAAACTTGACAGAAAGAGCAATTCTGGAGGTCTTGTGACTTTTTACAATGTGTTCGATAGCCCCTATATACCATGGTTGGTACTCTTGGTGATCCACGATGTCGCGCACGATGCTCGGCTTGCGTCGGATGCGTCCATGTCGCACTAGTGAGGCTTCATTGCTGCTCCAGATGGTGCCAGACTGACGCAGACTCCCGGCTTATCGCCCGCGCTAGAAGCACTGACGATTGGACAATACTGTCACGCATTCTTGTGGAGTAGTCGACATGTTTGGTGTTTATGGCGACATGCGGTTTTGATGTGATGATGGCGAACTGTCGCGTGTAATGTAATGCCCAGTGACTGGCAAACTTAATGCGCCCGCCTCCAAAGCTGATGGCATGACATCAGCTCCTAAACTCAATTCGAGGTCGTTGCTTTTGCCATGGCCGTGTATCTCCAAGCTTGCCATCGTGACCTCGCATTGTCATGCAATGCCTGTTACCCCACAGTCGGCGAAATGCACATTCAGCCGTTCCTCATCTTAGCGTCATCTCGCCCAGCACAGCCCATGTCGCGATCTGTGTTGTGTTTGCCGCCGACGCTGAGAGCCGAGCGTAACCATGGCGGCATCGCTCATATTACGCAGGACCAGCCCCAGGATTCAATTTCTCCTGACCACATCATCTCCACTCAGGGCTCTGGATCGGTACCACGCGCACCGGTATCGGCTGCTATGGAGAAGAAGCAAATTTTTGTCATGGTTTGACGGGTAGCATAGCGCGCCGCGAGGAGGGCCGTTCTGGCTGCGGAAAGCGTCGGGGACCCACATATACCCACGCCGAGTATCGTCGACGTCTGCTCTTGTCTGATCTCGCGTCCTTTCTCAGCCTCACTGATGATACGATGTCTGCGTCTTTAGGGATGGAGTACCTTGAGAGATACTTGAAGATCCCTAGGTCATTGCAACGTGTTGCCACTGATCTGGTGTCACGCGCGTGCCAATCAGCTTACTAAATCTTGAAACTCTAAAGCTACCCAGGTAATTCCCTACACGTGCATCATGTGATCTATTTCGATCAACGTGCTGGCACATCGTAAACCAATAATGTTCAGATATCACTAAACATGGTTTCCAATCTTGGAGAAGTATGCCAGTATTGTTTAAGGCAAGCCTGTCGACGGCGTCAGTCCAAAGCTGTCGGCCGCGTGGGAGGGCTTCGTTGCGTCTTCTCTGACCCTGACTAGAACAATCTTAATCAAAATACAGGTATTGATTCGACCCGTGTTCTTGCAGTTTGGTACACTGCCCGCATGTCAACTCAGCTAGACGAACTTTAATCTTAACTCCAAACTAGTACATCGCTCTCAGTCGCGCCACAAGAAAGCAAAACTACCGGCCTTTATCTATAATTATTCATATCATATAAGCGACAACCTCAAAAATTCGCTGATACAATTGACGCGTGTTCAAGACGCCAAGACCTAATCTGCAATACCATTACCGCTCCTGTCGGCATCTCTCAACACCACATAGCTCTTCATACAGCGCCAGCACCCGCCTCCGGCATCTGCGCACCCTCCTGTCCAAGTTGCACCTCTCCCCCATTACTCGTTCTATCTGTCACGTTCTTCTGATCGTTTCCCAACGACTTGAATGCACCCAGCAAATCCCCTTTCAAATCTTCCCAACTCTCCACCCCAACACTGACCCTCAGCAACCTCTCATCGACTTCTGCATCGCTCATCCTGCGCCACTCGATCAAACTCTCCACACCTCCCAAGCTAGTCGCATGATGGAAAAGGCGGAGTTTGCTAGGTAAGGTACGTGCGAGTTGTGGCGTCTTCATGTAGATGCTGAAGACGGGGCCGAAACCGTTAGGCATCTGTTGTTTAAGCCAGTCGTAATCCGCCGTTTGCAGACTAGCATGAGAGATCTTGCTCACAACTCCCTTCACCACCTCCACTTCTTTCCCCTCACCTTTGCCATCAAGGGAATCCTGCAGCCATCGGACAAGCTTATCTGCAGAACTACTCTGCCGCTGAACACGCAAGTCCAAAGTCCGCAGACTCCTTACTCCGAGCCAGCCTTCCAAACTGCCCAGCACAGCACCCAGGAAGATCCTCTCAGCGCGTAGCGTCTTCGCTTTCTTCAACCCGTCCTCGCCTTTCTTCACCGCGAGAATGCCACAAAGCATATCGCTATGCCCCCCAATATACTTAGTCCCACTATGCATAACCACATCCGCGCCCCAACGAAACGGATCCTGTAAGCCCGGCGGCGCAAACGTAGCGTCAACACTCAAATATGCGCCGCGCGCGTGGGCCCGTTCTGCGTATTTGGCGATGGAGAAGGCTTCGCCGGTAGGATTCAGTGGTGTTTCCAAATGAACTAGGTCACCTTTTCCCAGGCCCGCAGCGTCCCAGGTAGCGTCGTCGGCATGGAGATCAACAGTCTTCACGCCGTGCATCTTCTTGTGCAGGTCGATGACGCCGTGGCAGCCGTGGTATCCACCACTTATCGCAATAGCTTTGGGTACGAGGTTGACGAGCAGAGCGTGGAAAGCGCTGAGGCCGCTTGTGTAGCTAACAACATGATTTGCCAACCCACTTTGTCCGTCCAATTCCTCTTCCTTAGCATCCGGGTACATTAGTGGGGCCAGGATGGTTTCCAGTCGGTTTGTGCTGGCGGATGCGAGGCGCGAGTATATCAAAGGTGTCTGGAGGTCGACGAATTCGCCTTCTGTGGGAACGGGTTGGAGTTGCGATGGGTCGTGAGGATATCGGAAGGTAGTTGCGGTATGAATTGGTGGGGCGACGTCAGTGAGGATGTTGATGCGGTCGTCGGCGTGGACGCCGTGGGTCGAGGGGTGGTATGCTGATGGTGGCATGATGATCGCAGTTGTCGTCTGTAGACAGCGTCCGTCGAGTTCCGAGTTGTTCGATGTGCTCTGAGTTCAATGCTGATGAAGTGGTGTATGTGCGTGTTACAGTCGTTCTAATAAGTTGAAGGGCTATGAGATGTTATCCTGGATATGTCCAATCAAAAAGATTACTTGTCAGAATGTCGAAATGTCGAAGATGTCGACATCACGCCCTAGACGGCGAAATTGCGGACGAAGACCGCTAGATCTAGCCGTTCACGCCATTAGGGTGGAGCTGTACCGGCAATTTGTGGACACAATCGTGGCAGAGCTGGGGATGGAGTGGGTATACAGAGCTATCAAGGTGATGGCATTGTGGGACGAGGCCCCAATAATCTCGTCTATAGATTAGACGTAAACAAAAAGTCACAAGTCCATCGACTAGCATGAACTCAATCGATGCCAAAGCCACTTGAAGGACGTTTCCGCGTAAGTTGTTGTGGTGTGGAATGTACAAACTTATGACGAGTGCGGGGTAAAAATTGCCCCTCCTTGCGACAAAAAAGTCACAGACCGCAGGACAAATGCCGCATGCGCAAGGTGGAAGAAAGTTTATCAATAGCATGAAAACGCACGTTAGACTGCTCAGATTTCGTTCATTCATAGCTGCCCACAGAGTCATAGGATCTCACTGACAGGTGCTACACAATTATAAGCCACCAGTTGCGCATGAACCCTTGCCTCTATGGCGCCGTCCCACCTCACCGAAATGTATCTACTGGACGCCAGCACCAGTGATGGTAGGTGGGCCCTCCTTGTACTTGATGCTTCCGTTGTTGGAGCCGCAAGCCTCGATTGATCGGACAACCTTGTAGGACTCGACATCGCCATCGGGAACACCGCCAAAGACGACGTGCTTGCCGTTCAGCCATGAGGTAACGACGGTGGTGATGAAGAATTGGGAACCGTTGCTATGACGTGTCAGCCATGACTCTTCCTGATAGAGTATAGTATAGAAAACCTACGTGTTGGGGCCAGCGTTGGCCATGGAGAGGAGGAAGGGGCGGTCGTGCTTCAACTTGAAGTTCTCGTCGGCGAACTTTTCGCCATAGATGGACTTGCCTCCAGTGCCCTAACGTCTGTTAACCATCTGTCTTTTTGTATGGAGAGTTGAGACTGACGTTGCCGCGGGTGAAGTCACCACCCTGGAGCATGAACTGAGGAATCACGCGGTGGAACTTTGAGCCCTGGTAGCCAAAACCCTTCTCGCCGGTGCAGAGGGCGCGGAAGTTCTCAGCCGTCTTGGGAACGACATCGTCGAAGAGCTCGAAGTTGACGCGACCGGATTGCGCTGTAACTCATAGTCAGCAGGTGGAAGTCGCATGTGAAAGCGGTCGTAGCTACCCTTAACCTCGCCCTGGCTAGTGACGTTGCCGGCGTTGTCGACCTCAACGGTGGGCCCGGTCCAGGAGCAATCAAAGTAAGCCTTGATGGCCATGTTGTATGCCGAAGGAGTGAAGAAGCGTTTGTTGATAGGAGCGCGAAGTTGGGGAGCTGCGCGGAAAGCTGAAAGAGCAGAAGCTCTCGGAAGGTGGGGCATGATGCAGCGCGGGGTGTGAGTCTAACCTCATAAGCAGTTAGGTCCTGTTTCTTGGCAGTGAATCGTGAGATAGCCAGGTAATTGTGCGTTTAGACACTGCTGGGAATGCAGGGCTGACGTCTGTGGTGCCACTCCTGTTGGGTGGGAACTCACTCTGGGTGGTACCTTTGGAACTATCAGATAGCTATTCACAACACAATGGCTGGGTTACAGCAAGACTCTGGTGGCAACTTACAGGAATGATACGAGGAATCGGGCCGCTATGCAACACGATATGCAAGATTCAAGGAATTTAATACAATTGATGAATTGCCGACACGAGGTAGCAGTTGAAGGGTCGGATGGATGACCAGACGGAAAACTTTGGATACCTCAAGCTTGTGCACGAGTCTAGCGCGTTCCCCGATCCGGCGCTCCATTGCTCGCATCAATCGAGGGCTGTATACATGACTACGACAGAAATAATTCATCTTAACTACCAGTACTCCTGGACAAGGTGCGCGACACCGTTAACACATTTCACTTTTTGTATGTCAAGTCGTGCAACAGTCCAAGGCGTGTTGTCTCACTCTGAGCATCATAGGTACCTGGATAGCTTGGAAAGGCCCGAGCTTAGATCACGTGAGCGCTGGGCCGCCATCGCCGTTTACCCTGTACCATGGGCATGGCTCGCGACAAGGTGAATATTCTTGTAAGCGGACATCTTTGCAGTCTTCTCGATTATATTTCGCGTGACCGAGACACCTCTGGCGCAAAGCATACTACCTTCCTCTTAACGACCTTTGCAATTCGCCCTCGGTGGTCCGCTCCCGAGACCGTGGTCGACAGCTGCCACCTCGACTCCAGTACACTCACATTACCATATTGCCAGACCGACGCGCCACAAGTCTACAGCCATGGATCTCAATAGCTTGAAGGATCAAGTGAGCAATCTTACGCTCTACGACCTCAAGGCGGGATTCCGCAAGGCCCAAAATGGTATGCTGAGGGGAAGGGTGAAGCCAGCTGGCCAATGCTAACGCGCTTCGTAGCGGTGATGAACTACACAGAGATGGAGGCCAAGGTCCGCGAGGCAACAAACAATGAGCCATGGGGTAAGCCGAGCCTGGCGTCTCGCGAAGAATGCAGCTGACAGGCGGCCAGGTGCATCATCGACCATGCTACAGGAGATTGCCAATGGAACCTTCAACTAGTAGGCGATGCCCGAGGACCTGGCGGATCATGGCTAACGAATTAGCCAACTACTGAACGAGATCATGCCCATGATTTACAAGCGCTTCACAGAGAAGGCCTCGGAAGAATGGAGACAGATCTACAAGGTACTTGGGCGCTCTCCTTGTCGCCGGCGTCGCTAACAAGCCAGGCCCTGCAACTCCTCGAATACCTGATCAAGAACGGTTCAGAACGAGTCATTGACGATGCGCGCTCTCACGTCTCGCTCCTCAAGATGCTACGGCAATTCCACTTCATCGACCAGAACGGCAAAGACCAGGGCATCAACGTACGCAACCGCGCCAAGGAGCTCGCCGAACTTCTTAGCGACGTCGACCGCATCCGCACCGAGCGCAAGAAGGCGCGAGCGAACCGAAACAAGTTTGGTGGTGTCGAGGGCGGAGCCGGCATCGGCATGGGTGGCTTCTCAGGAAGCGGTAGTGGGGGTGGTAGCAGGTACGGAGGGTTTGGCAGTGAGCAGGCAGACTATGGTGGCTACAGAGGAGAGGTCTACGGCGACGGCGGTGGCTTTGGAGGCAACCAATCTGGCTTCGCAGACACACAACAGCGACGCGACAAGTTCGACGAGTACGACGAGTACGACGAGGGCGAAAGTGCTAGCCCAGCACCAGCACGGCGGAGAGAACCCACAACCACGCACGCGAGGAAAGAACCCAAGAAGGAGGAGCCTAAGCCGAAAGCACCAGAGCCCGTTGTCGACTTGCTCGCTTTTGACGACGAGCCTGCGCCCATGTCGACTTCAGCAGGAAAGCAGCCCGTTGCTGCTCCAAGCGACGACTTCGGCGACGACGATGATTTCGACGACTTCCAGTCTGCAGCTCCAGCAGCACCTGCATCCAAGCCAGCCGCACCAGCCTACAATATCGTCTCTCCTGCGTCGACATCTACTATCACCTCGTCAACCCAATTCGCCGCACCGACAGCCCAGTCCTCAGCCCAGAACAACAACTTCAGCAACTTGCTCGCAACAGTTTCACCACCGCCTGCTGCAAACAAAATGAGCGCACCCCCCTCCATGACCTCTTCTTTCTCGCAACCACCACCCCAGCCCTCAGGCTACCAAGCCTCGGGTCCGAATTACTTCACTTCCGTGCCCCAGCCTGCGCCTCAATCAGCGTCATCCACGCCTTCTGTAATGTCGCCCGGTGGACGCATCGGCGGTGGTATCGGCGGCGGTGCACCCAAGAAAGCTGGTGGTGATGCGTTTGCGAGCTTGCTTGGTGGTGTTGCGCCGAAGAAGGCGGGTACACCAACGCAGAAGGTCACTATGGGTGACTTGGCCAAGCAGAAGACTAGTCAAGGGCTCTGGGGGGCGCCGGCTTCTACTCCCAGTACACCTGCTGCACAAGCACCTCAGTCGGGATCTAAGCCTGGTGGTGCGCTGGGGGATTTGCTTGGTTAGGTTGGTGGGGAGAAGGGGGGGCAGATAGTGTGTCATGCGCTTTTTTACTTGGTTTGGAATATGGATACAAAAGTGGCGTATGATATGAGAATGAAGAGAGCGTAATAGACGATACACGAATTCCTAGTACGTCTGATGAACGCAATGGGAGCTGTGATGTTTCTCCGCAAATGCGGAGCTTTCATTGGCTGTGCTGCTGCCCCTACTAAATCGTTGGCGCGTACAGCATGTGAAATCAAAGCGATCATCACTCTTCCTACAACATGAACAGACCTTCACTCGTTCATTACAGTCTCCAGCATAGAGCCAACCACTGAGTGAATGATTGCAACTGAATCAGGCGAAGCTCTCTACGGCAGCACGATTTGCTTCCGCTTCACACTCTTCCGGCCAAGGTCCGCAACTCATCGTTAGTCCGCCTGAATGTGTTAAGAAGAAGGTAGAGAACAACAGCTTGGGTGACTTACTCGGTCATGTAGGAGATGAACATTGAGTACACGTCGCTTTTGATTTTGAACAGTTGATCATAATACTCCATAGCTTTTTGGCGCTTGAGAGCCCAGAGCACGCGACGTCGAACTTGAAAGACATGTGGGATCCTAGATTGCGTATCGAATTTCGGCAGATCGTCGAGCTCATCTTTCACCAATTTTGAGACATCGGTGAAGAGATTCAATCCTGCCTGCAGCTGTCGAGTGTAGCGCTCGAAGGTAGGGTTCTCTTGGCCGTGCTCGTTTTTGCAATGGAGGATGATCGTATCTATTTCGACACGCCATCGTTGAAGATCTCTACGGATCGTTTGTATATCTCTTAGAGCGTTCAAAGACAGAGCTAGGTATGCGAAGTAGGTCAAAACCGCACCGAGAACAAAGGTTAAGACGCCGATGACATTTGCAGCTACGGATAGTCCGCTATCACCACAGCAAGTGGTGTTGTTCTGCTTGGTAGCCATCTGATGCCGGTTGTGAATCGATCGAGTGTTGAATTTTCTAAGAAGTGCAAGCTTGGAAGACAGAAAATTTAGAAGCTCGCATCAACTGTGGCGTTGGAACTATCAGCGAGCCTTGATGGGATGATAAGCAGTTTTCGAAACTTCATGTAGGCTACCGTTTCACCGGCTTTCAAGACGAGGTGAGACTCCGAGAGGGAATCTGGCAGCATGAGGCCATTCTCGATTAAGCACCCCTTTGCGAAGTTGGCTATGACATGCTGGCCAACATGGATCAGAATTTCGTGGCGTTGTCGGAACGGTAGAGATTACTTAAGTCAGCTTGACACGTCACAAAGGTGCGGCTGAGGAACGTTGGGCGCCTGAAGCTCAGAGTGGATACCCTCTCTTCTCACTGATCATCAGATTGCAGCTGAACAGGTTCATCAATCGCATAACCACCGGTAATATCTTACCCAGATAGAACTGGCGTAGAAACATCAGATCAATCAGCTACTTTCGAACACTACTCTTGCGCGCTTTATTTCCTAGGACAATTATCATTTCCAAGGTTTATTCAAAGACTTCACGTTTGTGCTTGTATTTGCGGCAGTTTCAGAACGATATGGCAGAATTCGCCATCGCGCTCGATGAACCGGACTCCATAACTGGTGAAAGCACCCACATCTCTGCCAAGATGGCAGGATATGGTGAGATCGTACTGGGCTTTCGACGTACTTGCAAGGTTCCCAACAATGACGAGGAGTTCTACGCCCCAGATCTGGGACCCTACCCATTGTACGATGTCAAAAAGTACAATGGTCTTCCCAGATCAATCTTGCAAGCTGGAGGGTGGTTCATTGCTATGCGAGGTGAGCGAGTCTCGGCGTTCTCGGCGTACCTTGAGAGCACACGTTGAAGCAACTCTAAGATGCCTAGGTAACGAAGCAATGTGCCTCAAGTTGGGCTCCAATCGAAAGTTTAATGTAATAGTCGGATCGGATACCTCAAGGAAAGCACACTGTATTGTCCTTGGGTCCCAATACCTTCATGGATTACCGGATAGCGATGATCCACAATATGTCCGACAGTTCGTTGCAGCACCTGCTTCTCACAGGTAAATGGACATGTCTTACAACTTTGATCCCGTCGTACTAAGAGTGATGAGATCTCAGATAAACCCAAGTGACGAACCCTTCGTGGATGATTTATCGCTCGCTATCAGAGCACCGAAAGCTGTGGTGAACCAGGCTGGGATCATCGTCAAAACACCGGATAAGAGAGATATCCATATTCAGATCGATGATATCACTACAGTTATCCAGCTCAAATTAAGAATAGAACGCGAAACGGGTATAGCCGAAGATAGCCAAAGGCTCATAGTTGGTGCAAAGCAGCTGGTAGACAGTAAGTTCTTTATGTTCGAGAAGAAAGTTACTATGCTGACGTATCCCCAAAGACACTACTCTGAGCAGCAATGGTGTTAAGGAGGTAACCTTTCCCAGATTCGACATTCGAAATCTCGCATTAGCTAAATTTGTATAGGGTACCATCGTTCACCTGGGTCGGAGAATGACTGGGGGAGGATTCTTCGCGCGCCTACCAGCGTTTTTCGCAAGCCATAAGATGATCTTAAAATCGGGCGGCCGTATCTTACAACCTGAAGCATGGAAAGAGGAAGAAGAAGCGCAGACCTCCTGGGTAGAGCCTCCTTTATTCATTCGTGTTCATATCCTCAACGCTGAGAACGTGCGAGACTGGACCGGAATTGATTCACTACAGCCGACTATTGATCACGGAAAACCTACCAACACGCCATCGGGAGGATACAATCCTTATGGGCTCATCCTGCTTAAGAATGCAGAACACCAGTCTAACGAAACTCGTGGTCAAGGCTCGAAGAGCAAGGTACGGTGGTGGCGTAGGGTATTCCAGAAATCAAAGGAGACGTAACACTTATCAACGTGTCTATGTTTGAAGCTGCTCTTAGAAGATGCCCAGGTGTGTTGCCAAAATGCTTGCCCCACTCTGCCATGGCTCCGCAAACGCGCGGACACCATTGGCTGCACCACAGCCCCTGCATATTCATCTCCGCGGCCAAGACACGCTCTCTCCACGCGCCAGCATGTGAAAACATCATCGTCTCCTTTCCGCCATGCATACATGGCATAGATGCAGCTCTCTCGCATTCTCTTCCGCGTCGCCTTGCTGCTATTACCGATAGCCTTGATCGGCACAACATGGCTATACCTGTACCCTGTTTTCCACGGCTGCGCCTTTCCTAAACCACCGTCTACGCACGCGCAAGCCGTCGCACCGTTCCGTCTACTTTCTCTCGGTGATCCCCAGCTTGAGGGTGATTCCTCACTTCCGGATCCGAATGCGCTCATCTTCCCGTCGATCGAGAACCTCGTACCGAATCTACGCGATGCCGCCAATTACACAGCGAAACGAGATGTTCTAGACCAAGCAGCACGAGGTGTTGTAAAAGATGCAGGGAAGTGGCTAGAGGGAAAGAGGAAAGCGGTGGATCTTTGGGGCAACGACTGGTATCTTGCGCATATAGTCCGGAGCCTGAGATGGTGGACTGAACCCACGCACATCAGTGTCCTGGGTGATTTGCTAGGCAGTCAGTGGGTCACAGATGGCGAGTTCACGAAAAGAGCAGGTCGGTATTGGAATGTTGTTATGAAGGGATTGGAGAAGGTACCTGATGTTATCTTTGGCGCAATAGGGAGTGAAAACACGGAGCTGCCGCCAGCAGAAACATCACAAGAACAAGAAGGCGAAGGAAAAGAGGTGGTAGAAGAGAAAGAGAAGAAGAAAGAGAGGAGGCCGCTATGGGGTGGTACAACAGAAGTACTCGGTGCAGATAAAGACTGGCAGAAGCGCGTCATAAACATCGTCGGAAACCATGACGTCGGCTACGCTGGTGACATCGATGAATCGCGTATCGAACGCTTCGAGAAGGCGTTTGGAAGTTCGAATTGGGATATCTGGTTCACACTCCCAGACGAACTGCGCTCCAACAAAACCGACCCAACCGATCCAACCGACCCATCTCCATCTACGAAAGACGCCACCAGACCACCAACCCTCCGCCTCGTAATCTTCAACTCGATGAACTTGGACACCCCCGCATGGTCCTCGGACCTCCAGACAGAAACCTACTCCTTCACGAACCACATCATTACTTCCTCCCTGCCTGTCACCGACAAAACACACGCCACCATCCTCCTCACACACATCCCGCTCGAAAAGGAAGCTGGTATCTGCGTTGATTCTCCATATTTCGATTTCTTCGAGGGAGGCCAAGGATTGAAGGAACAGAATATGCTGTCTGATCACGCTAGTAGGATCGTCTTGGAAGGAATGTTTGGCATGAGTCCAAATAAAGATGCAGAGGGTGGAGGCAAGGGCAGAAGGGGTATCATCGTTAATGGACATGATCACGCTGGTTGTGATGTTATGCACTGGATTAGGCAGCCCGGCGTGCAGGACACATGTCAGGTGGCGAACGTGAAAAGGGAAGAAGCATATTGGCCAACTAGTACCGCGAACGACACCATGATTGCCACTTCGATGGATATCGATGGGGTCGACATTAACTTTGTAGCTGCCAACGATACCGATACCGATACCGCTATCCAAACCGAGACCGACTCCACTCAGGAAGAATCAACATCTGAATCTTCACCAGAGCCTACTCTGGAACCGGCTTCCGAACCACCTCCACCGCCCAAATGGCGCGCTCAGCGCTTCCCAAATCGCCCTTACGATATCCATGCAGATGACGAATGCACGTCTATCAACGACGCGCCCCATATCCGCGAGATTACGCTCCGCAGTATGATGGGCGAGTACTCTGGCTATGCTGGTTTCCTGTCTGCGTGGTTCGAGGAAGAGAAGGGAGAGAAGGGGGAATGGGTTTTTGAGTTTAGCTCGTGTGGTGTGGGTGTGCAACATTGGTGGTGGGGGATACACATTGTTGACCTGATTCTGATGGTTTGTGTGGTTATTGGGGGTTTGGTTTGGGGATACGAACGAGTGGCTGATGATGCGAAGAAGACGGAGGTGAAGAGGGATGTGAAGGAAGGCAGATCGGAGGACGTTAGAGATAGGAACGAGGCGAGGAGGATTGTACAGACTACACGCGGGCGTACGTCTTCTGTCATGGAAGTTCAAGAACGAAAGATATAGATTAGAGTACAACTTCTGCCGATACGCTATCGACATGGACTCATCAAACATACACTCATGTAGCCGCCCAATACAATGACCATTAAACCGCCATACTCTTGATGTCATCGGTAAGCTTCAAGAAGTGATTCTCGCCATTTCTAGCATCTTCTTTGATCATCTCTGCCGCTCCCTCTCCGATGCCATACGCCACCATCTGCGTATGTCCGTTGTTCACCTTGGGGATAGAAGACACATCCGCGACACGCAGGTTGCGAACACCGCGGACGCGAAGGCGAGAATCGAGGACGGCGTTTGGGTCATCCGATTTGCCCATTGCGCAGGTGCCGGAAGCATGGTAACCTAGGGATGGGTATCAGTCCTCAAATCACGTATTAAGACTGTAATGACAACTCACAAGTCGTAGCATGTTCCCTAACATGCGGCTCCCACTCTTCCCTAGTCTCGAAACCATGATGAGCCAAACCCTCCGGCCAACTGCCTTTGATAACATCCTTCGTTCCCTTGCCTTTCATGATGATCTCGTTCGCAAATCGGCATGCCTCGCTCATGACCAGCATGTCCAGTGGGTCTTCTAGGTAGGCATGATCGACAATCGGATTCTCCATCGGATCAGCAGACTTGAGCGTCACACTTCCCCTACTGTGCTGATTGAACAACAATGCACACATGGCGAATGCGTGTTTATGATCAATGGGAAAATCTTCATATTGCTTTGGCCCACCATATAGTTCCGTGTTCCAGAACTCGATGTTTGGTTGCGAGGGCGTGAGACCCATAGGGTCGCGGCCTGACTGTCGGGGCGCGTTGGTCCACAAGGGCGAGTCTTGTAGGCGTTCGTCAAGGCGGGCGTATCCGAATATGCCAAAAGGGAAAGTAGAGAGGATTCCAGTCTTCTTTTCTTGGTAGAGGGCGTAGGTTGAGGCTATGGCGTTATCGTGGTATGCGAGGTGGTCATTCGTCAGGTTTGGTTCGGAGACTTCGTAGAAGATGAAGCAGAGAACGTGGTCCATTAGGTTTCCGCCAACACCGGGGAGATCAACGAGGCACTCGATGCCATGTTTTTCTAGCTGTTCTTTTGGTCCAAGACCGGAGCGCATTAAGATTGGTGGACTACAATATGCGCCTGCTGCGACAATGACTTCTTTTCTCGCTTGGTAATCGATCTTTTTGCCGTTCTTGGATATTGTTGCGACGCCTGTTGCTGTGAGGTCCTCGGAATCTTTGTTGAAGAGCAGTTTGTTGACAGTCACTTCGGTCTTGATGGTGATATTTTCCCGTCGATAGCCCTTGGTGATGAAGTCTGCGGCGGTACTCCGGATACCCTGATGCACTGTTCGTGGTACGTCTCCGCATCCATGAGGTGTCTCTCCTGTTGAAAACATGTCGGCGTGGTAAGGAAGACCTTGATCGACAAGACTCTCTCTGACACGTTCAGAAATAGGCGCTAGATCGTGAGGCTCGGTGTGAAGAGGTCCTGACGTCCCATGAACCGACATATCAGCTTTATGCCAATCCTTCTCGTGGAAGGTCTCAGCCTGTATCATAGTCAGCTTCTGTGCTACAGCCGTTCTAGCCTTCAACAACAAACCTTCTTCATATACTCGAACATCTTCTCTCCGGTCCATTCATCCATCTCCCAGTCGTCGTAATCCTGCTTTGTGCCTCGAATACAAAGCGTACCATTGACGCCACTCGAACCTCCAAGGAAGCGTCCTCTGCTGACCTTGACCTGTCGGTTATCCACCTTGGGCATAGGCTCGGTCACGATATTCCAATCTGTCTCGCTGTCGAAGTTCTTGCTCCACCCTCCCGCCATATGCACATTCTCAAGATCAGCATTGTCGGGTCCAGCTTCTAGGACGAGAATCTTTGCATTGAGGTCCTCGGCAAGACGACCTGCAATTACGCAGCCTGAAGTGCCGCCACTAGTGAATGTCGATTAGCATTTGTTTGCTGAAAGGACAACCGGCTGAGAACAATGTGCAGCGCTCTCTCAGTGAGGTTGAATTACCCGCAGATGATGTAGTCGTAGACCTCCGTAGGGTCAACTGAGTCGACGCGTTCAAGAGACATGGCTGTGATGGTGAGTGTTCAGAGAGGCGGTCCAGTTCCTAGTCTCCAGAACGAGGCCAAAGCATATATAACTTTGCCAAATGGTCAGTTAGCCTAGATATAAAGGCCACGGAACAGAGCCGCACTGCACAGTAGCGGGACCGGATGTACCGCCACGTCGCAGAATGGGCCAACATGAAAGGCTACTGCATGTCAGCTAACGCCCTTGAAGACGCCAACCCCTTGGAGACTCAACAAACGAACCAACTCAGCAGCTGTAGTTTGTGATTCGTGTCACTATGGTCATCCTCGTGTACTATTCTCACCACCTGTATGCAGGTCTTCACTTGGAGTAGCGGAATCAGTCCGGATGGGTCGATCACGCAGCATTTTAGGTTTGGGTCTAGCTCAGCTTTGGGGGCGTCTAGGAAGAAGCAAGACCACGTAGAACTGGGGTAGTGTGGGTGATCGACGAATCAGAGGGAGGTGGTTGGGACGTCGTGTTCTCTAAGTTGATGTTCGATCGGATCGCTGTTGGCCCTGCAGGCGCGTGCGTTGCGGGGTAAACCCGTGTACCCGAAGGGAATGGACTATGCCGGTTACATCGACTTAACATTCTAGAAAGAATATATCGATAGCTCAGCGAGGAATGCTTAACTTGATTTGGAGTATTGAGACATGAAAAGCAAGGTTGTTTTTGTCCGTCATCCTGAGTTTCCAATCCATCAAGAGGTACTTCTCGAGCACGTTTGATGTATACATCAATCTACAGAGAGGAATATACTACGCTAAGACATCCCTTAGAATGCTTTAAGATATCCAGATCACGACGTAATTGTACTGTTGTTTTCATTATATTCTATCCGAAGTGTCTAGAGTCGGCAAGGGAAGACATGAATGTTTAAGCTTATATTGTGGCATCCCTTCTAGAATCGCATCGGGCGCGTTCTCCATGTCCCATTTGTCGATGCGGTCGTACAGTTCCTCAATCACAGAGGCATTCTGACTTAAACCCAAGTACTTGAGACCTTGTCGGAGTTGGCAGCGGTTGTATAGATTCTTGTAGTCGTGCCTTGCTGTCGTACCTGCTAAGCAAAGTCCGTCGCGTTCCAAATCATGTAAGTTTCAAGATTCTCTACTATCCCAAAGCGACTAGGAGCCAGCACCGAGTCCGCCACGACCGCGACTTCTGCCTCGTCCACGACCAGCATCGCCACGAGGACTAAGAGAAGTCGTAGGGGCCGCGATCGGAGCCCGAAAGCCAGGAGGTGGAGCTGCACCACGAGTGTCACGCCTGTGGATGTCAGTATCATATCACACCAGTAAGTTTCCGTCTCATGTCCTACCAGTTCGGGTACTTCATCAAGGAGCGGCCACCATTCCACTGCAGTCCTTGATCGTTCTCCTGCTTGGCAACGACCTCGTGAGCATCTTGTAGTCCTCGCGCTGCTTGAAGGGGAGGAAGAATGAGGCCGCCCCACTTCTTGTAGTGACGAACTAGGAGCAGGTCGACGAGGGCAGTGTTGCCGACAATGGATGCAACGCCGGGATGAACGTCCTCTGGGTGGGTCATACCCCAGATGATCTGATCCATGGCGTTTTCGTTGTTCTCAATCAGGTCCTACAGGGTGTTGGTGATAACCAACTAATTGCTTGAGTGAAGGAGAAAACGCAGGAGGGACAAAGTAGTGTTGAAAAGAATCAAACTAACAGTAAAAGTGAAGAGAGCTTACAATTGCATTGCTGACGTTGACAACGGTGGCAACGTCGGTATCGTGATTGTAGTTGGCGACTTTTCTCTTGTAGGTACGCCAATAGGTCACTAAGCTAGTGTCCGCAAACGACTCGAAATCGTTGACTACATAGCCAGTCGGACGATCGCGACCTGGCTTGTACTGAATCGCGTTGATGGATGTAGTGTTGTTAGACATCGTAGAGGCTTGCGGTCTTCGTTGATCGATTGCTCGCTGAAGTTGTTTGCTTCGATACAGTTCGTGATGTCAAAGTTGTAGTCTATGAAGAGCGTTAGCAAAGATGTCTTCGACGAATGACTTCGCAAACTTACGGTATCGGTTGAACGCTGGTCAGGAACGCAGCTCTGGGGAAGTGATAGTGTTGTCGTTGTAGATATAGGAAAGAAAGGAAAGAGAGTTGGTGGAGAAGAAATTATATACAGATAGGAAGCCGCTCCGACCAGCACTAAAGCACGCAATTCTCCTTCACGTCGAGAAGTAAAAGGCAGAGCGCGACAGATGACTCCGGAAGAGTCTGGCCGCAAGGTGAGGGCGGTAGTCACCTTGAACATTGAGAGGGAAAGGCCATCGCAAACGACGGTCACCTCGATTGGTGATGTCGGGAGAAACGCATAGCTTGCGATACCGGATAATCAACGAGAAGAAATGAGCAAGATGTACTTATAGAGCTGCAGCGTCGGAATATCAAGCGTGTTTCATGTCATTAGGGAATGTGTGTGTTTCAAGCGTGACCAATGGACCAACTGATGTGACATACAGCAAGTACCCCAGTGTGCTCGTGCACACTCCGCATGCTCAGCGTCTTGAGAGCAATTGCCAGAACTGTATCCTTGCCTGGGTTTGTCACAAAAATGACATGATGATCACGTGGTATCGTGAAGCAGAATACGTTCTAGCGGCCAAGTGGAGATGAATCTGCTTCCTGGCGGTGCCAGAACCATTGTGTCTCTCGCTGCCGAGGTTTCCGCGTATAACGGAAAACATGCTGATGTATCAACACGGATAGTTCGGGAAAGGCCCAGTCAGTCCTGGAGAATCTTGTGATGATCCACTGCACGTGTTGGTGCTGCTTTGTGGGCAATCACAGCGTGTACTCTGCGCGTTTCGATTGTCAACCCCTCTTCTGGACCATAAATATCGTAAGCTTCTGGCACCTTACGCTTCTTCGCTCACCCGAAATCTTAGTATGGTCGGCCTCAACATGTTGTCAGGAACCGCTTTTTCGCGAGATAGATCACCGCCAGAACCCGGAATGGATTACGTCGATTACATCAAGTCCCGCGAAAGACTTGCCGCACTGGAAGCCAACCACATGCCAGACTTCTGGTCGATGAAAAACGTGGACCTCCAAAAAGCGATGAAAGTGCTGAAGTTAGTTGGAAATGGAAACAAGGCATTCATGGTCGACAAGCTGGAGCATCATTTCAGAAAGATGCGCTGGCAACACCAAAAACAGCTTTGGGACCAAGCCCAGAGTTTTATACGTGAGCGACCGGAGCTCATGCTCACCAGCAAGGTCAAAAGTGAGCCCTCCAGAAAGTGCTTCATGGACTTGCCTCCGGAGATCCGGGACATGATCTACGAACTCGCCCTCTTCGACCCTCCTTACATAACACCAAATAGCGTCACTGGACGGGGAGCCGGAGACGATCATCATAGCGCTGGAGTTTTGAAGATCACTGGCAAGATCACTGGCGACGCTGGTCGATTCTCCCCTGTTCGTTCTTGGGATTATACGCTGATGCATCTCGCCGAGCTTCGAGTTGACCGTACCATTTCATTATTGCATGTTGTTGGCGCGTTGAACAAACAAATCCGGCAAGAGGTACAGGGGTTCTTCTGGTCCCATACCAGGGTCCAGCTACAGTTTGGCCAGCCGGGTCCTCTTTTTTTCGGTATCTGTAAGTTCCTCAGGAAGATCGGTCCCCTTGGTAGGAGCTCTCTTGCTGGCTTGAACGTAGATCGAATAGCTACCGACGATCAACACCAGAATTACCGAGCCATGATCAAGCTGCTAGGAGAATGTAAGAAACTGAAAAACCTGACGTTGTATATGCCGATAGGTTCGATGCTAGGCAGTGCCGACCGGAACGCAATTAGGGGCTTCTTCCTACGAGATCAGCCTCTTAACAGTCCCAGTGTGAAAAGTCTTGTGGACGTACTGGGTAAGACGCCAACACTGCGTTCTGTGCAGCTACACATGATATTTTCCATAAATGGAAAGTTCCATTGTTTTGACCACGACGATATGTTTGCCAAATTCGCCTTTTCCGGAGCTCGTGAAGCGCTGCTGGTTCAGGAACTTCGCAAACGTGTCACAGATTGTCCTCGTCATCAAGACGCTCGTTTCGAAGTCATCAGTACCAGGAAAAAGACCCTAGACTATGAGGAATGGAAGAAATTGACTCCCCGAGATTCAGGTATATGGTAAACAAAAACTGTCAGAATGATCGAATAGTCTCGATGAAGACACGCAAGACACTGACATAAGTGAAGGGGCTTTGTCGCGTGGACAAGATTGAAGAAATAGTGCTCATAGATCTCCTTGGGGCGTGACGTACCATAAAACATAAAGTCTTCAATGTCATTGGGCAAATAATCGTGGTGAAATCTGGCTTCTTCGCTGTGACATGTAGCGTGTCTTTGCTGTGCATACGAACAACTCTCAATTATGTTTGAATAGAGAGTGCATCGCAGCACACTCGATAAAAGAAGTGTCGAACGCTAGCTGATATTACTCTATGCATGTGCGGGGTTCCTGTCCTTGGCCGAAGCTGGAGCGGGTGTTGAAGCTTGCCTGGAACGCGACGCGACAGGTGGGGAAGACGCGTTTCGCTTGCCAAGCACACTGCCTGCCTAGCTCTTTCCTATTACACGCCAACAAGTTCTCCTCCTACACTCGACTGCATGTGTATGCAGACAATCTGGGCGATATTTGCGACAAAAAAAAGTGCTTATATATACTGTGCTATAGCACATCTGTACCACCGGCAGCCCGAGACGGCACAGTATAAGCTTATCACGAAGCGCATCACATTTCTCTACACCAGAAACAAAGACTTTGGGTATCATCAAAATACATTAATCTATCATGACTGTCGCAACAACCTCATCAAGTCGTCGCATCGTCTGGACTGCCGCTTCTCTTACTCATATCTAAGACCGTGACCAAACTTGAACACTGGGTTCTCAGTATCAAACGGCACATCCTCCTTGGACGCCTCAACAGCCTCGTCACTCCTCGGCAAATCAAAGGGCAGCATTCCCTCGGGACCACTGCCATCCTTGCCAAAGACTACATCAAGGAACGCATCTGGACTAGTACCAAAGTTCACCATGAGTGCCTGCGCCTGCTCAGCAATCTCAGGGAACGCACCGGGGCGGTCAAGGAAGACGTCGACAATGGTGGGCACGGCGGTGTAGATGGCTGCTTGGCGCGCCTTCTCGGTGCTGTTGTATTCCAGGGAGCCGGAGTGGTAGTTCTTTTCAAAACCGCCGGGGCGGGGCTCGTAAGGCGCAGCCAGGCGGAGGAAGGCGTAGTCTGCTTCTTCAGGTGTAGCGACAACGGTCAAGTCGCGCTTCTCAAGATAAGTAGCGTTGATACCTTCGACGTAGAACTTTGCCTTTGACTTTTCGCAGTCGGAGGCCTTGAGGGGGAGGGTGTGGTCTTTGTTGGTGAGGAGGGTGATGGATTTCTTTTGGGCTTCGAAACCAGCGGCGACCCATTCTGGCTTTCCGACGTTGGCGACGGCTTCGTCGACATCGACGAAGGGGTTGTCGAAGAGGCCGAGGATGAACTTCTCGCGGAGGAGACGGCGGACTGACATGTCGATTCGCTCTTCGCTTATGATGCCCTTCTCCACCAGCTCGAGAACCAGGTCGGTTCGCTGCTCGCCGCCCATCTGGTCGGTGCCGGCGTTGAGAATCTTCTCTGCGCGCTCGAGTTCGGTCAGGTTCTCGGCACCCCAGGCACGAGCGGGCATGTCTTGTCCCGCGATGATGCCATCGGTGATGAGACCCCAGTCACTGACGACGATGCCGTCGAACCCGAGTTCGCCGCGGAGAAGATCGGTGACGATACCCTTATTCATTCCAGCAGCGACCTCTTCGTACTTGGTGCCCATGGGCCTCGAGTAGTACGGCATCATCTGCCTCGCGCCAGCTGCGATGGCCGCCTTGAAGGGAATAAGATGCATTTCGAAGTTGTTTCCGGGATATGTAGCATTCTTGCCGTAGGTGAAATGGCTGTCTTCTCCGTCCTGGACGGGTCCACTTCCGGGAAAGTGCTTGGAGACGGTGGTGACGGAGTCCTTTCCAAATTCACCAGGGCCGTGGAAGCCCTTGATGTAGGAAACGACAAGCTCAGCGGTCAATGTAGCGTTCTCGCCCATCGTGGTGGTGATCCTAGCCCACCTGGGTTCGGTTGCTACATCGATTTGAGGATGCAGCGCAGACCTGATACCGACAGCCTTGTATTCTTGTCGTGCGATATCCGCAAAGGTGTGTACGAGCTCAGCATCACGGATTGCTGCCAAGCCTAAGCTACCTGGCCACTGCGAGAACTTGATCGCCGCAATCTGACTACCAGTGGCATCAACGAATGTGTGTCGAGGATCTGAGGAGAGTGTGATTGGGATACCGAGCCTGGAGTCCAAAGCCAACTGCTGGAGACTGTTGTAATATTGTGCAGTTTGGCGTACATCGGTGATCGCACTGTTAAGGTTGAAATGTGTCATGTGCAACCCTTGGATTGATGATGAACTAGAGTTCGTCACAGTTCCATTGGGACCTGGGAAGGTGATTTGCTGGAAGAGTTGTCCGGCCTTCTCTTCCATGTTCATGCGTTGAATGAGGTCCTCCACACGCTCATCCACCGATAGCGAAGCATCCCGGTATGGTGCGGAGTCCATTTCTGTTGATCGTGATGTCATCCGTGGGTATGTTGAACGACTTGAAACCGGAGTGCGGATGGCTGTTGACATTGCTGTTGCAGCGATGAACAGCGTTGTGAAGGTGTTCAGCTTGCGCTGACTGCGGTTGCGAGCGACCATCTTGCCGGATGTGTGGGTTTAGGCAAAAGGTGGAAGATGGATTCGGATGCTACTGGCCACTCAGTATACGGATGTGTACCAGGTATTTGTACTCTGGCTTCACACACCCCGTTACGATGCTCCGCCATCATGTGCGCCACATCCGAGGGAAAATGAAGTCTTGCGTCTGCTTGGGGAAACTTCGGATGGACCGTTGGCTTGGAACATGTGCTAACTCCAGCCTTCCTCTAGGCTTGGCACAGTCGAGATTGCCATAAGTTGGAGCCGACGATTGCCAAGACGATGCGTGTGGAGTGCAGTGTGGGGAAAACGTGGGTCGGGGTAAAGCCCCCGAAGCTACCACCCCATTTTCCGCCGAATGCTGGTCCGGCAGATTGGTGATTGGATGCACGGCCACGCTACGGATACTAATGACATATAACGAACGGTTCGACACACCCTTTCGAGCTGGTAGTCTAGTTGTCATGTGAGCAAGTGAAAAATTGCGCATGCTGGGGAATGACATGCAACTCCACATCCCGCTATGCTCACTGACTCGATGTCCACAATTCACAGTGCCGGCGGCTTTTGAAAAACGTCCGATACGGGGGTGTGCCGCATGCCGGTCGAGAGATATTGATGTTTTCACGAAAGCAACCATCAATTCAGTATGTGTGCTCTTGATGAATATAGGCTGGGTCGAGGCAGGCGAAGAAGATGCAAGCAGTACCTTCCTTGCCGTAGCTGAATCGTCGGTGAGAAATTCGATGTCGTCGCAATGTCTGGTGCACTGGTCTCGTATCTCGGCCCAATTCCTTGAGCCGTGCTTCCGGTACAATGAGGGTACCAAGGCCACCCCCGCCGTCTCCGCCATCGCAAGGCTAGTTTTGTTAGCACTGTAACTATACCAGCGTACCGCCATTCCATGGCGGAGGTACTCACTGCTTTCCGGTACACATCCGCGCACCACTAGAGCGATTCTAGAACCAGGTGTCTACTCCTGCTAGCTCTTGTATGTCTTGACTCAAACGCTTTCCTGGCGTTCATTTCAACATGTCAGGGAAGACCGATGCAGATTGTACGTCGTCATCTTACACACTGTCCTCTGCCGTGCGCTTTGGTAATTAAAGCTTGTCTTTATGCGGCTGAATGTTAGCTTGGAGGTCGGCGGTGGTGCAAACAGTCGGAACGTTTCTAGTGACGGTATAGGCTTTTGCTTACCTTGTCAGCTGCGCAGTTTTCCATCGTAAGGGAGTAAAGAGTTCCCGTCTCGCACAACAACATCGAGACTTTGATGATGTGAGGCAGTCAGCCTCAGTATATGCACGCGCAAGTACCCACTACTTCGCAGCGTCTGCTCGACTCGCAAGCGTGAACAAACCACACCTCGCACGAATAACGCTCATGCGGCAGGAGCCAACATCGCCAAAGCAACCCCATATGCCATATGCCGCGCGCAATGCCGATGAAATGGTAAAGCGCACTACGTCGGATCGGAAGCGCGTAGCCAGTCCATGCTGGAGAAGAAGCGCTAGGATAGCGCGAGTCCGATGGTCGGTCCAGGCTAAACGCTGCTTGGCAAATGCTTGGAAATTCGGGCCTGGCCCTCGAGACGATGGGCTGGGAGAAAAGAATACATGATGGAGTAGCTGACGAAGACAGAGAGATGATGGAGAAAGGAGTGGAGATGAAGAGATACGACAGGAATGAGAATGACGTGATCGCTGGCATGCTCTGTTGACCTGGCCGCACGCCGCGCCTTTTGCCAGCTAATTGCTTCTCGCCTTGTACCTTTGGCGAGGATCTTGATAAAGACGCCTGTTCTTGAGATGGAGGTGCGCTCTAAGTATAACGACGCGACGTTGTCGAGAAGTCGTCATCTAGTGCTTACCGGTGTGCTGGTCCTGGGGCGTCATTGTGGGGTTAGCGAGCCATAGCAGGAAGGTGCGACGTAAAACAACAAAGACAATTCCGGTCGCGATAATCCCAATGGAAGCATCTCTGAAAGGGATGCATGTTAGTATTCTTAAGTCAACAGGAAAGATTCGGCCAAGTGCAAAGACATTTCGTGTAAGTCCAAGCTGTGGTAGATTCTGTCATCCAAGTAGCAGTAATAGCGCCCCGACAACCACTGTAGTAGAACCAACATCGCAAACCACGTGGGTTTTGTATCCATCATTTCTAGTCTTGTTGTTCCGTGATATATTCGAACAGTTTCGCATCCCACTATGGGTCTGCAACTGACGTAACTCGTCCGTCGCGCACGCTACTCCGTGGTTCGGATGCTCTCTAACACTGGGCCGTAAGGCTTTCCCTTCGCCGGCCCTGGAGCGCAGGTATCATGCCCTACGTCGCTAGGTGATGATGGAATCTGTAGATGCTACAGCCTGTCTCTCTTTCAACCAAATCGTTTGCCATATCCTTTGACCACGCCATCCAGTATAGTGCGCATCCTCTTGCACCCCTCAATACCCACCGCCAACATACTCTCTAACCTCTCCATTCTGACCCTACTCTCCATGACACAAACAGCAACGTTATCGCTCTCTCCCAGTGTTCCGACCGTCAAGAATGGCAACTCTAATTCTTCCTGGTTGTTCAGATCTAACAACGGATCATCCGCACTCGCATTGTCTGCCGCGCTCGCACTTGCCGAACTTGCCGCCGTACAAGCCACAAGATAATCCGTCATTGGTATTCCAGCGTCGATAAGCGCCAGCGTACTCGCGTTGATACACGCCGCTAACAAACTGCCGTCCTGGCTGATGATGTGCACATTCAACGTGATTGTGGAATGCGGGTAAAGGTGCAATAACAGCACACCCCCAAAGGCCTCCCTCAGACAATGCTCCATCTCGCTTGTCCTTTTGTCACTCTTCCTCTTCCTGCGCTCTACACCAGAGAAGCCAGCAAAATTGATCTCGACTTCCACTTTGGCGAGCTTGTCGGCGCCGCCTCGTTGCCCGCTTTGCTTGCCTTCTGCGGGGCCTGTCACGGATACAAGGATCTTGGTGTTGCCCATTTCTAGGTACGAGGAGCCGTCGGCGGCGGCTTGCGTGGAGATTTGCGCGTGGATGCGGCGGAGTTCGTTCCAGCGGCGGCCGTCGAGGCGGAGGAGCGCGAGGGAGTAGGTGCTGGTGTCTAGCGGCATTTTGGCGATGTCGCAGAATGTGGGAGGTACTAATTGTCACGCGACACGAGGTTCGGCTTTAAATTTGGTTTTGGATGTTTGTAAACGTGCAATTGCGCGCGATGATGTAGACGTCAAGGCTCGAGCTCCAGATTTTGGCTGGAAGTTCTTGCAGGGATGCTCTGTTAGTCCCGCCCCGCTTTCACGTGAGAGCGCGTTAGCGCGTTTGCGCAGCTTGGTGGCGCCTTCCGACTTCCCTTTCACTCCCGCCTCACGTGCATTTTTCCATGGCAATCGCCGTGGACCGTGAATGTGCACGAGGATGTGATACAATTTCGGTCAAGCGTTGCTGCCAGTGACTAGCTCAACAACTCCTGGTCGCCTCATCCATCATGTCATCTCGCGATAAGTCCAAGCATCACGAAAGAGCGATCAAAGCCTTTGGCGAGAGCGGGGAGGACGAGGATGACGGTCTTGACATCATCGAAACATCGCGCAAAGATCTGGACCTCTCGCAGTATATTGACGGTCAGTCGATGCCTTGCACACCTTTGACAAGATGCTGATATCTGATAGTCCTCACACAAAGCCAGACCCAGTCGCAGAGGGTAGCTGAAGAATCAACAGACGACGAACAGGACGTGCGAAAGCCTGCGGTGTCACGAAATAGAAAGACATCTACTTCTGGTACTGACGATGCTGATTCAGACGCTGATTTGTTGGCTGATGAATTCGACACTGGTGCTGCCTACAAGCAGTACAAGGGTCGCAGAACTCATAACCGTAAGCGCGTCGCTGCCGAAACCAACAGGATTCGTGCTGCAAAGAAGAGCAAAGCATCAGCTGCATCAAGTATCGTCGGTCGAAAAGCTCCGCCTAAGAAAGACACGGGATATGGTCCGACGGGATTCACCACCGACTCTTTGGGGGATGATGCAGGTCCTATACCTACTTTCCTGGACGACCCGATTCCTGACTATATCATCTCGCGACAGCGGTCACTGAAGAAGTTGCATGAAGCTGGCCTGCGATATCCTCCTAGCTATCGAAAGGTTGATTGGTCTGATATTGCCGACACCGAAGAGAAGCCATTGCTTCACAAGGACATCATGCCGCAACGAGAGAAAAAGGACATCAAACTTCGCCAGTCGCATGGTATCATACCCGGTCCCATCGCTCAGTGGCTGCGCGACTACCAAGTTGAAGGCGTCCAGTTCCTTCATGACAAGTTTGTCAAGCAGACAGGTGCCATACTTGGCGACGATATGGGCTTGGGCAAGACCATCCAAGTCATCGCATTTCTAACAGCAGCGTTCGGTAAAACGGGCACTGAGCGCGATGCAGCCTGTATGCGGAAGATTCGTCGCTTACCCGAAGAACCATGGTATCCGCGAGTAATCATCGTATGTCCGGGTACACTTATGCAAAACTGGGAAGACGAGCTATCAAAGTGGGGTTGGTGGAACGTCTCTCGATACCACGGCTCCAACATAGCCGACCGAAAGGGCGTCCTTGGCGCCGCAGCGAAGGGATCGCTCGAAATCATGATCACGACGTATACAACATACCGCAATCATGAGAGCGAGATTAACATGATCGACTGGGACTGCGTCATCGCTGACGAGTGCCATCAAGTCAAAAGTAAGAATGCTGAGATTACCAAGGCGATGAATAAGATCAATGCGTTGTGTCGTATTGGTCTGACAGGCACGGCTATTCAGAACAAATACGAAGAAATTTGGAACCTCCTCAACTGGGCACGACCTGGTGCATATGGCTCAGCACAAGAGTGGAAACAGAAGATCAGCCTGCCCTTGAAGTTAGGTCAGGCTCACGATGCTACCAATGCGCAGCTGGCCGATTCGCGAAGCAAGGCACAAGACCTGGTTCATAACATCCTACCTAGTGTCTTTCTTCGGCGTATGAAGACGCTTATTGCTGATCAATTACCGAAGAAGAGCGATCGCATCATCTTCTGCCAGCTCACTGAGACCCAGGCTGATGCATACCGAACATTTCTCGAGAGCGACAGGTGTGAGATGATACGCAATGCACGAGAAGAATGCGACTGTGGATCTAAGAAGGGTAGAGGGTATTGCTGTCATGTCGAATTTGAAGGTGAGAAGTGGTCAAATTACATTTTCCCTGCCATGATCACATTCCAGAAACTTGCGAATCACCTCGGTTTGATAGTACCAATGTCGAGCGAAAACCAGGAGAAGCAAGCTAAAGATCTCCAAACACTGGAGATAGCTTGTCCTGACACGTACAAGAAACTCTACGCGATCCGCGACAACATCTTGAGACAATCCCAGCGAGAGTTTTGTGGAAAGTGGAAGGTGTTGCGGCGACTGCTCGACTTCTGGTACTCAAATGGCGATAAAGTCCTCATCTTCTCACACTCGGTTCGCCTATTGAGACTACTCAGGGGTCTTTTCGATGTCGATGGTACAAAGTACAACTTTTCATACCTTGACGGCAGCATGAAGTACGAAGATCGCTCTCAGGCAGTCGCAGATTTTAACGCAGACCCCAATCAATTCGTCTTTCTAATCAGCACCAAGGCGGGAGGCGTTGGTCTGAACATCACCTCTGCCAACAAGGTCGTTGTAATGGATCCACACTGGAACCCAGCATATGACCTTCAAGCCCAAGATCGCGCCTACCGTATCGGCCAAACACGCAATGTCGAGGTCTTTCGCCTAATCTCAAGCGGCACGATCGAAGAAGTAGTCTATGCCCGTCAGATTTACAAACAACAACAAGCCAACATCGGCTACAATGCCTCTGAAGAGCGCCGCTACTTCAAAGGCGTAATGGACCAGTCCACCAAGAAAGGCGAGCTATTCGGTCTAGAAAACCTCTTCACATTCGAAGAACACAGTGTACTTCTCCGCGACATCATGCATAAGACCAACGTTGCAGAGTCAAAAGCCGGTGTCAATGCCTACGACTTCCACGTCGACGAGTCGCAATTTGACAGCGAAGACGAGGACATTCTGAGCAATAAGAATCTGGGCCTCGATGACGACGCTAACATTGCTGGTATCAAGAGGTTTGCCGATTCGTTCTTGGCAAGTGCCAGTGCCAGGGGAAAGAAGGTTGTGAAAAGGAACGGGCCGGATCCGATCAACGCGATCTTAGCGAAAGCTGGCGTGCAGTACACGCATGAAAATTCCGAGGTTATTGGTCGCAGCGAGATGGAAGCGAGGCTGGGCAAACGCGCACAGGAACTGCGCAACGATGTTGATCTGGGTAATGAACGCGTGTTCCAGGGCACGCAGTCGCAATCTCAATCACAACCGCAGCACCACTCTAGCCCTCTCGATGACTCCAATGATCTTGACAATTCCGAGGCTGATGACGACGAAGACGTTCATATCACGGGCAGTGCGACGAAAGGAGAGTTCAAGATCAATTACAGGTACAGACCTAATGAGCAGGTAAGGAAGAGGCAGTTTTGCAGTATGGCTGAGAGTATGGGGTTTGATGACCCGGCAGAGTTTGCGCTACTGGTTGAGAGTAGTAGCCAGGAAGAGAGGAGGAAGATGTTGGAGAGGTTTTATCGCGGAAGGAGGAGGCAAATCATGGGGAACTTGGGTACGTCGAGTTGATGTTTCAGATCTAGATGAGGCAAGTGCCAGATGATGTCGGCAATGTTGAACAAGAACGCCACGTGTGACCATCTGTCGATGTCGAATTGACAATGATGGTACCATGCTTTGGTCAACCTCCAGCAGGGTGTTCTGGCTTATTTATGCTACGTCGCGGGTATGTGGGTGGCTCACGAGTGCTCCAGGGAGATTGTCCATAGAGAACATGATGTGGAAGTGCATGCCTAACGTTTGGTGTACGATACCTGGAGAAGAGGAGAGACTTTGTCAATATATCCCGGAGGTGCAAACAAAGCTAAGCCCAACGGAGCTAACATCGTTGCACAAAGGGTGCAGGAGAAGCGAAGCTGACCGTGAAAGCGAATGCTCACTGTCCCCATGCGATACAGCTTACGAGGAAAAACAGAATGACTCTTCGGGTAATGGAGAAGACGGAACATGACCAAGGAAGACGGACTATGACCAAGACCGCCAATAGGAGAGCAAAGAGATCTAACCAATCCAAATACACATCGCTAAATACACACCGAACAAAAAGCCTGGTATCTTCCTTAGATGCGAAAACCCGTGCCAAGATCCTACATATCCAAGCCCCAATGCTTTCCATCTCCAAGTTGTTCTTCTGACATAGACCGTTTACATCGTATCCATACAACATCATCGTCCCAAATCGTCTTCCCTAAACATCTTCTTTAATCACCGTCTAACCGTATGCGCATAAATATGTGAATGGGCTGAAACAAGATTGCGCGTTGCATCATCATCATCATCGTCTAACAATCCCCCTCCCATCCCTCCACCGCCCATCACTAACCGTCACAAACTTGACATTTCTTCCCCTACTCTTCACACTCTCCACACCCCCAGCCTCAACCCATCTACCCAAGTTTTTGCACTGACTGACATCAAAGCGTTCAAGATCGCGACATCCCTCCACAACAGCTTCCACACCGGTTCCTGTAACGCGAACACAGCCTCGTACACTGAGATTGCGCAACTCGAGAAGATGCAATGAAATACAACGAAGCGACGTATCGGAGACGGCCGAGCCGCAAAAAGCGAGGTTGAGGTGCGTGAGGGAGGGTAGACCGAGGGCGAGGACTTCGGTTGCGGTATCGGAGAGGGCGCAGCAGAATGACTTTATTATCCTCCGTTAGCAAAAACACACACACACACACACACACACACACATTCAATCTGTTTGAAATGTATATAGGATGAGATTCGAGACTTACCAGATCCAGTTCCTTGAGCCCCTTTGCCGCATTCGTAAGATATACAATCGCATTGTCAGTCAGATAGGTGCAATCCGCCAGAACGAGCTTGGTTAACCGTGGAAACGGGTACACACTCCAGTGCTGAAAACCAACGTCTGTGATGGTTGTGCAGCGCGTCAAGTCGATGCTTTCGATGCGATTGGCGGCGTGGACGGCAATGTGCGCCATGCTTCTATCGGTGATGTGTTTGCAGTAGCTCAACGTCAACCTCCTCAACTTCGGGCAGCCGACAACGGTACCAGGTGGTAGCGGTTGCGGGGCAGGTTGGTTTCCCTTTCCTTTCCGGCCGTTGATTTGAGCTTGGTGTTGCGCGTGCGCCATTGCCATCTGCGGTGGCATTTCAGGAACCACCCAACCGATTACACGAGCAAGCAGGTTATCGCCTACTTTTCTGCAGTTGCTGAGGTCGACTTCCTCGAGGCCTTTGGCTTTCTGCACCATTTCTAGGACGGCCGGGCCAGTGATGTCCCATACACTCTTCATGCGCCAGATCCTGACGCTAGGACCGCATGTTTTGGCGAGCTCAGCGAAGCCTTCGTCAGTTACGTGGAAGCAGTTGCTGATGTTGATGTATCGAGGACGGCTGCCCACAAAGGGGCATATTACATCTACTAGCGCTCGGTCCGTGACTTTGCGGTTGTACTTGGTGAGGTCAAGGTCGTGAAGTATGTCCGGTGATTCGGATATTAGCTTGTTCCAATGCGAGGAGATTGCGCGCAACTTCATGAGCTGGTGAATGTCCAGATTTGCGAGAACTTTGACAAGCACTGGATCAGGTAATCTGCCTCTCCCATATATGCTTGGCCTGTTGACAAGCCGAGGGCGCTTGAAGTCAAAGGGCATTTCTGGCGGTGTGGATGCATGCTTCGCTATCGTGAAAGATGGCGACGGGGAAAGGGGAGATCCACCAGGCGATGGGGATTTGGGAAAGTCGGTCTTAGCTGGGCTGGATGGCGAATCGGGCGTTGATCCTGGAGGCGGTGGGGCGAGCGACCCTCTCCTGGATCTCGACCTGACATTGTCGAGGTCGACGTTGAGAAACGGATCAGGATCGAACGGTTCCATCATCTTCTCGTCTCTCCGGGTGGGTGTCACCGGGTTATCGATATCGATTGTGTCATTGAAGGTGACGGTCGGCACGCTCTTCTTGCGTCGTGGTGTTCGTGGTATTATGTGGTCTGCTATTGCCAGGTCGTGGATGTTGGGTGTGCTATTCGCATCGAGCATCTGTACATCATCATCCTTGGCAGTCTGTAACCGCTCTTTGGCAACATTCTCAACTTGCCGACGTACGTCAGGAGTACACTTGTCCCACAGCTGGTTCAACGTGTCGCCACTGATCATCAAACACTCAACGGCCGACACGGAGCGGACCGTAGCCGTGCGGCGTGGCGCAAGCGAGAGACTGACGACTTCGCCAAAGTATTGCCCAGGCTTCAATCGGGCCTTTACCTCCTGAAAATGTTGCTCGCCCGCTGCGATGGATTTCCTACGCCCGGCGTTTGGCGAGGTGTAGCCGTTCTGTTCTGGCATGTTCATGTTGATGACTTCAACTTCGCCCTTGACGATGAAGAAGACATCACGTCCTTGTGTGCCCTGTCGGATTATGTCGGTGAAGGGGTCGAAAGAGCAGGGTTGGGCGCGCATGCCAATGAAGTGTAGGATGTCATCAGGCAGCTCGGAGAAGAGAGGCAGTTCCTTGAGCAGTGGTCTCACGTGTATGCTGCCACTTCCAAAGGCACTATGGGCTATGGCTTCAGCGAGACCCGGGCTAGGAGACTTCCTCTTCTTGAAGGCATTGACCTCGCCCTCGCGCAGAGTGCCACTCTCTGCCATGACTACGTCGCCGTCTTCGCGATCGCGCTTGCCCGTTATCTGGCGCATGGGCATGGCGGGCCGTTTGGCTCCCATCTCCGACTTCTTGCGCTGCAAGATGGCCAGTCGCTCCTGTGCCTCGTGCATGATGGCGACCTCGACCTCGGGAAACGCCGGCAGCTCCTTCATGAGATCTTCCTTATTCAGGCGGACGACAAGGGAGCGCATGTTGGCGATGATGGTGGCGGTGCGGGGAATGTCCATGAGGATGCCGATTTCGCCAAAGAAAGCGCCGGGCTTCAGCTCTGCATATGTGCTCTCTTGGTCCCGCGAGGTCACGCGCACAGCACCGCGGACCAGCCAGTACATGGCCTTGCCCGTCTCGCCTTCGGTGAGAATGGTGTCATGAGGCTGGTACAGCTGGGGCTTGAGATGCAGGCCGACCTGTGTGAGGAACGAGTCCGGGGCGGCTTGGAACAGCGGGAAGGAGCGCAGGCGGTCGAGCAGGTCTAGCGGGAGACCCTGGATAGTCGAGGCGGCCAGCGGGGAGGGTCGTATGGGGCGGGCGGGATTGGAGTCGCTGTCGTATGCGCGCACCATGGCAAAGGGATCAGGCACTGGCACGCCGCCATGAGCCCTCACGGGGCCTCCTCCAGGCCTGTATCTGCGCATCGTCGTCTTGCGGTGCGGCGGCAGCGGCGACACCAGAGGCAAACGTCGCGGAGCGAGGGGCAGGTGGCAGACGGTTGGGCAGGGAGCTCGTGCGTGGTGGGGAAGGGGCGGTGGTGTGGTGGTCGGGCAGTCACCAGCTCATGGTGGTGCGTGTGTATGCGCGGTGCAGCTCCTCGAGTGTAGTTGTGCTGCTCGACGGTTGCTCGGCCAAGGAGCGGGATGCAGACGAAGCGCGGCTTGGGGTAGCACAAGGACTGAGCAATGGTGCAGCTGGGCGGGCAGAGAGCTATGGACAAGGGAGCTCGGGAACCTGCAGTGGGTCCTGGCGCGCTGGCTTCTGTGTAGTGTATAATTTCTTGTGACTGAAGCGTGGTGCTCGGAGAGATGATGGATAGACTGCGGGACGAGGCTTGGTCCCGCAACCAGGTGGATCGGTCTAACCTTCTACTACACTTCTCGAAACAGCACGGACAGCCCTAGCTAACACACCGAGTTGAACCTTGCCTCTGCTCCTCGACAGTCACTTGCGCCATGTTGAACACTTCCACGTCCTCACCGCATCCAAGTGTTCAAAACATGTCCACACCCTCTGGAAGTCTTCTAGAATTTCTTTCCCGGCAAAAAGCATAGACATGTGCCTCGTGTATCGGCTATTATTACGAACGACAGCCCACCACCGCACCGACAATCTACCCCTGGCGCCTCCTGTGAACTCCCACCGTCGCGTGGCCCCTCCCCTTCGCATCAGATCATGTCGCAGACAAGGCACGCCCGTCGCACGTCATTCCCGCAACAAACAATTACACCTCCTGCATGTCATCCATTTTTCCCTTAAAAATTACAAAATCCTACAAAGGTATCGTGTCCCAGGTTGCGCCATCATCACTTCATGCCCGAGCCCGGAAATTTCCACCCAAACAAATATGTCGCGCAAGCCGCACGCCGGTCCCAAAAAGCTCCGCTTAGTCCCACGTAAGCTGTCAGCCAGGCTCCACCGCCATGAAGCATGTTTAGTATCTCCTCCGATCATCGCCCTCATATCTGTCATTGTAGTCGTATCTGCTCCTTCTGTCATCGCTCCTTCTGTCATCACGCTCATATCTGTCGTCTCTCCTGCGATCACTTCTGCGCTTGCTGTCATCCGAGTCGTCGTCCCAATCCCCGTTTCTCTGCTGTTCCTTCTTCCTTTTCCGGTCGTCCCAATGGTCCGCCGCTTCTTTTGCACCAACGCCGCCTATAATGGCTCCGGCAATCGTTGCAACGGTATCGTACTTTTTTCCTTTAGTTGCTCGGTTGCCGGCAAAGCCGCCTACCAAAGCACCGCCGACCGTCGCCAACAGCCGGCTCTTCATGTCGGTTGAGCTATCCCTTTCGCGCGAGTTCGACCGACGACGTCGTGATTTTGATCGGCCCTGTCGCTGGGAGCGTGGCGGAGACCATGATGAGCCTCTTCGTTGGGGTGCTGGCCGCACGCCGCCACCTCCGTAAAGACTTTGTTGACCGTATTCAGACTGGGCTTGTTGCTCATATGGCTGTTACACGTTAGCTTGGAATTTGCATGTCGTTGGACTAGGCGCACTGCTACCTGCATGCCGCGTGTATCACCCGGTCCGTCGCGGCCGCGTGGGACTTTGAATCCTGGCCCTGGTGCAGTGTAGCCGTTCTGCTCGGGCTCACGATATCGGTCGTCTCGCCCATAGCGGTCCTGCCGGGAATCTGGCGCGTACATCTCTGGGTCGGAATTGTAGCCGTTTGCGCTTTCTGGTGCAGTGGAGCGAGACGTGTACCCCTTGTCAGGGTGGTTTCCAGGCTGGTTTTCAGGGTGATTTCGCGGCGGGTACGGCCCGTCTTGTGGTGCTTGACCGTGGGTCTTCTGCAGATACTCCCGCTGTCGTTGTTCCAATTTGCGCTTCTGCTTCGCTGTCCTCGGAATCGCTGGTAGACGGTCGTAGGTTTTGTCAAAATGCCTGTCGGCAAATCGGTCAAGACCCTCGAACCCGAGCTCCTGTTTATCAAGAATCGCAAATCAGCAAGACGCACGCTTGAAGGAGATTTCTGCAGGGCCACGCACCACCATCTCTTCTGCCATATTGACTAGACCCTTGCGGTTGGTCTTTCCGGGGGATCCGTGTCGGTGCTACTTCCGCGGACCGGTTATTCGGATAGCAAAAGTAACGAGTGTGCCTACCTAATGGCTCGCCCAGTTCTTTAACGTTGGATTCCATCTTGGCGGAGACCCCATGATGCCTGTTTTCATGGAATTTGGTATGACGTATGGTGGCGCTAACTAGAAAGAAGCTAGACACATGGCATAGCGCTGTCGCTCATCAGGAACGGCTGTCGGCACGCCGGGGTCTAGATGCGACCATTGCGCAGGGTAAGGCGTTCCTACAGCATTGGCGATGCACCCGTGGAGATCTCATTGGAAAGGTGTGACTGAGTTTACAGGAAAGGCAGTCCATAACTTGATCTTCCCCTGCTACACTACCGCATGTTACACTGAAATGCACATCGCTATAGCACATGCAGCTTGCGCTAGCTTCGCAGAGGAACTTGATCATCTCCAAGCGAAACTCACTTGCCAACTAATCCATCTCCCATCTCGTCTCTCACCCATTGATCAACACGTCTCAGCTCTATCAACTTACGATGCTACCTCGAGTCGAAACGAAGGCGGTCGATATCGGGACCTTACTCCAATACACGTTCACTGACAAGCGCATCGCGGTCGAGGCTGTCCAAATGGCAGCTCCGCAAATTGCCTGTCTATACAACAACACCTTTGAGAGCCTTGACAACAACAAGAGATTGTCTGTCCTAGGTGATGCAGTTCTCGCCAAGGTACTCTGCAGCGCCTGGTTTGAAGCTCGCAGTTCGACTGGTAAGGAACACGCTCCCGTTGAGCGCTGCGGGGTACTGACGATCACAGGGCGAGTGCGTTCTCAAGCGCAATGGACACAATTGCGTAACGAGATGCTGAGCAACGATGCGCTGGCTCGCCGAGGATATCAGACTGGCCTCGACAGATGCGTCATTGTGGCTGATAGCACGCCTGCCGTCTCCCCCAGAATGGTCGCGACAACACTCGAAGCTCTCATTGGCGCAGTCTATCAGGACGGCGGAGATGACGCTGTTAATCGCGTCATGCGTTCACTCGGTTTCTTCGACCACACACTCCTAACGGTAACGTCTCAACCCCCACTCTTCCCATCCTGAGCAGTATAACTCTCTATTGACTGACGTGCAAACTTCTAGATCTCGGCCTAGCTGTCTCAGGACTCTGTCAAACGAGCCAACCCCAAATTCTCTCAACGAAAGGCTGGCGCTTCGTTCTACTTCTCACTGCGTTTTGATCTTCGTAAGAAGATTCGAACGCAAGGAAAAGACCATTACAGGGCGCCTCTTCTTCGCTTTGAAAATTTGGGGATGGCTCGATGAGTGGATTCCAGAGACAGCTGTGCCGCACCCGCTTGGATCTACGAGCCTGCGCTCCTGGAGTCTACTGCGCCTTCATCAACTTGGCTCATCTGTGTGGTTCCTAATGCATGTTACAGAACGTTGATCCGTCGTCAAGCATGTAGGTAGCAGTGTGGCAGCCTCATCACATTGGAACATGATTTGGTGGGAATGAATTAGGTGTAGGAGACACTCAAGAACAACATTCAACATTGTGTGTCTGGGAAAGGTAGTGGTCCAGGAACTGGTGCATTCAACTGCTGCAGCAATAAATCTTCTTCCTCGTGTCACTTTCTCCTCGACTTCAATCTACACTCATTCAGTAGTAAAAGTCGAATTTGAGAACGAATCGCACGTCCGCTTAGGCCATCGAAAACCTCTACGGTCTTGGTTTGTATCGTTTATGTGCGCCGCGAAACACACAGTAGATTGTGCTTGCGCGGCCAATTAGCATTCTAGCTGCGCTGATAGGAACGGATTAGCGCTATCGCCCGATAAGAGAGCTTGCTCTGCGGCACAGCCTAGGTATACCACACCAGGGGAGCTAGTCATGCAGCTCGAGCCGAGCCTCCATCAAACCATCGTGCCTGCTGGTCACGGCTGCATTCGTCTTTCAACGCTTTTCCCTTGGAGCACTTGACACTAGGTATTATGAATTGCAAGACTACTTTTAGGCGCCTACGCTCGCCAGGTGGAATGACTACCTCCGCCAGATATACACACAGGGCGGCATTTCGGCCTACGTTGCCAGCGTTCTCGCTTGCGGACAAGACCGCAGTCATCACGGGTGGCGCCAGAGGCCTAGGATTAGCTATGAGCCGATCGCTTGTTCTAAGCGGTGCCAACCTCGCGATTGTCGACATTCACAGTTGGTCTTCTCCCGACCTTTGGAGCACTTGACCGCTATGTGCTGACCATCGTCACCCTGACTTGTAGAAGCGGAGGCTACTCAACGAGCCATGGAGATCACCCAAGAGTTCCGGCAATTGCACTCGGGAAAGCCGTAAGCAGTCCGAAGGTCTCCCTCTGCGTTTACGCGTTTACGGTTTCCCACAGGGTCCCAAAGATTACAACGCATTACGCTGACGTTGGGAAGAAATCCGAGGTCGATCAGTCAATTCGCGAGGTACTCGGCGCGCATGACGAAATTACGAACCTGGTTACCTGTGCCGGATATTGTCAGAACGTAGAAGCCATCAAGATGACATCTGAAGAGATAAAGACAATGCTCGGCGTCAATCTGGAAGGCACATTCTACTGTGCCACTGAAATTGCTAGATACTTGATGGCGCGCAACAAGCCCGGAAACATGATCTTCATCGGAAGCATCAGCGGCAGCATCGTCAATGTGCCGCAACCACAGGCTATGTATAACTCGAGTAAAGCAGCAGTTCGGCATCTTGCGGCTAGTCTAGCCGTTGAATGGGCGAGCAATGGCATTCGAGTGAACTGCTTGAGCCCCGGCTACATGATCACTGAGCAGGCCATGTGCGTATTCGTGCTGAAGTAAGAGACGATAGCTGACAAGGGAGTAGGAAGGCGCAGATTCTTGTAGATAACCCAGGCCTGAAGGCAGAATGGGAGTCCAAGATCCCACAGGGCCGTATGGGCCCACCTGAAGAATTGATGGGTACGGTAGCATTTTTGGCATCGGATGCCTCTAGTTACATTACTGGACAAGAGATTAAAGTGGATGGAGGTTACACTGTGTGTTAAGATTGAAGTTCACATGGATAGATCTAAAGCGAATATCTCCAACAATGGCCTTCTAACACCCTCTTACCAAAATGTCAGCTTATCCGCGACCCAATCTGTTATCGCAAAAAAAATATTATAGCGGTGAAAGAAACTCCGGTTCTTCTTGCCGAAGATATCTATCAAATGTGTTAGTTCAAGTCGTTGTATCGCCTTCTGTCGCTGAAACTTACACATCGGAATTGTTAACGCACAAATGGCGACCTGCACACTCCCGACGACGACAAACAGGTCTTTGATCCCCCCACCTCCACCTCGCCCACTCCGCCGTCCGGCATCAACAATCCAGTCGAAGCCTTTGAATGTCAAGGCGAAGGAGAATATATTCTTGAAAACGAGGAGGCACGTAAAACCCTCGATGGACATGCCGCCTATACACATCAGTATCTCAACACACAGCACAATCTTGGAGACTTACGATGCGCATCGACAATGTATAGTGCGCTAGCAACAGCACCACAAACCATACCCATCACTACGAGCGCGAAGAAGAAATCAGGCCAGAACCACCCGTACTTGCCCGCATCTGCGCTGGTCCAACCGAAGCCGTAGATACCAGCGCAACCTAGTATGAGTTGTGGGATCACGAGTACCATGCGAAACTCGGGCTCGTATACGCCGTTGTTAAGGCGCGTGAGTAGGTTGGCGGACCAGTCGCTAATCAGGCCGGCGAGGGCAAAGCCGAGGAGTGCACCGATGAAGGCACCTGTATACCTTTACAAGGTTATGGAGTCAGAATATGTACGTACAACATAGAGACGGGGTGGACAAGAGAATAGGAAGAAGGAGGTGAGGAGGAGACTTACATGTATCCTGTTTCCACCTCTCCAAACCAAAGCGGTGGGCCAAGCATGATCGCTGCAAGCACAACACCGATGAGAACCGTGAAGCCGATTAGAGTACCTTGGATGAGACAAGCCCATAGGATACCCGGGTGAAGGAACAGTGAGAAAGGACGTAGAAGGAGGTGCAGATACCGCTCATCTGTTTTCCGTCCATTGAATGGCTTGATACTTTCCAGGAAAGTAGCTTTGCGCGGCGGACCGCCCGTCGATTGCTGGTCTGGAGAATTTTCTGCTCCCTTTTCAACCATGTCTCCAGCTGCGTCGTGTTCAAGCGATGTAGTGTTCGGACCTTTGTTCGCCAGCATTTTCATTTCTTCTCCATCCAGAACCAGCAAGTTCCCCATGGTGTCGATATCGAATTTCTCTTCCCTCCTGAACGCCGTTTCGGGGACGAAAAGTATCATCAAGGGTAGCATGACTCCTGCGAATATGGCGACAAAATAGAAGGTCCACTGGTACCCGATTCGATCTGCAATCACTCCTACCAAGACTGGCGTAAGGAATGCGCCTCCGAAGACGCAGAAGTTTGACAGCGCCATGCGTACTCCGCGCTCGTGGACGTGATACATATCGCCAACGCTAGCTATAGGTCGAGATGCAAAGTTAGCGCAGGCTTGAAGTAGGATTCGAAGACATCCACGCTTCGCGACGATGCTTGGAGTCGTCTCGGCGGAGCGCCATATAGCTGTCGCTCCAATGACGGAGGAACATGAGCATCGTCTTAAGCAAACACGAGATAGGAAACACCAAACGTACCTACACAAGACATTAGCATCCACTCAACTCAAGGACGGAGTCCTCGATCCCTTTCGTTGAAACTCACCATTAACAAGCGCCTCAAAGGGCGCTAACCCCACGCCTTGAAACACCCTCGCCCACAGAAATCCACCATAATGATTTCCTATCGCGCCACCCCACACACAACTCACCACCACCAGCACGTTGCCTAGAAGGTACACATGTCGTTTTCCCCAGATACGCGCTGACGGCACGAAAAGAAAGCCCGCGACCCCGACACCCAAGAGGTGATAGCCGGTTAAAAGGGCCATGTCGGTCAAGTCGCGACCGAAGTAGATGGCGAGGGAGATAGTGTTGGCGGCGAGGATGGGGGAGAGGGTGCTTGCGATGACTGACAAGAGGGACAGAAGAAGGAGAATGGTGTCGCGGCGACGAAGAGACCAGTTCTGTGAACGCATCAGTCAACCTTGTGGACTTACCTAGGGCCTCGTTTCGAGACTGGGAGGTTCAAAGGGACGTACAAGCGGATCATTCGGATCATCACTCGGCTGCGGAACAAGCAGTATTTTCCCAGTTTTATCGTACTTCAGATCTGACCTTCCTGTCCTACTTCCTGCATTTCTTTCTACTTCTCTCCGCTGCTCGCCTTCAAATACCTGCGCGGTCCCAGGGACGCGTTCGAGTGCATGGTCAGCGAGGATGCCGAGACCCATTGTCGCACGAGTTTATGAGCGCCTATATCAACTCAGCTTGATGGTGTGAGGTTTAAGCAGTTACATGATATGTATGCGAAAAGAACAGGATTGGAAGAAAAAGGGAGGGAGGCTGACAGTGAGAGATGCCGGAGGTGTTGGAGGGTCAATAGATCTGGGGTGTGGAGATCTCCCCCCATGGACCGCGGAATCTCAATATGCTTCGGTGGGAGGCAGCCAATGGCAGATAGTGGTGGCGGAGCGCCTTCCGACTAGAGGCCGACAAGGCTTCAAATGTTCAAGACTAAGCCGCACGGGCACCGGATTGGGCACATTATGCGCAAAGACATAGTCATCTTATGGATTATCTACGTCTTCAAGATTTGGGCATTCACATTATATGTGGATAAAGCTAGAGCTATCCAGACCATTTTCTTATGTGAGCATCATATGAACATGGGTATCAGGCTATCTCACGGGCAGGAGGACAAGCGGCTCCTCCACTTCGATTGGGCTCTTATGGATCGCAGCCATCGAGACTCGCAAGGTAATTAGAATTGTGTCTGAAGAGAGACCCCGAAAGAGGAAAGATCTTGAAACAAAGCTCCTCGCAAGCCGTCTTTGCGATTGATGGACCATTTTTGACATAGAGAGAGAGAGAGATGTTATACCCGTGGCAAGATTCAGCAAATGCTGCCTTTATAGTCATCAAGCGTGCTAACGAAGAAGTTTCAAAAAAGTAGGATTATACTAAGGACAAGCCAGGCCATGTCTTTCGCGTGACTAGTCGATTTTTGCGAGAAGAACTCCTCGAGGCACGCCTCGTGAAGCGTTCTAGTCCCCGACGCGTCGGGTGCATGGCTGGAGTTACAGTTCAAGAAGTTGGGTGCTGGACAAGTGTCCAACAGCGTACAGGAATAACCGTTCTTCTCTACAAAGCAGCGAGCAATCCAACCATGGCGACTCCAAGACCGATTCCAGCACCTGCAGTCTGGTAGGGCGCTGCTCCGGTGCTGCCTGCCGCGGATGCTGAAGCGGTCATGGAAGTGCTTCCTGAGGCGGCACTTCCTGAGGAGGTCATGGAGGCGCTTCCTGAAGAGGTCATAGAGGCACTTCCCGAAGAGGTCATGGAAGCGCTAGAGGAGTTGCCCGCAGAAGGCGTTGCGCTGCCAGACGGGCACGAGGGTTGCGTGTTCACATCGACATTCTGGAGGTTGCAAAGTTGGACGGCGAAATTGGTAGTTGCTGTGAAACTTGTTAGCTGGCACAGACTGCGAGATAGCAAGCGACATACTTTGGATATCCGCCTGCGAGCATGTAGCAAACACGCAGCAAGATACATCGTTGATTACACTGCTACCGCAAATGCATGCAATGTCGGCAACACCGCAGCTGCCTAGGTTGCCACCGAAGCATTGTTGCTGTGTTTTCCTTAGCTATCATTCGGTAGTAGTCATTGTCAATTACTCACAGCACATTGCGGGATCTGGTCAAGAAGACCTTGGGCCAGAGCTGTAGAGCTGAATGCAGCGACTGCGGCGATGATGGAGAAGCGCATATTGGCAAACGTTTATTACACGGAAGCGGCTGTAGAATGAGAATAACGAAAGAAATGTGTATTAGACTTCTGAGACAAGATGGAATGAGCGAGGGGAGGCTCGGTTTTTGAAGTTATCCGCGGACTTGTGGCAGCACCCTGAGAGAGACCCAGACTTACAATGGCTGGCTGGATCATCCTTAGCTTCTAGTTGATTGGCTGCTCGTTCCACCATTCGACCTCCGGATTGGCAGGGCTGTCAACATTCAAGCCCATCTAGTGTGCACGTCCCCATAAAGGGCCCGTGTCACCCCCCAGATAGCAATTAAGTTGTCGATCGGCTTACTGGCTGACAAGTCTCCTGATTGGTAGTGGCGTACGCGAAAGCGGCGTGAAGAAACAACCCGCTACATGTTGTTTATAACCGAGAACGGTCCGTTTAAACACAAGTTAATAGCGCGTCGTCAAGTGTAAGACTATGCAACAAAGTGATGTTAGGGAAGATGATCACTCGAGGACCGCAGGATGCGACAAAGTCTAGTCACCCTCGCAGAATAATGTGAAACCGCGTAGATCACCCCGCCACGTGTAACGCGAACTTTAAATGTCTACTTGTACTTTCCACTCCTTCTGCGCCACCAATATTTTATAGCATTCAATAAAGATGTACCGAACTGCACGCCGAGAACCTAGGCACTGCAAGGGCACCTGATTACCGGAAGCCCGCAAGTCAACACTTCGTGAGCTGAACGAGGGGGACAGAGCGTTCGCCGCAGAAGCTTAAATCGCCGACAACCTCTCCTGCAAGAACTGCCTTCAATATTTCAGTCACGAATGCGTTAACAAATGGATAATAGCGAGGGCGACGCAGCACATTTAAAAGGTTGCCCAGAATCTCAACAGCAACAGCAAAACCATGAGCCCTTGATGCTAGCAAAACCGGCCTGGGCAAGGCTTGGAGGCCGAAGCTTTCGGAGAAATAGAAGATGGCCATAATTAAGATTGCGATTGAAGATCATAACCATCGCGAAAGGGAGAGCAAAACACACGGCAGACTGTGCTTGCGCTGTGAATTGGCATACCAGTTGCGCTGGTGAGAATGGATCGGTGGGGCGACCGTGCCATGCAAGGAACCAATGAAATTGCTTCGGACACCGGCGTCTGACATTTTTCGAACACCAAAGCCTTGCGTTTCACGCACGAACAATCTTACCGGCTGTTCGGTCGTCCACACTTCTGATATCCCCACGCATCTCAGTGATGGGAGGTTTCGCGAAGAAAGCCTCGCAAGCAGGCAGTAAGGCAGTGTTGCGAAAGCAGTCCGCAAAGAAATGGCACCAACGCCTCGCTGCCTACGCAGCGTCAAGTCCCACTACAACCACGGCACCACGCCGAGTGACACGGAACCATGGTACCCCAGACGACCCCGAGCGAGATAAGACCGAAGTCATCTAACCAGACCGTTCACCAGAGGACAAACCGACGACCTTTGCCCTACAAACCAGGCTTCCAGAAGACCCAAAGGTACAATCTCCGCTTTTACCGTCGATTTGTTCGCTTGGCCCACCCATACCCAAAGCGATCATCAACACTGCGACAAAGAATATGCTCAGTTCCGGTGGCAGAATTGACCTAAGCATTGCCGGCGTTGAGTCCGCTATTGGCTGGGTTTTCACGAAGTCACCCTGCACTACAGCATTGCAGATGCAGGCAAAATACGGCATTACGCTCGCTTTTGGCGCCTTCGACCATTTTGTCAAACACAATGAGTTGTTTGAACAAATGGGTGTTTGCATTCTCAATATGGCATTATTCAAGAAGTGACTCCAGGTTCGAAAGAGCATATAGATGCATGAAGCGATCTTGCGTGTTCTGTACTGACTAGTATGAACAGTTCAGGATAGAATTTAATACCTACAGGCGGAAATGGTGGTTTTATCCTTCTATTCTTGCGAAAGAAGGCTTCCCGCCTGGCCTGGTTGATGAAATCCCAATGGTTGACGGCCTTATCGAGCGCACGGAAATGATCAGTGGTCATGTCTTCAAGAACAAGCTGCTATGTGCAGAAGCCTTGCAGATAAAGCCACCCGATTGCCTCTTTCGCGTCGCGGGTGCTGTCCATCGCGTCGATAAGAACCAGGCTCTCTCGTTAGTCGGAGACGCTGCCATGTACGCAGTATTGGCCAAGATGTTTTACCAGGCGCGTGACTACCGCGGTAATCTCACACTGTATCTTCCAACCTGTCCCAACACTGATGATCGTAGGCAAGCGTCACACCCTTTTGTCTTGGAATAATATGAAGCCTGATTTGGTCAGCAATATGAAACTCGCTGATCGTGGCTTCAGCCTCGGGCTGGATCGAGTCATAATCAGCAGCCACGCAGGATCGGCCAGGGAGTCTCCAAACACGGTGGCAGATGTCTTCGAGGCCATTATTGGAGCCATCTACATGGACGCCGAAAATAATTCAAGTGAGGCTGTTACCCACGCACTTCAGCACATGGGGTTCTTCGACCACCCCTTATTCGCCGGAACATCCGTTGTCCAGCCCATACTACCATCCTTGCCTGATTCTTCTCGATATTTGTTTCGTAAGATTGGCAACACTGTGCCAGAGAAGACGAGCAAGCCCAGAGGCTCTCTGGATAGTTCCAAGGATAAGGATAATCTTGAATCCTCCCGTAGGGAAGTTTTAGAAAGTACACTGAAAAGACCAGATAATATATATGATCAAAGCGAAGGGTCAAGGAAAGCTATTCGAGATGAGCTACATGGAGGAAGCCAGCCACAACAGACTCAGCAAACACTACAAAGTCGTTCAAGCCATGAGGATGTGCGCAGGGAGACGTACCGCGATGCCGGCATTGGGAACATCGTCACAGTCACAACGACCACGACCACGACCACGACAACAACCACTACAACCCGCCCAGGCGGTACTACCACCGTAGAGCAGCCTCCGCAAGAAGGTACTCGAAAGCTCCATTGAGAGCTAATCGAATCACTCGCTTTCATCTTCCATTACCATCTAGAACCCGGATGTCTTTAATATACATTGAAAGCGCCACCTGTTTCGACGAGAGTTCAAAAGAGCTCTAGGGCCACTTCTTGCGAACCACGCCGATGTTCTGTTTGCCGCTTGTCCCTAGATCTTTAAGCTTATCAGTTGGTCATGGCCGTACCTCCTTGTGCTACATCACAAACCCTAGGGTTGCACCGTGGGAGAGGCTTTTTGTTCTGATGTCATGATGTGCATATTGGATGCTTGCGTCCATCACACTTGGTATACACAAATCATCTTTTACCCCAATGTTGTTGTTCTCCTCATCATTGCCATCGAGTTCTTTGCGTCTGCCATATTGCTAGATGTTGAGTACCTTTGCATGTATGTTTTGTATGTATATCGAAGCTACACACTAACATATACGAATATCATCAAGAGAAGGTATTTGGGTCTAATATCGATGTCTCTCAATAGTGAAAAGGGTTCTGATGCATTGCAAAACATATGGATGACTCCTCATTAGTAGAACAACACAGTATCATGGAAATAAGCTTATGAGGTGGATAGCAACAGCAGCATGACTTTGCGGCCGTGTTCGCCATCGATGCGACATGGGTGCTCAGTCTCTCTTGCATTCACCTCAACGGAGCGCCAATTCGTCAACGATTTCACGTTATGAAATCGATGCGACGTGATGGTTTCACCACAACGTTCCACTACCCACCCAGAGATACTTCACAATGTCGCGTAACTTCTCAGCACTTAACGATTTGCTTCCAGACTCGTACGGCAGCACCGCCTATGGCAACCATGCCAAACATGCGACCGGAACAGCAACAATACACAACCAACTACGATATGTCTCAACACACTCAGGATCCAAGCCGTCTTGCGAAGGTTCACGATCTAAATGTAGACACATTGTGTAATACTGTCTACCTGGAGGAGAGTGATGTTGGGATGGAAAATGCGCTCCTGGGTAAAGACGATTCCAATACCCTAGTTGCAACTGTACACGCGCAGGATGCTATACTGGATGGCTTTGATCCCGACAACATAGACTACGAGACCATCAACGCTGACATATCATGCTCTGCAGGCATAAAGTATGTACTCGAAGACCGAGATATCATGGCGCAAGAGCGACAGCCGGATTCTCAGCAAAAGCATGATTCACATAACCAAGCACAGTTGCCGTATCCGAATCGCATAGTTGATGCCCGTTCGCAAGATTCTTGTTCCGCTGATATCGCTAGAATCTCCCAACCTGGTCAACAGTGGCCTCCAGGGTCTCACCCGCCACAAACACCTCTGGGCATCTTACAACGATCGTATGCGTCACCACAGCCCGTGCAGCTGTCTCATGCTCAGGCACAAACACCGTGGTTGCAGCACGATTCAGTGCCAAGGGGTCGACACGTGCAGCATATAAACCAGCTGCAGTACGCCGCACATCAATACACAACGTCGCTTTTATCAGAGACAGCTTCCACAGAACCACTGGGTGGGCTTTACTATCATAGTCCAGGAGTTTATTCAGCACTCCCATCGTCCGTAATGGCTACCAAAATGAAGGTTTTCAAGAAGTCAAGTGGCGATAGGACGCAGAAGGAGCCAGCTGCAACACGAAAAGCACAATCTCCTGCTCAAGCACAAGTATCGGCACAAACGACTCAACCCGTCGCCGCGGCTGTACCGTCAGCCATGGGATTCGAAAGCTTTGCGGAGGCTAAGCAAGCGGCAGCCACCCGCGTGATTCTCCACAACTATACTCCCCCAGTCAACGACTCTAGCTTACCTAAGGATGACGATGATGCAACCCGCAAGGTCTACATTCGTCGAATGTACGACGCCTACGTCGACATAACCCAATGCATCGACCGCGCCACCGTTGCCAACTTCGATTCGCACTTCGCCACTCTCTCATCTAATCCGCCTACGTCCCCTATCACACCTGTCATGATCTCTACCATCTGTTGGCATCTACTCACCATCGCTATCGATCTTCATACTCGCGGTCCTGTGTCTCTCAACATCTATGACCCATCAAAGCTCAAGAACGTGTACACGTACCGGAACTTGACGTTCAAAGCGCGTATCGACGCGGTGTGTGAGCTGTTGAAGACGAGCAAGGCTAGATGTGCGAGTCTAATTAAACTTGATGGTTTGGAGATGGTTGTTGCGAATGCGCCCATGTTGTGTAGACAAACGAAGACTAATCATTATTCGAATGGCCATAGACAAGGTTACCTGGCTACTGGGAATGATGCTGTCGCTGGCAAGAAGAGAGATGCTTCGGAGATGGACAGCGATGAAGCGGAGAAGACTGATGCTCGCGAGTCGGACGAGTAGTAGGCAGTAGATTGATGGACAGGATGAGTGTGGTGTGGTAGTTCCTTTCGAATCTAGTATGTTCATATGTTCGTAGTGAATGATATGACCCCTTTCTTCTTACAATGAAACTGTTCGTTCTTTGCGCAGCTACGTTTCTTGCATACTGATGTCCGTCCTCCATCATGAGTTTATTGATGGCCCGATCTTCTAGGATAAGAGCGGCATGCACAGTTGTGGCGATGGATGCAATACTGTGTATACTTGCTTATTTGGCAACCTGGTTCATATGGAATGCTGAGGCAAATGTTTGTGATGGGGAAGGAACGATGTTTCCGGTCCGATCTGCGAACAACGTCATCAACAAGTCGCGTGTGGCACGTGCTTCTCGTTAGCACCCGCACCTTCTGTCTGCGACGTCCAGAGCTCTATCTATCTCTAGTGCTATGTAACCACCGAATATCAAACTGAGATTATTAACCTGCACCGTTATCGTGCGCGATGTCTTACCTCGATCGAGACGACTTGGTTCATTATACGACCATGAAACCTCACCAGCACCGCTGATGCTAGTTTCGCACGTGTCTAATGTTCTGGGGGTGACAATAGTGCTGCGAATTCACAGCTCGAGGTTGGTGAAATCGCAATAGGTTTCACTCTTCTACTTCGATCGACTGCGTGATGGTTCCTTCTGCCGTTGTTCTGGAGAGTGCACTCACAGCACTTCTTGTATTATTAAAACGATCCTCCACTTTCTGGTTTAGATATCGTCGCCATTCATCGCTCAAAAACGCAACTCAGCCCTAGTCAACAGTATCACCGTACCTGACAAGAACATACCTACAGCTCTGAGAATGGTATACCCAGAACAGTGGCAGCAACAGGATGAATGGGCCCGTCAGTATGCACACCAGGTATTTCCAGAACAGCAGCAGCAGCAGCAGCAGCAGCGTTCACAGCAACAGCACAGTGCATTCACTTATCAACATCCGCCTCAAATATTCCTAGTACAACAAACGCAACAGCAGCAAAATGCATGGGGTCACCATCTTGCTCCAAGCCCTCCTCACAATACGGGAACAAGCGCCGCGTGGGCTCGTCAGTACGCACCACATGTGATTCCAGAGCAGCAACGGCAGAACCCTTGGAGTCATCAGTGTGCACCACATGTATCCACAGAGCAGCAGCAGCAACCACGTGCAGTATATGGTTCGTATGCACAACAGCCCTCTCCCAACATGGGTATAAATACACCTACCCCCAGTCCAGCGACCTATAGCAACGACCACTTCTACGGAGAAGGCTATCTCAACTTGGGTCAACATAGCTACTACAACGGTCAGACTGTACCAACTATGCCCGCAACGTTCGCACCTCAACTACAAAACAACGTTACTCAGCGAAACTTCATCGCAGCACCACCTCCTGATCAAGGCTTAACAGCCCCTGCACTTGACCCTCACCCGTCCGACATAGTCAATTCCCTCAGTCAAGCAATGAATCAAACGCCGCCGCAGGACTGGCACTGTCCCAAAGATGATGCGACGCTTCCAGCAACAGACGAGGACCGTGAGCGGTGGGTTCAAATGCTTCTCAACGCCATGAACAATCTCGATGGTATCGAAGGTAACCAAGGCCGAAAGAACCAAAACTCGTTGCAGAAGCGTTGGCGTGGGCCTCTAACAGGGCCTGATTACTACCTGCCTGTAGACAAGTTGATCCTCTGTTGGACAATCGAAGATCTGGCAGAGCGTTTGCACCGCTTAGGACCTTCCGTATTCCATTCGTTCGACGCCAATTTCTGGCACCAGGCTGCAAAAACACGTAACTGGACTTTTGAGGATCGTATGACGTGGATCATAGAATTGCTTAGGGTGTCGAAGACCAGATGCGATAGCTTGTTGGGTGGTAGCGGTTTGCAGGGTATTGTCGCCAACCCAGCTGAGAAACTTGATGTTACCAGAGCACAGGCAAAACAGAACGAGAAGCGTGGTGAGACTCTGAAACTTGGCCGCGCGATCAAGAAGCAGAAGACTGATCGAGTAACTTAGAGGCAGAAGGAGGGCGAATGGTGGCATCACCACGGTAGTATCCATTGGGAGAACGTAGGCTTCTGCTCAAATCATAACTCGGTGGTCGCGTAGTTGATTGATCATGTCTGACACAATGGGCTAATTCTGTGAGTAGTGGACTTATCCTTCGGTGACCATTCTCTACGTCGTAGCGATTAATGAACACCTTTCCTCTTTGAAAGTACGCCAGTGAAGTAGATCCAGTCGTGATCTCAACAGACGGGCATTGTCGAAGTGATTCTCACGCCACCATTGGAAGTCTATACTCAATCGCGGTCATAAAGTCATCATACACTGTTCAAAACGTCCAGCTCCTCCATCAAAACCCCGTTTCCACGACGCCAACGCTTGTCTTGCCCGTATCAGTCTAAAAGATATCGCCCAGAAGAAATGTTCCCGGAACGCACCCAAGGGGTAATTCAGCGATCCGCATCCGCATCCGCATAGGCGCATGGATTCGCGGCCGCGGTTAGAAGTAGTTGCCACATCCAAAACTGAGCCGCATATGCAGGGCCAGCAGCTACCGGGTGGAATCGCAAGACGTGTGATTGGTGTCGCTGTAAAGTCCGCGTTCGGCATTTTCGCCTTCCCCATACCCCGGTTGCGCCTAGATTCTTGGTGAGCTAGAGTGCTAGAAACCATGCGAAAGTGGGTTATCAATTGTAGCGCAAAAGCATCCAGCCGTTTCAGAACCAGCCACACCCTTATCTTTTCAGCAACTTGGCGAATGTAGGTCCTCCGGTGAAGATGGGTTCGTGGCTTGCATCCGTTCAAGCACTGTAAATCTTCCCGCTAGGGTAGTGGTAGCTCATACCAGATTCAACTATTGCGAAGGATGATTTCAGGCACAACCTCGGCGTGTGCAGCCAAGGACTCGGGACTGAAACCACATGTCGTGAAGAAACAAGGCCACGATACCTCCACGGGCGCACGCCTTACCTCAGGCCACAAGTGTGGATACGATATTATGCAATTATTATCACACCCAAGAGTACTCACGAGTAAGTGTCCTCCGGTCGGCGTTTGAAATCGGAGTCTTGGTGGTGTGTAGGATTTAGCGAGGGACACGGGGGCGCGCCCTCCCTCATCCAAACGTTATCGCCCTTGCCGTCCCCACATTCATCAACCATTCATCCAATCCTTACCGTTCCCCAGTCCAAATCTGGTCTTTTCGCGCACCGGCAGGGATAGGTCAGGTCATTTTAACAGACAGACTTATACCGCCAAGGCCTCTTTGTCTCCGCTCACTTTCACAGTGTTGTGCAGGCTTGCTTTTCACCCAGCCGCGTGCGCGAAACACTCCGCCAACCCTAGGGACCGCAAGCCGAACCATCGGGCCTTGCACCAATAATTAGTCTGCTGATAACGCAAAAGCATCCCCAGATCAACAGGTCGACCGTATCTATTTTTGATGATTGTAAGCAATAGCTGATGTTGTGCGCTAGGACGTTGTCACACGTCGCGATGAACAAAGGATGGGTGTCGAAAGAAGCCCACTCAAGGAAGCTCGGCTGACGATGAAGAATCTTGGCTATCGTATGTGCCGTCTTCCCTCTTGGCTTACAACGAGGCGACAAAAGCTTCGGTAGCCGCGGCGGCATAACTCTTCACTGCGGGGTCAGTCGCCAAGTTTTGTGGCTGCTTCACTGGCTTGAAGCTTCTTTGCGAGCAAGTCGCGCGAGAAGCTTCTCCAGCGCTTACCGGAGCTTGGTCGGACACAAGCAAAGAACGGTTTTCGGTGTTACTACACACCAACGCGTTCATGGTGGTGTGGTTGCACAGATATGTGGTTGGAAAGTTACCACGTTGCGGGAATTTCGAAAAGCACACCCCGTGGGGAAGATGTCAACGGCGTCGTAGGATCGTCACACCCACTTCTTTCCTCCGCTCTGAGAGAACGCACTGATACGTCCGATCCGACCCCGGAACATGTTCTGTTTTGTCACTTGCGCTTTTGCGCTAGGATGGCCCACCGGAATGCTTAGTGTAAATTAGTGACCTTGGCATGCTGGAGATGGTTACATCCACTGCGCATCCATCCAACAACGACTGCATGGACGGACTTGGCAGGCTTGGCCCGCATCAAGACTCAGCGGGTGACTGCTATGGGCGTTTGTAGTATCGTTACGAGGCGACTCGATCAGCCAGAAGCAAACGCAGGTATATATATGGCTGCCCCGTCTCCGATCTTGGAATCAGCAGTGTGATCGGACTTGCGCCTACATCTTCAGGGCAGTCTACTTATCTTCTCATTGCCTTCAAGCTCGACTCAAGGTCTCTCCAACACCATGTCAAGCACCAACCGCCCCGCGGACCCATTGGCAAAGGGTATCATCCCTACCGCCAAACAGGGTCTCAAGGACTTGTTCACCTGGGACCAACGTGTAGTTGTTCGCAATGACTACGGAGAGGAGCACTGCGAGTGGCAGAAGCCAGAGCCTCTCAAGAACCCTATCAGTCTGTTCGCTCAGCTTGGATGGAAGGATTGGCTATACTTCCTCGTCGGTTTCCTCGCATGGACTGCCGATGCCTTCGACTTCCACGCCTTGTCGATCCAGACAACCAAGCTTGCCGACTACTACGACACATCCAACACTGCCATATCAACTGCTATTACCCTAACACTGCTTCTCCGCTCTGTCGGTGCTGCTATGTTCGGTGTAGCTGGTGACAAGTTTGGTCGCAAGTGGCCCATGGTTCTCAACATGATCATCTTGGGTCTTCTCCAGGTTGCTACAATTTACGCTGGTACCTTCCAGCAATTTTTGGCCGTCAGGAGTCTTTTCGGTCTCTTCATGGGAGGTGTTTACGGAAACGCCATCTCCATGGCACTTGAGAACTGCCCGTAAGTGAACTTCACTTCCGTGATTGGGTCGCAAATACTAACATCTGTAGTGTCAACGCTCGTGGTCTCATGAGTGGTATCTTGCAGCAAGGTTACTCATTCGGTTACGTCCTTGCCGCGTGCGCCAATTTGGGTGTCGGTGGCGCAACAAACACCTGGAAGACGGTGTTCTGGGTCGGTGCCGGTTTCTCTATCGCAGTTGGTTTCATCCGTGTCCTCTTCCCTGAGTCGAAGCAGTTCCTTGAGGCGAAGAAGGCCGGTCACCGAAAGGCGCCTGGTGCTTTCTGGGCCGAGACAAAGCAAATGCTTCGCAAGGAGTGGAAGATGTGTGTCTACTGCATCATCCTCATGACTTGGGTAAGTTTAGCCATTGATTCCTGTACGCAAGATCGATTGTTAACATTAAATTAGTTCAACTACTACTCCCACACTAGCCAGGACAGCTACACCACCTTCATGAAGGAGCAGAAGCATCTCAGCCCCGCCGGTGCCACTCGCGCCTCTATTCTCATGAAGACTGGTGCCTGTGTTGGCGGTACTATCCTCGGATACACTTCGCAATGGTTCGGTCGTCGCCGCATGATCGTCTGCGCTGCTCTCATCTCCGGCTGCCTTATCCCTGCCTGGATTCTCCCCACTACCGAGGGTGGTTTGTCCGCATCTGGTTTCATGATCCAGTTCTTCGTCCAGGGTGCCTGGGGAGTCATTCCCATTCACTTGAGCGAGCTGTCCCCACCTGCTTTCCGTTCTTCCTTCGTCGGTATCACCTACCAACTCGGAAACATGATTTCCTCGCCCTCTGCTCAGATCGTCAACGCCGTCGCTGAAGCCACTATGATCAACACTGCAAAGGGTGAGCAGTCGCCCGCTTACGGACCAGTCATGGGTGTTGCTACTGCGATCATCGCTATCGGTATTGCAGTTACCACTGCTATTGGTCCTGAGAAGAAGGGTCGTCACTTCGAGGAGGCTGGTCCTATCGGTGCCAACATTGAGCCTGTTAAGGACATTGAGTCCGGCAGCATTCACAGCGAGAAGGACGGTGCTAAGGCGGTTGAAGTCATTGACGGCTCCAACCACAACGAGAAGGCTTGAGCGTAATGCTCGCCTGGGTCTTGTCTGCAGTGCACAAAGTTTGTGCGCGGCGCGAGCCGTTGGGTTGAACCCAAAATGATGATACCACACAGGTAACTGCGACCATGAGATATGATGAATGAATACAAACATTAAACAATAAACCTTTCCCACTTCCCCAAGCTTTCCTTGTGATGTCAATAACGATCATGTATCACCTTCCAATGACACAGATCACGTCCAGCTTGTTTCAGGTCACATGCCATCCCTTCTGCATACTCCGCGCACTCCACAAAATCACGGAGCAGAGCCTCATAAAGCTCAGAATCTCCACACACCCACACACACTCTCATTCTCTCCGCACGTGCTCATACCAAGATCACCAAGATCGCCCAGATCCGACTACTGCAATTGGGTGGACATTGGATGCCTTGTTTGAAGCGCGAGTCATGTCGGAATAGCAATGGTCCGATCGTTGCATATGCCTGACTGGGTATACCGAAGGATGGGTGGGGCGCGACTGCGAGTGCGAGGATAAGGTGATGGGTGGCAGGGTGTCATGTAAACTTACCGGTGCCATATATCATTTGTGTTTGGTAGCGAGGGCTTTGACGTTTGAAAAGGTGGTAGGTTTCGGTACGCATCAGTGGTGCGGCGGTCTAGCCGATGCTGGATTGATTCTGCTCGAGCCACACTGCGCCGCACAATGGCTTAGTAGCGCGGCTAGTACGCATTGTCTGCGACCAGAAGCCCGTGCCCAAGAAGTCAACACTCACGTCTGCTTTGGTCCAGTGTAACTCCGTTCCATCGCGCACACAATTACACATTGATCTCAATGACGGCGCTTAATAAAATGACCGACCGAAAACGCGTCGTAAGGCATGCCGACGAGAGGATGAAGCTCCAGCTGAAGCAATTGCGACCGCTTCTCAGCTTGGTTTGTGACACGCGAAAACACATCCTACTTGGGAACTGGGAGGCAATGTATCTTTCCAATCATCAACGTGCAGGTTGGCTTGCAGGCGAGGCAGAAACACACTCAGCTGTGCTGTGGTAAGTGACGTCTGTGTTGTTGCGGCATGCAGCCAGTGAGCGGAGCGCGCGTTCTTACGCATCATGCAGTCGCGGGGTCAGGCAGATTCAGCCTCCAACACATGCGCACAGCTTGCGGAGCACAGCCTCTTTCCATAAACTGGTTGAGGTTGCAACTCACCTATCCATGAATCTGTGTAATTGTCTTTTTAATAGGCACTCATTCTAGGCAGCGCTGATCTGGGCCGTTTGACCGTGCCGAAGCATTCAGACTCACTCAAAAGGACACTGAAGGTAGACGTACAGAGCTCCCATCTCGCCAGTGTGCTAATACAGAATAAAGCGTTGGTCAATATTCCGGTCATCGTTCGAAGACACATGAAAACTCTCACATGGAGGTCGCCGGTGTTGTCATTGGTGCTCTTGCACTCGTTGGCGTCTTCGAGGATTGCGTGACGCTCTTCTCACAATTCGGCGCGGCGAAAACCTTCGAGACGGATTACGTATTGCTCGCAACAAGGCTCGATCTCCAAAAGGCGTTGCTGCTACAATGGGCGGAACGGATGAGAATCTACGATGAAGAGCTCTGTGACCCACGACTGGACGATCCCAACATTGGATCTGTCATCTACAAAACTCTTGACTGTATTCGCAAGCTTCTGCAAGACGGCAGTGCTCTACAAGACCTCTACGGCGTTAGGTTAGCGCGTATGGAAGAAAGAACTGAATCCTCAGGGGCTGCCAGTAGTGGACTAATGTCGCGTCTACGCCATAACCCTCTGGCTCTCCGGCTTCGGCGTGCTGTTGTGGGCGTTCCGATTGATCAGAGCAGAAGTTTACATGAATCTTCAGGCGGCCATTGTAGTGCCAAGCGTCCTCGACCTGACATTGGACCATCTCCACCCCATCAGGAAGCAATGGAGCAACAACGCACAGAAAACAGCGCCGGTAATAAGCGACTTCGACGCGGCTCCCTTACTTCTGAGTCTCATGGTTTCGATCAGCTGCCAATCGACAACCGCAAAGGCAGACCTTTTAACCTCAACAAAATTAAATGGATCATCAGAGACAAACAGAATTTCCAAAGCCTCGTTCGAAAAGTGTCGGAAATGATATCGGATATCGAAAGATTAGTGCCTCCTCAAGAAGATGCATATTCCAAACATACCATCTTGGAGCACGATCTTCAGGCGTTGGAAAGCATAGCAGAGCTTAAAAGGATCATGCATGCTTCCGCGGCTGATAATAGCGAGTTTACCAGCGTTGCCGAACGGGTTCTCTACACTCGACTGATCCTGAAACGTCTCTGGTTCCGCTTGATCGACGATAGAAAACACAATATCGCTGATGCTCACTCTAAAACATACGAGTGGTCTCTCAATCCCCCCACTTCTAGGGTCGTTTGGGATGACTTGGGTCAGTGGCTACGATCCGGACGTGACATCTACTGGATACATGGCAAGCCGGGTAGCGGAAAATCCACACTAATGGTATGTAAACCTTGCGCATAAGCTGTACGTGAGAACGGCATTGACTCTTGTAACTCAACATCTAGAAGTTCCTTTATCAACACCCCAAGGTCATGTCTCTTTTGCGAGAATGGGCAGGAAACAGAAAACTGACCGTGGCCTCATTCTTTTTGTGGAATATAGGGACTACTGAACAAAGCTCACAGGAAGGACTTGCTCGAGGATTGTTGTACCATGTCCTTTCGGAGAATCAGAAACTGACCCCTGTGATACTCCCTAACATGTGGCAGGAAGCGCAGAAAGGTATTGAAGACTTGAGCCTTCCATCTAAAAGTGAGATAAAGCTGGCTTTCCAGCAACTCGGTCTCAGAGCAACTACTGGAGCCTTTACTTTCTTCATCGACGGCCTCGACGAGTTTACTGGCAATCACCGCGACGGTAGATTATTCATCCAAAGCCTTGTTGCTGGCACCAATATCAAGTTACTGGTATCAAGCAGACCCATCGATACATTCGTCGCAGCCTTCTCCTCGGCCCCTAAGCTCCGGCTCCAGGATCTCACAAAGCCTGATATCGAACTTTACGTCACCGATCTTTTGCAATCACATCCCTATGTGACCGTGGACAAGTGTTTGAGCGTCGAAACCGTCCAAAGGCTGGCAGAAGACATACAAAGCAAAGCTAGTGGCGTATTTCTATGGGTCGTGCTTGCATGCCGCTCGCTGATAGAAGGCTTTGAGGCATATGACAACGCGGAAGAGCTCCAGTGGCGCGTCGAAGACTTGCCACCAGAACTGGAAGATCTTTTCCGCCACATACTCAGCAGCCTTCCTTCTCAATCCCTTCAACAAGCTGCTAAGCTCTTGCGAATATGTTATACGAGACACCTCCTGCAGTATCAGGACGAGATAATGGCCTTTCCGCTAGCTTGGGCTCACGAACAAGATATGAAGGTGCACGCCTTCGGGAGATTTCTTCCGTTGTCACGTAGTGCACAGAGCGCAAAATGCGCAATGCTAGAGGGTCGTTTGCGAAGCCGGTGTAGGGGACTCTTGGAGATGAACCTTCACCATCCCTCTAAAAGTCGCATGGTGGTGGACTTCATGCATCGTACGGTATTCGAGTTTCTTGGCACCCCAGGTGTCTGGGAAATGGACTGCTTACAGATCGACGACTATGAGTTCGACGCCACCATCATATTGGCATATATGACTTGCTACAATTTATTTCTTTATCCTAATCTAGAGTCTGATGGCGCAGGGTTTGCCATCAGCGTTGGAGCTTACGTGGAAAAGATTCGCAAAAGTTCGCCTTCAAACCTCCGAGGATTACTCAACCGATTCGCCTTTGCGATTCTGAAGCCAGGTGACGACGAAGACGCATCTTCCACGACTGATGTTGATTCCTCAATGGATCATGACACTTTCTTGTTGGCTATCGAACTCAACCTAACCGAGCACATACAAGGTTACGACTTGGGCGAGCTGCGTGGCCATGGTTCGACTCTGGGACGCAGTCTCTTGTGTTACGCTTTCGAAAAACCTCTAATATCCGCAACATCAATGCAGTCACATGCTCGATCGGAACAAGATATGGTTGATTACCTAATTCGTTCTGGGTGCGATCCAAACGAAATGACTCGTTCATGGACAGGGAGTAGGACAACTCCGTGGGAAACATGGTTGAATGACTGGCTTCGGGTCGGTCGTGGCGAAAACGACGTCATAAATCTTGCTGGGGTAACGATGACCATGATCCGCGCTGGTGCAAAGATATCGGGCCATGGACAGGATTTAAGATATCTATCCGACGCATGGTTACAACGTTCAAGAAGTCTGGTAGATGTGCAAGAACAAGAGTGGCTTCGAGAAATTTCCAGCGAGGTTAGACAAGCACTGGGAGTTGATCATGATGATACAAGTTCGGTAGTGACTGACTACGAGGACGATTCGAGCGAAGCAGAGACTGATAAGAAAAACGAACTGGACGGACAAGCAACTGATGATGAGGGTGACTCGTACCAAGCGGCAGACACAAATTCGGAAGATCTTAGTGATGACTAGCAGGAAATTGTAGATTAAACGAAGCTTGGTGTATCCTGGGTGTAGCTTGTTCTCCCGCACTCTAGCTGTGATTGACTTCATTTGTTCATCAAAAGGCTTACGGGTGAGATTGAAAGGGCGATTGCGACAATTTAAGACCACAAATCTGACTGAGAAGGAGGCTGGTAGTCAGTTGTCGTTGACAAGTAAAGGGCTCAACGTCAGCTACGATTCCATGGTGCATCTCTTGATTGTACATGCCACAGAAACCATGAGCCATGTACACCTTCCACGACGCATATTATGCTCGTGAATAGCTTCTATCAACATCAATGATCAATCACGACGCCCAAAGTGGCTGCCAACATTGCTGGTCGACTTCCACCCTACAGGAAGGAAGGTTACAGAGGTTGGTTGCTCTCACAATCAAGCGATCTAACTGTGAGAAGGTACCATCTCACGTATTGTTATTGGTGCTTACCGCACCCACTAGTGTATTGCCCATATAAAAACACGTCCATTCAATCCTTAACACTTCTACTCCAACACTCGCTTTCGACCTCAAAGGTTCTATCTTTCCATTGCTACTCACATCTACCACACATCTCGCAATTTTCTCAACACTCTTCTCTTATTACCTCTATCATTGTACCATTCTTTTCCTTCCCAAAGCTCAACTTCGGGCCAGGATTCGCAAGCGTACTGCAGTCACCTGGCGGGACGGATGCTCGACTTCGACATACGTTTTCATTACAACAAAGACTGTATCAATGACAACGTCATGTTCTATCCAATCCTCCAACCCTCCCGTCCCGAACAACACATTCGCTACCAATTCGGCTATGCATGTTCATTAGATCATCACGAACGGATCCGCAGCCAGAACCATGGTATACAACATCGTGCCATGGCGAATGCGCACATTGGTTACCGTAAGCCACTACAACCCTCAGGTACATATTCCCATGGCATTGGGCTCTAGCAAAGTGACTTAAAAGCATTAGTATCGACAGCAAGCTTGGACTTGGCCATCGTTTGCAAGGGCCTGCGCAAGCTCGACATGACCTTCCATGTCGACAAGGTGAGCATATGCAACGATTCCACAAATCGCGTCCCGTTCCTGAGGTCATCAATCGCTTCAAACTGGAGACAGTTTTCGACCGTAGTAGCCTGGGGGAGGTATATATTGACGGCATATACGTCCAACCATCGCTATACGATTCGATTGAATCCTAACCTTCACTTCCCGCCGAACGTCACCTCCGACGGCGTACTTCGTCTTCGAGCAGATATATGGTATTGATCATCTCTTCAAGAGCCAGCGCGAAGTTATGCGCTGCATCGAACAGTACGCTTCTGAGTCCCAAGGTACGCGAAGCGTACTCACTCAAAGCGGAAAAATACTATACGCCGCGCGCCATTCACATCTACTGTGTCAATGAGTAATGTCGCTTATTCATCCCGAAAAGCTGTGTGGAAAACATTCATCTATATGATGCGACAATGATCGAGTTCATTGTCATTGCCGGAGCTGCTACCTCCGCTACGGCCTGGGTCTATGAGCTAAAATTCCACAAATTCCTCGATCTACCACCCGAGCTACGTCTCAATGTTTATACCCGTTCTTTATCCACGGTCGCACGCTGCGGATGCGGAACCAACACCGATTTGGTCGGCACGATTCTCACGAGATACGACATTGAACCTACACCAAAGACCAGTGATCAAAGCCTTACGAAGATCATGGAGGTCTTTCAATTCCTATTTTACCTATGGCTGCTTTTCGTAGACGTCGCCATCGCCATCGCCATCGCCATCGCCAACACCCCGGTCGCCAACTTATCGTTATCGAGATCGATGTCGCATCTTCTGATACCATCCAACGCGGTATGCATCACGGACAATCCCGGCGGATATCCGCAGTGGCACACAAGGAAAGGCTGAGAAACACATACTTTGGGCTCGAAACCGCCTTCAAGACGGATGAGATGATAGCTATCCTTGCGTCCCTACACCCTACACAAAGCCAGGAGTCGCTCCTTGAAACTTTAGTTCGTTGCAATGGTTCTATCGAACAAGCGGAAGAAGTCCTCGCAGAAGAGGCCCGCGCAAACGCCTCCAGAGTCTTTGTTGATCTCACTCTCTCGTCGCCGGTCATCAAACCAGAGAACCTCGACGACAGCCGAAAGGTCAACCATTACGCTCGCACTGGAAGTCTCGGTAATTCCTCTTCACCATACCTTACCATGTTCCTTCACGCTTTCTCGGACTGCACGATGGGACCTTCAAATTCGCAAGAATAAGGACGAGGCCTACTCAAACCTGATCCGGAATTTTTGGCCAAACCAGTCCCCTGTTGGGGTCTACCGCAACCTTCGTGGAGACTTCCTGAAGATCGTCCAAATCGATGACGATTTTAATCGGTACGACCCCTCTCAAGGACGTCAGGTTCACACAATGCCAACAAGCTCTCGTTAAATGCGCCCAGGATGCTCTGGATGAGCGCGAGCTTTCGAGCGCGAGCTAGCCTATGTGCATTACCGCCACTGCGGTCATAATACCTCGTGTCAACACGGCATCATTGGAGAGCTGTACAATGGTCGAAGTGGCACTGCCGTGCAGGCACAAATATGGAAAGTGGACCGCTCACCCCGTCGACCACGTCTGGTCCTCCTCGCCCGACGTGTCCCGATGCTTACTCCAAATCCGCATCCTGAGAACAGCGTCTTCAGCGGAGGTACTCCAAGTTTTGAGCAGCTGGAATGTCGTCACTCGTGGTACCTCTGCAAAAGATCCGGCCGTTCGACAAGATTCCTTCAGCAATGAACATAACGCTATGGACAACCTAGGTTCTAACACCTTCGTCCTCTCCGCAAACGGCCTCAAGAACCGCAGGCGAGGTACAGAGAGTACACACTTCAACAAGACCTTTTAGCATGCAACAAGCAGTACGGGATAGACCCAAACCAGATCAAAGACCAGTCATCTATGGCATCACATGAATGGGTAAGCGGTTATCCAGGCCTTCCCAGGATCACCGAAGAGCTGTCTAGCCACAACGTCCCCCCGACGCTCCGGCCGCGTGGCCATCGAGGCCCTTGGAATGGCCATGCACCAGGCCGGAACGGCGGAAATGGCGGCCTCCCGCGCTTGGCAGGCCGAAATGGCCAGCCCGCAGGCCAGCCAGTTGCTTGCTGCTATGGAGAAGACATAGGCACGTCGAAGATGCTGAGGGATTTCACTTCGTTGGCACCATATCACTATCGGCTCCCAATTCTGTTCTTCCTTCTTTGCCAAATTCTACGGAAGCAAGCAACGCTCGTTATGTATTCTTTCGCTATTTTTTCACACTCTTACAACTTGCGTCCGTTTCCTGCTCTTCACACTCATGCCGGAGTATATATGGGTCGTGTCCCATCTTAGCTAGCTTGGTAGATTTATACATACAATCACATGTCCGTACACATTGTCCAGCCGACAATGTCTCTAATGTGCCTGTACACTGATTCCGCATCAAGATGCGCGCTGAAGAGAAGTTCATGTTGTCTCTTTGACGTTGATCGGCGTTTCCATAGCTAGAGGAAAGAAGTGTGTATTGTCTCTAAGATCAATGACATGCACGAGTTCATTTACAAATTATGTAAAATGTATTGATGCTAAGATAGGTATTTATGTATCATCTCAAAAGTAAGGATCTTCCAAAAAAAAGAAAGGAAAAATAGAAAAAGAAGACGTCAACCGACGGACAAGATATCATCATGGTCGTAACCAACAACACCTTTCCCCGACCATGAAATGCATCTCAAGACACAAAAAAGGAAGAAAAAAACCACAAGGTATAACAGTTCCCGCCACACACCTTCCTACACCGCCCGAAAACACCCCCAACCCTATCCCATGCGATGAGAAGAAAAAACAAAAAAAAGCCAGCCGTGAACGTCTTTTATCCATCCCTATAAAACTTCTTGAAAATCAAATGCAAAAACAAATTAACGTTAACCCTCGCCACTCCATCCGCTCCGCTTCCAATCATCTTACCACCGCTGGCAGCACCCTCTCCAAACAAGTTCATGAACTGATGATTGTCGAATTGCGCCTGCAGCAGCCCATCCAGCGGCACCTCTGCAAAAGCACCCGGAATCATCATTGAACCCTGGCTACCCTGAATCTCAAAGATACCCGTCTGATTCGACGAAATAGTAATGTCAAGGCGGTCCCACATGCGTTCGTCGTATCCAGACCACGAGATCAGGATGCCCTTTTCGGCCAGGTTCCTGGCCGAGTACTTGAACGAACCAAAGCGGTACTCACGGCCCGAGTTCTTCAATTCGCGCTGGTGGTTGTATTGGCGGGTAAAGGGGAGGAGGAACTTCTTCTTGCCCTTCTTGGACTGCAGAGTCACCATGGCTTGTTCAATGTAGTCGTTGTAACTCTTCAACTGCGATTCCAAGAAATGCGCTTTCTCGTCCAAAGCAGCGAGTGTAGTTCTTACACCCTCCAACTCTTTAGCACGCTGGATGCGGCGACGGTGCTTCGTCCGGATGTCGACTGCGATAGCATTGAGAAGATCCTGGTAGTTGTTCGTGTGGGAGATGCGGCCTGCGCGTTGGAGTTGCACCATGTTCTCTAGACAGTATTGCTTAAGAGTGGGGTAGTCAAGGTCGAGGACAGAGTTGGCTCCCATGTCCTGAGTATAGGTTGATGCGGCGGATGAGCGGACGATGTTGGATTGTTTACGTGAGCGGTCTCTTCGTTGGGCGATGATTTCTTCGTTCACGAGGGCGTCCCAGCGGGCTTCGTCGTCGGGGGTGATGGGCTTGGTCATGATTTCGGTAAGGTTGGCGCCGGTCTGGATACGGATGATGTATAGGACATAGCGCTTGGTTTCCATGAAGAGGGATTTGATAGCGGAGTCGGGATCTGGAAACGTTAGTCGTTGTCAGATGTGCAGGACGGTAAAACTCACCCTCTTGCTCATGATACTTAGGATTCAGGGTCAAGGTAATCTCGCTGGTGCTGACGTGCAAAAGCTCGTTTTCGTTGTTCTTCGCGCTACCGAGCTCACGGACAATCTCGCGGAGGGGATCGTCTTGCGAGGGACACAAACTTGGCAGGTCGTCGATGACGAGGTTGTGAATGGCGAATACATCTGCGAGTTTGATGTAGAGTGTTGGCTTGGTTCTTGCGAACAGATCGTTGAACTCGTCAATCTCAAACTGAGCTTCGGCGGCGCGGACATTGATCATGTTGGACCAAATGTCTTGCATCCGATCAATGGCTTCCGTGATGTAGCTGTTAAGAGGTTGCAGGTAGAGATCTTCACCACCAAACAGCTTACCACAGGCAATCTGACTGAGAACCTTGGCAACAGCTCCGAGGTTTCTGTTCATGACTGGTGATAGACCGCGGTCCACAACACCCCAGTGCTGGGGTTGCAACAGAGCAGGTTGGATGTAAGCCTTCCATACCCAGTGGCCTGTGATTTGTAGAAGCTGCTCTTGTGCTTCGTAGGGAAACTTCAAACGTAGCTCTTCGAACATCTGCTGTGCAATGTAGCGGACGCCGTAAGGCATGCGGTGAAGCACTTCCTCGAACATTGTGAAGTATTGGTCTGCGACATCGCGGAGATCTTGCAGGTTGTGGATAAAGGTTGCGCGTGTCTCAGGGTCCTTGAGTGCTATGTCTCGCGAGACATTCGGGTCACGATGACTCCTTTGGCCAGTACGGAGCTCTTCGTTGTTGATGGCGGAACGGTAGATTTGCATTGGGTCGCTCTCCAGATCCAGGTGCTCGTTCTCAATAATGTTTTCGCGAATCACAGATCCGAGGACGTCTTTCAAGAACTTGCGGTCTCGTGGTGATCTAATGTAATTGGCGAATAGTTTGCTCCAGAAGAAGTTGCCTCGAAGGTACTCATGGAGGTTCGCGCAACCCTCAATCTCCTCTTTCAGCGATCTGGCGAGTAGCTTCAATAGCCAGTACTCTTCTCTGCGCTTCTGGGCCAGTCCGAACATACTCATAGTCAGCTGCTCGATACGTTTGATGTCACCCTCGGCCAAGCTCTGTTCACGTATGCGCCTGAAAAGCCTTGCCATGTACTGGGGCTGGGTCTGCAGAACAAAGAAGAGCTCCTGGTATTGCTCCAACTTGCGGCGCGAGTTCTTGTTGAGGGCCTTGAGATCGAAGGGGTCCTTTGAGGAAATGTCCTTGCTGCTGAGTAGAGTTCCCACGTTGCCTCCAAAGTGCTTCTGATGTTTGACGACCTCGTCAAGAGTGATCTTGTTCTTTACAAGCAGCGCAATCTTGATGTCAAGCTGATCGACGTACTGCTCGGCAAGCTCGTTCTGACGTACGTGCTGTACTACGGTCTTGCGCAGGCGTTCAAACTCTGGTATATAGTTAGTACGTTGCGATTACAGCAAGAAAAATGCCACTTACCGATTTCCTCGTCAAAGTCAATGTCGTTGTCGTTGAGCAGATGTACAAAGTTCTTGACAGTTGATACTGGAGGGTTGGTTCCGCTAGTCAAGCTCTTGTAGGCCTCACCTTGTTGGCGACCCCGAATGAAGCTCTGCACCTTGATGACCTTTTCCATGTTCTCCTTGTAGAACTGCTGCTTCTCTGCAAACTTCTGACGAATTATCAAACCACGCGCCAAGGTCTGTAATTCGACAATGGCCTCTTCGTGTTCTTCCACTTGTCCGAGCTGCATACCGATCCGCAACCTGGCCAGCATACCACGCGCTACAGCTTGAAGGTCGACTGTTTCAGGCTCTTGAGCGTTGATCTCGCAGAGGGTGTCATATGTCCGTTGGCGCTGCATGAAGCCTCGGCAGGCTGATTGGAGATCCAAGATGGTCGGTTCTTGTGCCTTGAGTGCCTTGAGATCAGAAAAGTGCTTCTGTCGTGAAAGGAAACCACGAATGTATGACTGAAGTGACAGAACAACAGGTTCCTGCTCGTGCAGATGCGTGAGAATATCAGTAACTTCTGCACGCATCTTTGCGCCTCTTGCAACCGCTTGTAAGTCGGTGATCTGAGGTTCTTCGGCGAAGAGGAACTGATGGATCTCTCGGACAGAATTTCTCAAGACATTGGCGCGAACTTGGGACTGAAGACGAGACCAATCAACGTTCGTGCTTACCAGCTTCTTTTGCTGCGCGGCTTCCTTGTTTCTAGCAAGAAGACCTCGTGCGGTAGACTGTAACAGGGTAATCATAGACTCGTGTTGACGGAGACCTTCCTGGTCAGCACGCATGGATTGACGGACAAGCATTGCTCTTGAGACGGCTTGGAGATCGGCGACCTGAGGTTCGTTTTCTCGTAGCTCTGTCCATTCTCGGTCGACTTGCGCGCGTACAAGGGCACCGCGGATCATAGCCTGCACATGCTTAACAGCTGGTTCGGTGTCGCGTGTTTGTTCGTATCGGTCGGAGACGCGAAGTCGTTCAAGTGCTCCTCGAATTGCCGCTTGGAACTGCCGTATGCCGTGTTCATGTCGCTCAATCTTCGACTTTGTGTACTGGACTTGTGCCCGAGCCTTACGACCCCGGAACAGGTTTTGCACCTTCAACACTTGAGCCTCATTGGCGTGCCAGAACTGCTCCTCACCCTGGAGTCTCGACCGCACCAGGAATCCTCTCGCAGCACCTTGTAGAGTGACGGCGAAACGCTTCATGTCCATGCGGTAGGTGGATATTTGTCGAGCCCAGTCGCCACGAATACGTGCTTGCAAGTCTGCAATCAGGTATTCATGGTCCCAAAGCTCTTCCATGAGCATTCCAAGACGTATCCTGACCAGAGCACCACGCATCTGTGCCTGCAGATCCAGTATGATATCCTCATTCTCGCCCAATTCCCGATCGATCCGGTCTTCTTCGGACTCGACTGGCTCTGGCTCTGGTTCTGGTTCTGGCTCGACTTGGAAGTTTGCTTGCATACCAGAGAAGTTCGGCATACTAACACCAGACTTGTCCAGGCCCTTTTGTGTAGCCTCCAGCTCGTGGTCCTCGAATTGGAGTTTACCGACTAGGTTACCGATGCGGAAGTCGACGATGCCTTTCCGGAACAAGAGCCATGAGAGCGCGTGGATGCAGTAGATGACTTTTGGCACATTCTTCTTCTCGTAGAGATCGACGAGTTCGAAGCGGAACAAATCGGGCAGTTCGATTTCGGCGAGGAACTTGAAGAAGTGCGCGTAGTTGTTGGAGTGTCGATATTGTAGCTTTGGGTCGCGGAATATGCGCAGCGGTTGTCCCTTGATGGACTGTACGATTTCCGCTAGTGTGATGCCGTTTCGCAGCGCCTCCTCGAGTTCAACAACGGGCGGTAGGTCGTTTTCAAGAATGTCTTCCATCCACTCCTTGGCTTCTCCGATATGACAAAGATATTCGTACGCCTGCAAGAACTGCCTTTGTTGATCCATCCAGTTCCGACTTCCCCATGAGGAAGCTGCTTTTTGCCTATCCGGGTTCCGTTGCAGCCTCCTTCGCCCGTTGAGACCCACGACCTGTTGCTCTGGAGACTTGATGGCAAAGTCATCGTCGTTTGCGTCTTCGGCAAATTTGGAGAGAGTCCGCAGGTGGCCCGTAGAAGATTTCTGGAAGCTCTTAAGTTCTGGTCGTTCTAGGTGGACGGATAGCGGTCGGGAGGAGTGGTCGCGGGTGGGCGCGCGTACGGAATCATGTCGAGATACTGCTAGCGAGAGCGGGCGCGGTTTGGCTGTCGGCGAGGAGGGGCCGTCGAAGGGGGAGTAGAGGTTCTCGACGCTGTGTGATCGCAGGTGGCTGTTGCTGCGAACCGGGCTAGTACTTGCTGGGCGTAGTAGCTTGTCTGGCGATGGCGGGTTCGAGAAAGTTGCGGGACGTAGCAGTTTTTCGGGCGATGGCGGATATACGGGCGTCGTCGGTCTCATGGCCTTGTCGGGAGACGATGGCGTCTGCTTCTCAGGCGATGCCGGTCGTAGCGATTTGCGCATGCTCGAATACATATCTGATGGGTCAGTCTCTGTGGATCCGAAGTAGTCTTCTGTTCGCGGGCGAGAGAGAGCCGTGGCTTCACTCAGGCCGCGGCGGTGCGATAAGGAGCCGAAGCCGCTGGATGCATGGCTCGACTGCGTGCTCGAGCGGCTCGGGGGGTACTGAGAGTGGTTCGAGGAGCCATTGGAAGCTGTGGACGTCTGGCGGAGCGGGGAGGGCGATGTTGCGGAGTGGCCAGGTCTCGATCGTGGGGCAGTCAGGTAAGAACTCATGGCGAGCGCGACAGTCGAACCGCATGCGTCGTACAGAACAAAGAAAGGTGGTCGTGGGCGTGGTGGTGGATGCTCAAGAGACCGTCATGGAGGCCCGCGATAATTACAAGTAATATGGATTGCGCCTGCCGCCAAAACAAAAGTCGCGAACTCGACCAAGCGAATGTCTGAAGCCCTGCGACCAAGCGCGCACTTTTACTCTGCACGGGCGAATAGCGGAATGGGAAACGGAAATCGAAATTGGGTATCGTAGATGAAAGGCTGCGGCGTTGAAACTGGAAGCGGACGTGTGTAGTCCAAGCTTTTGCGGATGTTTACGACGGGCTGCGATGGCTTGCCGGCATGTTGTCGTGCCAACCACCCCAGCATGCCCTCTCCACGCCGCGAAAATCATCCATCCCGACTCCCGTCCCACGGACCGGCAGACTCAAAACAACATCCTAGTGCTGCATCTCCTTTGTGGTTGCTGTTGATCATCACGTCTGCCGCGAGCCCTTCACTCCTCCGTCGACACCCCTACCCTCGACCGCCCCAGAAATCTCCAGTCCACGCCATGTCGCGACAACGGTGCCTGAAGTCTAGGGCGACAAGACGTCCGGCACCATAACGGCGACAGCAGCCCTACTACACGTCGCACGGTGAGCCGTCGCGTCCAAACCTTCCCTTAGCGTACCCCTTCCAGACGTCCAATTACATCCTCGTCGACATGTCAATACTTGACAAGTATAAGGGAGCTCCCAGTTGACAGGTTTCGCCCAACCTGTCTACACCAGAAAGCACGCATGTACCTGCCGGCTCCTGTGGAAGTCATCGGTCGATGATGTTTCTGTAGACAGCGTGCATTTGGACCAATCGACAACCATCAACACCATCGCAAGATCAAGTGCCCAAGTCAGTATACACGCACACGCTGCCATGTTCCGCGCGCATCGTCTCCCTTTGGGACGCGTCTTAGTCACGCTAAAAGGCGGGGTTACATCAGCAGACTCTTGGCGAAGGAGCCCACTGAAATTCTTTCCGCGCCGCATTCTCTGCCAAACTTTTTCTTCTTGGGAAAACCCTCGATTTTCCCCGGCCAGAGTCCTTTACTGAGAACGACGGTCTGTTTCCTTCAGTGATACCCCTCTTACCCTTCTCAAACCCTTGAGAAGTTTCTTTTTATACCTATCATGCCCATCTCCAACGGTGACGCCATGACCAACACGGCTGAGAACGCCTTGGACTACACCAAGGCTCTTGAGATTCTCAAGAACGACTACCCTGAGCACGATGGCATTGACATCAAGACGCTCATCGACTCCAAGAAGAACGGCGGTCTCACATACAATGACTTCCTCATGCTTCCTGGCTACATTGGCTTCCCCGCAGCCGAAGTCGCACTCGACACCCCAATCACTAAGCGCATTTCTCTCAAGACGCCCTTCGTCTCCTCGCCCATGGACACTGTCACCGAGCACAAGATGGCTATTCACATTGCGCTCCTTGGAGGTCTTGGTGTGATCCACCACAACTGCTCTCAGGACGACCAGGCTGAGATGGTTCGCAAAGTCAAGCGCTTTGAGAACGGTTTCATCCTGGACCCAGTCGTCATCTCTCCCAACACCACTGTTGGAGAGGCCAAGGCGCTGAAGGAGAAGTGGGGATTCGGTGGTTTCCCAGTCACTGGTAAGTCAGACTCTACTCCCTTGTTCCTACCCCCACTCGCATTGTGATGATCAACCTTTCAAAATAACTTTCGTTCATCCGCAAGGTTCCGCCTACTGTGGAGAAAATGTATCTGAATTGCCTCCAAACCACTACGCTTTGTCAACATCTTGTATTGGAATCATCCACTGACAATAGCTACAGAGAACGGCACTCTTCGCTCCAAGCTCGTTGGTATCATTACACCCCGAGACATCCAGTTCCACGACAAGCTCGACGACCCGGTCACCGCAGTCATGTCCACCGACCTCGTAACCGCCCGCCACGGTGTTGAGCTCAAGGAAGCCAACGACATCTTGAACAAGTCCAAGAAGGGCAAGCTTCCCATCGTCGACGAGAGCTTCAACCTGATTGCGCTCCTGTCTCGCTCCGACTTGATGAAGAACCTCAACTTCCCGCTTGCGTCCAAGCTCCCACACTCGAAGCAGCTCATCGCGGCGGCTGCCATCGGTACCCGACCCGAGGACAAGATTCGTCTGCAGAAACTCGTAGATGCCGGCCTTGACATTGTCATCCTCGACAGCAGTCAGGGAAACAGCATGTACCAGATTGAGATGATCAAGTACATCAAGGAGAAGTACCCTCAGCTTGACGTGATTGGCGGCAACGTCGTCACACGCGAGCAAGCTGCTGGGCTCATCGCCGCTGGTGTCGACGGTCTCCGTATCGGCATGGGTAGCGGAAGTGCCTGCATCACACAGGAAGTCATGGCTGTCGGACGGCCACAGGCTACCTCGGTGTACAACGTCGCCTCATTTGCGTCCCGGTTCGGCGTGCCCTGCATTGCCGATGGTGGTATCCAGAATGTAGGCCACATCGTCAAGGGTCTCGCTATGGGTGCCTCGGCCATCATGATGGGTGGTCTCCTAGCCGGTACTACCGAGTCTCCCGGAGAGTACTTTGTCAGCGGTGACGGTCAGCTCGTCAAGGCCTACCGTGGTATGGGCAGTATCGCCGCCATGGAGGACAAGAAGGCCGGCGCCGGCGCCGCAGACTCCAAGGCCAGCAACGCTGGTACTGCGCGTTACTTCTCCGAGGGTGACCGTGTCCTCGTTGCCCAGGGTGTCTCTGGATCCGTCCAGGACCGTGGCTCCATCACCAAGTTCGTGCCTTACCTCATGGCTGGTGTTCAGCACTCGCTACAGGACATTGGTATCACGAGCCTCGAAGAGCTTCACAAGGGCGTTGCCAACGGCACCGTCAGGTTCGAGTTGCGCACTGCTAGCGCACAGGCTGAGGGTAACGTGCATGGTCTGCACAGCTTCGACAAGAAGCTTTACTCATAGAGGAGCGAAAATGATATACGAAAGAAATGCATTGGGAGGGCGTTAGTGGGTGGTTGGGATGGTTGAATGGCTTGGTTCATTCCCTCGTTATTAGACACGACGCGCTATGCGAAAATGATTGATGTTCTTATTTACGGGAGCAAATGGATACAATAGGCCAAAAGCAATGATACCACGAACTCTGTTCATTCTTATTGAAGTACAAAATATGTCTTCTGCTCAGTCAGTGATGCATGCTGCCGCGGGAAATTCTGGAGTGTTGACTCTTTGGCCGCGATGTCACCGTGCGAGCTAACATGTCCTAACCTCGGTACCTCCCCGCGCGTCGACTCGTCACTCACCAACCACATGCCAGCCGTCATGACGCGCCGACCGCCATTGTCGGCTGTCTGTCAAGCCGGATATGCCAATGCGTCTCCTGGCTGAAGGTAGATCAAGTGCGCGCTCCTTTACCCTTAGACAAGCCATCTCTACACGTCCTACGTCTACACTCTCGTCGTTCTTCGACAGACCACAGGTTCGGTGCAGAGCGACGTCAGTACGAACAGCTGCCTACTTGAAGGCTATCCAACGGCCCGCGACTGGATTGTTTGAGTTAAAGAAGCGCAACATGTCCACCCCAGCAGACCATCAGCCGTCTAAAAAGGCGGCAAAGACACCAGCGGTTCCACGGCCCAGCGCAAGGTATGCCGCCAACCCTCCACCTTTAGCAACGGTTCCAAGTACCATAGGCTGACCATCCCCAGCGTCCTCCTCATCTCCCCTACCAACCAAATCCTTCTTCTGCACCGTGTCAAGAAAGCCTCGAGCTTCGCCTCTGCACACGTCTTCCCTGGCGGCGCCCTCTCCAAAACGCACGACGGCGCCATCCCCGACGTGAACGACCCAGGGAGACACCAAGATGGGCCCGCCTACCGTATGGCAGCCGTGCGCGAGACATTTGAGGAATGCGGTATCCTACTAGCTAAGAGCAAGAAGACAGGCAAGCTGTTCACCGAGATCAGCGACGAAGAACGTGAAAAAGGGCGACGAGACGTGCACAGCGGAACCGTCAAGTTTGGCGATCTACTTGAGAGATGGGGTGCTGTCCCCGACACCGAGGCCCTGATACCGTTTACGCGGTGGGTAACGCCCGGCAACGTGCCCAAAAGATTCTCGACGCAAATGTACATTTACTTCCTACCTCTCGGCTCCGTATCGCCCACGAAACACGCGGCACCAGCGTCCACACCCCCTGGCTCTGGACTTGAAGAAGAAGATGAAATCGTTATACCAAACCCGACGCATGACGGGGGTATCGAACACACGGCCGCACGTTTCCTGCCACCGAACAAGTGGATTGATCTCGCAAGGCAGAATAGGATTATATTGTTTCCGCCGCAGTTTTTCCTGACGCTGCTGCTGAGTCCGTATCTAGCGGCAACGGTCACGAGCCCGAGCAGTCCTACACCTAGTATCTCGGAGCTGCAACTCGAGCGAGAAAAGTGTCTGGATTTCTTGCGCAAACCGAGGATGTATGAAGGCAAGCCTGAAGTTTCCTTTGCAGAAGCTTGTATTTCTCCTATCGTGCTGGGCAAGGGACAGTATGGAGAGAAGGGGCAGGACGGTGTGGGAGGTGTGGATAAAGATACTGCGGTTCTCGTATTGGATCGACCGGGTAAAGAGGTCGAGGAGCAAGAAGGTGGAAAGGGGAGGAGGGGATTGCGGGAATGGGTTGTTACGACGAGGTTTAAGGGGGAGGGGCCGAGGGATGTGGATGTTAGACGGAGGGAGGACGTGCTGGGGAAGAAGACGCAGGAGAAGTTGTAGATTGCGTTGTTCTTATCGAGCAGTGCGATTGACTTCCAATGTTACCACAAAGTGATGGTAGATGTGATTATGCTCGTACAGCTGTTTGGGCATTGGTCATTACCAGCCAGCGCCGTTGATCAAGCATCAAACCAAAGTTTCCAAGACGAGATCCGCTAGGACTGGGCCCCGAAGAGCGGAACCAGCCTGCACCAGTCGCAAAGAGCTTGGTGTAGCTAGCGCTTAGCTTATTTCCCCGCATTCTAGCGATGATCAAGAAGATCGTATACCTCATCTATTCCCGGTCCGGCGAAACCACCTAGGCGGCTCGGCGCAACGCATGCCGAGCACCATATAGTACCTTGAACCTTGAAACTTATCAGGACATGATATCAGCAGAGTACATCCTGCTTCGTGCAGCTCATCCTCCATCGAGCAAACATGTATTGGACTAGGCTGCTGGCAAGTATCGCTTCGTTGACGACGCTGCAGTTGGAGGTACTAGCTGGGTCTTGTTGGCGGGACACTACATGCAATGGACCAACTGAAGCTGCGTTTGAAGGTACCTGCTTCTGTTCCTATCTTTCTTCCTTAATGCTAACGAATCAGGGCCCTGGCAAGGGAACATCTACGCCCCATCATCACGTACAGTTCGACCAAGATCAGTCATCACTATTCGAGACCGTCATCCAGCAAGTTACCCTCGACTCGTGGTCCTCCGCGGGAATGGAACGAATGTTGTTTTCGATTTCGGTATAGAAGTTGGCGGTATCGCCTCCCTCTCCTACACCAGCAATGGAACCGGTGCTATCGGCCTCGCATTCTCCGAAGCATCGACGTGGATTGGCGAGTGGTCTGATGCGTCGAATGGAAAGTTTGCTGGTCGCGATGGAGCATTGTATGTCAATATAACTAGTGCTGGTCCGGGGACGTATACGATGCCGGATGAAGTGATGCGAGGAGGGTTTCGGTACATGACTGCTTTCCTCGTCACGAACACGGGCACCTACGTCAACATCACGGATGTGCAGCTTGAAATCAGTTTCCAACCTACATGGTCGAATCTGAGAGCATATCAGGGGTATTTCCATTGTAACGACGAGCTGCTGAATAGGATATGGTATGCAGGCGCCTACACGCTCCAAACCAACGCCGTACCATCCAACACCGGCCGCTGGGTTCCCATGCTCGCCAACGGCTGGGCCAACAATGGTACTTTGGGACCAGGAGAGACCATCATCGTCGATGGCGCAAAGCGCGATCGCGCCGTCTGGCCAGGCGACATGGGCATTGCCGTGCCTTCAACTTTTGTCAGCACTGGAGATCTCGAGAGCGTGAAGAATGCATTGCAAGTCATGTTTGACTACCAGAATCCAGATGGCTCGTTCCCGGAAGCTGGACCGCCGTTGTTGCAGCAGAATAGCGATACGTACCATATGTGGACGATGATCGGGACGTACAACTACATGCTCTACACGAACGATGCAGCCTTTGTGCAGAAGAATTGGGCGAGGTACAAGAGAGCTATGGAGTATGTTTATGCTAAAGTCGAGGTGGACGGATCTGGTTTGTTCAATCAGACGGGCACGAGGGACTGGGCGCGCTGGCAGACTGGCTTCAACAACACCGAAGCGAATGTCATTTTATATCATACACTGCAGACCGGTGCGAAGCTCGCAACATGGCTCAACGACACCGCGATGACCAACGGCACTAGGCTGCAGGATTTATGGACATTACGCGCCACGTGTCTTCAATCAGCAATCCTTACCCACACCTTCGACACCGCGTACGGCGCATTTCGCGACAACGCTACACTCACCACTCTCCATCCCCAAGACGCAAACAGCATGGCCCTCCTCTTCGGCCTCGTCTCTCCTTCCTCCGCCCAGGCCCAGTCCATCTCCACCGCGTTAACAAAAAACTGGACACCCATCGGCGCCGAAACACCAGAACTTCCTGGCAACATATCCCCATTCATCTCCTCGTTTGAAATCCAGAGCCACTTCACCGTCGGTAATACGCATCGTGCGCTGGAACTGATTCGTAGGAGTTGGGGCTGGTACGCTAATCACCCCAACGGCACGGGTGGAAGCACGGTGATAGAAGGGTATAGGACGAATGGGACGTTTGGGTATAGACAGGAGAGGGGGTACGGATATGATCCGAGTTATGTGTCGCATGCACATGGGTGGAGCTCGGGGCCTACGAGCGCGTTGACAGAGTTTGTCGTGGGACTGAGGGTTGTGGAACCTGCGGGGAGAGAGTGGGTTGTTGAGCCGCGGTTTGGCGATTTGGAGGAGGCAGAAGGGGGCTTTGTGACGGGGTTGGGCAAGTTTAGGGTGGGCTGGGTGAGGAATAAGGATGGGGAGGGGTATACGGTGGGGATTGAGACGCCGGTGGGGACGAAGGGGTCGGTGAGGTTGCCGCTTGAGGGGATGGGAATCTATATGGAGGTGGTTTTGACGGTGAATGGTGAGATGATAGGAAAGGAGGGGTATACTCAAGTTGATGGACAGTTGGTTTGGGACGTTGATGGTGGGACGTATGATATACAGGTTAGCAGATGGTTTGATGCAGAATGAGGTGGCTTATCATCGAGTATAGTTTACGTTGTACATACAACGAGCCGTACAGCGGTCCTGTCATAACACTACCAGTCAGACGATTGAGAAGAACAGAGGCAAAGACCATACACAACGCAGCATGAGAGCACAATATCGTTGTCAAATCCTGCGTCAATACAGCGATAGTGTAACTCTGACCCAGCGACTGTTGATGATAGCGGACGCTGGTCGTTTGAGTGACTTGGGCGCGCAGCGACATTACCATCGGTGTACGGGAAGTCTTTCTTTCCTTGGATTACGACCTGATGAAAGTTTATGTCTCTGAAAAGAGCGCCTGAGTCTGAGAAACCTGAATATTGATGAGCATATAGTGCCTTAGAAGTTCGAAGCGTAAAGGTTGGGGGCGTAGCTTTCCCATTGGATGTCCGCGGTCCAATTCAGCCTTGACAAAACACGAGGCGTTTCCAGCCGCATGCCACCTTTCCTACCCTGTTTCCTGTGATTGAGGTCTCTTTTCGTGCACTTGCGGCCTTCTTGTTATTCAACAGATTGCGTCGACTGCCTTTACTCTAAGAACAGGACTTCTACGACAATTTTTTTTCACCACGCACACATCCTGTCACGAAAAGCCGCCATGTGTCGAGCAACCTTTAAGCATATTCCGTTAGCGCGTCCAGCTGAGCAAATAAGGCTTCTAAAACTTGAGCCTGGAGCGGATGTCATTCGACTCAACATACAAACTTATGAGCTTACGGAGTACCTAAGATTTGTAGCACTATCGTATGAATGGGGTCATGGCTCAGAGATACACGATATCATCATAGACGGGGAGGTCTTCAAGATACGGCAGAATCTGCGCGACGCCTTGGAACACATACGAACCCTCCAGGCGGATACATCGAGCAGAAGGCTATTCGAGGAAGACTCACCTTATTTCTGGATTGACGCCATCGCAATCGATCAGTCGAACGATACCGAAAAGCCTCATCAGATTTCCATAATGGGAAAGATATACCGTCAAGCATCCCATGTCATAGCCTGGCTTGGCCTTGAACAGAATGGCGATGATTCAGCCCTGGCTTTGAATTACCTCAATCCAGACATTGAAGTACCGCGCGACCATCAAGAACAATCCCCCGACCTAGTCACAATTTCAGCCGAGCAAATGGCGATCAGAAGATTGTGTGACCGATCGTACTTCCGGCGCATCTGGATTGTCCAGGAGTGTGTTCTTGCCAGGAAACTACACTTAGTTTGCGGGCTTCATTACTGTTTCTGGGAGCACCTACACAACTTCAACCGGGCTATACGTTTTGGACTCAGAAGCTGGCCAGTTGATGAACTCTTCGATGTCAAATCAGTGTTCGAAAGAGGTCGGAAGGACATGTCCATTCAGCAGCTCATGTCCCGAATTTTGGACGTCGCAGCTGATAGGCAATGCTCAAGATTCCACGACCGGATATACGGACTGCTCGGAATACTTCAACAAAATTTCCAGACGACCGGTATGGTGGTAGACTATGGAGTTAGCCTTGAGGAGCTGATGATCAAGACCCAAGAGTTTCTCACTTCTGATCCCCAAGATGATAATCCCTATAATTACCCTTACCGGATTGTAGAAACTTTCAAATCAGTAGTATCAACAGATATTCAGGGAAAAGTCGCATGGTACTGGCAGATAAATGAGATCATGTACAAGCTAGAGGCGGACGTGTTCAAAGGATTCCACTCGCTCAAGGCTCTCCGCGGCGAGAAAGAGCGTGTATTGACCTTCCAGACAATCACTTGGATCGTTGGCGGTTATGGGGTTGATCTTTTCTCATCTGTCGGAAGAACCATTTCCCTGGATATCGCGACGACGATTCAGTCTCATCGCCCCTTCCCTTTGACCACGAACCCTCGAGTTTCCGGGAAACGAGTTTTCATTGTGCATTCGCGGTATACTATAGGGACTTATACATATTGTATCTGTCTGAAGCATCAGCCCCAACACCCATATTGTATGCCAAACGAATACGAGATGACAGAGCCGAACTCTTGGGGATGTAGAGGTTTGCTTGAGACATATAGCAAGCATGTTCGATCTCTGGGTGAACTGCGGGAAAGCCTCAGAGTTTCTACCAGAGGGTCTGATCTGGAGACACCATCTCCACTTCCAATTCAGATCCAGTGGATGTTGTTCTCTAATCTTCTGGCGCAGCATTTTCTCAGCAGATTTTCTGAGGAAACCTTGCCTAATCGCAGGACTGAAACCGATGGCTTTGTAAGGCAGATCGAGCAAGGGGGGAAAGATCTTGGCGCCTTTCTCTCAGATTCCTTGTTCAACAAATATCGCATGAAGGTGGCAGATACAACTGATAGGTTGCCCAAGAATGCTCTCAAGTCAGTTAAGATTGAGATCACCCGCAACAACGACGCCGGTGAATGCTCCGACTTTATCAAGAAGACAATGGTGGCTTCGTTGTACGACAATGACGCCTGTAACCCTAGAATCAAGATGAGATGCGTCACTTCTTAGCCAGCTCATCAGACCTAATACATGTGTCAATCCCCCATGCAACAAAGAACGATCTCTCCAAAGTCCAAGTCAAGACCACCACACGTGACCCATCGCACCCCAGCCATCCTGCAAAGCCTGCACAACACTCTACCACTCACGCTTCGTCCAAATTCCATCTTTATAGTACCGATACTTCATCCGTTCCTTGCGTCCGGGCGTATAGTCGATGAAGAAACGATGCAGAGAAGATCAGCATGGCCCCAGCACATGGATGACACGCTCCAATCAAGAGGGGCTACCATTCTCCTCCTCTGCCAAGTCGAACTGCTTGAATTCAGGCTATTCAAACCGTCGATTCGGCGACAGGTAGAATCTGTTCTTTCTTGCTGTTTTGGAAATCTAGGTTGATGTACACCATAACCGGGTGCCGTATTCGACGCAGAGACCATGTTCATATCTAACGACCTTGTAACCAATATGCTACAATTCAGCAAAGATCCATGTTACACAAACGCGCTCATGGAGGGTATATATCGCTATCATCATGACTTCGTATAACCACATATAGGCCTTTGCCCATCACTCCTTGCTCAACCACACAACAGCCCACCTCACATACATTCTCAGCCTATATTATCATCTCGCCCTCATCCCCCTCGCCACCCCCAACATCCTCCCCATCATCCTCATCCAAGTCCTCCAACGGATAAGTAAGGATAGCCGCAACATTGCCCAGCCCCTCCAGGCGCTTCCCCGACTCGTGCAACGAGCTGAGAACGCGCACCTCACCACCCTCTACATCGCGCACCTGATCAACCAACTTGACCCATCGCCGCCTCTCCTTGACATTCTGCGCGCGGAACAGTGCGTTGTTGATGAGGAGCACGCCGCCTCCGCGTCCGACGGCGCCTTTGGCAACCGCGCGCTCCACCTCGCGGGGTCCGTACCACGCGCGTCCGTCGTCCAGGCGCATGAGGGTGCTGAATTTATCCATGAGGGCTGTTTCGCGCGCAAACTTTGTGTCGGAGAGTTTGTTTGTTATGGCTGGGGAGGAGAGGACTTCGTTGAGCGAGTGTGTGTGCGCTGATGACGAGTGTGCGATGATGATGGTGGGTAAGAGGGCCATGAGCGGCTTGTTGGTTGTTCGCGTCGCTTCTGCTTTGATGTATTGTAGGAATGCTGTCGCTACGAAGCCGGGGCTGGCGAGCAGGAGGGGTAGTGTTTTGCCGCCTTGCGCCGTGTTGGAGGTATTTGGTAGGTCGATTTGCCGTAGGAGGGTGGAGAGCGTTGTGGAGAAGAATCTGTCCATGCCTTTGCTGTGTCCGTCGACGCCACCTCGTCGTTTTCTGGGCACCGAGACCTCAATCTTTTGTCGCAGTATTGTTTGGTGTTCTGTGATCATGCAGATGTGCGCGACGCCCTCTCCCATGACGACGGCCCATAGTTCTGCGCGTTTGGACGCATCGCATGCCTCTTTCAACTGCTCCAATGCGACGCTGTCCCAGCCGTCTGCTTTTTCAATGGTAAATTTGCGATTCAGCTCCAAGTCAAGTGTGTGATGCTGCCCTAGTTTGACGTGCTCGTTCTCTTTTGCTACGCGACCGGAAACGTGTAGTTGTTCGGAGCCGACGTCGAAATCGGTCGACGTTACGGTGATGGTGAGGTCCAAAGCGATTCTTTGCGACGACGTGGAGCCGGCATCTGATGTCTTTGAGACTCGTCGGACTGCCTTGGCGCGTATTTGGTCGTGTTCTTGGATCAGGTTATAGGCGTGCCACATGTCCTCAGGCTCTTCAGGCAGCAGGGTGACGAAGCCCGCGCCTGTTTTCTGTTCAATCTGGCTTTTGAGCAACTTCATGATGGCGTGGTCAGGGGTATCTTTGCGTGTAGGGTCAGTGGTGGTGGTGATGGAGGGACAATAACCAGGCGCGTCAAGTTAGCTACGCAGCGTGAACTTTTGGAAGGTAGTGACGCAACCGTGGGATGGAGGGGCACTAGTGGGGGTCCACCCTACCCACCAACCCACGCACGTCTCGCCCTGGAGGTATTCACTCCCATAGTCTGAGACTTCAACGCTAATTACTATGAATCCTTGAGGGCACCTTTTCAGCCAATGCAGAACTGAGAAAAGAAAAGAAACGTGTCTCTTCGTTTGGTTGGATAAATTCACAGGGCCTCTAGGCAACCAGGCTTTCACTAGCAGCGGGTATCACTTGCAAAAAGACTCGGAAATACAGGTATTGAACAAAGCAACTTTGGCATTCGCTCGTAGCTCATGTAGTCGCTATATACATTATAAGATAGATATATACAAGAATGTTATGTAGACCAAGAAGCCACGCTCTACGACCTGGCCTTGATGATCTCAGCAGCCTTCTCACCAATACCGTACATGGTAGCCTGGAGATGGCAAGAGGGAATGATGGGAATGATAGAGGCATCAATAACAGAAAGATGCTGAGTACCGTAGACCATCAACTTGTCGCTGACACAGCCACCGTCCCTCTCAGGCATCATGGGGCAGGAGCCAGACGGGTGAGCAAGAGTAGGGCTCAACATAGATTGCGCAAGCAGGGTGTTGTAAATATCCTCGTCTGAAGTGTGCTGAGCACCAGGGACAGTCTCGGAGATCTTCTTGCTGGCGAGCTCAGGGCGGGCCCACACGGTACGGAAGAATCGCAGACCAACCGCCATGATCATACGGTCAATGGGGTTGACGAAAGCGTTGTAGATGACGTTGGGAGGACCGTTGGGGTTCTTGGCGTCAATGTAGACAGTACCGCGGGACAGCGGCTTCTCAACTCCGACGAGGCCGTAGCTGCCATCGGCAGGGACAGGGAACTCGGCGACGGCGGCATCTCTGCGGGAGAAGATGTCGGCGATGACAGCGCGCTGCTTGGCGAATCCGCTAGCAAGCTTCTTGTTGGACTTGTAGATGCTGGGGAGGTAGTCGGTGGCTTTTTGGCTGCTCAGACGGCTGATGAGGCTGTCGGTGTCGTTGGTCATGTCGGGCAGGGAGATGAAAGCCAGGGCGTTACCACGGGCGTAGGTGTAAGGACCAGTCTTGTGCTCGACGTACTGCTCCCACGCAGAGGCGTTGAAGGTGGCGTTGGTCATGAGCGAGTTCTGGTTGGGGAAGTAGTTGGAAGTCGTGTTGAAGACGACGGTGGCGTAGGGGTGGTCCTGGAAGTTGGAGCCTACTGCGTCGAGCTCAACCTTGACCGGGATACCGGCAGCCTTCAAGACGGACTTGGGACCAATACCACTGAGCTGGAGGAGCTTAGGAGTCTGGATAGCACCGGCAGCCAAAACAACTTCCTTCTTGGCGTAGAAGGTGGCCTTCTTGCCAGTCTTGTCGGTCACCTCGATACCAGTCGCCATGGTCTTCTTCTTGCTGTCAAAGATGATCTTGTCGGCAGTGGTACCGGTAAGGATGTGGAGGTTGGCACGAGTCTGGATGGGGTCATAGTACGCGTAACGAGCGTGCGCACGACGTCCAGTGGTAGCGTCCATGGTGTTGGCGTACCAGGAAGGACCGTAGGCCTCACCGGCGTTTCCATCCTCGGGGATGTAGACACCGGAAGCCTTCCATGCCGCCCAGTAGTCCTTGATATCCTCGTACTGGTTGGAGGTGATGGAGACCTTCAACGGTCCGTTACCGTAGGTTGACTCGTCCCAAGTGATGTTGAAGTCCTTGACAACATCGGGAGTGGGAGGCTGGAAAGTGGTGCCCTTGATAAAGGCCTCCTCCATTCCCTTCCATCCCCATCCCTTGTTGCCAAGAGCCTCCCAGGCATCGTAGTCGGCAGCAGAGCCACGGTCGTAGACCATGCCGTTGATGACCGATCCACCACCAAGGACCTTGGCAACGATAACCGCATAGGAAGTGTTACCAAGACCTGGCTCAGGGAGCGAGTTGATGTTCTCCCAGATCAGACCGGCAGCCGAGGTCAAGTCGTTGGCCTTGTAGGGGATCTTGGTGTTGTCGGTGTCGACATTGTCACCAGCTTCGACAACAAGAACAGTCTCTGTCAATCTGTATTAGTACCTCTCAAACAACTAATGTGTCATGATACATACTGCTCTTGTCCTCGGTGATACGGTTGGCTACAATCAAACCAGTAACACCTCCTCCTACAATAACGTAGTCATACTGGGGCTTGGCGGCAGCACCAAGAACAGGTGCTACAATTACAGCAAGAAGCTGAACAGCAACGGCTAAACGGGAAAATGCAGGCATCTTGAAAATCCAAAAGAAAATAAGTTTAAACGAGGGTAAATTTGGATGCGCGCTGCAATGAACTTTCAAAGGGTGCACCCACTAGATGCTTTATACGGACCGAACAAAACACTTACTCGCTGCTCACATTGGTCGAGAACATGTTCGCCACGTGGGAAAGCCGATATTGGGATGAAATCGGTAAGATAACACCGCAAAAGTAGTCGGCCCACAAATACCACAGAGCGAACGATAGCTTGGTAAATTGTTTGTATGCAATGTGGCGCGGTGCTGGCGGCTGCCATGTACACATCCGTTCTAGAATGCGAACCTGTAATCCTTCTGGTAGGGGTTCAGAATCCTAGGCCTATAAAACAGGGCGCATAGAGATCGTGCGCTTGCTCCTCCCTGACTCCTGGTGAACATCAGGGCCTTGTGGGCTCCGTCTCGGTCCGGGGCCGGGGTGCCAACGTTCTTCCACCAGAGAAGATAAGCTCGCGGGAGTCAAAATTGGAGCGAGGTACGTTCGGTGGGCTGATGTTGCGGTGGGCCGATGCAAATCTCTGCGGCTCGTATGTAGAGCGTAGAGACGGACCGGATGAACGATTCATGGTCTTCACACACCGGGAGCCACGCCCCGCTTTTGGACGGAAGACAAGACAGAAGACACGGGCAGATGTCCTCGGCTATAGCCTAGCATGTGATTGAGTTTGAGCTACAGGTGTAGCAACGGCAGCGGCGTAAACAACACAATACGAATCTGGGGTACGTTTAGGGTCCCATGAGCGCATTATTACTTCGGAGATTTCGCAAAGGACTGCACGAGGGATGCGGCGCCCCTGGGACTCGGCAGGTACGGTTTTACGGTAGACGCAACGTGATAAGGCCACCAGGAGACCCGGATCTCTGATTCGCCATCTGAACCTGTCTCGGGAGGCCTGGTACTGGTACTGGTACCGCGGTTTCGGAGAGTGGGCGCCCTTTCGGGGTCAATGTCCTGCTCGCTTGCAGAGGACAACCCGCTAAGCTTTTGATCAGCATATCATTTCCTTTTCTTTTTCCCGGAATTTAGGCTTCGTAATAGTCGTTCCAATGAGGTACATTGCAAGTACCGACGGCGCACAAGTCTTGTTCGTTGACGTTTAGTGCAAATTGACCGGTGAGAAGGCGAATCTGTTTGAGTACGTTAGAGTATCTTTCTGCACGTCTGACGTTACTTCAGAACGCTGAATCAGAGGCTTCTAGTGGCGACCGTGACCAGCGGAGTAGTAGAAACCCGGCCCCCTTGAGCTCGCAGTTCCGCGTTCTTCCCTGTAGTTTGAGTTTTAGACTCGGTCGGTCGGGTCGCGACAAGGGTCCACATTCTGCGGGCCAACGACATGAGCCCGATGAAATATCTATGTACCTTGAAGTATAATCGTTTCAGACTCGGTCGCACGCAGATGACTTCTTGCGGCACGACGTGGGAAATGAAGATGCATTGTTGCGTTGTCGTTGACGGCAGTTCTTTCGACTCCAGAGTGCTGGAAAGGAATAAGGATCTCGTGGGACTGGTGGCGCAAATGGTGGCTTCGGTTCTTGATACCGGTGAGGGACGGACGGAGAATTCCACGGCATTGTTCTAGCTAGCACGCTAGAGGCACTAGTACCACTAGCTTCGTCTGGCCTGACATTCGCTACCACCTCTTCCACCATTCCCATCTTCTGGTGAGATAGACGAAAGATCGCGCAACACGTCCATGCGGCAACACCGAGAACCGCGGGACGATGCAAGATCGCACGTTCGCCCTGAGGCCCATCGGGCGGGTAAATGCGTGCGCACTGAGTGTCCCACCAGCGTTGCGACCAAGGTTTGCGAACCTCGGATCTGCAACAAGATCTACAACATGCGTCGTCGTCTTCGATTGTTCTCCTGCTCATACATAGCCACGGATCCTTCTCTACATGGTGTGACCTGTCCGGCTGTGTAGTGTACACTTGATTCATGGAGTCCCGCCCGCCGAGCTTTCTGCTCCAATTGGGCCAAATTGCAGTGTGTGGGGCCTCAATTTATGCGGCATCACTTCCAATTCAGCTCGGAGTGCGTGACCCTAGGATGCACTCCCAGAGATCCCCGTGTTGGAACGTTTCGAATGACGGTCTCGAGCGAGTGCACCTTCTTTGATCGATCTGGCGGCCTTCTCCCGTCGCCGCAACCGTGCTGTTTAGCTTTCGCTTCGCCAGTTCTGACCCAGTGCGGCCGACACGAGAGATGAGTGGCGCTGAAGAACATACTTGAAAACCCCCGACGCACTCCCGTTCATTGAGTGGACGTTTGCTTTTTCTCCTTGCTCACCGATTGTGACCTTTGCAACCCATGCCATAGCGCATTCCGAACGACCCCGCCCCAGTGCATTATGGACACCGCAGGCACACAGGAATGGCCGGACGAACGATTGAAGGTCCTTATCCCGGTGTGGACCTTAACGCTGATTAGTACCGCATTCTTGGTATGGAGAGTCGTGTACGGACTGCGATCGCGCAAGTTCATCATCTGTGATTACCTGTTGATCATTGCCACTGTAAGTCTCGGCGTGCTTCAGCCCTACAACCTCGCCGACGGTACGGGACACGGTGCTGATATGGTGATCTCAGGGTCTCAACATCGCAGCGACGTCGCTCAATCAAGTAGTCGTGAACAATGGTCTTGGACGCCATATCATGGACCCTACGGTCTTCCCGAATCTCAGAACCTACAGTTACTATCTATGGATCACACAGATCGTTAGTAAGTTTGCAGCACTATACTCATCTTCTTGTTTGCTGACGTGTAGCGCGCAGACATCATTGCCGTTGCGTTTCTGAAGTGGTCCATCTGCGCCTGGCTGCTCGTGCTGAACTTCTCCACGCTGTACCGAGTCATTATCTGGCTTTCAATCTTGATGGTTACTGCCTTTAACTTCCTTGCACCAGTTCTGACATTGTTCGGATGTACACCCCTGGAGCGAAATTGGAACTTTGGATACACTGGAGAAAGCCATTGCTGGGCGAAAGGCACACTCGCGCTATCCTACTTTCAGGGTATCAGCAACATCATCACAGATGTAGTCTACATGGCTGCACCTCTCATCTATCTTTCGCGCGTCCAGTTGAGCAAGCGAACTCAATGGGGTATTCGCATTGTCTTCTTGCTCAGTATTCCGTAAGCGAAAACGTCCACAAGCTATATGACCTCCGCTGACGTTCTGTAGTGCAACGATATGCTCAATCTTCAAAACCATCGAACTCAAGTCGATCACTAAAACGCAAGACCCGACATGGGACGGTGTCTCTCTCACTATCTGGTCCAGTTCTGAACTCTCAATCGGTATCCTCATCGCATCGCTTCCACCGCTCCGCAAAGCATTCGATCACATCTTCAAAAGGATCCTACCCTCGACCATCACTGGTTCAGGAAAGACACCACAATACGGCTACGGTCGCTCCACCGGCCAAGGCGCAAACAGCATTCATATGAAGAACTTCCAAGGGAGCAAAGCCTACCACTCCCGATTACCCGGCGAAAGTATCCTAGACGGCGACGACGAGAGCGATCGAGCCATCTTGCCCGACGACGAGCACAAGGGCCCTGGGATCATGAAGAGTACCAATGTCCAAGTCACCGTCTCGGAAGATGTGGAAGAGGCAGGGAGTAGTTCAAATTCCAAAGGCGGCGAGAGCCCCAAGATGTATAAACCAGAGATTGACTGGGCGAGTCCACACTTGGAAAGTGGCGATGGTCCGCATCACCAGGCTCGGTAATGACGATTTTTTAACGGTCGAAAAAGGAAGATTCCATTTGTGTATATATATAGTTTAGGTCTATGTTGGGCGGTGGCTGGACTGCCTCCATGGTTGGATACCCACGTTTTCATGTACATGATACAATATCATCATGTCTCGAGCGAATAGCTCGTAACGACAACATCTTCTTGACTGGTGTGAGCACATGTTTCATTAATCCATTGCCCTGTCCGATCTATCGCAAACTGGTACAAGGCAGTTTGATGCCCGGCTGAATCTTCACCGAAAGGATCACTACACTTCTTATGTCGCTTGGCAATATTACGCTAGCTGGGCATAACTCCGATAGTAGACGGTTGTCACTTTGGTGGCGCTTTCACATCATCGACAGCTGGCGCAGCAGGAATGAGGGTTGCACACGTATTTATGCAAATGCAGTGGGGGACCAGAGCCGACTGGGTTGTACACGCTCCTTCCAGTCCCGCTTTATGGTGGTTGCTGTATGAATGTGACAAGAGCCAGATATGTCCCTAACCATGTAAATCCACTTTGCCATATATGCAAACCCAAGTGAACATACGAAACGAACAGAAAGGTTCAAACTACTCCCTCATTACCTCTCTTTGACGCGTAGAACGATAACAGAATTGACGACCTTGGTCCACGGATGTACTTCGGCGAGAATATCAAACCCAATAGTCTGGAGGTCTTCGGATAACTCCAATATCTAAATTTTTGTCAGCCATTCGGTCCTTCTAGACGATCACGCAGAGCAAGTATCATTACTGACCGGATACAATACACTCCGCATACCCTGTGCACTTCTTGCTACCACTAATGTCCCAGGCGCCAACTTCCCCGCCATGCTCTTCAATATGTTGAGCTTTGTATAGGTATCTGTGCCGACAAGCGCGGCAAGAAACACCACTTCACATGATTGCCATCCTGATGTCGACGATGTTGTTTCTTTTGTAACGTCTTCGCACGCGAAACTCATGCGGTCGTCCTGGTAGCCCAATCGCTTGCACAAACTTTCGCTGACAGACAACGCGGTGGTATCTCTATCTATGTTATACACCCGCGAACTAGGGTGGCGATCCAGGAAACACAGGGAGGTGAGTGGTAATGGGCCGGAGCCGATGAATGCGATTTTGGATGGCGGCGTCGGGAGGAACGCTTCTATGGTTGCGCATTCCAGCCGAGAAAGATCAACATAGTTTTGATAGTATGGGAAGGTTTGAAGAACACTCGAGGTTTGTTGTTGTCTCGCTGATAATGGTTAATCGTTTTGTCGAAATGATATACTATATGGCTGAGTTGTACTTACTACTGAGATCGTTGAGCATACGCTTAGCCCAGAATTTCTCCAACTCTCCTTCGGCTTCTGAACATAGTGGTCGTAGATTTGAGCAAAGACTTTCGATACCGGGTATACGGAAGAAATATGACGTGAATTCCGTACTGTAAGGTACAACACAAAGATTCACGAGTTGTGTGAGAAGAGAATTGACCTGTTCTGAAGGTGCTAACGACGATAGTCCGCTGAGTACCGTGTATATTTCTCTGATCTCGGAGACTAGCCGGTGCGCCGCAGTGCTTGTTGCGTTCGGTGTGACGGGAGGGGTGACGGCAAGAACGGAATCGACAGGGGTAGTCGGCTTGGATTGTTGCGTCGTAGTCTTGCGTTCAATGTCCGCCATATTGAAATGCAAGTAATAATGTTGTTTTTCGCTGTTATGTCAGGCTGTATGGTTGTGTTTGTGTATCTTACTAGATACGAACCATCAGTTTGGCAAAGTTTTATACGTGACTGTCAATGTCAGCTGTTGCACGAAGAACAAGCAGCACACGTGCGCAGCTGTAGACTAGAAAAACTCTTTTCGCGTTTGCCATGTGTCAAACGCATTAAGCGGTAATATCGTTTGTCTGGTTGGCTGAGTACCATGATGGTCGTGTGGGATAGTAAGTTTAGCTAGGGATGACCCGAGATACAAGCGGGATCTATGCTCAATGTAGTACAAATGTGTGGGGTTGGATACTTGTTGGGCATAAAATGTTGAAAGAAGACCTATAGACCTTACTCCGGAAGCAGGCACGCATTATGACCCGCATCTTCAGGCCCTAATGGCAGTGTGCAGATCAAAGTCCTCTCTTTCGCCCGCAGCTTCCCATTCGAATGTTCGAAGAGTTCGAAGAGTTCGAAGTTTGATTGACGGCCGCTCTAGCCGCTCAGTCGCGTGTATCATGTCGATGGCTTGCCGGGCTGATGTCAGGCGTGGAGGTAATAGGCCATCGAGAGACGCCTCACCACTTAAAATCTTAACCGAGGAAGCCTTTCATGACTGAGCCGTCAATAGACTCGTTTGCCCCCCACCCACGTCTCTCTCACTGTCATCTTCCTCAAAGACTCCGGGTCCAAGGATTCCAACTGTTCATCAAGCACTATCCAGTCCGCATACGCCCCTGCCTCGATGACACCAGCTTTGCCTTCTAGAAACGCACCGTATGCAGCATTTACTGTAAATCCCTCTAGAGCTTGCTCGAAAGTGAGGCGTTCCTCAGGGTACCAGCCGGTCTTGCCACCATTCGGATCTAGGCCTGTATGTGGACTCCGTCGTGTGATCGCTGCATACATTCCTTCGAAAATACTCGCGGGCTCCACTGGAAAGTCACTTCCAAGGACTGGACGAACTGGTAACAATGACCGCATTCTGTAAGCCTCATCTTTTGTTCGTTGTTGACCAAGTCTACTCTCCGCATACCCCATATCCGAGGTCGCGTGCGTGGGTTGTATCGACGCAATGATGCCAAGGTCTAACATTCGACGCTGGTCATCTGGATGGATAATCTGGGCGTGTTCGATACGGAAACGATGTTTAGCTTGACAGTCGCGGGGGTCAGCGTGGGGGCACAAGCTTTTCAAGGCTGCCTCAAACGCGTCAATCGCAAGCCTGTTAGCAAGATCCCCTATCGCATGGATGTTTACTTGATATCCTGCGTTGACGGCCCAGTCATGCGTCACACGTGACAGTGTAGTTGCGTTGACAAGGAGCGAGCCGGAGGACTCCGGCAAGTCGCTGTATGGCTCGATCATAGCTGAGCCCCAGGAACCCAAAGCTCCATCTATAACACGTTAGTCTATAGATGAGATTGGATCATCGGAACATACCTCCGAAAAGCTTGACGCTCCTCACATGGAATTTTCCATTTGACGTCGAAACCTTCTTCACAGCTTCAGGACAAAACGTGTTGCGCACATCGCATTCGATCATGGCATTGACTCTGACAGTCCAGTCCGGATGGTTCGCAAGCTCTTCATAGAGCTCCAAGTCTCCTGGTACTACGCCGGCGTCGTGCATTCCGACAATGCCATACTTGTTTAAGTCAGACATCGCAGCTTTGATGAACTCGGTTTTGCGCGCCTTGTCAGGCTTCGGGTAATGCTCCAGGACGATATCCATGGCATTGTCGCAGAAGACACCCTTTGCTGGGACATCGCCTCCGGGAGGTACATTGAATGATGGGAGAAGATCGAGCACCTTCTCGGATACCCCTGCAATAAGCGTACTGAGTTAGCGCATCTCTCATACTTACCCGCTCATTGGGGTTTACTCACAAATGCAATGTACGTCAACCTACACTAAGTCAGCATATGTTGCGGGTGCAGCTCATACTGGGAACTAACCCGATCCAGCATGACGTAAAGATTCTTGAAGCTGTCATCTAGCTCTAGATCTGCCTACGCGAAGGTTTAGTAGGAGTATAGTTGCCATAAACAGTTCGACCTGATCAGTAGTAACGTACTGCGGTAGGCCACTTCCCCTCAAAATGAGCTTGATCCCAACCAACGCCTCTCAGCCATTGTTCACTAGATCCTTTTTCCGGACGGGCTGCCCTGTACTCTACCAGCCTTTTCTGCACCTCATCCATAGATTCGGCACCAAAGAGGCTCACGGAATCTAGAGACTCTCCAAACTGTATCAAGTGACCGTGTCCATCCCACAGACCGGGATATACGTATCCAGTACGTGCTTCTTTGACTGTATCATCGGATGCATAATCTACAAAGACGCTCGAGAATTTGCCGTCATGGATGGTGAAGCATTCTGCCTGTGGAAGCTTCGACGATAATGTCCTGACGTTCTTGTAGCAGTGTGTGGGTACGAACAAATTCGGAAATAGTGTGGATGGTACGTGCTCGCTGATGAAAGCGGGGAGGCCGATCTGATATATCAGAGCGGCCAGAATCACAGGCAGTGATACCGAAAGAAAACTGAGAAGGGTAGGCATAATGCCCTTTCAATTGCTGTTGGCGTTGTTCGGCGTTCGTGTCACCCAGGTTTTGCTCACCAGAAAAGGAATTTGGCAAGCGATAAGCGAGGGCCAATGACGCGACCGAGGAGAAGATCAGCATCGCGACCAATCGCGCCCAGCCTCCCTTCTGCCTCGAATTGTCCAAATAGTCCCGTCGCATCTAGTTAAAGGGCGTGGAAGCTCAGGAGCGTCACGCCGTGAGTGTACACTGCTCGACTGTATACGTTCTCAAATTGGAGTACCCACTCGATTCGGATGGCGCCGCTCGTGGGCCCGTTCCGCCCGCTCTACTGGCTCCTTGTCAACAAAGCAGTAGCTTTCGAACAAATTCCGGTCTACAATATGCATGCGTCTTTTGTATGGCAGTTTCAGTGAGCTCCCTCGTGCTCGATTGCTAGATCTGAACGGGTCGCGTCGTGAAGATGGCATCCAATCGGAAAAGGGCGGTGAGCGAAGCTACCAGCAGGCTTCGTGCATTTCTTCATCACAACTCGTTCATACCGCACACCGGTGTACACGCATTAGGCCAATGGCCCCTCTTCCCACCGCGCCTCTCGACTTGACTCCACCCTAGCTCCACCTTGGCGCAAATGAAGATTGGATGGGAATGTCGAATGCTGAATGGAAAGGCTGGGCGTGCAGCAACGCTAGTGTGGGGGCCGACTCTAAGATTCCTACACGACATAAGCCGAAAGCTTTGCGACGTTCAAATTTGAGTATAGCTCTTACATGTCGGATCACACGGCTTTGAGCACACCAGATGGCAACGACTGAGCTCGACGACCTTCGGAAGCAGTTAGAGTCGCTCCAGCGATCTCATGACGCGCTACTGAAGAGCTTATCAGTAACGAACGACACTTTCAAACCTTCGGAGGCTCAACACCTCCGTCGCACATCCACACGACATGGCGGCGATGCCATCTTTGCCGATACCTCGACACTATCTGATGACAGCAGCGACGATGAAGACGACTATTTTGTCCAAGACGAGCTACCTTCCCACTCATTCGACCATGAACATCTCCGCGAACACTTGAAGACTCACGACTGGACTGAACATGGCAGAGAGATTCTTTCTTCAATCATCTCCGATCCCGCGAAGCTTACCAAACAGCCTCATCTCTTTCATATGGGACCCGGGCCAGCGGATGACCGAAGCCACTATTCACATTTCCAAGTGTATAATGTCGGGCCTAACGGTTTGCCAGAACAGGTTGAAGTGGCTGGCCCCGATAACAACATGAGTCGAGCTACAGAGATTTGGCATGCACTACGAGACATTGGAAAACGACCGGATGAGAAGGTGGTCGGACGTATCACCATTGCGCGAGAACCTTCACCCATCCTGTTCGGTGCACTGCATCTGACAATGCATGATGCTTTCGACATGGACGAACTATTTCGACACTTAGTCGAAACAGAAGCATCGTCTGCGCACATGTTCCGGGCCTTCAATCAGAATCCTAAACACCAGCGAACATTCTTCTTCAACTTTGAGTATTATACCATTGTTGGAGATGATTGCGTGCCGATGCAATGGCAGCGTGCGGATAAAATTACAGGCCACTCTGATCATCACATACCACTTTCGCGATGCAGTGCCGTTGTTGCGCTAGTGCTATATGACGACAAACCACGCCGGATCCGCAACAGAGGAAGACGTGCGAAAACACAGTTCGGATGGGTGAACGACGTGTGGTCGCCATGGCAGGTCTTGCAACTTGAGAGCTTTCCGGACTGGAAGTCGACACCAGCGAGTGGAACCCCATACACTTTCGAGACAGGCCACAAGTTCTTGAATGGCGCGGAAGCGTTTCTCCATGCTTTGCTGACAGAATATCGGGATGCAAGGAAAAGATTCGACGAGATATATAAACGCATTACCGACCTCGTCACCCCACCTTTAGGCTTCTTGTTCAGCGAGGAGCTACGATCAGCGCGGTTGTTCGAGGACAAGGATTTTACATGGATTCGCCGGTATTTCTACGCCCACCAAACGTTGGGTAACGTCAACAACAGCATCAAGTCCATGATCGACGCCTTCGAAGACACGTTCACCGATGACATCTGGGAAGGCCAGAATAAAACGCTATGGCCACTATTTGAGGAGTCGCCGCGCAATGACCATTGGAAGCGCCGCCTGCGGTCGCTAAGGCTCCAATTTGAACGAGAGATGAAGGAGCTCCGAACGATCATTGCGGAAAACAACGAACGACGTCATGAAATTGCGACCTTGCAGGAGCAGTTGTTCTCGGGTACTAGTATTCAGGAATCTCGTAAGTCTGTTGAGCTGGCGGACGTTACCGTACATCAAGGATACAACATCAAGGTCTTGACTATCGTCAACCTCTTCTTCATGGTATGTTAGCAATGCTGAGATATGGCTTCATATCTACGTGTGACTGACTCGTTGATAGCCTCTTACATTTGTAACGTCCGTCTTTGGTATGACGAACATGCCGGAGAGTCCAGCACCGTTCTGGCCATTCGCAATCGTTCTGGTAGCAATTTGCATACCCTTCTTCAGCATCATCGGTTTCCTCTCAACCAAATACGGCTACGCCATCTGGGCACAGAAGACAAAGGAACTATGGCGATGGCTGAGACCGAACAGCAAGTCCAAAGTTCCTGACGACACGGATCTGGCACCGCCAACGGGCGTGAACAGGACCATGTCGACGGAAGCGGGCATGCGATTACGACTGGGTGACAGGGATGGTATGCATATAGGGGCAGGTATGTCAAGAAGGCGATCAAGTGGGAGGCCTGCACCTAGTCATCCGCACATCCAACGCATGGTGGAGAGAATGGGCGAGGGGCGGGAAAGCGGGCTCGTGCGCATGGGCACCGTTGCGACTGACGAAAAGTCAGACACAGAAAAAGAGAAGATTATGAGCACAGGTAGGGACGCTATCATTGATATTCGAGAGCCTTAGCATTACATATCAAAAGCACCTAATCCATCCATGTCCACCTCACCACTCCATTCTTTCGGTAAACTCCAGTCATTCTCATCGCCCAACGGCATGAAATCGAGATTGACCCCTTCGATCCCCCCACCATTGCCACCACCGCCACCACCACCACCACTTGTACCAAGATCGTCAAACGCGCTCAGCTCGGGGAAATGTGCGTTGGCAAGTTGGTTTATCGGATCCTGCGGATCGTAATCCGCACCCATCCATGCGCCCGAATTGCGATTCGCAGCATGAGACGACAACGTGGTAGAAGGGGTAGATAGGTTGTGAGAAAGCTCAGGAGGCTCGGACAAGCTAGGCCAGCCCGTACTACCGAGTTCACTCCGCGGCGTCACCAAGATATACCCATCGTTGTTCTGGCCGGACGGGTCATCGAAGCGAGGTGGCGGGGGAGCTTTGATACTAAGTCCGCTGTGTCGACCATGATCAGACGACGGCATACTCATGGTAGTGCTCATACTCATCGTCCTCGTTTTCCTGCTGTTTCCGCCGGTACCTGCTCGCGGTCTGCCGCGGCTGGTTTGTCGTTTCTTGGCCCATTGTTGGCTGCTGTCGGCGTCCATGTCTATTGTGCTGCCTCTTCGCGCTGGGACGGTCGAGGATGCGGGCTTGTACAGATTAAAGTGTGTAGAATTGGGGGGTTCGGGGCCGCCGCGTAGTTCGACCATCACGGCACGGAGGACGGTCGACATGCGTTCTGCAGGTTGATAGGTGGATGCCATGTCTGATAGGGCGGCGGTGAGGCATTCAAGATATTGCATGTTGTTGGCGCGGGAGGTGGGGTCTTTGATAAATGCTAGGGCTGCTACGAGGGCTGTTGCTGCTGTGCCCTGGATAAGATGCTGTTAGTAAGTAGGGAGGATGGGGGATAGTGGTGACACATACTGCGTGTTGCATACCCGTTACGAATATCTGCTTCGTGTCGAACCGTTGGCGGTGTTGCCAGTATATCCTGGCTACGCGAATGGCATGTTTCGTGCATACTGTCCTGCTCAGCGCCGAGAAGTGGTCGTCAGGTCCAGTCTCGTTGCCTGCTTGGTCTTCGTATAACGCGAACGGCCGGTGGAGGAGGATCAAGCTAGCATGGTACTGCTGGTGCAACAAGAAAAACGAGAAGGGAGCCGTCGCAATATTAGCTGGCGTCCAGCGCAACTGCTCCGGCAACCTAGCGTACCAACTGCTGAACTCGCGATCCAGCGCAGCCATGCGCATATATTGGTTTCGGTCCACCGCGGTGTGCGAGTCAGAAGCAGTGTTCTGCGAGCGGTGCGGATCCATATTCTCAGTTATCTTGCCAGCGAGCTCCATGAGGTCGAGAAGTGCTTCGTATATCATAGTTTCCATGCTCTTCCCTAATCCAGCGGGACGGCATGTACCAAGCCGTTCAAACTGCTTGGTCAAGTGATATATCTCGAGATCAGAAGGTTTCATTGATGTCGGACGGCCCAGGAAAAGTGCCCAGTACTTGTCGTATATGACGCATGCCCAAAGCGTCATTTGGCGGATCTCAACCTCGCGTTCTGGCAGACCGGATAGTCTTGTATCAAGATGAAGACTAGACAAACGTCAATACATCATCTCGTTTTCCTCTCAAGAAGACTTACCCAATGTCAAAAGCAAGTCGAACGGCCATCCCGCCGTACATCCACCCCAGATTATCTCTACCGACACCACACTCGAGGTCGCCCAACAACAACAAGGCAACAACGCTGGGTATTCCACCTGGTCGCTCTAGCTCATGATCAAGCATGTACTTTGCTTCGCGATGCAGTGTACTTTCCATACCCGGCAGACCGATTCTTCTTATGTCGAGCCTCTCTTTATTCGCAAAGCGGTAACCCATAGCCAAAACGCAAACATGTAGGAACCCGGAGTAGAACTGTGTTCGGCCATTCTCACGATCTTCATTGAAGGCATCCTGGTGCAAGACATGGATAACAGGATTATAGCATTGCCAAAATAGATCCATGAGGTAATCATACGTTTCAAGTGGAAGGGACCGGATGATCTTGTCTGCGCGTCGAGCTTGCTCGTTCATCTCTTGGGTTGCGCCAAACGGGTTGATAGATTCGGAATGCACGTGGCAGTTTGTTGTTGGGCCAAAATATCGAAGGCGGCCATTGAGTTGATCGAAGCTGAGATGACCGCGCGTGGAGAGCAGACGGTTTACCATGCCATCCTTCTTCGGAGGTGGCAGTATGGACGGCGAGCCAGCGCTCTCTGCGTCGCCGTTTGAGAAACCGGGGCTATTCGTGTTCATCTCGTGCTGTTCGAATACAGGATAGTCGTCTTGAGGACTACATTGGCTACTTGGGCTGGAGTTGTTTTCGTCGTTGGCCACTTGGTTATCACCAGTTTTGCGGCTGGGAGATGCGCCGTCTTCGTCGGGTTGAGGATTATGGCGCGTCTTGGGTGGGTGATTCGCTGGTGGCAACTCCTCACCTCGTTCTTTCAGCATCGTCTCTAATAGTGCTACTCGATCAGTGAGAGAGCACATATACGCCCTCGAGATCGGTCTATCGATTTGTCAGCTCGATACAAGCTCGTGGAATCACACTACGAACCGTCTTCGTTCGTCGTCATTCTTGATGATGCATTCCACACCTGATCTCTTACACTGTGTGCATTCCGTCTCGCCCGGAGGTACCACACACTGCGAAGTCGTCAGAACACATCTTGGAGATAGCTAGGGCAGACATACACGTATCCGGCGGTCGCGGCACGAGGCGCAAGCGACAGACGCCCTGTGTCGAGGTTTCGAAGACTTCCCTTTTGATGATCCTTTCTCCGACGTACCTTGCTCCTGCTTGCTGCCAGCTTTGGGAGCAGGTTCCTGTGGATCTGAATGCTGTTCGTTCATCTTATCTTCAGCTGTCATTCTACTCTCACTGGCCATCGACTTTGTTGCTCAAATGATGAATGAAGGTTACTGTCTCACAGGCTGAGAATGGCTAGGAGAAGATACCGGTGTATCGCGCAGTGTTGTGAACGTTGCGTGAAGGAAAGTCGTAGATCCGCCAGAGAAGACGGCTCTCAAGCCTAAACTCCGACGTCCGCAAACATGAAGCGATCCAGGTCCAGCCTAGTGCTAAACGTCCACCGCCAGCTGTTGGAGAGAGAATCAGGCGTTCGACCCGTGGAGGTGGGGCCCCGCAGTTTCACTGTACTAGGCAGTTTTCATGCTATGCGCCCACGTTTGGCAGCTTGCAAATTTCTTCGCGAAAGCAGGCAACGAAAGGACATGTAGCTAGCAATGGCGCGGGCTCGACGTGCTCGGAACGACCTGAACCCTGATCCGGCGAGTCGTGATCCACGAATAGCGAGAGCCTGCAGAATCGAGAACACCTGCCTGCTGGAGGGCAAATCTACTGCAGGGTTCTTTTTTGCCCTCCCTCCACATCTTCGTTAACCGGCATTGAGCCGATCTTTGCGGAGAAGCCTACAGCTGACGTAGGAGCGTATTGCGGGTCACTTGGTAGGGCACGACAAGTCGCTTCGTCGCCTCGAGCCCATTGTCACATAGACCAGTGGCGTCAGAAGTTCGCATCTGTGCTCAGTCTGGGGCCGCTCTGCATTCATACAAGGCCCAATTGCAAGCCATGGCACACTGTAGCGTCGTACCTATATGGCGGTAGTCGGGAATTGCGATTCGTGTTGATGCGGAGCGAAGCAGAAATCTGGGGAAGCATGAGTCGAAACATGTCGCGATGAGCGGGGTTGAAGCTTGCGATTGGCGAGGCGGAGTCTCGGGGAGCTAGCAACCTAGTTACCATCGTGATGTTTGCCTCTTGGCGCTTTTGCTGGGACTAGGAAGCGAGCATCCGAAATATGCAATCCAGGGTTTTTGTTGGGCTAGCCATAGTGACTATAGCTTGTTATGCACATCGGGCTTCTTAGCGAACTTCGTCGGACGCCGTGCGGAACTGAGGGGTTCTTGATACCACTGGAGCCGCGACGTCACTGATGCTCGCTGATGCCTTGCAAGAAAATGGGCAGCCATAGTGATGCCCGGCAACGGATGTATGAGCAATGCAATAAGAGTTCAAGGGAAGTAGTTCGTCAAATAGCTAAGCTGTGAACGCTGATGGAAAACGCCCAGCACGCTCGGATGCCAATCGAAAAGAAACAGCCCGAAACCAAGGCCCAGAACTAGCTCCAATAACCGACGGGACGCCTGATCCATCGAGACGTGTCTTCTCAGCCCCAGCCACCAGCCCACCACAAAAGAATCAAAGAAACGTGTCGCATGTCTCCTTCCCAGCAGCTCAGTCAACATCCCACTCGTGGTCGTAGTTCCGAATATACGGACTCAAACCGTGCATGTCCCTCATTTTCGTCGCCTTCACGTCGCCATTGCCCAGGAAAGCAAATCGGTTCTTGTACCGGTATACGTAGTCGTAGTCTTCCCAGCGTGGTGTCTTGATAGATTTGAGGAAATGTATAGTCTAAACCATTCTTGTCAGCCATGCGTCGCTCCAATGCGGGGTTGATAGGGGATAAGCGCAAAGACGGGCGGGGATGCGCGACGGAAAACTACTTACAGCGCCAGGCCACAGGTAAATCCTATTCTTGATCTGCCCATTCTTGAACCAACTCCTGCATTCTTCTTGCCACACAGTTGTCTTGTGGAATTCGTCGAAATGCGCATATATCTCATCTAGAGCGTCCTGCTTTACGCTCATAGCTTTAATCCCTTCAGTCTGCATCTTCTTCATGCACTTGATGCTATACTCGACCGTTGTCTCAATACTCGGTATGAGCGTACCGTTACTCCAGGTCGCACCGGGGCCAACAATGGTATAGAAGTTCGGGAAGCGCGGTGCGGATACACCCATGTAGAGGTTAGGACCATTGGTCCAGTCTTCCTTGATGGATACGTTGGAGCCGTTGCGGACGGTAAAGGCAGGTTGAAAGGCGACCTGGAAACCCGTCGCGCAGACGATAGCGTCAAGTTTGTGAATCTTTCCGTCGCGCGTCTTGATACCTTCAGGCACTACGCGTTCGATGTCGTCGAAGACTGGTGTCACATTGTCTTGCACTAGAGCTTCGAGGAAACCGTCGCCAGGCGAGATGCGCCGGCAGCCAACAGACCATTTGGGAATGATGAATTCTTTGAGCTTCTCGTGGCCAGGGCCCATGCGACGATGCATCTCCTTGGTAATGACATCCTTGAACTGATTTTGAAGTTCAGAGTTCTGCTGGTACATTCCGAATAAGCTGTTGATCTCTGCTTCGATCTTCTTTCGGAATTCCAGGTGGTACTCGGGGTCTTCCTTGAACTTTTTGATATCCGCTTCGGTAAAGGTATACTGCCTTTGTCCTGGGTCGACGTCTTGTCCTTTTTGTAGATCATCGTTGAGTGCGCCAGCACCAAAAGGGGGCGATATCCACGTCGGACTCCGCATGTAGACTTCTAGCCCTTTCACAATCTTTTGGAGTGAAGGTACGATCTGCACGCTCGTCGAACCAACACCGATGACGGCCGCGGTTTTGTTTGTGAAGTCGACGCTGTGGTCCCAGCATGCAGAGTGTAGAACGGGACCCTTGAAGTCATGTAGGCCCTCGATATCCGGCCACTTCCAGTTGTTCAGGATACCTACCAATCGTTAGCACTATGGAAAAGGTGAGATATCGAGAGCTTACCTGAGCCGTTCACCAGGACGTGCGCCCAGTCCTTCCTCATCGAACCAGTCTTCGGATTTCTTATGGTGAGGCTATAACAACCATCTTCGTCGTTCCAATTTGCTTGCTCAATGCGGCTATTCAACTGCATATATTTTTTGCTTCCATGTCTCTCCGCAAAGTCTTCAAAGTATCCCTGAATCTCCTTGCCCGATGCAAAGAACGTCGACCAATCGGGCTTCGGGTCCCAAGTAAAGTTATAATCATGCGATGGGATATCACACGCAACACCTGGATACGTATTCTCATACCAAGTTCCGCCAAACTGCGCATTCTTCTCGTACAGCGTCAGCTCCCAAGATCCAGGCTCGAGCATCTTCTCCATCTTGTAGGCTAGACAGAGCCCTGATGCACCCGCGCCGACACATGCTACCCGCAGCTTGGCCGGCTTAGAATGATATTGATCGAGGATTCTGTAGGGCCCGTCAATGTGCGATGGCGGGTAGTCGTAGTTGTGACCGTAGCCATTGGTGTTGAGGCCGTTTGGCATCTCAGAACCCCCCATTGTCGCGATTGGTGAAACTGGCCGGCAAGCTTCTGGATCTATCGTAGGGGGTACCCGTGGTTGCATGGAGTGATATAATTAGGGAAGAGAACAAAGCGCGAGTGGTCTACGGAGATGGAGCCTCAAATCCAGCAGATGAGGTTTAAAGACGCAGCACCGTCAACATAAACAAAGAGGCTATGCGGTCGCACCACCATGTCGTGGCAATCCAACATCTCTGCAGTGTTTAGCCGCGCCTCGGGTGTCTTCATACACTGTACATCTCCTTGCACGCCGGTTGGTTGCTGTCATGCGGGATACAATAGGCCTGTTCGCAGGTGCCGTGGCCAGTACGAGACAGCCCCTAAGTTCGCGCGCAATGTGGCTGCATCCCAGGGTTAGCCAGGCCGAGATTCATGACTACGGTGACACTTCGATGCGCCATGGTGGGCATCGAGGGTGCGCATCTACTGAGGGGTCGCGGATGATGTTACGCGGGGCCATTCAGGCACGAACCACACCAAGGTGTAGTTGCCAAGACCTCACTTGTCTCTTTTTGGAACGGTGAAGACGGCGGTGTTCGGCAATAACATCGATGTCATGAAAGCAATCTGTAGTCGGCAGCTTGATTCATGCAACATCTGATTCGGACTTGAGACCTGGTGATCAGGCATTGAGAAGGTTTCTGTACCAGGTCCTCATGCTCGAGCCTGATGGATCTTCGCGCGGTTACTGATTGTCTACTTTGATCGAGTTCACATGGTATCTGACAATCGAGCAACCTAACCTAGCACTGCCAATGGATGCATGTGCGGATGCAATTGGCCCCTTAGTTGGGCATTTGAGCGCTGTCTACAACCTAGCTTTACCCATCTTCTCAGCATCTCTTTTCGCCCACTCCTTAACAACCTTCCTCATAATCTTCCCACTCTGCAACTTGGGCACCTCATCCACAAACGTGATTCCGCCAACAAGCTGTTTGTGTTTCGCAACCTTGATCTTCATATGCGCATGGATATCCTCCGCCGTAGTCTTGCCCTTGTACTCGTCCTTGAGCGCCACATAAGCCCTCGGCCATTCTTGGCCATCAAGCGTGATACCAACGGCAGCTGCGTCGGCAACGGGATCGAACTCGAGGAGCACAGCTTCGAGTTCTGCGGGTGCGACTTGGAGGGCGTTCACTTTGATGAGTTCCTGGGAAAGTGTCAGCGGGTTATGCGGTTGAGAGACGTGAGCGGGTGAAAGGCGTTTACCTTCTTCCGATCGACTATCCAAAACCATCCATTCTTTACCACGGCAACATCACCGGACTTGAGCCATCCATCTGGCGATATGGACTCTTTAGTTGCGGTTGGATTGCGCCAGTAGCCGAGACATATGTTGGGACCGCGGACATGAAGCTCGCCTGGTTGTCCTTCGGGGACTTCGTTGCCGTCGTCGTCAAGAAGCATGCATTCGCAATTCGGGTCCAGTTGACCCACACTTCCAGAGCTTCCAGAGTATCAGCAGCGAACGAAAAGAAGAAGACAATCAGCAGAGATCAAACTTACTCGTCTACGGTACCTCCCGGCACATGTATGGCTCCGCAGGTGACTTCCGTCATACCCCAGCCCTGTACGATCTCACACTGCAGCTTCTTGCTGATCTCGTTCTGGAGCTCTTTTGATAACGGTGCAGCACCGCATAAGATATCAGTCACACTACTCAGGTCATACTTGGACGTCTCTGGCCTCTTGCTGAGCATGACCATGATCGGCGGCGCGACTTGCAGGTGTGTGACTTTATGCGTCTGGATCACCCGCAGGAACTCTTCATATTCAAACTTCTTCATGATGAAGCAGGGTATCTGGAGCTTCTGGGCCATGGCGATGGTGTAAAGCTGGCCGTACGCGTGGTACAAAGGTAGAAAGCCAATCCATGTCTCCCGAGGCCGAGTGTCTGCGTTCCATGGCTTGTTAAGATACCGCATGAAGATGGTTTGTTCCAGGTTCGCGATGAGGTTGTAGTGGCTTACTTCGACGCCCTTGGGCAGCCCGGTAGTGCCGGAAGAGTAGTTGACTGTAGCTGTGGTTGTTGCTGCTTCATGCGCAGACAAGGTCGGGAAGCGGTATGTTTTGCTTTCCGCCGGGGACGGCAACATGTCTCTCCAGTCTTTGCAGCCCTCGACCGGTGCGCAGGGCTCGTCTGAGAAGAGGTGGACACGTCCTTCTGGAAGGCCTGCGCCCTTGGCTGCTGCTACGGCTGCTTTGATCAATGTTGGATGCGCGAGGATAAACTTTGCTTCTGTATTTGCAACTTGATGTATCATCTCTGGATGTTATTAGCACAGCGCCTGCTGCACTTTTAAGATCATCTTACCAGAGACGGTGTATGCTGGGTTTGCGCCGCTGAAGATTCGCTTGGATCCCACGATTCCAAGGTAGGCCACGGGAACGAAGATGTGGTTTGGGGTGAAGATCATGACCACCTCGCCCGGCTTGCTCCCAATGCGATCCAAACCCAACGCCAGCCGTTTCGACCATTGTAGCAACGATTGTGGTGTGAGATGCTGGTCGGTATCTTTGGAATCAATCCAAATTGGTGTGTCGGAAGGAACTGCTCCCTGAGGGAATAGATAATCTAGCAGATTGCATTTTGGAATGTCAAGAGTAGGGAAGGGTGAGGGGAAGGGCATTGCTGCGATGCGGTAGAGAGGATGCTGGGGCTCAGTCAGGGTAGAAAGAAGACGCGAGACAACCGTGATAGCCTTGAAGCCAGACAGCAACAGATGCAAGTGTCTTCATCGTGGAAGAGTGGCTTATAGTGAGGGCTCGTCATGGAAGAGGCGTTGATGCTACAGCCGGCCAGACGAGGTATCCGCGGGGGTGCATTGACGCGACGCGCCGCTTCCGAGGATATCGAACTCCACACTCCGAGCTCCCCACGACACCCACCTACCCCAGATAATCCGTCAACATGGCGCATTGCGAGATTGCTTCTCGTTTGCTGTTTCGCCATCTGCTCAGTCGAATTGGAGATTGATTACCATGTCGGAATTAAAAGACTTCAACCGCATGTTCAGCCTCGACGGCAAGGTCGCGCTGGTCACCGGAGGTAAGCAATGCCACGGAAACAACACCAGCGCATTCTAATCCTCCTCACTAGGCTCGAGGGGTCTCGGCCTCCATACTGCGACGGCATTCCTGCTCGCTGGCGCAAAGAAAGTCTTCATCTCTGCGCGCAAGAATGAAGGAGAGCAGGGCATTGACCAGGCCGTCGACAAGCTCAACAAGCTGCCCGTATCCGGCACAGCAGTGGGCATCGCTGCCAACGTCGCCGATACCGAGGACATTGAGAGACTGGTGAAGAAGGTGCAGGAGACGGACAATAAGTTAGACATCCTGGTGTGCAACGCTGGAGCGACGTGGGGAGGCCCTTTCGACCCGACACCAGACTGGTCGAGCAAGAAGGTGCTGGACCTCAACGTCCGCGGTGTCTTCAATCTGGCGCGACTGTAAGCATCTCCACCGAGACGACTACACGAGTGGTCCCTGACACCAACAGCTTCGCGCCCCTTCTCGAACGCGCCGGCACCCGTCAATCGCCCTCTCGCATAATCATCGTCTCCTCCACGGCAGGCACAACCGTGCCCCACGTCGGCGAGCACGGCACAATCATGTACAGCATCTCCAAAGCAGCAGCCCACCATCTCTCCCGCCAACTCGCCGTCGAGCTTGGGCCCAGGAACATCACGACTAATACCGTTGCCCCTGGCTTCTTCCCGTCGAAACTCGCAAACGGCTTGATCGAGATGCTGGGCGGGCAGGAAGAGTTGGAGGAGAATAACCCACGGAAGCGACTAGGAGAACCCGAAGATATTGCTGGCGTCATGGTGTTTCTGTGTAGTCCGGCTGGAGCGTACATCAATGGCGAGGATATAGCTGTGGATGGGGGTATGAGGCTCGCATCAGGACGCCATTCCAAGCTCTAAGAATACATGAATCTCGTTCGACGCGTAATACAAATCTACGTACAACTCAAGCGCCGTTCGCCCCATTCTGCTTGCCTCCTTCAATTCTAGCCAACTGCTTCGCCATGCTGGTATTCTTCATCATCTCCTTCATATTCTCATCGCAAAACTCCGGTCCGTTGCTGAAATACAAGTTGTTGCCGTTTACCTCGACCGTCAAACCCCAGTTGTCCTCCTTGCTCTTCTTCACACCTTTTGCATCTACTATTTCGCCTCCATCTACCAGTCTCACTACGCCATCCACCAAAGTCTCCATAGGCGTAAAGTACTCCACCGGGAAACTCTTCCACTCCTCCTGACTCAACAACCCCGTGTTGATCGTCCCGGGACATGTAGCAAACGTACGCACCCCCTCGTGGTGATATGCAACCGTGATCGCGCGGTTGAATTGGACCACGCCGGCTTTACTCGCACTGTACATTGGACAAAACTCTGAGGGGTACAGACCGCCGCACGATGCTGTCATTACCAGCACGGGATCTACATTCTGCCTTCCGTGCTTTGCTATCGTCTTGCGGAAGTAGTGGAGAGCGAGGTATGAAGTGTTTATTACAGCTTTCAAATTGATATCTACACTTAGTTGGTTTGGCGGAGGTGGTGGTGGAACATCTAGATTGTGTTGCTGGTAGAAGTTGTCGCGTTCGACGATGCCGGCGTTTGCGTAGACAAAGTCTATACGCTGGGATGTGTTGTAGGTTGCTTCGAAGGCGGAGACGAGGGACGTGTAATCTGTTACGTTTGTTTGATGGAAGTGTGTGTTTTTCAGCGTCGTGGTGGCGGTTTTGCCGGCTGAGGCATTGAGGTCGACGAGATGGATGGTCCAGTCTTCGTGAGTGCGCTTTGAGAGGGCGGTTGCGACAGCCAGTCCCATGCCTGATGCTCCCCCGGTGATTAGGGCGACTTTTGTGGGCATGTTGAAGAGGTGTTTCCTGGTTGAACAAAGGCTTGGACGTGGAGAAGGAAAGTTAGGTTGTTGGATGCTTTAGAAGTCTGAGGGTTCGTAGAGCACAGGTATAGTTTTCAGATCTTGAAGAATCAAATTCATTCTCATCATCATGAAGACTACCAGTAGAGAGCCTCTATCTAGGTAAGTAGCACGATGACGGCTCGCATCAGGAAAAAGCGAACACGTCCCGTGTGCTCCTTCTCCGCATGATCAGAAGGAAAGCATCTTCCGAGCTGGCTGTACCCAGTGACTGAATGTTTCTTTGCTGTTTGGAGCGTTTCGAGACATATATCGCTTTCTGATGCTAAAGAAGCAGTACGTACCTGAATCTACTTTACTCTTGCTCCATAAACAACCGTGGTATTACCCACCCTCGTATTTGTCGTTATGCAATCCTAGATACCCTACTTCTTACATGACTCTCTTCGAACACATAACTGTCGCTGGCATGATTCAGTATAATGGCGGTCATCTTCGCCAGGGTAGAAATGAAGCATGACGCGGGTTGCTGCGGGGAAGGTGGGGAAAATGAATCGACACGCATGAGCACCAGCGACGCGGAAAACAAACCGCGAGCGCTAGTTGCCGGGCCTCATCACTCGACACAACACATTGCCGCCAAGCTGACTTCTCCTCATGCAACGTTACACATGCGATTGTTCTTCCGAGCTCTGCCGCCACCAGCCTATGTACCTCTGGGGTTGGGTCTTGCCATTTTAGTTAAGATGACTGCTTTAGTGAAGAGATGAGATTTCGCCTATGCCAGCACCATCCTCGATACAAACCAATATACCCCTCCCATTCCTTCTTCTTTCTTGTTCTTCATTCTATTAGCTTCTCCCGCCCATCACCCTCTCTCATAATTCGCCCATCATGACCTTGCAATACTCAGCGAAGAACCTGCCCAAGCAGATATTCATCAACAATGAATATGTCGACTCAAAGTCACCCAAGAAGCTCACACTCCACAACCCTAAGAACGGGGAATTGCTCGCAGACGACTGCCCTCTTGCAGGCGAACAGGATGTAGATGCCGCGGTTGATGCCGCGGAAAAGGCGTTCCCAGCATGGAAGAAGATGAGCGCGAACCAGCGCCGGGGCATTCTGAACAAGTTTGCAGATCTCATTGAGAAGAATGCAGATGGTATTGCACAATTATCACGAATCTCACTGGGTGCCCCGGCGGCATTTGGTGCTTTTGAAATTGGACTTTGCGCAGAAGTATGTATGACCCTTTGCCAGGCTTCTGGTTCAACTTCGGACTCCGAAAGTGGTCACTAACCGACCTCAGGTTTTCAGATACAATGCTGGATTCATCGACAAGTTCGGTGGTGAGTCATGGCCACAGGAAGATGGCTTTCTTAAGATCGTTCGCAACGAGCCCCTCGGTGTCACAGCTGGTATTGTCCCCTGGAACGGACCCATCGGCACCATCGGTCTCAAAGCCGCTCCAGCTCTCGCAACAGGAAACTGCTTCATCCTGAAGCCCTCAGAAAAGACACCCTTCTCATCCCTAGCCCTCGGCACACTCATCAAAGAAGCCGGTTTCCCACCTGGTGTCTTCCAAATCCTTACCGGCGATGGAAGCACTGGTGCCTTAATCGCAAGTCACATGCGCATCCGCAAAGTAAGCTTCACCGGCTCCATTGCAACCGGCAAGAAGATCCAAGAAATGGCCGCAAAGTCCAACCTCAAGCGCGTTACTCTCGAGCTAGGAGGCAAGTCCCCCGCCGTCGTCTTCGACGATTGCAACCTCGACAATGCAGTGACGTGGACTGCCAATGCCATCACCGCAAACACAGGCCAAGTCTGCTTCGCAGCTAGCCGTGTCTACGTCCAAGAAGGCATCTACGACGCTTTTATCGAAAAGTACAAACAAGCCATGAAGGACAAGACAAAGGAGATTGGCGACCCGGATGAGACGTCTACGAATATCGGGCCTTTGGTTGATAAAGCGCAGTTTGAGCGCGTACAGGGATTCATCGAGCGAGGTCAGAATGGTCAAGGTACGCTGGCCGTAGGTGGCAAACGCATCGGTACATCTGGGTACTACCTCGAGCCTACCGTCTTCACTGACGTGGATCCAACATCGGAAATCCACTGCGAAGAGATTTTCGGTCCTGTTTCTGTCGTCAAATCCTTCAAGACTGAAGAGGAGATTATGGCGCTGGCTAATAACACCAACTTTGGGCTGATGGCTGGTGTTTTCACGCAGGATATTAACAAGGCGTTGAGGGTGGCGAGTGACTTTGATAGCGGTATGGTGGGTGTCAACTGTGTGAGCTTAATGTTTACCATGACGCCGTTCGGAGGTAGCAAGGAGAGTGGGCTGGGGAGGGAGTGTGGAGTTCATGCGCTGAGGGCGTTTACGGAACCGAAGACTATCATGATTAATATGAACTATTGAGTGGGGAAATCTGGGGATTCGGGTGTAAGGTACAACTTAGAAGGTATCTACAATACGTCATCTTTCTTCAGCCACACTTGGAAGGCTGACTGTGCGTCGGCCCTATCGTTTCCTTCCACTATAGTGGCGCAAAGCAAAGCTAAGAAGTAATCGAATTCCGTGGCCTGCAACTAATGCGTGATAGTACGCAAACACAACAAGAACGCAGCGATTCATCATCGTTGATGACTCGTACCTTGGGGCTGATTACCTAGATAATCTCGTGTTCATGCAGGGGTCACTGTCCGCGACAAAAAAGCAAGATACGAGCCGCTGTACCGTGCCCGTGCACTCAATGCACGATTGTGGCACAGTCACGGAGCTGTCAGCCTCGCGCATCGCCTCCAGGCCTCCTGTCATCTCATATAACGTCAAAGTATGAGGGCAATTATTGGTTCCAGGTTTATGCTGACTTCCAAGACTAGTTACCTACAATTCATACCGCTTCTACATTCTTATCGTCATTCCGTCGTCATCACACCAACATACTTATCTCTATCTGGATCATGGCCGTTCCGTTCGGATTTTCTGCGGGTGATTTTATGGCGGCAATCCACCTGGTTCATAAGATCAGCACAGCTTTACGCGAAACGGATGGTGCGAGCTCGCAGTACAATCAGACTATTGGTCAGCTACAAGGCCTTGAGGGACTACTGCGAAGTGTGCAAAGTGCCTATTCTGCAGATGTTGATCCTCAACAGCTCGAAACGTTACAGTTACTTGGACATCAATGTTACATCCCGCTCAACAAGTTTTTCTCAAAGATCAAAACTTTGGAGCCCAGCCTCGGGAATCTCGGTACGAAAAGTGATTTTGTCTTCGACCGGGCTAAAAGAGCTGCACGCAAGGTAAAATGGGGTGTTCAAATTAAAAAAGAGGTATCAGAGCTTACTGCTGCCATGGGGGTTTCGATTAACGCGATCAACATGCAATTACTTCTAATCAACTTGTATGTACCACAAGTTCCGTGAAGACTGAAGTAGGCTAAAATTGACTGCTTTTAGCGAACGGCAAGAGAAAGCTGGATCTCCACTTGAGACCTCTCTGCAGCCCTTGGACGGTCTCAACTCCGAGATGAACAGTTTCCAAAACCACCTCGGTGCACGATTAGACTCTCTTGCTACAACGACATCTGTGGAAAACATTGCGCAGACCCTCCGAGACATGCGCCTAGAAGCTGTAAACGATCGCAATGCACAAATGGACACTATCCGCAAATACATGGAGAATCACATGGGTCGTTTCGACACGGGTCTCTCGCAGCAGGTATTAGAATCGATCAAACTACTCGATTCTAAGGTCAAAGAACATCTAGCTCGATCAATAATAAGCACAACCCAGAACACGGCAATGCCAAGCCCAGTGTTCAGACCGCTCATACCTGCCGATCCTAGGTCATCGTTTCAGGATAATACCGCGATGCAGAGAGTTGAACATCAACTCGCCGCACAAACCCGCCTACTGCAGCGACTCGAGAAGAGAGATATGAATCCTCAGTCGGCAGACCCACTACCTGGAATCAAGAGCAACGGTATGATACAGAGTGCCCAACATACCATCCGGCAATCTATCCAGACCATGCTGAGCTTCTTCGGAGCTGGAGTAAATGCTCTGTTAATGAAGCTGTGCATCGCTCTGCCAGTTATCCAGCACATCCTCAGAACTCTGCGAGTACTTCCTCTTCTCATCTCTATCCCCATCTCAGACAGCATACTGTTTGAAGATGCTTTGGGTCGCATAGTACATCTTCCATACGTACATTTTCGACACCATGCGGTATTCATGGCACGCTTGCGATGCGAATTTAAGAACGTTCCAGGCGAGCAAAAGGTGCTTCTAGAACAATTCCGCATATTTCGGCGGAAATGTTTCGACGAGTTTCTCACCAAAGATAACTGGGATAGTGCTGTCCGTCCAGGCTCCAAGATAGCCATGTCGATTCAGCTGGACAGTTACGATGATGAAGGCGTCGCATGTCCTCGATGCGAAAACATTAGGACTGACATGAACACGAAAGATCTTTCTCAATGGTATGTTTCAAGTCTTTTGAGTAAGCTCATACTAACCACTAGAAGCACCGTCTGCGGTTTGAGCTGGACTTTGCAAAAGTTTAACCTTCTGGACATGCTATCAAACGCAAACCGCGTCCACGAAGCCACATCAAGTACATCATTGCAACGAGATACGTTTGAGGTGGCGGAAAATGTGTCTTCTAGCTCATCTACATCATCGCCAAATCATCTCGAAGCTGCGCTACCTTCACGTGTCAATGAAGGTATCGAAAGCTTCAAGATGGTCCATATCCAGTCACAAAATGCCAGCGCCCAACCCTATCAACCTCGCGGCTTCAGAGATTTCACAGTTGATTCTGCTCTTTGTGAAATGATACAACAAAGTATTCCCCCCCGGCAAGGGTCAATATATATGTTCTGGCGCGAAGACTCTCCCCAAATCGTAAAGATTGGTGCTAGTCGGCGTGCCGTCGAGGAACTCTTACGAGGCTGGAACCGTTCATGTGGGAAGGAGTATGTGTATGACCAGGAGCTATATAAAGGGACAAAAATGGTAGTGCCGTTCGCGCCTCAAGTGGAACGACTCATATTTACGGAGCTCAAGAACTACAGGATACGTATAGAATGTTCCGGCTGTAGTAAATCACGCCAAGAGGCAGCTGCGAAACCTATAGGAAAGTACTCACGGATGAGGAATACCGCGACTACAGGGAAAGTATACCACAGAGAGTGGTTTTGTGTCTCTAAGAGACATGCCCTTAAGGTTTTCCAGAAATGGAAAGCCTGGATAATGCTTGACCCGTATATGGAGAATGTTCATGGAGAATGGGTGCTCAAACGGTCTTTTCTTGCCAATACAAGCGCAATATGTCAACCTTTGACAATGGAAGACTGACGACTCATCCCGCTGCAGACAACACTGTCAATAACAAAGCTATGTAGATATTCAAAATACACTTGCTAGTTGCAGTTAGTTGTGAGTCGAACTTATCTGTATCTTGATCACTAGTGATTTCGCGCGCGATGCAGGATACGCAGATCACGTTCCATATTAGGTCGACCTGGACGGAGCAGGACAGCTTAAAGAGTTGTGCATCCGCAAGATCAATGTCTCGTCGGCTGCATGGCAACTTCGCAAGAATTTATCAGGACAGTCACCGAGTCTTCGAGTGCTATGGCCGCAGCTTTGCCTCTGCTAGTGAGGCGCAGGTGTTGTGATGCGACTGTTGTTGAGGAGGCTGGCAAGTAGCGACAGTGTGGCCGGCGTGGGGCTTCCTCCACCTCGATCCCCAAACTGGAAGCTTGGAACCTCGGAAGCTCGCTCACTCCCCCACCACACGTCGGGAAGTATCTCATCCACGATGAATACCTTGGCACCCGCTCATCCACAACACGCATGGTCAGCGGCAGTTTTTCTCTCTCTCCCAGATTCTGACACAGGTTATAATGTGGCCACCTCGACATCCTCGGCTTATGTCCTGCGCCATCTGCAAGGTTTCAGAAGCCAAGGACCGCAGATATTGGATCTCATCGCTTCTGCCTCGCTCAGCCCTCTATACGCCTCATGGTGCTCTTCGCACAAGATCGCGCGTGCGACGCAACATCTGCAATACACAACGCCCTTTCATTCGTTTTCGCGGATTGGCGTTTGCCCTGCGGGGCCGATGTATCTTCCCTAGGCTGTATTGAGCACTTGGAGGTGTGTCTACATCTCAAATGACTGGCAGACGTGCCCTTTACTCTATCATCTGACAAGGTATGCATCTCTTGGGCTTAGTTTGCCTTGTGGCGGTAACCGGTCCTCCAAGGCTGACTCGGTTGCTACACAAGGCTGCGCAACTCCGGTGTGTATTGACCTCTTCTCCCTTGCCCAGACCGGCGAATGGAGTACTACACCTTATCATCATGAATTATGAATATGAAGCCCTTGAAAACACGCCAGGTGCCATCCGAACTTTCGTTCTGCATCCAGCGGAGCAACTCGACGACCCGATCTTGGGTGACCTCCAACATGTCTCGCATGAGTCCTACAAATACACAGCCGTATCGTACGTTTGGGGAAACCCTTTGCATGTTCATAGTATCCAGATATCAGGTCGACCGTTTGGCGTTGCCGACAATCTCTTCAACGTCCTTCGCAGTTTACGCGACCAGGCTGAGCCGATCAGTCTTTGGATTCGCGCTTCTACAAAAGCTGATAGAGGAGGACTCTCAGTCGTATCTAGAGGATGCCAATTATACTTCTGCTTGGGAGTCTCTAATCTCACTGCTCGATAAACCTTACTGGACGAGAGTCTGGATCCTGCAGGAGACGGCTATCAACCCAAACGTGCTGTTGAAGTTTGGCGCCAGCTCCAGTAAGCAGCAGATTGCTGTGAGCTTTCTCTCGGAATGGGACAACATACGTTTTGAGGTCGTCTCAAAATGGCGTGAGCTACATCCCGATGCCGAATGGGAAGGGTCAATGATGCAGAAGTTTGACGCCATCTCGAACAACGTTTATAATATGGGTCACCTACCGCCTCTAGTTCCTTTGACTGCGGACGAATTTCAGCCGTTACTGCAATGTCAGGTTTGCAATGGGCCCCTCGCGTCCAATCCCCTCGACTACGTTTACGGTATCATCGGTCTCTTCGATACCCCAATCTTGCCCGTCGACTACAGTCTCTCACCACGGGATCTATTCCTCAAAGTCGTCGAGATCGTCCAACACCGGAGCGGCAAATTGGATTTCTTATCCTGGGCATGGGGAAACTATGCACAAGATAGTTCAATCTTTCCCAACCAGCACAGCATACCCCGTTGGTGTATTGACTTTTCTTATCGAACGAGATTTGTCCGGCCAATCCCCTTCGCGAACTCATCACAGCCACAACGCCTCATTTGGGATACATTCTATCATGCGGCCGGCGAAACGAAGCAGAAGATAGATTTCTGCCTCGAGAAGGAGAATACTGCTTTTTGCGCACGAGGGATATATGTCACTGACATCGGCACAGTTGGCAGTTTGGCCAATTTTGATCATGGCAACAGCATTTGGCCGGAGGATTGGGTCACCATTGGAGGATTCAAAGATATGAAAGCGCCGCTCAAGCAGCGAACTGCGAGATCCGAGCAACATCAACTTGAGCGCTGGGCAACCGCATCCGACGCTTCCAATTCCGCCGCGTTGAACATTTGGTGGCGTACTGTTTTCGGCGACACACTTTCACGAGAAGCTCGTATCGACTCGTCGGACGAAGACCGCTTCAGGGTTCCGCCCAAATATCGAATAGGTGTGGAAAACCTATGTAGGTATATGACGGAGTATCTACAGATACAAGTGCATAATGGTAGGCGTATGTGCAGAACAACGAGTGGGCAACTAGGTCTTGCGCCTCCGGGTGCTAGACCAGGAGACGCGGTTTTCGTTTTGTTTGGGGGTGATACGCTATATGTGCTGCGACAACAAAAGTCAGGAATGTGGCACTTTGTCGGCGAGTGCTACATAGATGGTATGATGGATGGGCAAGCCATGCAGGAGGATAAGGAGGAAGTGGGAGTGTTAGTTTGTGCAGATTAGAGCGCCAGGTCGGTTTGGAGCTACTAGAAAACGAATTCAACGTCATAAGCATGCGTATATAAATACTTGTTCCACGTAGTCAGTGACTGAATTTAACAGCCTGTAACACTAAGCCGTGAAACTCACGATAGTTGGGCCAGGAAAAAACGAGTTGTACCTGAGCCAAGTGGGCGAATTGCTAATGTGGAGGACATCAGACGTGCGATAGACGTCGCGAGATCTGAAACTATTTCACACCTACCGAAAATGCATGTTAAGGTTGCAAGAAAAGCAACAGGGCTGATTGCTAATTGCATTTTCAACTTCATGTACTTAAAGTGACAGATATCTATTGCATCGCGACTCCAAGCCTAATCTCACAATTGTTGGTGAGGTAGGTCACCTTCAGGCGGGCCAGCTTCTCCGTTACTTTGGAATGTCTGGAATGGGCACTGGCCCTACAGGCGGCTTTTTTGTAGGCATGAAGGCCTGGTGTATGGTCCTAACACCCCAGCTAGCAGGATAGTCAATGTTCGAATGGAGTAAGCCTTGACTTCCGAAGATAACCAAGTCCTGCTCGTCCTCTGGGCCCACCCAAATATGCTCAGGCCGAATAATTCTAGTGTAGATATCATCCAAAAACTTCCTTACTTCGCCTAGATCATCGATGACCTTCGCAGTCTCATCTGGGCCATTGCGGATAAATAATCGACGAATCAAGTGCTGTATACACATGAATGACTTCTTGCCGGTAACGGGGTTAACCCAGACCATCGGGTACTACACGTCATTAGTGTTTGAACGATATAGCTTCGAGTATAAACATACTTTTTTTTGCCATTCTTTCCTTGCCCCTCCCAACTTAAGCAGCTCTTCTTCTGGCTGCTCCCTACCCTCAGTTACCACGCCTAGGCCGTTCGGAGCATAATGGCAGTCCTTGAGATTCTCAAATGGCAAGATGCTGTACTCAGCCCAACTGTGGTCGGCCATTCTCTTTTCCTCGTCACTTAGCATGTCGTACAGTTGTTCAACGTCCAAGAACGCCTGACGTCCCGGCTTCACTTCCATAGTCGTGCCTGAGCCATCTGCCCATTCTACAGTTTGCTTATCCAAGCCTTCTGTAGGAAACTTGATGGGTCGGAGGATAGTGAACTTCGTAAGGTCGTGTCGCCAATACATTCCGTTCATGTACCACACGTGGAAACGGGTACGTCCAGCTTCAAAGTCCTCGTCTGAGAGCGGTACGCTGTAGTAATGGCTTACACTAGCGTCACCCATGTCTAGGCCTGGTTTGCCGTAGCGCGGGTCGTTTTGGGGGCCTTTTCCAATGAAGTAAAACAGACCCGCATCAGGAACCTTGATAGCCTGGAAGGAGTCCTTGATGGATATTAGCGCTCTGCTACAATCCGTTATGATGTTCATGTTCCAGTCTGCTGTTGACTTACCCTGAACCACTGGTGAGGGTGGAACAAATCCATCAATTTGTCGTCATCCTCAATGATCATTTCTGGATCGAGCGCTTGAAGCAATTCCCAGGCACGTTTCGGTTTGAGATCATGTTGGCGTTTGATAATTACGAGTTTATGCTCCCAGATCGCTTTCTCCAACTCGGCCACTATCTCTTCAGTAAAGTTGTTTAGATCAAGACCTGTGATAACAGCTCCAAACTAAGGAAAGTATGGTAAGCAGGGATATTGTAGATCAGTTGTGTTGTACAGATTTAATGACTCGTACTTTGCATGTCTTCCCTTCGGGGTGGGCCAGAGGCTCGATGTTGAAGCTGCTCGCCATAGTGTCCAGAATAAGGGACAGGTGTATAAGTCAAGTCTTGCGCGTATGGAAAGTGGATTGTAGCTCTGGGATTAACAAATGATAGGATAGTTATCGACTTATGTGGAACCATGGCTTCGCATTGTAGAGCCTTATGCACAGGTTCGGGGAGTTTCGCAGACGAATTTGGCAAGTGGACGTCGGGGTCCGATGGAGACCAAAACATGCCGAAGCCCGCTACGTGCACACAGCCTGGACATCGCGGCGATTAGGTGCATTTCGAGAAACTATGTCCTTAAACATGATACTAGAACAGTCATTTCTATCAGCCGTTACTTCCATCTCGTCGGAGCACCCTCATGAATCCATCGGCTCATGTCCGGGGAGAGTATCATATGAAGCCGTCGCGTGCCTACAGTCGCTCTGTGCCTCCTCTAGACGGCACGATCTCGGGGGTATCTGTCCATATCTAACCGACGCTAATCTAGCCCATAAGGCGCGAAACTTGCGGTTGTTGGCCTCGAGCTAGTTAGATTTATTAGTTTACGCTTGCTCGTAGTAAGTCGCGTAGTACGGGTGGAGTAGTGTAACGGTGTAGTAGATGGCGGTATCACCGGGCTTGTCGTAGTAGTTGTAAGCCGTTACCCACGCTGCGCCGAGGTTAGTATCGAAGTGATCCTCGGGCGCCTCGTCGTGTGCGTTATAGTTGACAGCCCCGTAGCTGTCAACGCGCTCCTCGTAGCAGTTAGACAATAATACGAACACTAGCATAATCTCAGCAATAGCCACAAAGCTACCTTGCTTACCGCACCCTTCGAGGCCTCTTGTAGCTGTTTTCAGCGGCTTCGGCGCATCCATATACTCTGTAATGATTGCCGAATCGTGGGCGCTGAGGCCGTTGGTTCAATCCTGTAAGACCGTGAGGCACAGTAGCAGGATCTACCGCCACCACCGCCTGCAGGCTGATTTGGCCAGCTCGCTAGGCGTCTTCGGCGGAACAGAGCCTCAGCCTGATCAACCACCATCTGAAATCCGCAATACTCATATCCTCTTCATTCAAACCTCACTAGGACAGAATCGCAACGATGGAAGCGCTCATTGCTGTTGGATTGGCAGGCAACGTGGTCCAATTTCTCCAAGGTGCTGGTGCCCTGATCGCCGAGGCCAACGCGATACGGAAAAGCGGCCGCCCCTCATCACTTCCGTACCTCCAGCGCCTTTCAAGAACACTTACTGACCAAGCTGCTGTCCTAAACACCCGTCTGAAATCATGCAGCGCTACACTGAACGAAGAGGATCAGGTAAGCCGATATCCGTGAGGTCGTATCGCATCCACTCATCGCGTCACGCAGAATCTTCAAGATCTTGCAGCAGAATGCGAAGAGGCTGGAACACAGTTCATCACTTATCTTGAGAGCATGACGAGCCACTCCTCTTCAAAACTCATGCAGAGCGCGAAGACGACCATCAAATTCCATTGGCGTTCACACAAGATCGATGATTTCGTTGCTATACTCGACAGGCTTCGCGACTCCCTTACGTTGGGCACCGTACTAGCGTTCCGCACAAGTTCCGAGAGCAGAAACGATGAGATCCTCGGGCACTTGAAAGCGATACAGCAGGACCATAAAGCTCGGAATTTGGATGAAACAGTTATTCGAACAGCAGTAGAAACTCTCGCGGACGCCATACAGGATCAAGCAAGTGACAAGCTTGATGTCATCCAGGACGAGATTCGGTTGTGTCTAGATGAGATCAGTAGTCTACGTAGCGAGCGTACTCCAGAGGAAAAGTCACGAAGGCTAGAGAGTAAAATCCTTAGATGGTTGGACTTCCGGCAGATCTTATGGCGCTACAAGAGTGTTGCGACAGCGTACCAAAGGACGTATGAGTGGATTTACGACTCGCCAATCACGCATAATCGTTGGTCGGACTTTCCAAAGTACTTACAACAAGACACGGGTGAGCCATACTTCATCAGTGGGAAGGCTGGCAGTGGCAAGTCTACCCTCATGAAGTTCCTCTACGGCCACTCAAGTACGGGAACAGCGTTGAAGGAATGGGCAGGAACGAGCGAGCTGATGAAGTTGCACTTCTTCTTCTGGGATCTTGGGACTACCCTTCAGAAGACTCATGTCGGAATGCTGAGAGCTCTACTCCACATGGTACTCGACGAACATCCGGAGTTAGTGCCAGCTGTCTTCCCAAGACTGTATCGAAATTGGAAGGCATCAGATGCGGATATCGAGCCCCACTACGTCGAGATGAAGGAAGCTTTTGAAAGACTAATCGAGAAGTCCCGTTTTCTGAAACTAGCAATCTTCATAGATGGTATCGACGAGTTTGACGGCAATCACCGCGACATGGCGCTCTTCCTACGATCGCTGGCATCACCACACGTGAAACTGATTGTCTCGAGCCGTCCTGTAAACGCCTGCTTGGATGTGCTGGCGGAGTGCCTCACCCTGCGCCTGCAAGAGCTCACACGACCGGATATGGAGAGGTTTGTGCACGGGGAGCTTTCATCTAACTACTCCATGGGCCGCCTGATGGAGCAATTTCCAGAAAGAGCTCCGAAGTTGATCATCGATTTACTCGATAAAGCAGAGGGTGTGTTCCTCTGGATCAAGCTTGTTGTTCGTCTCCTAGTCGACGGCCTCGAAAATGGAGACAATCTTGAGGAGCTACATGCCAAATTGACGTTGCTTCCTTCTGACCTCAGAGATCTGTATAAGAACATGTTTGGGAAAATGAAGCTCGAGTACCAGAAGCAGGCGGCAGTGATCTTCCAGCTACTTGACCGGTGGCGCTGTTGTATAAATACTCAACCCCTTCCTGGCGTGGTCTTATCGTACGCCATACGCTCGCCCACAGAAGTCTTTCAAGCACCAATTGCTCTGATGACCGGTAAGACATTCAGTTGGATCATGGAAACTTTGGAAAAACGCATTCGCAGCCGTTGCTGTGGCCTCCTCGAAGTTCGCTACAACGAGGACAAGGAGACCCTAGCCGGGTGGGCATCCACTCAATACATCACTGTTGACAAGATAAATCGCGGTGTGGTCACATATCTGCATAGAACGGTCGCCGAGTTTATTGCAACGACTGAAGTCTGGCAGGAGGTCTGTGAGCTAACGAACGATATGGCTTTGGATTCCACGTCCAGCCTTACATCTGCATGCTTGTCTACGATGAAGTTAGCCAATCAATATGACGACGATGGGCTGAAATGGTATCTAGAAACCACAGCGAGCTTTTGTCGGCGAGCTACGACCACTGAGCCTCACATCACCCAAAAGTATGTTTACGAGATGGATCGCATCATGTCAAGGTTTCAACAAAGGTCACGTCGCCTCTACGATGGTAGATCTCGGGTCCGCAACTTACACTGGTCTGCCGAACCGCATGACGTAGAACCGGTCGAATCGGCCTTGGCTGTCGAGGAACACAAGAGTATTCATACCTTTGCGGCTAGGCGAGGCATACTGGCTCATCTTCGTTTGCTGCCTTTCGGTGTTGGGGATGAGGAACGGTTCGTGATCGTCCTAAATGCGTTGTTTATATGGAGGAAGAGACTGTTTCGCACCCTGAACAGTGGTGTGTCTCTCGGCATTACAACAGAGTTGCTATCATACCTCCTGCGAAACGTCTGGGGTCCAGAATCTATAGCATTCGGTACCAGCTTGTGGCAACAAGCGTTGGTATGGTGTACGGATATGAAAGCTGACCATTACTCGATATTGGAGGCTGCTCGGCTACTGAAGGTACTCTTGAGCGCAGTTGACGCACCGCAGTCGTTGTGGCAAAGATCAGTGCAAGCTTGGGAAGACTTTATCCTAGGTCCGACACATGTTTTGAAATCATTCAGGGCTTACACAGAGGACAACCCTTCTCCGGAGAATATTACTTTGCTCAATAATCTCGAGCACCTCACTGGAGTCAGAGGCAATCGACCTGCAGCTTCAGTAGCAGACCATGGGGGGATAAAAACCAATCCTAGCTCACAAGCGAGTCGAATGAAGGGAAAGAAGACAAGAAGAAATAAGAAGATCAAGCTGCGAGCGATCGATAGAACGAGCTGAGTGTGCTCAAATCTCTTGTCCATATTCGTTTTATCGTTGAGATTATCACTAATCTCGGTTGCTGTAACGTAAATAACCATGTGACGATCGTACAACTATTGACGGCAGAGACGGCATTACCCTTGCCACCCTACGAGCACGTCGGGTTTGTACTTGGCTTTACAGCAGCATTCGAAGGATTTGTTTGTCCACAGCCTGCTACCGCGCCGCCGATTGTATCGTCAACCGCAGCGTTGTACGCCGCACCACAGTTCGGATCGCTAGATACCGTATCAGCAAGGAGACCCTTTCAATGTCGCTTCCTCCAGGACAACTTACCTCGCACCACCACTAGCATTGTTGAACCACGAACACACATCGTGCGAGAAGCAATCTTGTGTATACACATTGCCTAATGCGGTTCCTGAGCAGCCTGCTCCGCACCGGCCATTACAGCTGTACCTGTGGAGTATGTTAGGTATCGCATGGAAGAATATGAGAGAGTGGACTGCCTACTCTCCACCATTCGCGCTGTTCGCGCCAAAGTTGCTGCCTACAACGCCGGTCCAGCGACAGGACTGGCCAGCTGCGTTGGTCCATGATGCTGTTGCTGTTGCGCCGACCTTGAGGCAGGATATTGCGCGTTTATCCAAGGCAGGAGATGCAGAAACCCCGATCGTCAAGAGAGCAGTTAGACAGAGACTAAGGAGATACATGTTGTATTGTGGGTTTGGAATTGGTGAATTATCCGCGTTGGTGAAGACTGCACTGCTAATCGTATCTCAGGTATCGTCAAGATGCTATGAATGGGAGTCAAATGGCGGGAACAAGATATCATATGGGCTACTTCGACGGCGATTCAACGCAGATCTACACTCATCTAATTGACCCTCACCGTAAAGCTGGCCATTACCTTATGTCAATGTCAAGACGTACGCTCTTGCCCTTTGGAGTGCAAGTGCTATACACTACGCCATCACAGCTTTCCTCTTCTCATCTTAGGCTCACCACAAAACACCTTCTAATTCGCCGAGAATTCGGCCCTGTTGATCTAGTATTCAAATTTACCCGGTGTTGTGTCTGACTAGAGATCTGTAGATCGGAGAATTAGCGGAAGCGTGCAGCCGTACCCCAACTAAGCGGCTTTCATGCCGTTTTGAGGCTTCGAGATTTCTAGAAAGGAGATGGGCTAGGGCATGACGAAATAGTTGGGGTCGCGACATGCAAGGGTGTGATGTTGCAATGATGGTGTTACCGAGGCTCACGAGGCTCATCCTAGAAAATCAGGTACAATCTACCGGACTTGAGTGGACGGAACGACTTTCTTCAGGCATGCGAGTCTTGGTGTGTCATGCAGTCATATTATACGGCATGGTTGGCAACCGTGACTTGAGTATGAGATGATTTAAGATGTCAAGGTCTACACATCTCATTTGCCTAGGTAGAGCGATACCCATGCGGCGCTGCTCATTGGCAACGCTCTTCATGAGCAAACAATCTAGCATTTCTAGCACATACGACCATAGGACACTGAAAATTAGTTCTCCTGCCCGACCCGCCGTCTGTCGTGGTACCGTTTTAAGGATGCTGTGGTGCGCCTTCCTGTTTACCACCTGCCGCCATTGCCATCACGTGACAATCTGTCGGCGTTCTCCTTAAAGCGCCCGCAGTCACGAACGTGCTCCGATAATGATCGCACATAAGATGTCGTCCGTCGGATCAAGCGTTATGTATCCAATAATGCTGAGTAGCGTCACACCAGCAACGCAGTGTTAGGCTAGAAGTCGTTGTCTGCGCGCTCCTTCCCCGCGTGGACGGCCTGGCAAAGTATCCAGTGCTTTCCGCAGCTACCTCCACATTCTACCCCGCAAAAGCAGACATTGAAACGGGACAGCCGGGCCTATTCAAGAACACTTAAGTTTCCGTTGCTTTCCTTGGAGTCGTTGCGATGCTGAGTGTTACAAATATTCGCTATAGACCACGACCGAAGCAACCCTGGACCGATTGGAAGAAACAGGCCAGGTAATCAAGCCGAACTACAGTATTATCGAGCATACAAAGGTGGGAACTATACGAAGGGTTTACACACGTTCGGGGCTAACTTGTGACAAGCATGCATCTCCTGCCGGAACAAGAAGGCAAAATGCAGGATCACGGCGGAGGAGTATGCCGCTGGGCTACTATGCGCTAAGTGTCGCAGAGAGATGCGCCCTTGCACATATACCGTGACAAGACACAGCCCAAGACGGCAGAGGCAGAGCGTCAGCCAGAGCCAGGATGGCGATAAAGATAGTATAGACCTAGGCACGCACAGTGGCGCCGTGCCAGATGTGCATGCTTTACCAGCGACTGCTGTACAGCGCGACGATGCAGGTAATATTTCTTAAGGTTCCATCAGTGCTGACTTGAACAATACTATGATGACCACCGTTGTCTCAAACGGCAACAACGCTTTAAATCTGCTCTTCGAGGCGGCCCAACGCGAAGAAAGAGAAGTCAATAGTGCACGAGTGCCGGTGCCTATTGAACAGCACGCTACTAACGCAGCTTCTACACCACTTTCATCCGTTGCTAATATGAGTTCCAACATGTTGCCGGACCTTTTAAATGAACTTACTGACACCTGGAACGCTTATCGCTTTGTGCGTATGGGGTGGCTATCAGCTCCGGAGATCGTATGGTACTTGGACATGTGAGATCACCCAGCCTCGATCTGGCGGAGCTAAATGCTAATACAATATGTAGGTTCTTCAAGAACGTTGCACCGTTGTGTCCGATTTTAGATAAGTGTAAGTTCCTCTGCTTCGGCCCGCCGCTCATTCTGTGAAGCATAGCTCACAGACATTAAGTCTACGCAGAGCGGTCAAACCACTACCTGTTAGTGACGCATGAACCAGTCCTTACTTGTATGATACTGGTCATATCTTCTCGCTACCACACTTTGCCTACTATCGGAGGGCATTCAAGAGGCTATTTGATCTACCAGAGATTATGGGATCACTTCCAGCACCTACTTATGCGCCTCGTATTGGGATTAGAGAAATACTCCAAGGCTAAGACGCGGACGCTGGGTACCATTGAGGCCCTGCTGTTGTTGACGGACTGGCATCCTCGAGCTCTGTACGCGCCTCCACCTAGTGACAGCTGGGATTCAGATATCTTGTTTACTGTGAAAGATCGACGTGATCAGGACGGGAGCACAGTTAACAGCCCTTCCAGGACACGATAGCGAGAGGACGTGATCGAACCGGCCAACAGATCAGACCGGATGTGTTGGATAGTGCTCAGTTGCGCATTATCTCTTAGCAATAAACTCAGCATATTTAACGAACAAGACGAGCATAATAGCACAAATACAAGGTTAGCGCAATGCGAGCGTCGAGTCGCGCAACAAAAGACTTAGCTAGCCAAACTCTTGTATGTTTACCAGGAGCAGCTCTCTTCACGACTTAGCCGCCGATCAATGATGACACCTAGCAACAGCCACTCGGCAGTGTACTCGGATACTTCTCAAGCAGGCAGCGACATACAAAGACGCGCATAGACTCCGTTTCTCACTGCGTGGACACGATTAACTAAAATCGTGAGGTCTATATCAGATTTGCTCTTCCCTAACTCTACCACAACATCTCAGATCATCCGCAGCGGTCGCTATATCAGCATAACAGAGCATATCCAGACCTTACTCACCGCCTGGTCAAAAGACCATAATGACACCCTCTGTGAGTGCTAACCGATATTATTTCTCATCTCGCATTGCTGACAACAGGCCACACAGCAAGTGATACGTACCTCAGCAGTCTTCTCGTCCTCAAGTATGAGAGTACACAGATGCACACGTATTCTCTAGGACTTTAAGCCATTTTGTTTCGCACCCTAGCTAAATCGAGCAGCGCTGTCTTAGGTTCTGCGTCATTTTAGCTTACGCCTACCGATTTTGCGCACGTGCAGGAAGTTATCAATAGCACGCTAAATACACTTAAGATAGCTATTAAGCTGTATAACCTGGGTTTCCTACGGTTTTGCACGATAAGGACCTTCCTGCACATCACAACTGCTTCTATATTTCTCCTAAAAGGCCTTAGATTAGGGGTCAGCCCGGCTAGGTTGCAAGGTGCACTAGAGGTCCTGACGCAAGTCATAGTGGCGCTGAAGAACAGCAATCCAGACGACCTCCATCTGGGCGGCCGTTATTCGATGCTCCTCGAGATGCACATGACAAGGCTACAGGAGCATTTTGTGCCCTCGACTCGGCCGCACAACATCACACCTCCGAATTTTAATCTTTCTCGGTTCCCGGGCCTCGCTGCCTCGCTAGAGGCAAATCATTTCGAACTCGTAGATTTCCAGCAAGTGCCAGAAATCAATACGTTAGATGCAAATTGGCTCAGCTTACCACTCGACTTAAGTCTCATGTTATTTAGCATGGACAACTTTTAAGGTCTACAGTGCTTAGGTGATAACACCTTAGACTTCATATGGAATTTAGGAATGTAGCTATTTTCGACAATCAAGCCTAATCTTACCTTTGGAAGTCGAGCAGCAATTAATAAGCTTAACTAGAGCTCTTCAAATAGACAATGAAGGCCAAACTTCTTGCATACGAGATGCCTATTCTAGCAGTGAACACGATGTTAGAACAAACACATGCTGGTAGCAGCGAGATCGGCCGATATCGCGCTCATGACCAGGAAGCCTAAGTAAGATAACGGAACTTGACGTTCTTGTCTCCGCTATTAGTCACATTCACGTGCGCGTCCGTGTCTACCTCGCCGTACAAGCGATCGCGCTTGCGGTTCTCGATTTCTAGCTTCTAGTGCAGACTAAGAGCTAAGACCACCGCTAACCCACTAAAAGCACATCTAACAGCGCAACCTGTAACGTAGAATGGCCTGCGAGGTTAAGTTAGTGCGTCTGCGAACGTGAGCAAAAAAGAAAAAAGATATCTCACCCGTCACGAGATGGGAACAGAGTGCTGCTGACAAAAGACGAGCACTGTCTAAACGTCGCCAGGATACCGAGACCCGCGCCTCTCTTCGAATCGCCACCCTAATTGTTGAGCAGCTAGGTAATGTTGATGGCTAACGCAGGGAAGATGCCGCATGTCGCGAGGTAGATAGCCGCGTAATGAGGTCCTGTCTTAGTCTTGTCTTGAATCGCTGCCAACATCAGGTAGCCCACGGTACCTATGGTTGCAAAACCAGCGACAAACCAACCTCGCTTGCCAAACCTGTCAGAGCCCCAGGCAGCGAACATACAGCACAAGAAGGCAAGAAAGTAGGCAGGCGCTGTCAAGCCTTGTGCGTTGACCGAACTGTAGCCTATATCGCGGACGATCGTCGGCAAGAAGTTCGACAAAGCAGCAAATAAGTAGTTGCAGCAGAAGTGTATCGTGGCATAAACCCAGTTCTGGTAGTCTGTTAAGCCAGCAAAGACCTGCGTCCAGCTCACTTTCAACTTCTCTGTCCGATCAACAGTGGCAAGTCGCTGACGAGCCTGCAGCTTCTCTTCGTCGGTCAAGAAGTGCGCGGTATCTGGAGAATCGGGAAGACAGCAATAGACAAGAACTGCGCATAATACGGTTGGCGCTCCCTCTAAGGCCCAAATCAGCAACCGTGCTTACGTGGGGCCTGAATAATACCACATACCAATCAGGAAGAGCAGTCGCTATGGAGCTATCGATGCCTTGATATGGAGGATGCCGTACGCCAGCGATGAAGCGAAACAGTTCGCTAATAGCGACATGCCTGTCAGGAGAGCCACACGCTTGCCTAACTCCTGGCGTTGGTAGAAGAGCGATAGAAAGTACGGTGCACTAGCTCCGAAAGCTGCTTCGAAGAACCCTAAGAACGCGCGAGCGGTCATAAGACCAGCTTTGTTGTAAGAGGCGCCAGTCAACATAGCTGCAGCACCCTAACTTTTCCAGCGTCAGCACAGAGGGCGACATCAAGAAGCACAAACGAACTTACAGAAAGCATAACGCAGCAACATAGACGTGCGCCGGCAGTATCTTCCAAAACAGTTAGGTCCACTCGAACAGCACGTAGGAGATGTAGAAGACCTAGAGGACCCACACCCAGTCGTTGTCAGAGAGATAGAGGTCCTTTAGGATCCCGGCAGTCTTCGCATTTCCGATATTGCCTCAATCAAGATACGAAAGGACATACAGGAGGCACACGATTAACAGCATTTTTTTGTCGAACTGTCAAATCTAATTAGTGGGGATTACAGAGGTTGTCGGGGGATAATACCTTGCGACAGATGCGAGCCTAGACGTCCTTAGCTACTGGCACTATGTGCGCCTCTACCTTGGTTTCGGCCGTTTCTATGTACTCAATTGTTTGAATGTCTAGCTTGCCTTGTTTAATGTCTGCCATTGTTAAGCTTCTTCGAGGGCGATCGTGCAAAGGTGAAGTTAATTTGGCTAGATTAGGTAATAAAGCCGGATAATAGATGTAGATGAGATGAACATCGAACGACTTTTAACCTCCGCTGTCGCATTGCGGAGTACATCGACTAGGAGTCTAATAAACGAGGTTCCCCGGATTTACCCCAGGTTAGGGTCGGAAAGTTAGACTATCTGTCGCTTTCCATCCGGCGAGGCGAGTCTAGCCTGTCGAGGTTTCTCCGCATAAAGTATCCTTATCATTCTGGTCAACGTAACGAAGATCGCGGAAAAGCTGCCGTGGTTACTAAAAAAGAAATACATAAATTGTGAAGGGACCTTTTCTCTAAAGACACACACAGTACTCGAAATTAATCACGCAAGGTTATATTCTACCAATCCCGCAATATGTCGAAGTCCATCGTTAGAACCGTTCCCTACCCTGTACGTACCTTTACAAGTCATAAACAAAGCTATAGCAGAAGTACTGACCCTCGCAAAAGTTTAGGTTCGATTAGAAAGCGACTACTAAGTCTGGCAAGCCTAGGCAAATTAGTGATAAGAGCATCACGCTTCCCAATGTCCGCGGTCGCATCCTATCTCTCTAGGCATCTCGCCTGCGCACAATAATGCTCGAAGCCTACTGCGACCCATCCAAGATCCTTGCACACACCTGCAGCTACGATGGCCTATCTTCTCGTCTTGTTAAGAAAGCCGGCTTTCCTATAATTTTCCTCGCCGGTTACCCTTGTGCAAGCTCTTACGGACTACCCGACACAGGCTACATTGCTATAGTAGAAATGTGCGACAAGATCCAGGAGGCGGTGCGACAGGTAATAGTGCCAGTCATGGCCGATGCAGATACAGGATACGGTAGCCCTATAAACGTTAAGCGCACAGTGCAGTGCTTTGCCGAAGCTGGCGCAGCTGGCATTATGATTAAGGACTAGACTTAGCCGAAGAGTATGTTGTTTCCAATTTGCTCCTAGACAACTGACCGACTCGGTAGGGTGTGGCCACACTAAGGGAAAGGCTGTTGTCTTACGAGGCGAGGCTTTTGCGCGTGTGCAGGCTGCCTGTGATGCTCGAAATAAGGGCAAGGATATATTCGTACTTGCGCGCACTAACGCACTCATCCTTAGCTAGGACGAGGCTATAACACGTGCCCGGGAGTTCAAGCGTATTGGTGTCGATGCCGTCTTCGTTAAAGCCCTGCCTGATTGTCAGGCCATAAGCAAGTGCGTTAAGGAACTAGACATGCCAGTCTTTGCAAACAGTGAGTCACTCTCAGCATTCAGAAAAGAGTAACAACTGATTATTATCGTTAGTTATCGAGGGCGGCTTAACGCAGAACTTGTCTGCTAAGGATCTTGCCAACCTTGGATTCTGTGCTGTAGCTTATCTGTGGACACTCGTTGCCGCGAAGTTAAAGAGCATCCGTGAGACTTTGGAGGCGCTAAAGAAGAGCATGACTAAAGGCGCTCCACCTATAATACTGTCATACTCTAAGGTTTGTGAGGGCGTGGGCTTTAATCAGTATTAGGCAAGTTCTCTCTTCCCTCATATATAACGAAGCTAATGTTGTACAGGATGAGGAGGAACGATACAAATACAGTAAAGATAGACTTATAAATGTTGCAGCTGCCGCAAACGGACGCAATAGCTTGAATAGACATTAATAGGACTCCGCATGTTCGAGAGATAGGTATTAGTCAAGTAATCCATTGTCTTCGAAAAATAACTGCCCCACATGTCGATGCTTGTTAGACGGCTTATAGGAACTAGAGAAGAACGATATGTTTCCTTCTTGCTGAGTTTCCTAGTAGCTATACACACCTAAACCTGCCTACAAGTGCTTTCACATACTCTATTCACAGCATCAATTTATAAGTAGACAATACTGCGATAGACAATTAGCTATGTTTCTGTCTTGCCTTTAAGTAGTTAAAAGCTAAAAGCGTTAGCTCGCGTTTTGTTATCTTAACCACTCAATAGTCAACATAATAATCATGCGTCGCTGTTGCAGGAGCGTAAGCTGTAGTAAGGAATTAGTATCTCAGCAGTAGTATCTTAAGGCTACTAGGAGCTTGAGCGCCATTCTATATAGGATTCCTTAGTAGTATGATCTGTTTTCACCAAATCTACTGTGCAGTCCCACTACTTGTAGCTCTGGACCAGATGTAGGCCATTGCCGCCGAAAAGGACGTACTGTTCTATCGCCAGATGCTGATGCAACTAGCTGTCCGTCAGGCAAGAAGGACACCGCCCAAACAAAGGCAGAATCTATGTAGTAATCAGACAGGAGAGAATAAGACCTTCTAATACACAATAGAGAATTAGCACTTTGCTAACGTAGCAGTTTGCATTCATCAGCTACCTTATCGTTAGGCGCCTAAGGGGGTGCACCAGTACGCAGCAGGCATTACGCGCTAACAAAAGCTATATATGCATAGCGTGCTTGTTAGCGCGTATTGTCTGCTGCACATCAGCCTAACTGTTAGAGGCGTCTAGGGATAACGCAGCTACAAATTTAGTAACTCCGGATTTCTGTTTCCTGGTTCCGGATACCTACTTACCGTAAACAGACAATTTAAGGGCATTTGTGGCAACTGGACAGGAGACAATTAGGCTTCCCGTCCGCTCAGCCATATACAAGCAGTGTACCGGCGGATTAGTAGTTAGGTGGGTGACCACTAGCGAATCCCCGCTGTTGTATGTTTTTGACCTTTTATTTTGCCTGCTCAGTACATCACACACGCCTGCTCTCACGGTGTTCTAGTTGTTCTCTCTACCTTCCTCAGTCATGGTAGCGCTTTCTTAGCGCCTAAACATCCGACCCACCTGGCTCAAGCGTTCACACGACTACCCGCCTGAGTGACTACGCTCAGTCGCAACCTGAGAATTCTTACCCACGTCCATAAATCCTTGCACTAGACCATGGAAGACAACGCATAGCGCTCCAGAGGTCGTCCGCCGCCCAAAAATCAAGCTCGCACATTTGTTCAGAATCCCCTCGAAGCCCCGAACCTCGAGAACGCTGCTTAGATTGGTCTCGTTGATGAAGCCAAGGCAGTCATCTTCCGCAAAGCTAGACGAGTGTTTTTCGAGACCAAGCCTTCACCGACAGTAACATCAAAGAACACATTCTTCCCCAGAGTGCTATGGCGAAAAAAGAGGGCGGAGGCACACTGGGTGGCTTCTTCACGTTTTAACATGATGGAGAGAAGGGCGAGACGACATATGGAATAACGGCTTACCACGCCGCCGTGGACGAACGCACCGATCTGAGCGCCGGTAAGTGAAGTTCGTCTAGTTCACACGAGGGCTCCCGCTGACATCCACGCACAGAGAGCGATGGGCACAAACCTTTGACGCCGCATAACCTGCCAGGGAATGAACAAATGCCCACCCTCGCAAGCCCATCACGAGAAGACCACAACAAAGTAAAGGCTCATATCGCCTCCGTCCTAAAACCGGCCAGAGAGGCACTTGAACAAGCGATACAGGATCTACAAGATCTGGAAAATGGTTCAAAAGGAGAGACAGCTGTGTTGAGGAAAGCTTGGCTCCCCGAATAGATCTCCAGGTACAAGACCTTGGTGACAAGCCGGCAAGCAGAGCAGAACATCGTGGATGAACACGACATCAAGATAGGAACTTTGGCGGCCGCGTCAGGAGCACGTCTGCTAGAAGCTCCCAGAATTGGGGGCAACGCCGTAACGGATACTGCGAAGAATTCAATTGTACCGTGGCTCATGGACTGGGCGGCTATCAAGATCGACCCCAAGCTGGAGTGGTCCAACAACTTAGAAGATCCCAAGCACACCAAACTAACGGGTGGGATCAAGGGCAAAACGCGCCTAAATGATATGGAGAGTGCGAACTACTACCGCATCCCCAACCCACGGGAACTCGACTGCGAAGTCGCATTCCATAGACGAACAAGCGGCTGGGAGTTTGCCGAATTAAACTGCACACAATCACTCTTGAATCCCATCTACTGCGGCAAGGGAAGACCAAGCGGCAAGATGGGCGAACTCGACGGTCGATACAAAGTCAGCGGAGAGAAACCTGGTTACTGCTGGTCTTTTGTACCACGAACTGGATACAGGCGCCGTGACCCATGCTTGAGTGGCGACTCGGGTAGCGTGGTCTTATTGGACCCGGAAAATCCACCAGCCCATAGAGGTGATAATTGGTGGGTCAGCATCCTGTTCGGTCATGAGCACAAATCAGTTGACTACATGACACCAATCGAGAATGTCATCAAAGACATTGAGGCAGTAATGAACGGGAAGGTGGTAGTTCCGGAACAGGCTTAACGGTTCTCAAGACCGCAAGTAAGAGAGCTGGAAAAAGAGCCATCTCATGTTGTTATTGGTGCCTACCATGTACACTAGTGTACTACCTACATAGAGAAGTAATCTGTAGAATCGATCGATGACTCTTACACTCCAACAAGCGCCGTGCCGAGGTCGCTATCTAAGCTCTGCCTTATATAATGTTGCATAATTAAGTTACCAACAGGTTTTTGGTCGTGAAACAACCTCAACTAAAGACCAGCCATTCTCCTGAAAGCTATATTGGATATGAGTCGTCCCTCCATTCCCATGTTGCTGTCATGCATAGGAGCGCCAGACGACATCGCAAGTTCGGTCATAATCTTGCCCATAGGTTTTGTAGGCGTCATCCAACTCTTGGATACAGCATTGATAGCAGAAAACAATACGTTCTTGGTGTATGGTTGCTTGGGAATGAAACCATGGATTTCAGTATGTTCTCTCCAATCAACAGCTGCAGGGCGTATATTGTAAGCTTTGAACTGAGGGCGATCCTTGTTTAGTTGGAGCAGTGCTGATTCTATCTGCCCTTTCACACGTCCGAACAACGGAGTGAACATCCCTGGTGATTGAGTCGCGCCTTCGCCAGAGACGTACACAAAGGTGAAAGGTGAGTCTGGGTGCAAAGTCGAGAAGGCTTTGGCAGCCTCAAGTGTATAATCATGCGTTATCTCGATATATTTCCTGCACTTTACAATTAGCATGTCGAACACAGTAAGGCCACGGTGAGCGTCGAGTTGCGACGCTCGTATCCCACTTACTCTTTGTCAACGTCGTTCTGGCTCACACCAAGTGCCCATACACATCCTTTTGCGTCGCGCAACTCATCCAGCAGCGCTTCGCTGTAAACTCCAAAATCGTTGTGTATGATCACTTTGGCCTTGTCGTGTCCTTCTGCCATCGCAACTGGCCGTCGACTGAGTATAGAAATACGACTTATGGATTGTTGCGCAAGCATGTTGTCGAGCACTGCGGCACCGACTAGGCCAGTAGCACCAGTAAGGATAAGATGCATTGCGGTATCTTTTGACTGGGAATGGATGCTCGGGACAAGGAATGGAGTAACTTCAAGGTGTGTGAATAGCAAAGGACAACCTAACAATGTAAGATATTGTAAAGTATCCTCTATTCTAGAGACTTCGCGTATAAAAGCGAATGCCGTTGCAAAGAGTCCATGTTATGTTCGCTTTGATCTTGGTTCGTCCGCAAACATTAACTAGTCCGCTTCCAGCTAGCTTACCTAGGCAGACCGTGGTTCGTCCGCAGCAGAACATATCTTATCTCCGAGTGGAAAACCCATTCAAAGAGAAAAACAAGCAGAGCCTGCCTTGGCATCCACGCTGTTAAGCTAACTAAGCATCGGGATCTGTCCCGTAGCGCATGCCTAGGTATAGATCGAACACGACTTCTCCGCATAAAACCGAGCTTGCCCAATCTGGCTAAGGCACCTTAATGCTCTTGCTGGAAGGATGCTGGAATTGACTGATCCAGAATCTCGCTCGAACTGCTATCAGATCGACAAAAGACATTATCACTTTCGTCCGTACACTAACTTTCTTCCTGCTGTTAAGAATGATAGAACCTTGTTCCCCTTGTATATAATATAGAAGTTGCAGAAGCTTCAAGTACTCAACTAACTACCTTCTCTTCACGTCTTTCATCCTTACCAGCACAGCAAAGCTACCTCAAACTCGATCCAAATGTCGACAATCAGTATTCCAAAGGGCTGTATCAAGCTCGCCAGGCTGCTCTTCAAGCCAGTCTCTTTCTCCGGAAAAGCTCCGGGAGTCGTCGTCATCCACCCGGGTGGAGGTGTTAAAGAACAAAGCGCCAGCATCTACGCCAAAAAGTTATCCGAACAGGGTTACATCGCAATTGCGTACGATGCAGCCCATCAAGGCGATTCGGAGGGCCTTCCCCGCTACCTTGAAGATCCTGCAGTGAGGACATCAGACGTGTCTGCTGTGGCGGACTATCTCGAACGACTGGACGACGTGGATGCTAGTCGCCTCTTCGTAGTTGGCGTCTGCGCAGGTGGTGGATACGCGGTAGCTGCAGCGAAGGGTGACCACCGTTTCAAGGCTGTTGCCATCGTCAGCCCTGTTAACGGAGGCGATGGCGCCCGTCTTGGAATTGATGGAAAAGGAGACCCTGCACATGCAGCTGCGGCCCTCGATCAGATCGCGCTCGGGATCCAGTCCGAGGCTCAAACCAACAAAGCGATCACTATCCCCATTATCCCGCCCAAGGGCGACAACCCAGGTCGCGATATGCTGGATACACACGAGTACTATTTCACATCACGAGGACAACATCCCAACTCTGAGAACAAAATGGCTCTTCGTTCTGTCCCCTTCGTTATGGGCTGGGATGCATGGGGATTTGCTGATGTTCTCCTTACGCAACCGTTATTGATTGTTGTTGGTGAGGAGTCAGCGAACAAGTGGCATGCTGACAGGCTTTTTAAACTTCTCAGCGGCAAGAACAAGGGTCTCAAGCGGGTAGTTTGGCCCAATGCCTATCATATCGACTTTTACGACAAGGAGGAGTACGTTAACCCAACTATCGAAGAGATCGACACCCTGTTCAAGAGTGTGTAGAATATCGTAGTGTGTCGAGTCCAGTCCATAGTTTGGTCAAATCCGCATTGACTTTTGAACTGTAAAACCCTTTATATTGAACGATCTTTGCCATATCTACAGCTGTCCACCGTTGTCTTACTATACCTAGCCTTTTCCTACCGGCCTGTCAAACATCTCGTCTTTATCTTTACAAGTTCCGCGGGCATAGCCCTCTTATCTGCTGCTCTGAGTCCCGCATCTTCGATCGCTGCATCCGTAACGGAGCGGCGGCGCAGTAAGGATATCTGGAATAGTCCGTACCAGTAGCAAACAGGCGATGGATCGCAGGTCACTAGTTCCGCGTCTGTGCATCGGTCTCTAATACAAGTATTAGCAATCGGCTTATATGGCGGATACAAAACGGATGTATTCTTTCCCAGTTTCCCTTATGCAGTAATCCCCCGATTAAGCTTACGAACATTGGTGCAAGATGATTTCAAATGCGGACTTACTCAGCCGCTCCGTGCATCCAAACATGTGTCCCATGCTCAAACTACATAGCAAGCAATGTACTATATAAGTATACCCAACATCGATATCTTGTTTGCTGCTTAAACAAACGGAGACATCCTCCTCTCACAATCAACTCCCTTCCATCTTCAGAATGAGCACCGTTGGAAACGTGGTACTTCTCGGCGTAAGTGTCTGCGGTAATCGGGCATATGTCTAGATCTCCACTGAGTTCTGTCTCTAGAAGGGCTTACTTGGCTCTAGTGTCCTTCCCGCTCTCGTCAATGCTGGTTTCAAAGTGACCCTTCTCGGTAGATCAGAGAACAACAAGAATGGTCTTCCAGCCGGGGTCAAATTTGGAATCGTCGACTACAACTCTATTGACAGCCTCGAAGCTGCTTTCCGTGGCCAGGATGCAATAGTGTCGACTGTCGGTATGGAAGCTATTCCTGGTCAGAAGTTGGTTATCGATGCTGCCATCAAGGCCGGCGTCAAGCGCTTTATACCATCTGACTTCGGTGCTTTGACTACGGATCCAAATGCCAGCCACTTCTCACACCATCTCGGGATGATTGATATCCAGAAACACCTCCACGCCAAAGCCGACGCCGGCTTAACCGAATACACTATCCTCTCTATTGGAGCTTTTACCGAATTCCTGGGGTCTGACCTCTTAATCGATTGGCAACACAAACGTGCAGAGATATGGGGCGGCGGCCGAGCTCTCGTCAGCACTACGAGCTTGGCTGCTACTGTCAGGGCTGTCGCTAGTGCTTTGCGAGATTTAGAGGCTACAAAGAACCGCAACGTCTTCGTCCACGAGTACGCAGTGTCTCAGGAACAATACTTGGATATGGCCAAAAAGTACGCAAAGCCAGAGACCAAGTGGTCTGTTGTCAAAATAGAGGATGCAGAGACTGAGTTGGACAGGAGGGCAGGTGTGTTGAGGGAACAGGGTGACATGGCCAGCATCTTCTCTTTTATCAAGGGAACACTGCTAAGTGGGAAATACAGTTCACACTATAGACATACTGACAACTCACTTGTTGGGTTGGAAGAACCTAACGAACCTGGGTTTAAGGCGAAGGTAGCAAATTTATGCAGCTAAATTCGTAAAGCACAATCGCTGTTTACCTAGGTATACATTTATAGCTACGTAGCCTAGTCGTAGCTATGTCGCTTTATCTAAGGCCTGCAACCTCCTCTACAACGCCCTGTGAAACCGCGCACACGGTCGACGATCGATGCAGGTCAAGTCCAGGAATCAGCAGTATCTCAATCCATCAGAAGAGGATATTCTCGTTGCCTACGCACTACGAATGTCTGAAACTACTTCTCCTTGCTGGTCTCAAGGCGAGGAAAACAAAGGCGCTTGATAGTCCCTAATGACTCAAAGGGATACCGTATCAGGCATGACGTCGATACTTCGCAGCATTATTTTGCATGTGTGTTGCATTAACACCAAAGAATTGCTGTTGAATGTCAGCAGATATCCGGGCATTTGTGGGGTTGGCTGTCTCACTAGTGAATCGTTCATGTTCTGATCTTTGAAACCTCCACCGGCGAGTCTTGTCTTCGTTTTTTGCCGATTCAGTATGTCGCTCTATCATAATGTAAGCCATTATTCGAATCGGATTGTACTAGATCAGTTCTCACCTGCTCAATGGTACTTTCCGTCACATAACGTACGCAGACCACTTGTCTGGTCTGTCCAATACGCTGCGCTCTTGCCATCGCTTGCAATTCAACAAAAGGGTTCCATTGCGGCTCAAGCAAGTATATGTGTGTCGCCACGGTCAAATTAAGCCTGAGTGTGTCAGCGCTTGATGTGTTTCTTACTAGTAGTTGTACGAACCCTTCTGCGCCCGTACCCAGTGTCATCAGAAGGATATTCGCCCCCATAGGAGATTTGAAGTCCATTAGCACTTTTAGTCTCTGCTTCAAGCTTAGACTTCCGTGAATCATGTCATGTTTCAAACCAGCTCCAGTGAGGAGTTGAGCCGTAAGATCTAAAGTTTTCTTCCAACCAGAGAAGACGATACTAATGATACTGTCAACGTCTTTGTCTTGACTGTACTCGGAGAAACTGACCATTTGTTCCTAGGCGCTTGTTTTATGTCGTCGAGAAGAGCGATCAGTTTGGATGGGTAAGACGGCGCAACTTCATTTGCCGCACTAGAGAGTTCTTGGGTTCTGACGTGAGTACCAAAATCTGGTGGGGAATTGCCCGATGCGCAAAGCAGACAGTGCGTCCCGTTCCTTTTTTCCACACATTGAGGCCAGCAGCTGTGACAGACAAGATGCTTGCATGGTTGAATAAATATACCTTGATCTCGACCGTCCACCTTGTCGATGCAGAAGATACTGGTCGTGCACTTGGCGCATTCGTTCTCCTCAAGCTGAAGCAGGTAAGAGAGCATCTCATCGTCTGACTTACACAGCTCATCTTGCACCTTTCTTGGGCCATTATTGCAGAAGAGACGCAGTTCGTGGATAGACTGAAGAGTAGTAGAAGCGTATCTGCCGTTTCCGCTAACGGCCATCTGGACCTGTCTTTTATAGTGCTCGTATAGGTCAGTATACTGACGACGTTCCTCGTAGGAGAATCTGATTAACCGTGGGTGGGCTATCGGCTGAGGTAAGCCAAGGATTTCTCGGGTTCGCCGGAGACAGATAGTTCTCAGCACTGTCTGCAAATTTGCGAACTGATTTCTCCCGTCATTCAGCGTTGGTGTGATGATGTATGTGCGAAAAGTCGATATGCGTGCCAGCTCTGTGAGTCGAAGGAAGGCGACCAGACTGCCCAGATCTTCGAGACGATTCTGTATGGGCGTCCCAGTAAGACACCAACGACGATGTGCTGGAAGCTCTTGGATTGCCTTGAACATCTTGGTTTTCTGATTGCGTATTTTATGAGCTACATAATATGTGGTCAGCGAAGCAAGAAACATACACACAACACAGATCCTACCTTCATCCAATACGATGCGGAACCAATGAATTCGAGATAATGGCGACGGACTTCTCTTGGTGTCTTCCAAGGCTGTGGCATAAGTGGTGAAGACAACGTCTTTTTCGAAAAGAAAGTGTGTTTCTGCATGTCGTTCCGCACCAAGGTGTTTGTGGAATGTGATTTTGTGTGGATACGTATGTCTGCCAGTGTCAGTCTGTTGAATCACAGCCGTGAGATGGAGGGCTCACGTGCGAATCTCATCAATCCAATTGTCGATCAAAGCTATCGAAGTCAGCATTTCGTCCGATGACGGTGGAGCTCAGCTCAGAATCCAATTACTTGTGGAAGGGATGATGATCAAGGTTGCACGCGAAGGCGTCAGGACGTTTGACGACTGTTTCGCAAAAGTCTCTGCGTCTTGAAGAGAGCTGGCGATGGCCGATAGCATCGTCAACGACTTGCCCAGCCCCATGTCGTCTGCAAGGATACCCCCTCTCGCCTCTCGACACTCGGGAGCCTCAGACTTGGTCAATACGTGCTGGAAACTGTTGCATGATTAGCTCCATGTTCCTCCAGGTAAGGGCGACAGTGAAGCATACTAGGTTTCGCCGTTTCTACGCCTTTTTCGCCAAAAGGTAAGCTCCAAAGAAGGTTCACCACTTTCCCGTTGTGCGATGAAGTCCAGTGCCATTTCTTGGTGACTGTGATATGGATCAGTTCAAATTCCCTGTCTTGAGCTCGATAATGCTTGCCTCATGAGGGTGCTCTTGATGCGATTAGTGTCGGTATGGATCTCATGTAGTATGTTCGTATGAGAAAGGGAATCAAGAATCTGTTCAACATGGTCTTGAGGGTTTAGAGACGGCTTCGTATTACTCTGAGTTGGTCGATCTGGATTGACAACAGGGGTTCGTGCATCGTCTGCTTCGATCATAATGTCGTCGGGTTTTTCATGGAATCCTTCAATCTGGAGAATCTGAGGATTGTAGTAAGTCTCCCCAGCAGGATTCTGCGTAGGGCATTGCAAGAAACTGCCAGAGCTGAGGAGGATATCGCCGACTTTGTCAGCCTGATTTATCAGGCTCTTCACGTTCACATCAACGGAGAACGTTACTACCCCATCTGCATATGATCCGCAAGGTCTTGTGACTTCTTCCCAACGCTTTCGCTCCAAGCACGCCTGAAACCTGACTTCGAGCCCTACGAGCCGGCGAGCTTCGGTACAGAAGGCCTTATCAAGACGCGCAAACGCAAGTCCATTGCTAAGGAGCTCGAAGTAATCGCCTTTTGCAAAAACATCGAAAATAACATAGTGCTGGTTCGATCCGAGAGAAGATGTGTGGTGGATGAAATTGCATGCTTCGCGTCGAGCCTGTGCTTTTACATCGACAATCTGTAAAGAACTTAGAACAATGATGTACCTAGATAGTCTGGTTGTGTGAGTCGTACTGAGCCCAGAAGATACAACGACCCACGGTTTGGTGACAACCCACGAGCATATTGTGGTTGCTCGTAGTGCACTATAGGCGCATGATCGTCTTCGAAAGGATATGGCCGTTTCACGGTCCTGTGACTGTAAGGGAGTGTGTCCATGGCGTTCGCTCGGCTATCTCGATACGCGCGATAAGCTTTCAAGTCGCATGACGTGGTGTCGAAGTTGCCCTTCTTTTGTTGCGGCTAGGACAATCCTACAAGATTGATGTGCTGCGACGAAGGAGGCCTCACGAAGGCACAAGAACCAGTCGTTGGTGAATGTCTGGTCGCTGTGGCAGTGCTGCAGTTGGAGCTAGACCTGGACTCTCGAGGACCGCGGTCTGCCTCGTGCACAAACGAGGCTGAGCAACCTTGCCCTCGGATCACCCAATGCATTGCTCACCTCATGAAGTTAAGCCCAGTGGACGTTTGCCATTTTCCACACTTCACCACTCCAGGCATAATGATTACACAGGTCATCGAGAGTCGCTATACAGTGGAGTATGATGTCTTGGTCGCTTTCCTCAGTTCGATGTTTGGGTCAGCCACTTATGAAATCGTTGTACGAAGGTGCTTCCCACAACAAAGAAACGAGCGATGCTGATCGATCTCTGCCAGGTACCCGACGAAGGAGAGAAGTGGAAAGTCAAAGTCCCTAGAGAGCTTACCCGTGTAAGCATTTCCAAGGAACGATTGCGAGCGGCAGTTGCGCTGACCTGAACAGGATGAGCTTGTAGATTTGCAAAGGAAGTTCAGGCAGGCACTTGCGTAGTGGCGGGGCAGTTGGGGAAACAACAAGTGTCGCCCTTGTTTTGTGGCTAGGCGGCTAGGCGGGGAACCCGAACCCCACTAGCACAGCGAGGCACCCTCGACCTCCCAGATACCCGAGTAGCACGAATTACAGACTAGACTTGCTGTTTTCCTAGTGCACATTTGGGCAGATCCTACTGAGCGGGCTAACTTTGATAGCTCAAGTCCATCAGTCGAGCCTGACAAGTGAGCTGCGGCGGACCGGCTACAGCCTACCGGTGAACCATCCAATCTCGCTCGCTATAAATGAAAGACGCGCAGATCACATAGCGGAAATCGCAAAATGTGTCCATCAAGGTTCGATAGCAATGAGGATTGGAAAAGATATCCTCAAAATTTTCGCCTTGCACCGCTCGAGTCGGACGCGTCTCGCAACGATACCAGGATAAGCCGGCTGAGTAAAGATCTGTTTGTCGGGAATGATGAATCGACATTCGAATTCATAGCCATCGGTGTAGCAAACAATGGCAAGGCTTCAAGTGTGATGTCTCAACTGGAGTGCGATTGACGAATCAACAGATGATGGACACGATATAATGACACGGCAGATTCAAAGCACGGAAAGCTTGAAAGCAATCATGGAACTTGAGCCGGTGACTTCAGTGGTGTCAGTATGCTTCTTCGATGGAGCTGGCCAAAGTTAATGAGCGGCAGATTCATCGATCAAAGCTACACTTGGAGTCGCCTTTGCATAAGTGAGGAACACTTTCGACGACTCTTTACGCACATGGCTGTACACCCTAATTTTATAGATGTGGTCCGCTTATTTTGCGAAAAGACGGGCCCTGTGGAGGAAGGCTTCAGCTCGTTGTTTATGAACATGTCTGAAGAGGATCTTTCCAGCAATCACTCGGCGCCAGATCAAGACTGCAGCTACTGTACTGTCCCCTGATGTCATTTTAGAATATAACGCTAAGCCATCATTTAGATATCGGATACAACATTAAGTATGTCGCAAAACACGGCCGACGCTATCCAACAGACCCGTTCTCTATCCGAGAGGTTGGTGTCTACCAACACTTTTCATCTTCAGGTCAACGGTGTCAGTGGGTATTCTTGCAAGCCCCAGACCAGCTCAAAGACAGATTGAGGAGTAACCTCCAGTGCTTTGATGACAATCCGCCTATGATGCAGGTTCTACAGCATTCGATGTTACTCCTAGAAGTGTCTGAAGACTGGCGCGAGTATCTGGTGTATCTTGAAGAAGAGTTCTCCAAGATAGTGAGTACAGGAACGCTCAAATAAGAGCGGAATTGACTAGCCGTTTAGGTCGACCGAGGCTTCTTCACCAATGTCAAGGAGCTTCATACTGAAGGGGACGTGCAAGCCGATTTTTCAGATCTTAGAAAGCTGCACATCCTGACTGACAAGCTGCTGAGACTAGCTCACATACTGAAGTTGAACATTCGACTCGGCTGTCAGCTAAGAAGCGGGGTGCTAGACCTCAAGATGATCTCGTCACCGGCTTTGCAGATCAGCTTCAATGAGATGCAAGGTAGATTGGACAGATATGTATACCAACAAGAGACAAGTTTGGCCAGGATTGAGACACTCATTGCGCGGTCTGCCGGAATAGGCCAACTTGTAAGCGCTTGTCTGCACTTAGACTACGACATTGCTGAACTTCGCACATAGGTTCAAGGTGTACAAGATTTCAGATCGAACGAAGCGAGCAAGCATATCAACCACGAGATGCAGCGATTGACAGAACAGGGCATCAAAGAGAACGCCCTGATGAAACGCCTCACAGAACAGTCTACAAATGACACTCGGTCTATGATGACAATCGCCCTGATCTCCGCCATATTTCTACCTGCGACCTTCCTAGCCGTAAGTTGCTTTTGTGCGCCGAGCGATTGTATCTTGCGACTAACTAAAAGCTAGACTTTGTTTGGATCCAACTTTTTCGCTTATTCTGAGCGTCAAAATGCTTTGACTGTTGCGTCGAACTTCTGGGTGTATGTCATCATTACATTTGCATTCTCTGGGTCAACAGTGATTCTTTGGTTTGTTTGGAGGCGACACAGGGTGCGCAGATCAATGTCGGACGATATTGAGGCTCCTTGAAGTGGCAGGTTGAAGTATAGCTCCAGGCGTTGAGTTTTTCAATACATCGTTGACTTATCAAGGACCGGTCATACGTAGCCAATTCTGTAAAATTACCTCAGACATTAGCTCTTTCCACAGTCGATATCGCTTATGGTCTTTGTTGCCGATGGGCGTCAACCATACCAGGTCATCTGCGTCGTGACTGCCGGATGGCACCCATCTAAATTCAACGTTGGAACAGTATGACATTGTATTCAACCCGACGTATTGCCTCTCTGCTTCAAGCAAGCTTTGGGAGAGATTGCGGCCCAATAGATGGCGATTTTGAAACTCACCGCTGGAAGTGAGAGTCGCCTCATGCGGAGGCCATATCGCAAGTCGCAATCACACTCATGTGTATTAGTAAGCGCATTGTAGTACACCATGTGAGCCTGCGTTCTTAGAAACAACGTCGGCGTAATACAAGCGACTGCACATGTTGCCTTGATCTTCCCCTAGATGCTTCATCACAACTTCAGCTGCATATTACCACTCGTCAAGGAGCTTTCAATATTAGAAGATACCCGCTCTAGTCAGCTCTTCCCAGGTAGTCTCGATTATCAAGGCTGACGCCAATACATTGGTATCTTCATTGCACGACTACCTGGGTGGGTCGACTATATTAGGTCTACCTAGGTAGATACGCTATATCAGAGGTACCTAGGTAGTGAGAATCACGTAACGAGCCATGAGACCACACCTTAGCAGCATCGACTCTAGGCTTGTCCATCGAAGAGATAGATGCGTACACGATATTCGTATGAGCCCTAAAGCTGCAGCTTCCTATCAGGTACGTCTGCGAGCTCCATGGACAATGTCTGTATCTCGTACCGCTGTTGAGATGCGGCTCTGCTAGGCAGCAAAACTACGGCTCAGCATGTTAGCCTAGCTAAGTCGAGCGCGGAGCGCCTCAATCCTCCAAATGTCGCTCAAAAGAAGTGATCGAATAGCAGAGCGGGAACAGGATTGGTTCGCTGACTTCCTGGTGGGGCAGACTCAATATGCCAGACGGTGGCACCGGGCCGTGTGCGCATCGTTTGTGCAGGACATGTCAGTCCTCGTACTGGCGTGGGATCTAGGCTGTGCCCAGCACAAATCCCAAAAGCCGGTTCTCGGTAAGTAAGCAGGGTGCTTCGATAAGAGAAGCGGGGGCGCAGCATGAAGGATCCGCCAAATCTCGTATCTGCATGCAGGTCTAGACGGGAACGTACATGGTCTCAGCTGGAGATGATAAGGTGACCAATCGCGCATGGCATACTGACGCGAGTGCGCAATTCTCAGAAATATTCGTGAGTCGATGCGGCTCTGCGACAGCATCAACGAATATGCTAAGCCGTGATCCAGGCAAATCTGGAGACGCAGATGCAATCAGCTATTAATCGACCCATACGCTGTGCACCTAGTAGATGTATAACCAGCCAATTCAAGTCTCGTTGCTCGCAACTACAGCACTTCTCTCAGAAAAGAGGGAACTGGCTTTGGAGATCACGTCATGATCTGATTGACTGGGAGGCAAGCCCAGCGCCTGGCCGCGATACCTATGTGTGCGCGACCATCGGTCTCTAGACCATTTTACGGCTCAACCACAGCGCAACTACGGCCTCGCTAATGCACCAAAACAACACAAACTTTGGAATTAGCACAAGCGTCGTCGTGGCTGTCGTCTTACTGGACGGATGTACTGTCTGCCTTGCTACCTTACACAGCCTCCTTGCGATGCAGTTGGAAACCATTTTTCTGCGCAGCCCAGGAAGGGTACGCGGAAGCTACCGCGCATGATTCTTGACAACTGGACATGAGGGTGCGGAGCGGTTGCATCTATCCAGGCATGAATCGCCCAGATATAACAACTTCATGCAGTTCATATCTCTCAGGCACGTTCGTATTGAGTTCTGGAAAGATAGGTATGACTTCTCCTTCAGCTAGTGAGACCCATGACATGCCGATCGCACCTGAAGGTGCGGGCGCTTGCTACTATATGCTGGCTGTCGCAGGCGCTGACGCTTATTTCGCGAAAGGTCTGCACCTTACATTTCACATCTGTGTTGACTGCAGCTGTTGCACGTGCGATAATTGACCGGTGAGCACACGTGCGACAGTTCCAAAGTTTCTTTGCCCCTCAATACTCGATGTCCTTCTTAAGCGAAAACACATCTGGGCAACATATCAGTCAACATTGCTCAGCACCCGACGAATCGATGACAGGTAGCTACCATGAATGGAGCGATTCCATGCCAGATTGCGAAGGAATACCTAGAAGATAGCGACGTGCAGCCGATCAGCGAATGTTCTCCTCCCAGTAGTGCCTCTTTCTATATTCCTGCGCGGAAGATTAGAGCACTATTTGAAGACAACCACCATGGTTTGACAGCGGAAATAATTTTCCTCTGCCCCTGCGCGAGGTGCATATCAGACGGCGGATCAGTAGAGTATCGTTCCGAGTGCTTCAACTGCTTCAACAAGCTTAAGGGGCGAGAGCTGAAGGGAGAATATGCCTTTATCTACGCCTTGCTTGTCTATGTCCGCCGTCCAGGTCTTATCCAAAAGTTCCAGAAGTACGAGCTAAAGCTGGAAGGAACGAAGTATCTTTGCGACACCGATTTCGACAAACTCCGTCACGAAGGCATTTTGGATCTGGAATTGGCGCAAAGGAAGATATTGCAACACCAGTACAGCTTTCTCGTACGGACACTTCGACCCGCATCCGACATCATATCAATCCCGGCAAAAGAGTTATTGCCAATCAAGGAGGATAAAGAGCTGAAGGGAGAGGGGACGTTTGCTGAAGTTCGATGTTTCGAATTCCAAGACGACGAATATCGGTCGCGAGACTTTGGAGAAGTATGATCTCTTGAAGATTGACTGTACATGTTACCTAACGTTTGCAGCATGTCACAAGGTTTGCTCGCAAGATATTCAAGCATGGCATGCAAAAGTCCGCAGCGAAGGAATGGTACAATCTCCAGAGGCTTTCGGAAGACCACCCGCACCTTATGGTAGCTCTGGGAGCGTATTGGCACGGCAGCTACTTCTTCATTCTTCAGGAAGAAGCAGAGCAATCGCTTCACGATTACCTCAAAGAGCCAGGTGACAGATTTGAGTCCCAAGAGCTCTGGACGCAGATGCAGGGCATTGCCGAAGGACTGAACACGCTCCACAAGCTTTACGAAGGCACTAAGATAGCTTACCACCAGGACTTGAAACCCGCAAACATCCTGATAGTGAAGAGGAAGCTCAAGATTGCAGACTTTGGCCTGTTAGAATTGAAGCCAGTAACATTGCCTGGCGATACCGACATGACCGGCATCCCGAACAATCACGTTACTGGGTTCTACGCCGCCCCTCGTCAAGCCAAATATACTCGAGAGTGCGATATATGGTCACTAGGATGCATTATGTCTGAAGTCGCAACTTTTGACATTCACGGTCCAGAAGGAGTTAGCCACTACAAACATGCTCGCATGGCCGATGGAGCATCGGGCCATGACCCTCCACGCTTCTACCGCGGAAAAGACGTGAAGGAGTCGGTGCTTCTTATGCATACTCAGCTCTATGATCGTGTTCAATCTGCAGCATCAGATAATGGTAATGCGACAGACCAGTTCCAGAGAGCCTTCTATAACAAAGAGTTCTTTGGACTCTTAGACAAAATGTTCAAGTGGAATCGTGTTTCCGCTGGTCTACAGGACGTTCCAGATGACGGTATATCGCTCGATGCAGCGCACATCGTCGAAACACTCGAGAAATTACGCAAAGAAGCTTTACCTACAATTGTGCTAGACGATGAGGTCGAACAACTCAGCTTGGAGCAGTATCTGCAGGACGCAGAGTCGTTGAAATCTTCGATGGAAGCACACTTTATCGGTTTCGGGGAAATCTTGACCCCGAGGAATCGAGCAAGATTTCCCGCTACGACTTTGACTGCCCTCAAGCAATATATTGTCAACTTGCAGCATACACAGCATGCAGAGCGTCGCCAGCAAGGCCTTACGCGTCTAGCCCCATTTTTAGAAAGGTTGGGCGAATTTGGCGAGCTTGTTGCAACTCTATCCCGTGCAGAGGACATCATGGGATTTGTCTGGGTATGTGATTTTCTTCCAGCGGAGGAAAAGCCAAGCTGACTGAGTTTGCTAGGGTCCTGTGAAATTCTTGCTCGAGGTACAATCGACTATCTCGAACAAGGTACGCGACTGACTGGAAAAACAGACGACGAACTCCTGCACTGATGCTTTCAATGATATTCTCGACATCTATGGACAGATTGGACGAGTTCAGCCCTCTTTGTCTATGTACAAAGAGTTGTTCCGAACTGAGCCAAGCCTGACTGAGATCTTGATCGCGACATATAGTGAAATCATCGAAGTCAATCGATTGCTCGTGATCTACTTTCAACAGCGCCGTAAGACCGCCTTATCACTTGACCTTTACTCCATGTTAATAGCGACCAGTCTGGGCGGAGCTCTTCGCTACAACATGGAAGCGGCATAAGTCGAGATTATCAAACATCATATCTTGCATGATGTCCCGCTTCAAGCTTGTCAGTAGCCAGGCAACGTTGGAACAATTCGACACCCTTGTGACCACTTCTTCACGTGAAGAAGCGACGTTGAACGCTGAAAGAGATAGCGAGGACTTGGGCCGCAGACATGCTGTGTATACATGGATCAAACCAACCGATATGGAAAATGATCAAGAGTATCTAAGGCGGATTCGCCATGCGTACCCGGGTACTTGCAGCTGGTTACTAAGCGATGAGACCTTCCAAGAGTGGTTCGAACACCGAGAAAGCATTATGACTGGTTCGAACTTATTGTGGTTGAACGGAAAGCCTGGTTCTGGTGAGTCATCAAGGCCATGCATTGCACAATAACTCACGCTATGCTGTAGGAAAGACAGTCCTTGCATCCTTTGTCGTAGAGGAAGCGAGAAAACTTGAATCAAACCCTACGGTTTTGTTCTTCTATTTCAAGAGAGAGGATAGCGATCGAAACAGCTTTCTTTCCATGGCTCGTACTCTGCTTTCACAGATTCTCGAGCAAAATCATTACACTCTCGACTATTTTTACAGCAGATGCTGTAGCAGTGGAAGCGCTGTGCTTAGTTCTCGTCTTCTCGTCGAAGAACTCTTGAGTTTCGCTCTACGCAATTGCCAGTCTGCTTACATCGTGCTTGATGGATTGGATGAGTGCTGCACAAGAAAAGAAAGAGGAGAGATTGCGAGCTGGTTTCGAGATCTGACTGAGAATGGCCCTCCCGAGATTCGCAACGGGCTTCATTGTATGTTCATCAGCCAACACGACAGCGCCCGAAAAGACTATCGCGATCTTCCTAGTATCACGGCAGACGACGACAACAACGAAGAAGATATAGAAGCTTTCTGCAAGGTGCAAGCTGAGAAGTTGGTTACGGATCTCCAAATCGCAGAACATAAAGCACTTGAGATCGCCGAACGCGTTTCTGCTGCAGCTGAAGGTACGCAAATCCTGAATGACAGGCTTACATTGCTGACAAAGATGACATTAAGGAGTTTTTCTATTTGCTCATCTCGTTTGGATCAACCTCTGCGGTCAAAGCTCCATTTACAGCTTAGAACGCGAGATGGAGACTTTTGCGACTGACCTGGACACATTGGACAAGGCGTGAGTGACATATTTGCTGAATGTTTGACCTGGCTAGCTGACTTTCTATTTCAGTTATTCCCGAATTATGCAGACGATCATTGAAAAGCCTGTTGCCGCCCAACGGGGTGAGGCTCTAGAACTCCTTGGCTGGCTCGTCTATGCAAAGCGATCGTTAAAAATGCACGAAGTACAAACACTGAGATCAGTTGACTTCGAAAGAAGAGCTGTGGAATTCGAACGGAGACGACTTCGAGTTCACGTCAAAGACCTTTGTGAATCGCTGGTTGATGTTCGCGAAGATGGGAGTATCGAGTTGGTTCACACAACGGCAAAAACGTACGTGATCTTTGATAACAACACATGAGAGTGATACTGAGATGCTAGCAGGTATCTAGCTAATAGTGGTCTTCTCAACGACATCACTGGGGAGCTCCCGATTGCAACGCTCTGCATCGACTACTTGAACTTGCCGTCGTTCCAGAGACCTTCAGAAGAGCAGATGCTGGCCGGAGAATATGGTTTTATGGAATACTCCGTGCTGTATTGGCTTCGCCACTTGGAGGCAGGTATGAGCTCAACTCATCCTGATCAGGATAACATCTACATGAGCCTTACGGAATCTCTTGAGGTGCTGGTTGAGCAATACTGGAATGAGCCAAGTGCCAGCGTTGCTTCCATCTCGAGATCAGCGTCTAAACGGACTCGGGATGTGCTGCAGCAATTTAGTCACCGCGAAAGCTTTCCAAAGCTTCAGCTGGCACTCGTGTTGACTGATAAAGAACTAAAGCACTTTTGGGACGTGCGCCCGGAAGAATCTGCTCTCAGAATCTTAGGCGTTGTGAAAGCCGTTCGTCACTGTATTGAGACGTATATTGTTCACAGCTCAAATCTAGACGTGGCTGGAGCTTTGAAAGACATGTACGGCAGTAACCTGTTCAAGTGCCCGAGATTCAGCTGCAGGTACTTTACGGACGGATTTACAACACTTGAGGAGCGCGAGAGACATTTCCAACGACATGTGCTCCCAGCTCGTTGCACTGATGAACATTGTAGAGGCTCTCAAATCGGGTTTGCGACACAGGCACAACTGGAGCGACACCTCAGAGAGAATCACCCAGACATGACTGAGCCTCACCACAACTTTCCAACAGATGAGGAAATCGTCGAAAGCATGCGAGAAGTTTCACCAGAACCCGAAGTCGTGATCGAGGACGAACCTCAGCTCATTCCGGAAGTGCAACAACCAGTGGAAGTCCCTGACATACCAGTCACTCCAACGCCGGAGCAGGCAGAGCCCCAGCCAACACAGCAAAGAGAGGTGGCTAAGCGCCTTAAAACCAAGAGAGAATATCAATGTGCGCATTGCGACAAGATTTTCACTAAGAAGTGGAATTGGGAGTCACATCTTAGAACTCACGGCGACAATCAAAGGTTGCAATGCCCTAATTGCGACCAAACGTGCGCCAGGCAGGGCGATCTCGCTCGGCATATGAGACTTCACGACCCGGATAGCGCAGTCAAATGCGGTGGCGTACTTCCAAACGGCCGCAGATGGGGATGCGGAACCAATTTTGCAAGACTCGATGTACTTCGCACCCATCACAAGTCCAAAAAGGGCAGGAGATGCATCGCAGGAAGGGACAGCGAAGAGCAATCCACAGCTTCGACTGCATGATTTGGTTCACACATCAAGCAGAAGCACATCGCAAGGCAATGTAAGGAGATTTCATTAGGCTTAAGCACTCGCCCCATGTCTCGAACGTCAACATGAGTCCAGCAAATCATGACTGCATTTTTCTTTTGGAAAGACTCGTCGTTTGATCAGAGCTTCGATAGTATTCTAAGGCGGCTCGCCCATCGTTGCTAACCATAATTCCCGCAGCAAGAGCAGTAGGAACGTGTGAGTAATTTGCTGATGCTGGTGGTTTGCACGAAAGCGGTAGCACAACGCATTGACCAGGCTGGTTATCCTGCAGTACCAAGCTTAAAAAAGAAACCAACAAGGCAGACTCGTCTGCTTTTGGTGTTGCTAAGCGGTTGTAAAAGTGAAGCGTACTAGTGGCGGCTCTAGGCTTGCCCTCAGCCGCCCGTGCTAGCGCTGACTTCGTGCACGAGCTTACTTCGACCACGAGCTTACTTCGACCAAAGATTGTCCCTTGATTTATGCGACTGCCCTTTTTCAACCCGTTCTAGAGTTGATTTATCTTGCTTATGATTGGGTCATTTCGTCACGACATTTGCTAAGCCGTAATCTTCGCTGCACCCTTCAGAAGCCGTTCAGCATGATGGTAGTCCTCATTCTTCTAAGGTTCTGTTGTTCATGTATAAGCCAGACATCGGTAGAACAGCGCATGCCATGTGACTAGCCGTCGCAGGCTTCCTTCCATATTTGGGCCCCTCATTACTGTCAGGTATACCTAACCACGAGCGTAGCTTATACACAGATTCAGTTCACCATACTCTCACAGTGCAGCTTTTGCAAATTATCAGAAAGAAAGTGTGGCAGTGAGATCGATATGCAACGGAAGTAAGTTGTTGCAATCGTCCTGTCACCGAACCTGTGTGAGTCGCTCTTGGAAGCCTGATGGTACCAAACCTGACAAGAGCCATTGACATGCCGACAAGAAAACCAACGCGACTGCGGCGAATCATACGAGCAGAGGACATGCGTCAGAGCAGTTCAGGTGTGTCGGCTCTATTATTGCGCAAGATCGCTCAGTCGCGCAGCCCATGAACATGAGATTTCATGGTAGATACGCTCTTTCGCAACCCTGGATTCGTACTATACTTTGTACGTCGCTTCATAGACAGAAGGGAGGCAGATTATGGCTCAGCACTGAAGGTGGGGTCGGCTGCAACAACTCACCGGTCGATCTTTGAGGAAGCGAGAGTCGCCTGGAGAAGGGGCAGTCGATTGGCTTCCAGAAGGCCGGGACGTGAGCGCTACCTCTAGGCAGCAGCCATGCGTCATGTCAGCACGGCAGGAACTCGACCAATCACTTGACTTATAGCGACACGAGTACTGTTTTCCAACAGAAATTTTTCACGACTGCGTAACGCTGGCGGACCTGCTAAGCCGTGATTTCAGCCTCCCCGCCTGGGTTCTACAGATAGCGCGCGCATCCCCTCATTCGAGCGAAAGAACATTCTGTTTTAAGCCATACTACCGGTATCGCGATGTTGCATTCTCTACCAGTGGAGGCGCTGAGCTTTCTACTTTTTCTATTTTTGGATGGATGTATGCGAGCTTGGGTGATGCAGTGTGGACGTAGCGCCCTTTCCACAACTACTTGCGGGGGACGGCCGGAAGCCACCCGACCACTAGCAAGACGCACGGGTGCGATGCTCGCCAATCGAAAGTTGGTCTTTTACTCTAGAGTGCTTTCTTCAGACTCAAAAAGAGCGCAGGACTTTTGGCCCCCTATTACTGCTAAGCCGTAATTCAAGGTAGGTCTAGCTGATCAGGATATCTCCAGACCTGCTAATCAGAGGCTTGTCTTTCTCTCTAGGGTGCTTCTCAGCACTCATTTTGTTCGCGAGCGCGCCCAAGAGGTTGTCATGCGGAGCTCTTTGCTGAGTCATCCCGTCATACGTAGATAGAAGTGTAGCAAATCGTGGCTCAGCAATGGCAGGGAGGGCCGAGCTCTTTTTCCTTGCAAAAGAGCAAGATGATCTCAAACAGTGACAGTCGCTTGGAGAAGGAGCCGCCAATTGACTTCCAAAAGACCGTGACGTGCTGTATATGCAACGATTTCATCGGTAGACATCACCTCTAGGCACCAGCCACGTGTCGTGTCAGCACGGCCTGAACCTGTCCTATCAATCGACATCTAACCACTCCGGTACTGTTTTCTTAAATGTTCAGAGTGCATGGTGTGTTGTCATGAAATTCAGAATGCTGAGCCGTGATCTCGGGACCGCTAGTTGTCATGCTCTTCATCCACTTCATCCCATGGTCCCTAGGTACTGCGATGATGCACGTCAGCCAGTTGAGCCGACCGCAACTTCCACAATTCTCAACGATCCGAACGAACGTGTCCTCTCGAATGGAAGAATCTGCAAGTACAAGAATGGTCAGGATCGCTATCTGTAATCTATAGATAACGCATGCTTTGTATGTGGCCTCAACATGATTCCGTCTTTCCAGCCAGATAAAAGCATATTTTTTCCTAGCCCATGTTCACCACAACATATCGTTGTGGCCTCAAATGGTGGAGGCACAAAGCTCATTTTCAACGAGCCAGCTGCACTCGAAGGAAGCATAACATCTAACACTACCTAGGTATGCTGGCGTTGTACGCCAACCTTGATACAATTGACGACAGCTCAGCACCTCGTGTAACCAAGGTTCGAAAACACCATGAGAAAATGGTGGTGGCACGAGAGCTACATTTTCCATTGGATTTCCGGCTTTGGTAAGGCCAGAATTGTCTTGAAGAGTGTGATGGCCCGGTGACGGTCTTCGGCCTCAGCCCAGGATTCACCAACTGTCACAGATGCATGACATCATGCGAACGGGGAAGAGTCCGAACGGTCAGCCAGTGAGATGCACGGGTGATGGACTAGCCAATCATGACCTGGTCTTTCTCTCGAGAGTGCTTTCTTCACTCTTAATATGCCTCCCATGGATACGTTGGTCCTCCTTGCTAAGCCGTAATTTCAGCCGCACCTGTCCAAAACGGGTTCAGTCGGCAAGGGGGCTTGTATCTTACCTGGGGTATCCCTTTTCCATGTCAGTGCGATGCTGCCTCGTGCTGAGTCCTGATCGTAGCTGCAGTTACCAAAGCGGGTCTAGTTGCTAGGTCTTCTGTTCAGGTCAACCAATCAAATCCTCTTCTATCTCTCGAGGGTGCTTTCTTCAGTCGACTCTACCACACCGCTATCACTTGCTTCGCACCTGCTAAGCCGTAATCTCACATAAGCCTTGTCAAGGGGAAAACTGGGCTCCCGCTCTAGGCCTGGCTAGGGAGCCCGGAGTTTCCCTATGAGGGCTGAGTGGACTCAAATTGCTGCCATCCCCCTTACTTCAAGATTGTTCAACTGGAATGTTTGCAACACGTGATTACCAATTGTTGAGTCTCTAGCAAAATGCTTCAACCCTCACTCCGCGATGCAGAGTGGCGCAGCAATAGCTCCCTGACGAGGCACGCCCAAAGGTTAGCTGACGAGGCGCACGGGCAAGAATCTTGCCAATTGTTGTACTCTCTGTGCTCCAGAGGCGCCTTCCTGCCGTTGTTCCCACATCTTGAAAGCCCCACGATCTGCTCAGGTGACTGACTACCTGGCGTCGATGGTATTCAAATGTGGCCACATAACGCACCCACCTCATCACGAGCGCTCTCGGCCTCATTAGGTTGACCTAGGTGTGGAAGCGTGCATCGCATGGTGCTTCGTCTACAGGCGCAAGGCAAGATTTTGGTCCGTGATAGAAGCTGTCTTCGACACGGAGATGAACAAAGAGCAAGTACCCGATATTATCTTCATGCAATGGGTCTACTAGATCATCGTACCACAGCACCATACCTGCCATACTTCCGCGTCAGGTTCAATCGACATCCGATTTGTCTGTATCCTTCCTATCCATGTCCTCGGCTTTGGCTTTCTGTTGGCTAGACAAATCTAACTGTGCGAGCGCCTTCTTCTTCTGCTCCTCACTCATGGGTCGTGGCAGCAAACTCGCGTCGGGGTGCCACAGCTCCTCCTCCGTCGCCTTGGATCCATCAACGTCCTCGAGCTCTGGTGTGAGTGCGCGGTACTCTGGTGGAACGCGGTCCAAGAATGCTTTCACCAGCCGCGGAGTCAAACCCACTGCATCAAGAACCGCACGATCAGCAGAAAGGGTCCGCAAAACACCGTCTTTCCCGAGCGATATGATGCTTAGAGGGTCTTTGTTGAATTTTGCAAGGATCGCGGTCACCTCTTGCTGATCAGGATGATTGCGATCGTACGTATGCGGCGGGTTTGAAGGCGCCTCCGATGAAGCTGGTTCTGATGAAGTATTTTCGGTCATCGCTTATTTGTTTCCGAGTGTTCGATATAGTCTTGACGGTGGATGAACGGATATCCATCGCTCAGCGTCAAAGGCAGGTTGTAGGTAAGCGTGCTAAAACCGGTTTTCGGTCATATGCACACCTGATACATCATATCTGTTACCCGTGACTACCCTGCTATGCTGACAACCGGCAGTTCAACCAACGATCCTTCCCGGCTTGTCACGTCTTGGCTTGCATACCTCGGCCCGGACCGAACGACAGACACGTTCAGAGCTTAGTTCTTCTCGAGATGGCGAATCTCTTCAAGGGCTATGACGATAATGACGCAGAAGTATCGCATAGTTCATTATAAACTGGTCAGAACAGTAGCATGGTGTAGAGCAGATGAGTGGGAACATTGCGATTCGAAGTACACCTAATTACAACATGCCAAGGTGGCCTCAGTAGGACGCCCGACAGGAGCCAAGACATAACTGATAGCATGACATGAGGGGGAGGATTCGCTCAACAAGGCCAAGGAAACCTATTCACCTACTTGGAAGTTGCTCGGGTCATATCACGATATGTTAAGTAAGGCAACCAAAGTATCGATAGAAGCAATGAGGGGAACGTTCTGGAGTGGTAATCGCCAATGCTGACTTGGTCAATCATCTCCCTTTCAGTCTGAGATGTAGTATCTCAGTCAGCCGAGTTGAGGGTGGTTGAAGCGAGGTTTGGAGACATTGTTAGAAGAACACTCAAGCATAAAAGCTGGATGGAAGGGCCTCTTCGAAGCAGAAATCCTCACCAGCTTAGAAACGACAGTGATTCATTTATTGCGCCCTCTACGACTTGAGACATACAAGATGTTGGGCAAAAGCTATCTGGCGTTGGCCGTTGCTATTATCCCTACTGTGGGTCGAAGTCCATTCACAGCAACACTATGTATGCTAACATGATAATGAAGATTGGAGCCACCGTAATTAACCGATCACGATCTCCTGCCAAAAGTCGTTACGTCGAGGGACCGTTTTCAGAGGTCGTAAAAGATCTCAAGATAGACGCTACAGGAGCACTTAGCGTCGGACCGGACGGTGTCTTGCGTAGTTTCGCGGGCAACCTCGAAGTCATTGATTACCGTCAGCTGGATTCCGAGCAGGTTCGAGGGTTCGGCAAGCAACAGCTCAGTGCCTGGTCGAACGATGTAGAGATACCAGACTCAGTATCTGCCTTGGTACAAGGTACCATTGACGGACGACTTGTTACAGACGAAACACTTCTTTTACACCCCAGCGAGAAGCCGCAAATTAGAAAGAAGTCTTCTTCCACTCAGAGTGAGAAGCGAAGTGCAGATGACCTTTTCATCAGGCAATCAACCCTCTGTGCTGGTACAACTTGCGGGAGTCTTAACGATTGTATCCCGAGGGGTTGCAATGCCTGCTACTTTCCCAACGGCCCGCCTGACGGTCGTTGCCTGGACCCCAACCCCAATCTTCCACCTCGGTAGATTCGTAGAATGCTCAAGAGTATGTTGGAGTAGAAATCAAAGAATGAAAGTTGACCTTTAATTCACGCTAAGCAATCATTACTATCGCAATGCATGTATGTACATTCGCTAGGTAGTCAACGTCGCTTCTTCATGGCCGTGTGGCCGCCCAAGTCATCGTCCAAAGTCAAACTGTGGTATTCCGGTGCCAGTTCTGCCTCTCTTAGAATACGTACAGTATGATGAATCCTAGAAGGATTATGTAGTATAGTGTGCTCGACTCACGCATGGCTGCATCAAACAGCTGCAGCATTCTGCATGACTTTGCAGTTCTTTACTGTAGTGTAAATGTGCGAATATCACTATTCAAGAAGATCTGCCTATGATAAAGATGTCGTTGCATTGATCGCCACCCGTCTTTAACACCAAGGACCATTCCAAAGGGAGCATACGTCTAGCTGGCCCATTCGGCACACGCTGGGCATTTGGGTGAACCCATGACCAGCCTTCGCGTAGGACAATGTACGCGCTCATTTCAAATGAGCCGTAGATCTCGAAGGCAAGCTCGAAAGGCGGCCCATCCAGAACGAAGTAAGTTTGGTTGAAGCTTTGATGCTAAATCACCTATAAGTAAAGGAACATGGGCCAATGGATCGGCACTTACCGCGTAGAGGTGAACCCTTTCCACTAACCTTGGATACTGGACATCAACAAAATACTTAACATGATGCCAGCCTATCTTTTGACTTTCCATGTGAGTGTTGCCATGAATTATCTTAAAAGTCGTCTTAAAAATCTTCACGGCATTCGCCACTTCACCTGGACTATCTGGTTCCGGCAGAAACATGCCAAGCCCGCAACATGGCTGAGAGAACTCCGATCCACCTGTAGCCTTTGCAATCCCGCCGATGAGAGCGATCTGCTCTTCTACGTCAGATGCTCTTGGTCGATCTTTCGCATCCGGCCTCATCATATGCCGGATCAAGCCGACTAAGTGCTCATCTGCTGGTCTTCGGCACATGTTCTCCTCAGTATCGAACCAATGTATAATCCTGTCGAGATTCGCCTGAAACGACTTATCTTCCCTTGCGCGTAGTGTCTGTGTAGTTTCGAGTGAATAGCCCATGCACAACGTGATGATCTCGAGGAAGACGCACCCCATCGCGAAGATGTCTGAAGAAGAGCCGCTCGGGTCGTAGCTTGCGACCTCGGGGCTAAAGTATCTCGGCGTGCCACGCTCGCCGTTGTCCGTAAGACTCGACGACAGAGTGGAAAAGTCAGTTGCAGAGCCGAAGTCAGTTATCCAAAGGCCGTCGGCTGACAGAACTACATTCGATGGTTTCAAGTCCTTGTGTTTGATACCGGAGCCGTGCAGATACGAGACAGCACTCGCTATACAACCGATTGTCTTCTCGAGATATGTGATCGTGTTATTCAATGTTTGCTGACTGTCACCGCCTACAAGACATAGAGACACGAAAGCGGGCTCTCGGTCGTGATCGTGACCTTCGGAGTAAACTGATACCAGGGCGTCGCTGGCTTCCCAGTTTCTATCTGTTGTGCGTTTCCGCAGCCAATCTGCGTCTTCCAATAGTGTTGCAAGATCGCAAGTAGCGACAGGCCATAGTAGAAGGCCGAGGACTGGCCCGCGGGTATATGTTCCTATAAGACGTATAATGTGCGGATGACTGAGCCGTTTGATGATCTCGATCTCTCGACGTTCGCTTTGTCTGATCTTGCGTCGAACATATTTGCGCTTCCATGCTAGTCGAATCCCGTTGCTTGCTATTTCTGTTTCGTAAACCTCACCGTGTACTCCATGTCCTAGAAAGCGACCTTCTACCAATGGCACTCTTTCATCTTTCTCGTAGTCAACATGTGACGTGCCGCGACCTGACCAATCCACCGGTGCGCCATTCACTAATTCGCAGGGCAGCGTTTCCGGAGGTGGAGACGGGTTGGGTTTAAGTTGCTGAGAACTTTGCTGTGAAGCGGGCATGGCTTCTGATCGCAAGCTTAAGCAAAGTGCGGAAGCTTACGTCGGAATCTCGCTGGTCGCAATCTCATGCTGCTGGAGAACGGCAGTCGCAAGCCTACGTTGCAGGGGAGCTATTAATATCCAGTGCTCGTTTCTCACACAAAACGGACTCTTTCCGATGGCGGTACCGCGAAAATAGAGAAAGGACGCGTGCTTGAGAGACGATGTTCGTGCCAGGTGTCCCCGGGGCGAAGCGACCACGATCAGCTTGGAGGGGTGCGAGCCAGCGCGTCAAACATCTCAGCTGTGTACCCCACTTACGTTTGCCTGCACAACCCAGAGTGCAGTTGAGCGAGCAGATTCGGATTACGCGATGAACGCCTTGTTTCAAGAGGGTAGGGCAGTTAGATTGCGACACTAGTTCCGTTCGCCAGGTAACTCAGAGATGCAGTCCCTCATGCTGTATTTACTGGAGACGCGGCGTAAGATCTGTCGCAATGATGTTCGAGAGCAAGCCGCAAGCGCTGAGCGCGGCAAGTACCCAGCGCTTACCGGATATTTTTGGATAGTGGAGGAGCATACTTTGACACTTTTGCGCAAGGCGACGATGCGGTGAAGCCTTGCGTTCAAAAGCGAGCCCGAAACTTTTTCCAGAAAACGCGCTTGCAAGCTTCAATCGAAATGCGCAGCCTTTAATCCAATTCATTATTCCATGCGCATCCATGCAAACTTTGAATGTCTACTCAGGGTTGTGAGCAAGAGGTTGCCCAAAATGGTTTTAGCCCATACCGCGACAGTGTATTCGTGGCAGAGTGGGTAACCATAAGCAATCTGATGCAGAAGCTAAACACCGCCCCCAATGTGGTGCTCAATATCTCATATGTTTTCCAGCATTCTCAGAACTCCCTACTAGATTCTTCTCTCGTCCAAAATCGAAGGAAGACAGCTGTCAAGATCGATTATGACATTTAGGCCTTCCCACTACGAGCACCTACCGAACAGAAGCGAGGAGTTTTCCGAGCCCACCGAGCCGTACAGAAGTGCATCGACCTCGAGCGATGTAGAACACCTTGGATCACATCGCCATGATACGAGCACCTATATCCAGCCATATGTGTCTCCCATCTCAAGAGGAGCCAGTTTGCAGGACCATAAATCATCCGAAGTGCCGCTGCAAGGCAAACAAGAGTGCGTTTTCCATCAGCATACACTACTATCGTCTGCTACCCATGACTTCGATGCCTCAAGCTTGAAGCCTGACACCTCTTTCAATTCTCCGCAAAAGCGAAAAGAAGGCTCCTGGGCGGATGTGCTCAACGACTGGTGGTGGTGGGAGCTTGGTAGCGTACTTCTGAGCTGCGCGTGCTTCATCGCCATCGTCATTACGCTATGTGTAGTGCAGGGAGATGCACTATCTTCATGGCACTCTGTTGTATCGCCCAACGCTCTGATCTCGACTCTCGCTACAATATCGAAAGCAAGTCTCCTGCTTGCAGTTGCAGCGTGCATATCGCAACTCAAATGGCTGTATTTCGAAAGCGCGCCTCATCGATTACAGGACATACAGGTCTTTGATGACGCTAGCCGCGGTCCACTGGGAGCTTTGAACCTTCTCATGCGCCTTGGCTCGAAGGAAGCTTTCACACGTCAAAGCGGTGGAGCTGGATGGGCGTTTTGGGCCTCGATTTTGACGATTCTCGCGCTAGCTTCGGATCCTTTCGCACAACAGATTCTGTCTTTCCCACTTCGAACCGTGCCGGACTTGACGGATCCGGCATCGGCTTTCATCTCTGCATCGCAGGTTTACGATACGGGTATCACTGGGTACGAAAGGAATAGCCAGGACCTCAATGTGGACATGGCCATGCAAGGCGCTGTCCAAAATGGCTTTTACACCCTGAATTCCCCCATGACGTTTGGTTGTACCACTGCAAATTGCACATGGCCAACCTTCTACACTTTAGGGGTCTGCAGTTCGTGTAACAACGTCACAGATCAAATGTACGTGAGCTGTACAGAAGACAAACAATCTAACCTAGCCCTTATCGGGAGCTGCAATTATACGTTACCGTCAGGGCTGGCAGTGTCTGGCCAATACGGCTCTAACGCCGTTGGCGAGTTTGGACCACTTCTGAATGCTACTGCAAAAGCAGGAAGCCACACCTTCATGAAGGAGCATGGAAACCTCACGGACTTGCTTGTTCTTGCTGGCGTTACGCGTTTCAGCGAAACATGGCGGAGGTACACACGTCCTGAAGCGTATGAATGTCGACTCTCATGGTGTGCGAAACGCTACTCCGGTGTCAAGGTCACCAAAGACGAGATTCTTACACCACACATACGAACCTGGCCCTTGAAGTCTCCTTCCGGATCTACCCTCAATGACGCCGGTATCCGTATGGGTCGCTTTGAGGTAGGAGAGAATACAGATTTCGATGGACTAAACGGAACTTTCGTGGTCAACGCGGTAGAGCATAACATGCCGGCGAATTGGCTTGCGACAGATTTTTTCACAACGGTCGAACAAGATGCCGTAGGACGGGTGCTATACACGCACTCGGACATGTCGCAAACTTTCGACAATATCGCAACTTCGATGATGAACAGAATCCGCGAAAATGACAATGCCACGCGGGTATTTGGGATTTCGTATCGCGAAGAGACCTACATCCGAGTGAGCTGGCCTTGGCTCATTCTACCCGGCGTGGTGGTGCTTATGAGCGTTGTCTTATTGGTAGCCAGTATCGTATTGAGCAGAGGCGACAAGCAAGGACTATGGAAGAGCACGACGTTAGTGCCTCTTTTCACCCGCATGCGAGGATGGAAACATGAAGGCTTGAGAGTCGGAAGATGGAGTGAGATGGAGAATCAGGCGAGGCATATGAGAGGAAGGTTTCAAAGGGACGGGCAGGGCAGCCTGGACTTTGTTAGGACATGATATACAGGCACTGGAAGTGTTTGGCTATGCGGACCAGCGGCTGAACTTGCAGAGAGCTGGGCGCCTGACAAAGGTGATAAGCCTGGCGCTACCCCGCCATGGTGCTGCACCTCGACAACTATTTTTCCGTCCTTCCAGATCCCCAAAGTAATAATGGCAAATTCCGAGCGCACTATGCCATGCGATCTCTGTAGTGCCCTGCTCGAGATGTTTCAAGGGTTGCGAAAGGAGCCTATCGATATCTCGACTTTCCAATCGCAAGGCGCACTTCAATGTAACGAACACACATTGCTGGTCCAGAAGTTCACAGAACACTGTCAGACGCCATCGGGGCATCATAATCGACCGGCCCCGAAGGACATGGGATTTCGCTGCGGACAGAGTCTTGGAGAGGTAACAATGACTGAATCGGTAGAGAAGCTGGGGGTGGTTTGGGAGCTCTTACTCTCCCCGAGTGCCAACGGCACAGAAGACTTCACGAAAGGCGACATACTGGACCCTGACTGGGTTGATCTGACTAAAATCAAGCAATGGAAGTCTGATTGTCTAAGCTCACACGGAAGCAGATGCGACAACCCCTTGAGAATCTGGAAGACAACACCAGCGTGGCTTGTGGACGTCGAGCTGGAGTGCGTAGTTCCTGGAAAAGAACAAGTCAATTTTGTTGCGTTGAGTTATACATACGGAGACCGTCTCGGTCTCAAGATGGACGCTGAGCTTAGTGCAAGGCTTCGAGAGACTCATGCATTCCAGAGCTCAGACATAGCATCGCGGATCCCTCCCACGCTTGCACATGCTATGTTTGTAACGAAGAACCTAGATGAACGATATCTGTGGGTGGACGCCTTGTGCATAGGTCACGACAATCCTACGGAAACTGCGCGTCAGCTTACAATGATGGGTTCGATCTACGCCAGTGCTATACTGACCATCATCGCTACCGATGGAGATGCTAGAGAAGGCATATCCGGCTTGAACGGTATATCTGAATCCAGAGCATTGGAGCAGAAAGTGTTTCCATTTGGATCGCGCAATATTATCGTTCGCAGCACCGACATATTTTCTCTAGTCCACGGAGGTACCCCATACTTCTCACGAGGATGGACTTACCAAGAACATCGGCTGGCAAAGAGAAAGCTGTTCTTCCTAAAGAAGTCGGCACACTGGGAGTGTCAGCACCGGCAGTCTCACGAAGACCTCACACCAGGTGCAGAGATAGAAACGTACATCGAGCCACGACTCGTGGAAAGCCTCGATGGATTTCCGGAATTAAGCTCGGTAGGAAACATCATTTGCGACTATAATAGCAAAAGCTTGCGATACCCAGAAGATGCCCTACCAGGAATAACCGGTATGCTAGCTGTGCTTAGTCGTTCTTTCCAGGGCGGCTTCCTTTTCGGCATTCCGGAAATGTTCTTCCATCGAGCGCTTGCATGGACCCCGGTCTGGTCGCATACAGAACTTGAGCGTCGAAAGCTATCTGACCGACCCAGACAAGACCAACTGCCAGCGGGCCAATTGCCATCATGGTCATGGATTGGATGGAAGGGAATGGTGAAGCTTGGCGAAGAAGCGGCCAGGATAAATGATCTATGTGCCACTATTGAGGAGACCTATCCCATGGTCGAGTGGTACACAGCTTCGTCACCTACGGCGAGCGCGTCTGAACGTCGGCGCATCCATTCCAACTGGTATGAGCACCGCGAAGAATGGAAAAGCGGAACCATAGATCTGCCCGGTTGGACAGCGGTAGGAATGGAGAGCGAGGAAGGTACGTACAAGGGAGAGCCACGCATCTTTCCAGCAGGGTGTGGAGGCCGTGTGTATCGCCATCAAAACATGATTCACAACAAGAACCACGGTCCAACCAACGATTGGTACTTTCCGTTTCCAGTCCCAGAAATCTCAAGCGCAACAGTGGCTTCAATGCCCGAACAAACACCATACTTGTTCAGTCGAACACAGCGGAGTTTTGTTCTTGGGCAAAAGCCTAGTGGAAACAGGGACGACACAGATGATGACAGTAACAAACTCATCGCTCTCTGTGATTGTTCGAGTGGAAACTCAGTTGGTGCACTTCACCTGCATTCTAAAGAGCAGCTGAAACTGTTTCCTTTCGCAAAGATCACGCCTTCATCGGGCCACGACACCCCTCATGATCACTTCGATATGCACACAATCATGAAAGAAAAGCGGAATATGGATATAGTTGCAGACACTGCGGATAAAAGTCTGCCCAAGATAGAAATCGTCGCTGTCAGTATGACTCGCGTTGACAGCAAAACTTGGAATCATGAAGCTGAACGCGCTGAAAAGCCGTTCCGCGTCAACGAGGTAGTCAACGTCCTTTGGATAGAATGGGAGAACGATATCGCCTATCGAAGGGCTGCTGGCTATGTTAGAAAACAGGACTGGCAACAGCTTGAACGTGAGGATGTTGATCTAGTCCTCGGCTAAGGCGATATTCGCTGTCGTTTGTTTCTCGAAAATCTACTTCCTCCTGCTCTTCTTAGCCTCGTGCATCCTTCGCAAACCGTGATGTTTTCTCTGCAAGCAACTGAATCATGACGGCGAAGATGTACCCTCGTCATGACTGCTGATCAGGCAACCGCTGCCAACGTACGTGCTTACCTGTTCTTCTCACCCCACCAAGGCTGAGGCCACCCGCAGTCAGCCTGCAACATCAGGCCGCCATTCATCTCCATAGTCTGCACCGACTGAAGACCTCTTTTCGCATACAAGCAAACAGCACGTATCAGTCATCTACATCAGCGGATCGATCTACACCAGCGTTCAAAATGGCTGCGCAGGTAGAGCCCGAAATCGTTCTATACGACCTAGCATGCACCAAAGGTGTCTGTTTCTCACCCGCAGTATGGCGCATTCGTCTCATGCTCAACTACAAGCGCATTCCATACAAGACGATCTTTATTGAGTTTCCAGATATCGAACCAACACTTAAAGGACTGTGAGTCTGCTTCCCGTCGCCTCGTCTGCTTGGTTCCAAGGGAACGCTCTAAGAGGTCTTCTAACATTACCTTAGCGGCATCCACCCCGCCGAGTCCTCTACGGGTTCCAAGTACACAGTCCCAGCCATCTACCACATCCCGACGAACACCTACACCATGGATTCGACCCTCATCGCCCAATTTCTGGAAGCAACATATCCAGATCGACCAATTCCCTTGACCTCCGAGCTTGGCCGCGATATCGAATCTAAATCACGTAAGGTGATAGGTCCCATATTCCGCGACTCAATCATACCACGTGAGGTGAGCATCCTGTCACCTCGATCGCAGGAGTACTTCCGACGAACGCGCGAAGCTGCTATGGGATGCAAGCTCGAGGAGCTGCTGGATAGCGAGAAGGAAGAGTTGGCGTGGCGCAAGGTTGAAGACGATATACGCACCGTTGAGCAGTTGCTCCTGACAAACGAGAAAGAAGGGCAGTTTGTATTGGGAGCGAGGCCGAGTGCGACAGACTTCTTCCTTGCTGGATCATTGCATGCGGCGAGGACGGTTGATGAAAGCGTGTTCGCGAGGATCGCGAACTATCCAGGGTTCAAGAAGATCTACGAGGCGTGTGTGCCATATATGCAGGGGCAGGAGGTGCCGGATCTCACAAATTAGCCGTGCATGTCGCCAATATTCGCTCAGTAGTAAGACTTTCATCATGAATGCCAAGTTCTCTCATCGAAGGCCTCCAAGCTCTTCCATAAGTCCGCACAGCGCGCGCACAAGAGGCGGTCCAGTCTCGCGGTCCACATCAGGATGTGTTGTGTCGAGAAGCCTGACGCCGACCTTCATGACCTGTGAAGGGTACTTGAGGTTGCAGATTTCGGGCCGATCAGCCACTCCAGACTCCGATGCTACTGGTTGATGTGTAGAGATGATGCGCAGGCACGGTATGCCGCTGTTCATAAGAATAAAGGAATGAATAGAAGTCTGGTTTTCCGATGCAGCATCGTCGAGGTAGATGACCTTGCTCAGAAACGAACTTGGTTGAGCACGCATCGGCGTTGTGGTACCAGTCTTCTTCGCTCGGTCTCGCATCATCATGCTGTAAGTCCAAAGAACCATGATGGCGTGATACAGCATGAAAGAATCAGGACCACGAATCTGGTAGGGCGGAATATGTCGAGCGGCTCGTACTACCTGTCCAGCATGACAGATCGCGATCCTGGCTTCCTTAGTTTGGCTCCAGGGTGAGAGGTGAGTGTACGCGCTATTGGCAGCGCTTTCGCCGCATTTGCCTGCAAATCGGGTGATCAAATCGAGATTGACATGCAAGTACATCTGCAAAAATTGGTGGAACAGACAGGTGACAGCTGGAGAGTTGCCAGGCAAGAGGTCTTCGCGTTGCAAGTAGTGGTATCTGCCGAGCAACGTCAGCATTATTAGCTATGCGAGGACTTGTACTCACAGTTTCTCCTGACGCGATCGGGCCCAGAGCTGTGAAGAGGGGTCACTGTCCTCGTGCATTAGGGCGGACTGCTGTGCGTACTCCCAGATCTGAGCAGCAATGCCATGAAGGTAGGACGAACGAGCAACTTGCGCATCAATATCCACAGGAAGGCAGAGTATGGCGGCCTCGTCCTTGAGATGGGTTTGAAGCGAGGGACGGCTGGCGACGATATCCATCTCGAGATAGCGTATTCGCCATGTCTCTGCTGAAGGTGCTAGCCAAAGCGTCTTTGACGCAGGCAATATAAGCGTGAGTTCAGCATAAGTGATCAGCGGCGGGCGGTGCTTAGCCATGGTCATGTGGATATCGTGCTCGAACAGGTGGTATACCAACCTGTCTGGATTAGATACCGAGCGGACAGGGTGTGATACGTTTGTGGTACCTCTTGTATGATTCTTGCTCCACCCATCGCTTCCATTTTGTCTGTAGTTCCTCGTCACTATCCTGGGCAGATGGTGTTATTGCGGGATAGCGGATGTGATCAAACCTGCCGGCACGCCGCAGTGCCTATATAGTCAGTCCTTGTTACACAATCACATCGGAGCGTCTCACCGTGACAAGAGACTGCAAACTGCTCTCAGCAATTTCCATCTTCCTTCTATACCCACAGAATGCTCCGATGTCAAGCCATAGCATCGAAGCTTGGAGATATTCCAAATCGCGAATCACACTGTTGTCGTTCTCAGACTGAGCGCATATCAGATTTTGCCCGCTATAAAATCAGATCTGGTTCTTTGTTTGACTCACCAACCTGTTCAACGCGACTCTAACGATCTCTTGTAACGCCAAGCCTGTCCTGCTCACCGATAGCACGCCAAAACATACACACCCAGCCGCCACCAAGGCAGTAAGATACTCCGGTCGGGCGGTTTCGCTCTCGAACGTGTATGGATGGATCCAGGCATCGGTCTCCGTTCTTTTCGCAATCCCGACCTTGATCAGCTTGTCGACGCACTCTGCCGAAGGAAAGGACGGAATCGTGATCTGGCTTTGTGCAGTCTTGGAGACTAGTTGGAAGATGCGATCGCGGGCTGCTGACGATAACTGATCTGGAATCACAACGTTGGATGCATACGGCATATGTGGTGACGAAGCAAGATCCACGTTGCGCTCATCCAGAGCGATGTTTTCGTGCTCACTGAAAGCATGCTGATTACGCTCGGGAATCCAGAACCTAACGCGAGTCAGCACCGATCGGGTTATCGGTCAGTGTGATTTACCAGGCAGACTGTTTGAAGACTGCATGGCGCCTTCTTGCGGAGTCACTATCAATCTTCTCAAGAGAAACATCTGTATTAGCCGGCGGCGTGGCTGCAGGCAGGGCAGTCACCTGCGACACTGGCGCTTCTAGCATTTGACTGACAGTCGGAGTGAAGTCGTTGCCAAAGATGTCGACTTGACCAAGCCAGTCGGTCTCAGGCATCCAAGCCGTCAGATCTGGAGGCGCTTGCATGTAGTCGACACCCATAAAGTCTGGTGCGGGAACCATGATCTGCTCGAAGAAAGCCGGGATGGTATGCTGGGCATAGCTGGTGGTGTTGTAGAGATCGAGTAGAGCTTGTGCTTCATCACTAGCCTCATTGAGGTACACGCCATTCAACTGTATGTCGTCGTCAAATCCGTTTGGGTTAACTTGATCATCCGCAGGTGTTGCGAAAACTTGCGGTGGTTGTTCACTCGTAGTTGACTGAGTGAATGATGATGAATCGGAAAACTTTGTTACACATGATAGGCCCTTCTTTTGGCACCGTTTGCAGGGCCTGCCATTGTCGCATTTGACTTTTGATATTACGCACGAGTTGCAGGCTTTTGTGGCACGTTCTGCTACACGGTTCGGGCCAACAAGTCCATCTTTAGCATTCTTCGTATGCGTTGCTTGATGCCTCAGCAATAAGTCTCTCCGGTTGAACGCCGCAGGACACTCCTCGCACTGGAAAGATCGTTCATTGCGATCTGCGCAGGTTTAGAAAAGTGCTGAGTGACGACTAATAAGGAATTGTACTCACGTGAGTCCAGATGCCGGTTCAAGTGGTCGGCACGTTCATATGTCCGGTGGCAGACTTGACACTGAAGCGCACCAATTGAGGCATCGGAAGTCCGCTGACGCTTGGAGGGTCGCGCATTCGTTGGTGTCACCGCCATATCGACAGACATTATGATCCAAAGGCTGAAGAACGGAAATGTGGGAGAGGAGCAGGTAGTTCAAAGCGCACCGTGTTCTCGGGTTTCGGAAAGTGGGCGCACCTACCCTTGCTCAGATGCGGGGTGCGTCTGGGGAGTCACGGCAGTCGAACCGTCGGCACATTAATCGCCAAGCCTCCAACTCCCTCGGCAGTAACCATGATTCACGACTCAAACCTCAGCTATTGAAGCTTTTGGCATACAACTGTAATCGCAGTAAATATATCGATTGAGAAGGCATGGATCGGGTCTCGTTAACACTCATGTTCACTGGAGTGTCTGACGAAGTCTAAGCTACTGCAGCTCTCTGGAGACCGACTGTTATTGCTGAAATCGAACGCTTTTGTTCCCAATCGTGTACCCCCCGATATGTGCAGTTGTAGTCCATGAACTCATCAGGGCGCCTGTATATGTTAGATCATGCGAATAACATGCGCGGACTGATACTCACATTTTGATGACATTGCTGCCCTTTTCCGTCGCAGGCTTCGCAGCCTCGCGACTGAATCGTTGTATCAAGCTCGCACGTTCATATCGACTCTTGAATACGTTTTCCAGGATGAAAGATACTTCGTCTTTGGTAGGTCTCCCAGTGATGCTGTCGAAGAGCGCCCCTAAAGCTTCAGCGTCCTCGATAGTCTGGCTTGCGCCTTGACCTTGGGTGGGCAGCATAGCATGCGCTGCATCTCCAATGAGAATCGTACGCCCAGAATGCCATGTATCTAGTGGATCCAAGTCGCGCAGCTGCCAAAGGCCTATACTGTCGGCATTTCGAAGCATGTCTCTGGTCCAGCTGGGAAAGTCCTTGAAGGTCTCCAACATCTTTGCTGAATCTCCTTTCGTTACCCATGACTGCGCTTTATCAGGATCTTCATTCATCTGCTCGTCCGGTACTAGGCCGACAATGCTGTAGAGCTTTGCGTCGCGAGCGGGACCCATGATAAGCCGGCAGGAGTGTGCCATGATCATGGATGTGTAGGGCTGTTCTGGTTTGATGTTCGCAGAGAATTGTGGCGCACGTTCGTTAAGGATCGCAGTTGGTAGCATAAGCCGGTAGGCTGAGGACCCCGTGGGTTTGGGATGAATCTCTTTACCGAGAACAGAAGTACGCAGGGCGCTGTGAATGCCATCCGCGCCGATGACAAGATCTGCTTCCAGAGTTTCACCATTCTCAAGTATCACTTTGCCTTCTTCGCAGTCGCAGCTGGACACTCGCGCTGAGGTACGTAGAACCGCCGGCTGGCCATCCCGTTCGGTGCTTGTGGCTTTATCCCTGAGATAGGCATGAAGATCCTCACGGTGCCACATAATACGGTCTGCCCCATACTGTGTCTTACTTCGTAGAGGTATCTCATTCACCATCTTGCCATCAACGCTATATATCCTGAACCCGTGATCGATTGTACCATTAGAGTCCTCGAGTAGGGCTTCTAGCCCCCATGACTGCTGTAAGATCCTCGTGGCGTTGGGTTGGAGCGAGATTGTAGCGCCAATCTCTGTGCTGAGTCGAGATTGTTCCAGGATCGTGATCTGGCGATCGTCCTTCCGTAAGGCTATGGCAGCTGCCAATCCTGCGATCCCACCGCCCACGATAATGATTCGGAATGGCATTGGTGATGACATCTCGAGCGTCTCCTATGTCGGAAGTGTGATGATAGAGATTGATAGAAGGTCGTGATGTCAAGTTGAAGACGAGTAAGACATGCTGATGGCGAATACTGAGAAGGCGGGTAACTGATAATCGACAACCACTAGCTGCCCCAGCACGCGAAACCTCCTAGACGTGGTACCCATCCTCCACTTTACGAACTCCTCCGCTATTATCCCCGCATTCTGAATTCGGTTTTACACAGATCGCATATCGTACCGTCGTTGTCGTCGTGGTCAGGGTTCGGAAATGTGGGCCTGGACAGGCTCGGCCCGTGTGGGCGACGTCGAAGGCTGGACGGCGCACGCTGGTTAAACCTTGTTCGAGAGTGTTGAATATGACCTCTGAAGCAACCTCCACTCTTCACAAATCAGATCTCATTCAACCTGTCAAGCAGCCTCGAAACCGACATATCCAACAATATGATCTCGACCACGACGAAGACAGCGCCCGTTACGCTGAAAGCTGTCGAAGATCAGCGCATGAGAGTGGACGGCTCTGATGCGGCATTCGGCGACTGGAGGGATGACTTGGCCAGAGATGGCTATGCAGTCATCAAGGGTGCGATTCCGAAAGAGAGGGCGGACAAGTATGCAGACCAGATGTACAGCTGGTTGGAAGGATTGTAAGCATAGACACCGACTTAGTGTCGCAAACTACTTACAATGTCCAGCAACCTCGGCTTTGACCGTAACGACATGTCAACAGTTCACAAAGATAAGCTACCTTTGATCACCGAGAAAGGCATGTGTCTGCAGTACGCTGTCACGCACGAAGACTTTGCTTGGTCCATCCGAGGAGAGCCTGGCGTCGTTGGAGCCTTCGAGAAGGTCTACGATAACAAGGATTTGATTGTGTCGTTCGATGCTATCAACTTCACATTGCCGTACGTTGGGTGCATGCATCTCTCGAACAAGCTGACAGTTATTCCAGTCGCTCTGATATTGCACCAAACAAGCCATGGCCTCATCAAGACCAAGACCCCGCGAAGCCCGGTTTCAGATGCTTGCAAGGCTTGGTAAATCTACTCCCCAACGGGCCAGATGATGGCGGTCTGATCGTGTGTCCTGGCGGACATCTGCTGTCCGACGAATTCCACAGGGACATGGCCGATGAGGAACGCATCCCAGCGTGGACACCAGAATGGTATGGTTTCACCGAGAACGGTATGAAGTGGCTCGAGAACAAGGGTCTGAAGTGGTTGAAGGTGTGCGCAGACCCTGGCGATCTGCTCGTATGGGACTCTCGTACCCCTCACTACAACCTGAGCTCGAAGACGAACCAGCCCAGATTTGCAGTTTACACTTGCTACATGCCTGTTGAAGATGCGACACAAGAGGATCTGCGAAGGAAGAAGGACGCGTATGAACGCTGGGTAGGAACAACCCACTGGCCCAACGCTAGGCACACAGGCTCGAATGTCGCGAAAAGAGAGGGAGTAGATGACCCACACAACCGCTTTGAGCCGGTCAACAAGCCGGTCATGGATGAGAGGACATTCAAGCTGACAGGTATTCCGTACATCAAGGCCGATGCCTAAGCATAGCGATATTGGTGGGTAGATGACGTCGAAGCTCCTCGAAGGTGAGTGAGTGGTGAAAGAGCAGGCTCACGCGTCATTGGCGCGTCACGCTAGTCTAGATTGGGACATTTCTCTCGTTGGCGAAAATGAAAAACAATGACATCAACAAACTATTCTCCTTGACATTCATGCATCAACACAACAACGGATGTGACGGCCGGCCCACCACCAGATGGGCGCATCCAAGTACCCCAGATCAGATGCTAACCACCTCCTTTAGTGTGCTGGCGTCCGGGGGACTCCACTTTGATGCTCATAGACTGACCCGCCGACGCGTCTGAGCATTACGCTTGTTGTGATCCGTCAGCAACGATAGCGGACACCGACATTGCCATATGTACATGGCCACATTCTCCACCAAAAGCTATCATAAAAGCAGATTTGATAGGCTACCATCGGAGGACCACCGCAAGGGATCGTAACCTGTCAAAGCGAATTCCACATCGCAAGCATAACTGTATTGTCAACTTGTTTGGATGAGAAGCGTCACGTCGAGTTGATCGCAGCAAAAACCTTCACAAGGCTGAGATTTCAACGATCTGACTACAAGCCATATTTACATTCAGGACCTGCAAAGACTAAACTACGACAACACTTCCCCAGCTATGCAAAATCATCAATACCACAGCGTCACTGCAACGCAAACTTACCACGAACACCTTTGGCTGACGTCCACGCGAATATTCGACCATGATTCCGCGAATACGGAGTAGATTGTCTTCTCAGCGCGACATCGAAGGATGGCCTGATGCCTTCTTCATCGCCCACTTGCCGGTATATGCCCTGATCTTCTTACCATACAGGAAGACTGGGATACCCAGCAGGCCGAAAATCGCAGTCAATCCAGCATATGTTCCAAAGGCTCCGTCGTACCCATCAGTCTCGATGAACTTGGCGACACCATAACTGGTACCGAAAGAGACAAAACCTCGTAGAGCTGTGATAACAACAAGAATGGGCCCTGCACGTGCCGGGTATGAGTCAAGGAGGTACGTGATCGCGGCGATATTTGCGCCCACGAATGCGAAGTAGTACGCTGCGTTGGCGAAGACGTAGACGAACCAGTGGTAGTCTCCTGGATGTTCCGCTGCCACACCATACAAAGTGGCAGCAAGGCACCCACATAGCAAAGGGATCCAAAGCAGTAGTAGACGATTCTCGGGCTCGTGTACACCACCATTGCGCCTTGCTCGCCACTTGATTATGGCATCGCTGCCATTACCGAGCAGTGGTAATGCCACGAAGGCGACCACGATCTGACCAGCATTGACATACGAGACGGCATTGTCAGACCAGTTATATGGTGGCGCGTGTACGATGGTGCCGTAAGTCGTTCCAATGGCAATGTTGACACCAATAGTAAGACCGTTCAAGCAGAAGGCCCAGAGCACGTTGGGGAACAACATGACTTGGAAAGTGTTGATGAAGCCATAAACACCTTCCATCCATTCCGGCTCATTGACGAAGAGGCGCATGTCCGACCACGTAGTACGAGGAAGGAATTTTGTGAAGTCCAGTGGGGGCCTTTCCGATAGTTTAGCTGGCAGTGGTGCAGTCGCTCTAGATCCCTCTAGCTCGCCTCCTTCTTCTGCGGAGAACTGACCGTAAGCAGTCATAGGTCGATCGTACTTGCTCTCGGGAACCCAGAAAATCGAGGCGATGAACGTGGCTGCGCAAAGTCCGGAACCAAGGTAATACCAGTTAGATGGACCAACAGCGCCAGCAATTGGCGATGCGCAGATGATGTACACAGCCGACAGTACTGTTTGTACGGCAGACTGCCACATCAAGAAGGTACTGCGCTCGTGAACAAAGTGGATTTCCTGCAACTTCGTTAGGCACCAGTCCTCGTGTTCTAAATCAGATGTCCTTACCTGAATCATCATCGGAACCAACGCCTCGCTCTGACCGGCAGCGAACCCGAGTAGCATCCTGGCCCCGAGGTGTTCGTTGTAGCTTTTAGCATTGGCAGCCCAGACAGAGGCGGCGATGAGGAGCAGTAGCGAAAAAAGGTAGACAGGGCGTCTTCCGATTGCAAGAGCCAGCGGCATGCAAACGAGGTTTCCCACACCCATGAACATTGACGGGTACGTCATGAGCGCCGTGATGTCCGCTACAGATCTGGTCAGTACAGTTCAGACACGAAATCTGGAGATCACTGACCATAAGTAGCCCCAGCCGCGGCATAGATAGGAATATACCAGGTTAGAAGACCACCGAAACCCGAAACCAGTGCAAGACCCAGACTGGAGAAGATGGACACCAGCACGATGAAGAGAATTTTGCGAAACTTGGACAGGTTTAATGGATCTGATAAGAGAGGTTAGTACGAATGCCACCCGGAAGATTAAGTGTCGCGGAGGACAAACCTCGAGGATCAGCGCTGGGGGCTGGAATCAAGAAAATCTCGTCGAGATTGGTCATGGTCACCGTTCCCATCGCCGCCGGCTCCACGATAGGCTTCACAAAGCCTGTCTCGCCATCTGAAACGACTTCATACCTTTCGACTTTGGTCTCCATGGCCTTGGGGTCTTTGATGTCGTCGAGCATCTTTGCGAATGCAAACGAAGTACTTGCGATGTAACAAGGTGAGAAAAAAAAGGTTGTTGATGAAGATGTAAACCCGCTCGTCCAAACCGGAAGAGCACAAAGGGATAACAACGTCGAGATGCAGACGGATGATATGCGCACACAGCTGGTTATATGTTAATATGAACTTCGGCTCCTCTTCTTGGAGGTTTCCCTGCTTGGTGCGTGGCACTCCTTCTTGTCGTCTAGCTCGCCTTCAGACTCGCACCACGGCCGATGAAATCGTCGGCGTTTCCAAGCCTTGGTCTGGAAATCAATACCGGCTTCACATCCCCGCTCAGCTGAACTCCACTTCACGAGCGTTACGCGGCACAGCTCCTGTGCAAAGGCTCATCTGGGGTTGCTTAGATGACCTGTGGGGAAATCCGGGGTAGCGCGTGTGTCGGAGAGTGGGCTAGCTCGCGGAAGGAGGGCCATCTCCAACCAATCAATACGATGCAATTCCCAACCACCCTTGGCTGACTTCAGCTTCTGCAACCGCAGTTGCCGACTTCGTTGACAAGGACGTGCACTCGTTTTCACAGCCTTTGCGAAGTCGCAAGTGGATACTCTATCCTGACAGCCATGCTTGGTAGCTCGACTGGTACGTCAATGCACATGCCGGATCGCCAGCGCCACACTGTCATCTATATTTTCGTTCCTGAAGGCAGCTTTTACATACTTAGATCACGACATGGCATACACTCACAGATGCGACGTAGATTGGAATAGCTCGTTGTATGCAGACCTCATTAAAAGCTATCTGTAGCTACAAAGGGACAAAAGGCAGTATAACCCTGCTTGGCGTCTCTGATCCGACATGTATTCTATGTTCTCCTTTGTTCTTCTCATGATCTGGTCGCGGTTGCGAGAAAGCCGTGTACTCCGCGATACTGGGAAAAGTTCCAGAAACTTGAACGCTCAAAGACTCGCCTTCGTCAAAATCCACACCCATCGACCAAATGCCTATCTCCAGCTTCACAACCTCTCCGGGAGTTATCTTCTCCTCTTTATCGTGCGGGTGGAATGGAAACTGTTCATGGATGCTTCGCGCTGGGTCGAATGCACGATGGCTGGCACGCAACACCCCTACACTACCCAGGTGCAAGTTCAAGCTTGCTCGCTCCTTCTCGGGGATATCCTCGATGCTCTTGTAGGTTGAAGGTATCGCTGAGAAAGGGAAGCAGAGATGCATAAGCAGCTTTCCGTCCTTGTCTCGCTTGCGAAGGATGACGAACACATTCATGTCGTCATGAGAAGGTGCTGACATGTACAGAACAGCCTTCGGCAGACCAATCAACCGCGACTTTTGTGTGAACTTATACGTGAATTCAGCGATTGATTTCGAGTCTTCCGAGTTGTAGCTGACGATCTCTGTCTTGGAAGGAGTCTGCTCGGCCAGACCAGCGCCGGATAGGTAGAACTCCTTGTATTGCGTCTCCGGTATAGGGAAGTCTGAGAATTCGATGCCATCAATGGCTTCTCGGTCACCAAACTGGAGCGCTGACCATCGCACTCTCGCCATCTTCTCCCAGTCGTTGTCAACACCCCGGAGATACTTGTCGAAGTATTTATGCAATTCCTTGTCCGCATGAGGGTCGCAGTATAATTCGAACCATTCCTGATGTGAGCTCCATCGGATCCACTTCTTGTCATGAGGCACCTCAAGCCATCCTCGTACAGCCCCCATGGTATGTATACTAGAGAAGTCACTTCCGCTGATGAATACGGGTACTTCGATCTTTGTCATATCAGGCCGCTTATCGCTCCAATACGAGTTCGAGACGGGTGACCGTCGGTACATCTCAGCAAAGTCCTCGATGCCACCGCCAAGGTTATTTGTTTTGATGATGAAGTGGGTGATGAGGTCGAAGTTCGACATTGTGAAGACGCCACCTCGGCAGAATTGTTCGCGGTAGATGTCGCCGGATCCCTCCCAAGGTGCGATAGCGGCGAGATGGGGTGGGCGCAGAGATGCAACATGCCACTGGATGATAGCCAAAGCACTGTTGCCCGCCATGCCTACTTTTCCATTGCTCCATGGCATCGCCGCGATGGATTCGATGACGTCGTAGCAATCTTCTGCGTCTTGAGAGCCCATGATCTGTCATGGTTAGCTAAGCCTAGATACAGGAAGATGAAAAGAACAAACGTACTGGTATGGATCCATCGCTGTTGCCCGTACCGCGAGAGTCAACCGATATGATCGCGTAGCCACGCGGACACCACACAACTGGGTCAAGTCCCTCAAACTTCTCCAATCCGCTGAGCGCTTCATTTGGCACACAGCAATTCCAAATGCAGATTGGCAGCATGTGAAGAGCGGAGTATTTCTTTCCGTAACACGACCAGCTTACTACCGCCGGTAGTTTCTCGTCTTTTGGAACATCGGCAGGCCTGTAGATGTCGACGTAAAGACGGCAGCCGTCTCTGACCACTATCTCGACATCGTGATCGATCTGAATGTCAGACTCAAGAGCACGAGCATTGTGTGGCTTCTCGCCTTTGCGGAGGACTTCGGTCTTGCCAGGTGTGAAGCCTTGGTAATTGTTCACACCCACCTCTGGCTTAGAGATGGGCTTGTAGGCCACTTGCATGGGGACTGGCATCTTGGAAGTTGAGGGTAATGGGAGGTATGAGGGAGGAAGAGGGAGGAAACTGAGTATCTTCGGAGAAAGATCGTGACAGCTACTTGAACAACAAACAAATGCACCCCTCAACGCGACGCGTCGAGCGCACTTTGCAATGTAGCGGCGTCCACCTCGGCAAGTCTCCGAAACATCAACTGTTCCCGTCCCCCACATGTCCCGAGTCCCACAAATCCTGGATCGTGAACAACGCGGGGTATGGCGCCCACATCTACCGATGCTGGTCGGCAACGCTGCACCGGCATATCCAAACAGCGACTACCATTCCGTAGACAACATCATACGAACTCTGTTTCACGTTCTGGCATATAACACCAGTCGAGTGCAACCCAAAGTGTTTCCACCACACCTTCATTCCAATTCACACTTGCATGTTAGAGAACTAAACATTATCATAACCACCACCCATAGCACACATCGCAGTTTTCCTCCCAACAAGATGGCACCTCACGCCGAAGAGCCAAAGCCAGATAGCGGCGTTGATCTCATCTCGCACGATGGCACAGTATATGGGGACTGGCGCGACGAATTCCACAAGAACGGCACAGCCATCATCAAAGGCGCCATCACACCCGAGCGCGCAGAATACTACAAGCAAAAGCAAATCGAGTGGCTTCAGTCATTTGGTCGTGGCTTTGATCCCAACGACGAATCAACATGGACACAAGAGCACCTTCCTGTGAGTTTCAAGGGTGGCATGTACTTTGCCTACTCTAGCACGCACGAGAAGTTCGTTTGGTAAGTCACATGTCTGAGAAGAAGTCGTCGTTATGCTAATGCAAGTGCAGGGAAGCTCGCACCGAGCCCAAAGTCATCGAGACCTTTGCCAAACTCTGGGGCACCGAAGAGCTCCTCTGCTCATTCGACGGCATGAACATCACGCTGCCACGTCAGAAAGACCTCAAATGGAGCCCATGGCCACACTGCGATCAGTCACCGCACCGCAAGGGCATGCAGTGTGTACAGGGTCTACTGAACTACCAACCAAACGGCTCAGATGACGGAGGTCTGATTCTGATGAAGGGCAGCAGCAAGCTGTTCGACGATTTCTTCCGCGAACAAAGGGAACAGGACGCCCATGAGGATAAGCCTCCAGAGGAAGAGGACTTCAAGGATCTCTTCATCTTCAAGGAGGAGGATGTGAAGTGGTTCAAGGACCGTGGGTGCACGCTGGAGAAGGTGAACCTTGACCCTGGTGACTTGGTGCTCTGGTAAGTTTCCCTGGTATTGTCTCTTTCTCTCATGAGCACTTGAGTTAATTTTGCGCAGGGACTCTCGCACCATGCACTATGCCTGCTTCCCACAAGGTGAACGGATTCGCCACGTCCAGTATGTTTGCATGACGCCGGCCAAGTTTGCGAAGAAGGAGGATCGCGAGCTCAAGGCTGAGCTATTCAAGACGTGGCAGGGTACGACACATTGGCCGCACTGCAACATCCGCAAGCAGGGCCCACCAGAGAGGGACGGTAAGCCAGATCCGCAGAACAGGACGGAGCCGTTGGAGAAGCCGGTCATCACGGACAGGATCTTACAGTTGGCTGCTGTGAAGGCTTATTGAGAATCGTAGCGGACCATGTATATTGCGGCAATACGCACTTTCTTAGCATCGGTGATAGCGTGTCCGTCTGTGCTTGCTCCTTTGATTCTTTCTGACCTCATGCATGCCTCTGGGCGCAATACTCTTCCATGTTCTCGCATTCCTCTGCTCCCTGGTCTAGCTAGGTTGGCAGTCGTTATTCAATCTATGGTATGATCTTCGCCTTCCTCATCCTATCAAACACAACTCCCCACGACTCCTTCGTCCCCCGCTCCTCCATGAACCCCGTTCCGTACGTTTTGCTCATGTCAAAGTGCCTGTCAAAGTCAAACTTAGTCATGAGCATTTGTTCGGCAATCTGCATGCCACGACCACCATCTACATGTCCACTTTGCAAGTCATACTTTCTCTCCATGGCCAGCCAGGTCTCCATGTTGTCTTTGATAAACTTGCGTATGTCGATGGGAGTGGGCGCAGGTCCACTGGCCTTGAGGCCGAAGTAGGAGCATAGTACAGGCCACTTCTCCTCCCAGTTTGAGGGTGTTTTTGAGTCAGCGATGTTGAATGCTTCTCCCTTCTTCGGCTTGGCGGAAAGGGTGAGATGGATAGTCTGGCGAGCGATCATATCACTGCTGCTATCGTTACTCAGCGCCTTCCAGACTCCTTCCGTGCCAGGGAATGGGCATTCCGCTCCGTCACCATACAATTCTTTCCACAGCGCTAGGTAGAGACCGACTGTCGTACCAAGCGAGTATGCGTTCTGGTTCGGAACATAGCCGACTATGATATCTGGACGAGTCTCAATCCAGCTCCACTTCTTGTGCTTGGCGTATTCGGCGATCCAATCGTTTTGTGCGTGGTAAAAGAGCATCTCGGCGTACGGGCTGGGTATACGGGGAAAGGTTTCTTTGAGTGGAGGTAGAGGAAGTTTAGGTCCGGTCGTGCCTGGGGGAGCGGTCTCGTCGTACCAAGGGAGCGCAGCGAGGAGGTGGACGCCATCTGATGTATGTTAGTCCCACAATGTCCGGTATCTTGAAAGGGCGGGTGAGGCCTTACAAACTTTTGTGCCAATTTGCAGCACGACATATTCCAGAGCCGGACATAGTTTATCCATGGCTTTCACTGCCTTGGAAAACATCTCCACGGCCTCTTCCATTTCCTTTTGTACATCTAGGCCCGCTTTGTATGCAAGGTAGTAGACGTGTGTCACCTCCTCAATTTGTGGTAGCTTCTCTGCCAGCTCCTTCTCAAGACTTTCTTGGCTATGGGAGAGTAGGTCAAGGCCGGAGACCAGGTTGAGGCGCGAGTCCTCTGGCCATTGTGTTTGCAACGGAGAAAGCGGGCGGTTTGTCAGCGCATGGACGCGCTTCCAGGTGTCCTTCTTTGGGTAATCGGAAAGGATCTCATTGACGAAAGACCAGCCTATTGAACCAATATCAGCGTATGGCCCTATCACGACATCCAATGGCTTTACTGGCCTGTCACGCCAGAAGCGCCAAACACAACAGCCGACTTTGACATTGTTGTAGGGAGAAAGCGATTAGGGCTTGAGGGAGGAACAAAGAGACAAGGTTTCCATGCGTCGTCGTTCAGCCACAGAGGCTACATCTTGTCTCCTTGCATAGCGTACCAGTATAGAAGGTGGGGTTGCCGTTGCGATAGTGGAGCCATGGAGTCTAGACAGTCGTATCCCTTTTACGGGACATCGTCCGGTCTACTCGCCGTGTGCTGAAGGTTCAGCTACTGGTGTTTAGACGTAGCGTTGGTGCTGCATATCGATTTTTCGCCGACCACTCCCGGCTGTAAAGATCATACGCGTTCTTTCTAGAGCCCCGCGTCGCATTGCGAAGTACACCCTGAGGGGACCGATTTTTTGACGGGCCGTCAGCTAGCAATCTGTCGTAGTGTTGCCGCAGAAAGCGCCCGAAAAATTAGCCGCGGCTTGGAGACATCCTAACCTCTTTCGGACGCGTCAGTTACTCATGGCTGGAGAAGCGCGAAATAGGAAGAATATCGGGTATTTGCATTGTCTACTCGGCGCGTTAATGTCCGGGCGTTGGAGGTTGAGGAGAGGGGAGGAAAAGCAAAGGATGGTGGTGAGACGATTGCGCGAGGACCATGACGTCGGCCACGCGATGAGGTCAAGCCTTACGCCCGACGCGTCTGGCGAAGCCTCCAGCATCCATCTCTGATTCCGATACCCACACCATTATGAAGCTCGAATGCAGAATTGTAGTGAAGCCATTCCATTAATTAAGCTATAGCCGATTCGATTTTCAGTGGAATTCGTTCTTGTCCGCGTACACGTCATTCTCAAGGAAGACCTCCACCTTGTCCGTCATCTTAGGCGTCAGATCTTCGCAATAGAAGATGCAAAGCAAGCCCACAATGCCGAAACTCAGACTGCTGAGTGCCACAACCTTCAATGCGTGCGCGTAGCTCCATTGAAATGCCAAAGAAGCAGCGCCCAGAGCCTCGGCGGTCGTACCTGGCACTTCCGCGATAGCGGCAGCACCGAGAGGAAGAGCTGCAAGTAAAGCTTGCGCATTCTCCAACGACATGCCTGCCCTTACAGCTGCAGCGGGAACTGTAGCAGCAGCACGCGTGGTTTGCGTGTTAGTGAGAATCGTGGTGTAAATGGCTTGAGCAAGCGATCCTCCTGCATAACGAGCCATGCCCGCCAGGCCACCGGAGAAGCCAAGGTCCTGCTGCGGCACACCAAGTTGTGTAAACGCGATGGACTCATACTGCGCCCATCCGAAGAACGAAGCATTGATGCAGCAGAATGCGATCATCAAGCTTTGATTGAATGGAGTGACAAGACCCATCAAGGCGCCAAAGAGCACCATCCCAGTCCAAGTAGCGATCAAAGTCCACTTCCAGTGTCCTAGCACGTTGCCAAAAGCCATCAGACACAATGATCCGAATACGAGGCCGACATTTGGTGGTAATGTGAGTAGCAGCTCAGTACTCCGAGACACATTCGGGCCCAGGTAAAAGACATTCACCATGGTCGGCCAGATGATATTGACGGAGTAATAGAACATCGTTACGATGAATGCTACGATGAATGGCGCCGTGAATTCTCTTCCCTTGTGGCTCCGGAACAGATGCGGTGGACAGAGCTTGAACCTGGTGTTCGACAGCGTCTCCCAAACTCCGAAAGCAGCGATCAGGACTAGCCCAACTACCATAGGAGCTATGACGGTGACATCTGAACTTGGCTTGTATGTGGTGTTTACGATGCCGACAAGCGTGAGGCAGATGCCTGGAACGATGAGCGCAGTGCCCACATAGTCAAGGCCCCTGACTGCTTCGTCCCATGGGACTCCTTTGGGATGCTTCGGGGGCTTGTAGAACAAGAATAAGGATGTAAAGGACATGAATTGGGCAATAAGACCAGCCCAGTAAACCCATTGCCACGCATCAACATCGATAGCGTACTGTGGATTAATGATCAGTTATTGTACGATGTCTTCTCAAGCTTGTCACTTACCCTTCCAACGATGGGGCCGATTATAACGATGAGGAAGACGAAACCATCCGAAAGACAGATACCGATATGTCGAAACTTGTTTGGTAAGAGTTCTGCAACGGTCAGACCGACTGGCACGCACATGGTAGCCCAGGTCACTCACCAGGGATACTGCACATAGCCATCTGCGCAAAGCCGCCTCCAAAACCTGTTATCGCCAATCCCGCTGTAAAGTGATCTGCTCCCTTCGCCGTAGCGGTAACGATAAACCCAACGCAACAACATGCATTGCCAAACAACAAGAACCATCTCCTTCCAAAAAGATCAGAGTTTGCCCCTGCTATCAGGAAGCCGATGGCGTTCGCTGTCGTGTACGCGGGTATATACCATGCGCTCGATGTGGGGTCACCGAACTGGACAGCGAGCCGAGACATCATAGCGGAGGTTGTAGGTACCGGCCAGAAGGAGAGACCAAACGTTGAAGACAAGACGAAGATGACGAACCATGTCTTCGGCGTTATAGTGGTGGCGTCTGAAGAAACAAGCGTCTGTGGTGGTGTTGTTGTAACGGCTTCGATCTGCTCGACATCTGTCTTCTCTTTTGACGAACGGCGAACATTGCCTTCGTGAGTGACTTTCATCGCCATGATGATGTGATGTCGGAATACACGCTTGAGGCAGGTACGACAATGTATGATTGAGTGGGAAGATCGTCGCAAAGAGACCACTCACGGCTTGCATATATCCTTCATTAGGTTGTACATGTTTGCAAGTCGAACGTGTTAAGCCACTACAGCCCCGATATCCGGGCTTCGACGTCCCCGCATCTCGGATACACAGAAGCACAGATAATCATTTTAGCCAACTTTTGCTATTGGCTGGACCGCGCCAGCGTTACCAGTAGATCGATGTATATCCTCATAATCCGGGGTAGTGGATGTGGAAGTGGGTATCCGGGGTTAGGTGCGGAGAAGATGAGCGCTGGGTCGTAGCGCTTGACCAGAAATGGGGACGAACGATCAAGGGGCGAGGATCGTCTTCGCCTGGAACAACGTTTCCGATCGAACTTTGCCATGTTGATGAAGGCTTATTTCCTATACCCATAACTTTGTTTTTCGCTAGCAAAGAAAAGGGCCAGTACACGTGCCAGAACATGGCGCATCGTGTAGTCCATGCTAGTGAAGGAGAGACATGCCATCACTACAGAGCTGAAGAGGAACTGAACTAGGCTGGAGACATTGACACCCAAATCGCTAGCAGTAAGGTCTTAGTTTACACAACACGCACGTTTATCGCGAGTACAACAGCAACATCGATGGAGCTCTAATACAATAAGTTACTGGAAAGTAATCTTCTAGTCGCAGAGAAAGGGCCTGGAAAGTTCATATGCTTAGCACTATTCTGCACCTCCCACTACCAAGACCCAGCATTCCCTGCTCCAAAGCTACGCCAGTGAGGCTTCCAGATCTACGCAGCCCCTTCACGCGTAATCCCATCCGTAGCATCGCAATCAGGAATCGCTTTTCCAAAGCAGATCATATCGTATCTAGCTCCGTCGTCATTATCAGTAACCCACTCACATTAACCAACCAAATCGAGAGGAAGTGAGTCTCACCCAGCCATGACCTGAATCCCCTTCTCCAAATTCATGAACTTCTCGGCATCCGGCATGAGCGCAGCTCGGTACTCGTCGCTCCCCGCAAACGCCTCCCAATCTTCCCACTTCCTCACCCAGATCTGACTGCACGCGTCGTATTCTAGTACGTCCATGCCCAGTTCCTGTAATTTGCTTTTCAGGCCGGGTGATTGGTAGAGCTGGACGTAGCGGGCTATCTTGACGGCGTGAAACTTCTTGCAGGCGACGGTGAGATCGGAGTGAATATGGTTGTAATGTTTTTGAAAGAAGGCGTCGGTAACGGTGGGAGATTTACGGAAGAAGAAGGAGAGCTTGATGCAGGCTAGGGAAGGGATCAGAAGATTATGGGGCCAGAATTGAAAGTTCAGATGGTTGACTGACGCTGGCAGTTCTCTTGTTCGTCCCACGCGAACTGCGGGTACGAGAAGTCGTGCTGTTGAGGTATTAATCATGCATCTGTGGAGTGGATGGCATGGGACGTACATCCATGGTTTTGTAGACCATATTGATACACAATTGAGAGCTGTGTTGCAAAGCCGAATGTCTTGCTGTCTGCGATGTATGCGACTTAATGTACTTGGTCATCTCACAGATATAGCCACTAGAAGTAACCATGCATAACCGACTAGAGGCAAACGCGAAGGCCAAGTTCGACAAGCGGGGTTAGTGAAGAGTCGATACAACTAGTGGTACTCTCGATAAGACCTACCTATCGCCACGTTCTACAGATGGTCGTTGGAAGATCGCTGATGTTTGCGTTCTGGCACGCAACGTCACGGCGACATAACATGCGATCGCGGTTGGCCGCTGACCAACTTCAAGGTATGGTCCATTCGGCAACAAGAGCGTGTCGTAAACATTTCAATTATGTCAATTGAGCGAGGAGTCTAAAACACCACGACCTGTCTCTTCTCCGCTTTACCAGCCTCCATATCCGCAACCATCTGCGGCAAGTCATCGATCTTGCGGAACTCGACTTCTGGCTGTATACTATGCTTCCCAGTAAATTCGACCGCCTTCTTCATTCGCTGGGGAATACCCGTGCTATCGGCCTTGATGCGATACCGTCCCGTTGTCAAATCAAATGTGTTTATGAAGTCAAGTCCTTTAGGCGCGATGCCGATCACCATAAGTAATCCGCCTGTTCTCAAAACATCTGGCGCACCGGCGTATGCTGCGTTTGACGCGCTGTAGACAGCCGCAGCATGACATCCCTTACCACCAGTGAGTTTCTTGATCTCCTGAAGATAGTCTTTGTTTTTCATGGAGTTGAAGACAGCATCCGCGCCGACCTTCTTCGCCACATCGAGTTGATTGTCGTTGATGTCGAGACCGATGGTCTTGATACCCATCTAAATCTTGTCAGCTTTCGATTGGTTGTACATGCTTGTATGCAGACTCACAGCTTTTGCATACTGGATAGCATATTGGCCCAAGCCACCGCATCCGATTACCGCTAACCAATCTCCTGATTTCAACTCGCAACTATCCACCGAATGGAAAGCTGTGATACCGGCGCAAAACAGTGGCGCAGTCTTACTCATATCCAAATTCTCGGGCAACTTGATAGCGTTCTGCCAATCTACAACCGCGTACTCGGCAAAGTAACCATCTGCTACGAAACCTTGCAATTTCTGGTTACCTTTCTCGCATCGCACGTTGTGAACCATGCATCCTTCGCATTCGAAGCAAGCGCCGATAAAGTAATTGAAGCCAATCGCGTCGCCGACTTGAAAGCCTTTGTCGCTTGCCTCTTTGCCGATGGACTCAATATAGCCGACGCCTTCGTGGCCCAGCGTGACAGCGTAGTCCGGCCTCATAGCATGGAGGAGGTCGGAGTGACATAGCGATGCGGATTGTATCTTGACCAGAAACTGGTTTGGAGCTTCGGTTGGTTTCGGCACATCGTTCACGACGACCTTCTTTTCCTTACTGAAGTTTGCGTGAGTTCCATGTAACAGCAGAAGTGTTTTGTGCACTTACGGATCCCACTGGCCGGCTTTCATTATTACGGAATGTTTTCAGTATGCTTTTGGGGAATTTTGGTATAGCTTGAGGACTATGATGGTTTTGATTAATGTTATATATACCGACTATTCACTCCTAATTCACTCGATGCAACGAGATGACAGGCGCAACAGGAGTGGAAAGACTGGAGGGGCTGTGCTGCGAGTCATTCCGATGCGCCGGGAACATGGTTGCTGACTTGTCCTAGCCAAGCCATATGAACGGAAAACGGTGGCCGACATAGTGTGCTGGCTAAGACTTGGGGCTAGGATTGAAGCTTGGAAGAGGTGCTAGGTGCGGGGACGACGAAGCGGGGTAGATCTCTCTAAGCGTGGACTTTGGCTGAGCTACCGCCATGCCAGATCTGGATCGCGGTAGTCTGTAGTACGGTAGAGACACGCTACACGAGACTGCATTGGCAAAAAGAGAGTGTTGTATTGCATTCGCTGAAGGTTTGCTGGGATACGATTGACGTGACGTCACGCCAAGACACCTATCTACGGTGGACTATTAGCGGAGGGTACGTAGAACCAAAACCTCTGGTAAGGCCTCGGATTCTCGATATCGCTCTGATCCGCTGCATACACTCTCATATAGTTCCTCGTCGGCACCTTGCTGACTCCATACATCTCCATGGCAAACTTTTGTATACTGTCTGGAAAGACCCAGAAGTAACTCAATTCCTTGTAATCATCGAGGCTCGTCACGCGCTCGCCAATCAGGCAATTGTATTCTTCGCCGTTTTTCTTCTTTCCAAAGGATACTACCTCAGTGCCGATCAAATCGCCGAAGTCGAAGGCCGGGAAAGTGAAGAGGGGCTGATTACCGGAGCCCTTTGTGGTTAGGATCACATCGGTCCAGTAATCGTCGGTGTTAGGGATGGGCTGAGATTGAGCATGGAAGAGCTTGGTCTGAATCGAATTCTGTAGAAGGAGAAGCAGTTAGCTTAGGATGCCAAAAAGGGATGAAGCAGTATGAGGGGATGAACCTACGAGAACTTCAAGTCGAAAGTCGCCCGGTTTCATGTGGTCAGGATCTTCCTTAGCTGCCTCGGGATGTTCGGAGATAAGGATCACCCTATCGCGGATGTTTTCGAAGATGTTGATGGCTTGCTTTATCAATTGAGTCTTTCGTTCGGGGCCGTCCTTGAACTTGCTCTCCGGCACTATGGAAGTCTTCTTAGCCAAGGTAGCCAATGTCTGCAAGTGAACCTACCAGCCTTGATCATGGTTTCGATAGCCTTGTATAGCGTGAAGTCGTTGAAAAGCGCCCAGGACTTGTCGAGATCGTTAGCATGAATAGTGTCGAATCGGTAGGTTGCGGCTCACCCTCAAACTAGCCATCTGGTAATCGAACGGAGCGAAATAACTCTCAAAGTTGGAGAGATTTCTGTACTTTCCCAGCACCGCACTGCGCCAAGCCATGTTAGCCTCGAATCACTCATCCGATCTCTGGAACATGGGATCACCTACAACAACACATAAGAATGCTTTCCCGAATCCGCATCCTTGTAGAATTGGTCTGCCTTTTCCTTCACAGCCAGAAGGTCAGAGCTCTCTTCAGCTTTGACAGCGTAGCCTCCTCCACTGGCACCACTCTTGCTGGTTCCCGTGGACTCGATGATGGTGATCTTGACCGAAGCGTTTCGTTTGATGGAGCTGACGGCTCTTTCGACCTCTTGCGTAATCTTTCCAGAAACGCCGTACATAGTCATGGCGACTTCAGCGCTATTAGTCAATGAGTTAGCGAGATACTGATGATGCTGAAAGAACTGGAGAGCGGTAGTATTCACGTAACAGTGGAAACTTACGATTGCTTGAGCTCGCTGGTCTCAGACGAGTTTTTCGCTGTGATGGAGACACGGGCGTAGAAATGACCACCTTTTATAAAGTCGGCGATAAAACGGTCGCCGTATGTCGCGTGCGGGGTGGTCGTCTGAATCTTGTTGAAGGAGTGCTTGTCGAGCACGCTTACTTGGTGCTGAACCAAGACTTTGACCTCGTATGTCAAAGTGCTGGTCTCAAACTATATGCCACTTAGCCTATGATCGTTGGAGCAAGAAGTGTTTTAACACACCTCACTACGATTGAGAATGTCGACATTGACATTGGCCTCCTGACCCCATCCGGAGACAGCGGCGCCAGCACTGATTCTCATGCTCTTTGCTATCTTCCTGAGACAATCGCGTAAGCAAGTGGCGCTCCCTGGGTAAGGTGACATACTTACTCGTATTCTTCAATGAACTCAGAATAATACTCTTTCTTGAATGGAGGGTTGCTGTCATCGTGACGTTCGATAGTAACCGCATCTTTGACACAAAGCGATTGCAGGTAGGTATTGTAACTTGAAGAATGCTTAGTTCACCGCCCTCATTGAACCAGAAGGCAGGTCTTACCCTTGGCCGCGCTGCATGCCTGCTTTGTAAGGAACTACTTCGCCCATGGTGGAAAGACGTTGTTGAAATTGAAAGGTGTCGTTTTGTGAGAGTAACAGATATTTGATTATTGCACGAGAATTTCGTGCTAGAATACCTTCACTATAAATGTATAATCTGGAGTTCTCTATCTCGAGCCCGATGCAACCTTGAGATCCGTGCAACCGGGCGCCGAGAAGTCAGACATATGACTAGCGAAACCTCGCGTGCTGGAACAAGGTCCTCCGCAGCTGCATGCAGCATATGTGGTGTGTTCAAGGAGTTCGTTTGCGCTGCGATGATCCTACTTAGGCGCCAAGAGGTTTGATAGAACTCGATGGACGCGTTGCCAGTCCTTCGAATCAATCTTCACTTCACCGCTATACACAGAGATCAAGTGTGCTAATCGGGCTAGACTGTCTTGTCTGCAGGCGGAGTTGCTCGCGGACGGCTCGGATCGTTATCCACCTAGGCAGCGGTGACTTTCCGTTCCCTCCATCACAGGGAACCTTACGACGCGTGTGACGAGGTTTGTTTTTGCGGAGTGGATCGCATGCGAAGGGCAACATACCGTCCTCCCGTCTTTCCGTCTGCACCTCCGGGCCTGTGAATTTTAGCGTAGTCGGATCGGGCCGTTCTGGTGGCGTTCGCATTTTCTAATTCGAGGTAGCGGCGTGCGATGACTTGCATGACAGTCTCCACCATCCATTTCAATTCGCCACAAATCCTGGCCCCTGCTCAATACTTCTGCGTGCTTCGAGTGTGTGTCGCTTCAGTGTGCACAGAAGGCGCAAGCACGATTCATTCGGGCGCTTGGCAGGGGATCTCGTTCTTACGTACCTAGGTATGCGAAAACGTGCAGGTCTATCAAAACGCCGTAGGATGATTCGCAATCGTGTTCTCGCAGCATTGGCTCTAACTATTGCTAGCTCACACTCAGCTTAGACAAATCAGAATATCAGTTGTTCTCAAAGTCGCGTTACGATTTCAGTAGATCAACGTGTTCGAGCTCGTTGATGTGTCCCTTGTAATAAATTTGTTCAGTAATGTATATGGGTCTAGTATTATGTAAGTAATACACTGGCTGCTATGGACGACCTCAATACTGGCGTGATTGACCGACTGTACTCCAATTTTGGGTAAGAGGGTGCTAAGCGATGGACCTCCGTTGCAGTGGGGTTAGCGATGTAGTGATGATGTGCGTCAAGATGGCTGGTTAGCTTTCGATACGAAGGAACCTTGACAATCGGGGAGTCCGTTTGGATGGTTTTGCGCAGCGTACACCGCTTCATTCCCCTGCATAATGGTTTCGCGAGAAGCCCTCCTACACATCGCTTCCGCCGAGATCGGATACTATGACGAAGAGATGCGTACGCATTACACTGACTTGCATTCGTAACTGCCACTTTGCGCAACTGGTGGCGACCGTTGCTTGCTTGTTCGGACCGGAAACTGCAGAGACCGGTGTCCAGCCTCAGGCAAATGAGTATCGATGGTGGAGCCTTGCTCAGGCCGTCAGCAGCATTTTCCAGACATGGTTATTGACCAGCGAGAATTACGTTGCGTTGCATAGAGTCAGAGGGCGTTTGCTTTTTCAGACTGTAGTCTAAGAGAGAATGAGGGTGTCGTGGTTTATTCCCCAAGACGAAGCTCCATAGTCGCGCAGCTACATGCTGTACATGTCGGAAGAGCTACAGACACGCAAGCTCGTTGTAGTATTTCCACTGAGTATATATTGGGCTTCCAGGTAATCACTTCCAGCATCCAAGCACACACTATCTACCACTTCAATCCAACATCTCACCACTCTCCAACATCTCATCATGGCATACGCACAATGGGTCGTCATCCACATCATCAACAGTTTCCGAAGTGGAAACATCAGCGTCAAGAATGCGGAAGCCATGTGTAAGTCTCTCCCATCTCCGTTTCCGGACCACTTTATCATCATTATATGGTACTTCCGATAGATCAATTGCTGACGCACATTTCAAGGGGGTAAATTCCACAAGAACGGCAACAAAGACGCAGAAATAGGCGCTGGTGAAATCAACAAAGTGAGCGTTGGCGCAGGCTCGAGCGAGAAGGTATCATCTTGTGGACGCTCTGACTCCGCTTCTGGCACCGAGGGTAAATTGTAAGTGTTGATCCCAACTTCGCGCAGCTTCTCACCTATTTCGACTAACACTATGGTTCTCAGTGACATCTACGACGGAGACAACAGAGTCTGCACCATTTACTGGTCCTGCCCTTGGGGTTCCAAGTCGAACAGCTTCCAGGTGCAGAACCGCAACAAGGACTACGGTATTACTCCTGGTGATTGGAACCAGGACTCTGGTGCCCTTGGAGAGGTGGACATCGACATCTCGAGGAAGGGTTAGATGGTGCGGAAGTGAAAGCCGTAGTCTTCGGCTGGACGCGGATCGAAGCACGCTCAGCTCGCAGTATGAAGTCAAGATAGAATGCCATAAATGTCGCTCTTTTCAATATCTTAAACCCATTTTCTTCTTCTTATGCACACACCTGATCTCCTTGGATGTGACTGTTAGATGCTTTCGGATGTTGGTATTCATGAGTAAAATTGACACAGCTATGTATCACCCCTTCGCAAACGTCCATCTCCATCAATATTTGCCTAAAAGAAAGCACAATAAACCTGGCTATCATTATTCGACCCTCCAGCAAAGACACTGCAAGTCTTATGCACCGAAAAGTCCACCGAGCAAGTCCCCACATCCGTATCACCCTCCACCAACGTCGCATACGCCTGTCCATTATTCGCCTCGCTAAGGTCACTCATAGCCTTGCAATCATCAGGCCCCCGGCTCACAAGGCGCATGATGCGATCACCACAGACGGTAAACTCTAGGTCGCAGAAGCTATCGCCTGGAGTGAGGTTCGGAGCGGGTTTGGCATCGCATCCACCGCCGTTGCAGTCGTCGTGGACGTACATGCTGATGGAGTTGAGGTCGTTGCCGCCGGTGCAGGCTTCGGGTCCGCATTGCTCTGGGGTTTTGTTAATAGGTATTTGCAGAGAGTAGGAAGGAGTTCAGCATACGCTGGAAGTAGTGGTGCTCGAAGAGGCGGAAGTTGCCTGGGTCACGCTTCTCCACGGGGCTGGCGAGAGCGATAGGAGTGAAGGCCAAGATGGCGGAGATGATTGTGATTGTGAGCATGGTCGGTAGTTGTAGAGGAGGGATAGATGTATAATTGAATGGAGACTGTTTTGCTGTGCTGATGGCTGATGTACAATGAGAAGAAGCCCTCCTTTTGTACTTGGAACGAGTTCCCGCTACGGTTGTTTAGAGCAGAAGAAGACTTTTTGACAACATACAGGGTGGGTCTATGAATCCTGAATGAAGCCTCACGACTGATCGCCGATTGTGTCTTCGATCGTAGATGGTCGTAGAGATGTACGCCTTATCTTGGCAAGAGTTGAGAGCGGCCAGCTCCGTCTCAGGTGATTGGTGAACGCACCCTTCGCACTATCCTATGATGTCCAACTTTAGCATCTTTATAGGATGCCAAAGAAATTGGCAGGCATATGTTTAAGATGACCTTGGATGACACAGAGCCTGTTCGTTGAGTGAGTTTACCAAGGTTGTCGAATGAGTGCGAGTCTTTCGTGCGCACTAACGATCATGTCTTCTGACGGTAGCGCGATTAGAGTTGAGAACTCCCCACAGAAAGACACACTTAACCCTTACTGAGAAGGAGAGTCTGGAGAGTGACTTGCACATAGCTGGCCGCCTTGAGACCATGATAATGCCGTCTATGCCTACAGACTTGGCACATGGTGTCAATATAGGACAAGCCGTGCCGAATATGCGTGAAAATGCTTGGCTGTGGTCATTAGCAGAGGCTTTGGTACGCCAAGGAAGAGCGAAGGAACATGCTATTCCCCCAGGGCGGTACGCGCTCTTAGGCCTCCCGTCCCGTCCCGTACCGCGTACGCCAAGATGTGGAGGAATAGCTTGTAAAATGACGATATACATGCCGTGATTGCCGGATAAATTCCATACCGTCAGGCCTTCAAAACAGACCGAATAGCGTGTGCACTATCGATTCCAGAGCAGATGAACTTTAAAGCTAAGTAAAGCCCGTGTTTTAAAACGCGACGATTGCTTGCTGAGAAGACAAGGCTGACTGTGAGTGACATGCACGTATCCAGTAGGAAAATGGAAAGCCGTCATATGTATCCATCATGCCACTGTGTGAGGTGTAGATACGGCTACTCCGCTAACACATACTTCACACCCTCAGCCAAGTTATCCATGAACTGTTTCTGCGGCTCAGCAAGCTTCGGAGAAGGCCAAGCGAAGAAGAAATGTGGATAGCCATCGTAGAAATCAAATTTAACGGGCACACTACAGTTTAGTCAGCATCAACTCTTACAACAAAGACACGAAACCTACCGAGCATCTTCTAGCATCTTTTTCATGAGCACACCGTCGTCTCTCAGTGTGTCATGTCCCGCAACAGCCATGTAAACCTTCTTCAAGTCCTTGATTCCAGGATGAAGAAGGGGCGATCCGTATGTATCCGTTGGTGGAGCACCAAAAGCCTTCCAGAAGTCTCTCATCGCTCCCGCAGTGTTAACAGTGTGCTGATCATGCTCCTCCATCGCCGTGTACCCAGATTGAAGTTTCTCTGGAACACCATCCGGGTGCACAGTCACGGGTATGAGTGCGACAACACCAACCAGTCCATCTATGCTTGCATCCCGGGCTCTCAGCGCAACGGCGAAAGCAAGTTGACCGCCAGCTGAAAGCCCGGCAGTGAGAAACTTCCCTTCGGTGGTGTTTAGCCGCTTCGAGTTGTCCAACGCCCATCGTAAAGCGTTGAAGCATTCGTCCATTAAGTCTTGGTGCTTGTTATCTGGTGCGAGGCCATATTCGACAGACACAACCACTATGCCTCCGGCTTTTGAAATTGCCCTGCTGAATGGATCATCTCCGTTCACGTCGCCCATAGCCCATCCGCCGCCGTGGTAGTACATGCACACCGGCTTTCCACCGGTATAGCCGTCAGGCGTGTAAATGCGCACCTTGGTCCCGTGACTGGTTGTCGTATCTTCGGTCTTTACGGAAAGGTCGGGTTCGGGAAACGTGTATCTCGACGCCATGAGGCTGCCATATCGCATGAACTGCTCTGTCATGTTTGAGATGGGTGGATTCAAGAGTATGCGCTCGCCAAGCTCCTCTTCGAACTCAAGCCATGGTTTCGCGAACCCCTCGTTAGCCATGTTGTCCTAGATCGGTCGTGTAAGTTGTGGAGTAATTCTTCCATTTCGGAAGCCATTTTGTACCAAGGGCTTGCTGTCGTATAAAAGCTGGGCCCTTGCGTGGTTTGGCGTCATGTGGGAGTGTGTCTGGAGTAGCTCTCATCTCGACTCACTTCGACGCGGGAAGACGTCAGGGGTCAAAGCTTCCCCACTCGCTGGTACGCTGCCGCCTTCCCCACGCTTAAAGACATCCGGTACTCCCCACCAAAAACAACATCGCCTCGGCTGCAAACACGCATCGCAACGCGTCGGCATTAACTGCTGCAGCGAGTCATGTCTGCTGTATTCGCACGTAGACTTTTAATCTTGGAGTTTGATCATCCTTACTTACCTCGATAGCACTACTCACGACGCAGGAACGCACACACACACACACACACCATGGTACTGAACATCGACATCAACAGCAGCCCGGCCTTCGCGCGCATACCGCCCTGGGTGAAGGCCAAGCTGCGTCCCATCGCAATCGAGAAGATCCAGCAAGTGTACGATTGGGTCGAGACGGAATGCATACCTGCTGAGCGCATCTACAAAGCGCAGCTCAAAGAAAGCAAGACGCGATGGGAAACCCCAGCTATCATCCACGACCTGCGCAAAAAGGCAAAAGCCCAAGGCTTGTGGAACCTTTTTCTGCCAAACCACTTCATCGAGAGCCCAGGCTTGACCAACCTAGAGTACTCGTGCTGCGCTGAGATAATGGGGCGCGTATACTGGGCAGCACAGGTGCGCTTCCTGATACCCGATACTCCTGTAATGCCTCACTAATAGTAAACCGCAGACGATGAATTGTCATGCCCCCGAAACCGGCAACATCGAACTCCTCGCCAAGTACTGCACACCAGAGCAGAAGAAGCGCTGGCTCCACCCCCTCATGAACGGCGACATGTCCTCGGCATACAGCATGACAGAACCCGACGTCGCCTCCTCCGATGCAACTCAGGTCGGCATAAAAATGGAAATCACCGACAAGGAAGTCATTATAAATGGACGTAAACTATACGGCAATTGCCAGTACAACCCGGAGATGCAACTGTTCATCCTGATGGGCTGTTCCGACCCCAACAATGCGAACGCGTGGAATAGACATACGACGCTGGTGGTGCCCGCGAACAGCCCGGGGCTGAAGCAAGTTAGGAATCTGACGATCATGGGATACGACTGGGCGCCTGAAGGACACGGCGAGTACATCTACGACAACGTTCGCGTGCCGCTCGAGAACATCATTCTCGGTCCTGGACGCGCCTTTGAGATTGCCCAAGGACGTTTGGGTCCCGGTCGCATACACCATTGTATGCGCCTAATCGGCCAGGCAGAACGCGCGTTTGAGCTCGCGCTCGTAAGATGCATGGAGCCGCGTAAGAAACCAAGGGGCAAATTCATCGGCGAGTTCGACAGCAATATTGAGCGTATTGCGGATATGCGCATGACGATTGATGCTATGCGGTTGGTGGTGCTTAATGCTGCGGATACTATGGATCTGCAGGGTAACAAGGCGGGCAAATACGCTATTGCGCAGAGCAAGATTATAGTGCCGAATGCGCTGCTCAAGGTTATCGATGAGGCCATGCAGATATATGGTGGTCAGGGCTTGACGCAACATACGCCGTTGCCGGAGCTGTGGACGTATGCACGTTTTGTGAGAGTGGCTGATGGGCCGGATTCGGCGCATAGACATCAAGTGGGAAGAGATCAGATGAAGACAGCGCAAGGGTTTAGGAAGAGAGCGGAAGGGTACACGGAGAGGTATAGGGAGCTTTGCAAGAAGTGGGGTCTTGAACCCGAAGAGTTCTGGGGTATCTTGTAGTAATAAATTCTCGTTTCTTGTGATCTTAATTCGTAGGCGCATACTCTCGCGCAGTTCGACCTTTCCCTGGGTCGCACTCATGTTCTCCTTCTCGTCGTCTGTTTACTGGTACCATCTCCTCCTTCTCACTCTGCTCTCGGCATGTGCCGGTACGAAAGCGATTTTACCCACATCTTCATCTGTCTTCGTATCTGCGATCATAACTTTCAGGTGCCCTAATCGCCTGGTCATCCCCGTTCCGTCTGCTGCACTATTTCCTTGTATCTCGCGGTCGTGGAAATATCTCGAGTCTCTTATTTGGCTGCTGACATAACCCAAGATTCGGGGTGCATGACAGCGCTCATGCATGATCAAAGAGAAGACGGCCGCGAAGAACATGATCGCCACGGATACAAAATAGAGTATAATCCATGGGATATCCAGAGCGTAAGTGGCCGGTAACGGAAATACAATGGCTGACGTGGTATTGAGATGAAGCGAAGTATCGTTGAAAGTGGACGGCGTGAGATCTCCACCCATGATAGTCGCATGTTGTATGTTGGTTTTCCATAGCGTGTTCCACAGCAGTGAGAATCTCTGCTCAAAAACCTTGATATCAACTTCGTCCAAATTTGCGTACCCGACTGACGAGGGATTGTTGACTGCGGTAAGCGGGTCTTTAAGATACCACTCCACTATACCAGATGTGCCAGATCCACGCTTGTTATCATCGAGTAGATCCATAAATATGTGCATGAGATCAGGGGCCATCCGCGGATCCAAGTCTAGAGTCGAATTTGGCCAGCGATACGTTCGGGGCTCGAAAATGGTAAGGTTTTTTGGATTAGTGGTTGTGAGCGTCTCCCGTACTGCGTCGACACCACAATCGGTTTTTCCCAAAGCCCCTTTTGATATGCAGGATACTTGAGCGTCGACGTATATCATCTGAGGTGAGCATTGTGTGACGGACAGATAAGCGGGCGGGTCGCGTCTCGTCACGAACACAATGTCGTGACTTTGGGTAGTATCATTCCATACTTGTTTTTCGGAAAACTCCAGAAAGAAGTTATTCATACCTTGCGTTCCAGTGGGTTCTAACAGCGAAGATAAGTTTTTTTGAAACTTGTTCATGATCCATTCATGCGACTCATCCATGCCATTGATATTCAACCAAGGAGAGCACTAAGATCTGTTAGATTGAGGGCAATTAGAAAGGGAGAAAAGCGTCTCTTACTGAAAATGTTAGATAGCTTGCGGTTGTATTGAACTTTGTGTTGCCAGTAAAATTCCGCCCCAGGCCAGCAACATGTTCGCCGACAAGACTGGAGTAGTTGTGCACTGAATCCTGCCAGGGCACATTTACCCAGCGATGCGGTTCATTCGCATCGAATCCGGAAAGAGCGTGTAGGCTAGGCATCCGTACGTTGCCCCATGGATCAGTAGCTGCTTGTATACCAGCTGAACTTTCTCCTCCGAGCGTGATAATAATGTCTTGGTACGTTGCGTTCGTCTTATCGACGTACTGAGTAGCGGATGCGATGTCGTAAAGAGCCGAGGAATATAAAGCGCGAATTCTGGGCATGATACGTGTTGCAGTATTGAACATCGAGTTCAGTTGTACCTGTTGGCTGATATTGTGGTTGTAATAGGCAATATTTCCCGGTCTGGATCCCTCTCGGTCTCTCAGGTAAATCCCTCGGAATGAGGATTGAGACCCAAGAGGGTTGAAAGCCCACAGTACTAGTAGAGCTATACTTGAGATTCTCAGAATGGACCATTTAAAAACAGTAATGACAGAACCAGCAAGCTAGTGTATGAGCATTAGCATCAGTCAGATTCGAAAATTGTACGCTTCACACTAACCGTTAAAGAGCCCATCAGCTGCTCCAAAGCCTGTATATCATCAATTAGCCAGGCCACGCATTATGTATGATTCGTCTCGTACCAGTAGGTCGATGCCACGTTCAACGCGCCAGTCGGCAAGTGCACGAATCGCATTTCCCAATACACCAGAGAAGAAAATCGGCCATAAGGTTGGTGCGATACGTGTAGCCGAGAGTACTTTAATTGACCAATCACTTTCCTGTTGATCTTTCAGGTGTACAACAAATGCGCCAAGTACTATTCACACGTTAGCGATACTTCGTACGTATCGGATACAAGACCTACTAAGAAAGCATATCGAAACGACTATTCCAAGAAATTCCCAAGTCAACGCCCACGGCGTATTTCCTTTCCAGTATATGGGTTCTTTGGTCTTTTCTGAGAAAGGGACACTATGGGCGCCTACTTGTGCCAAATGCTTATTGGTAGTCTCGTCGGGTGGCAGAGAACGTGACTGTCCGTCATCCGAATATACGAAGCTGTCATTGGGATGGAATTGGTGTTGAGACACGCTGGCTCGAGTCCGTTCGTCAGTGTTCTGTTCCTGCCCATCTCTTCCCAGTAGTCGGTTCGCCGCGCTTTCTTGTCCTGGCTGGATCACTGGATCGAAATCGGAGCGAAGTTGTGGCACCTCGTGAAACACGAATGAGCGCCGCTCCGGACCGTCCACTCGATGACTCATTTTCCCGTGGATTATGGTAAGGGAATTGTGGTGAGCCACTCGGCGAAAAAAACAGTGTTTGTGAACTTTTAGCAGGTGCGCCTCACGAGGCCACCGACTACGAAATAAGGCTGAGCATGCAACCTTGTGCTTTTGGCCCCCATCGTTGCCTGCGCCCTTGGCGCTGTATGAAACACACGATTTTAGTCAGAAAGAGTTCCTGCCGGAAGGTGATTGGCCGTCTGACAAGCATGCCGCCGTTATAGCGGAGCTGAGGGCGAGAGACTACAGCGATCATCTTGCTCTCAATCGGCATGTGCTGTAGGGTTGAGAGTACACCGCATCTATAATTGGTGCGTTAGTGGCCAGATGTGGAAAAGTGAGAGGAGATTAAATCAAAGGGTCCAAGTTGCAGTGGAGCGCCAAGCCGCTAACCGGGATGATAGGAACACAACAAAGCAGAGTAAGCGCTCTTGCCGGTTGATGCTGTACTTCCATATGCGATATGATTGCAATAGCTTTGGGGGCGAGAAAGTTCAATGAGTGAACTCAAGACTTCAATTGAGAGTTGTTGGTCGTGACATTCATCTATACAAAAAACAGACCAAAAAGAAGGGTATCATTTCCAATCCGTAGTCCCCGATCCCGTGACCATGTATCCATCATCATATATTATTCAATACTCATTACTCATACTGTGATAGGTGGTGATGACCTAAAACTCATGTTATCGTCATCGTCATCAAAGAAAGAAGCTACTTCCTGCGTCGACATAGCAAAGTCTTCGAAACACTGGCTCGTCCTCGGCGCCGCAGCAGATAGTTTCAAAGGCGGTGTCGGTGTCGGTGCGCATTGCTTCTTGGCTGGAGGAGAAGCAGATTGTCCGGATGGCGTTGTTGTAGCTTTTCTCTTCGCATAAGGGCCAGTCATGGACTTTGGTAGCTGAGACGCCCTCAGTTTCGCGAGTTGTTCCTGGAGGTTCCCATAAGCAAAGGGACCTGGGTTCAGGCACTTCCCAGCTATCTTCTTAGGGGGTCTCGAAGTAGTCAATGGCCTGCTTGAGTTCGCAGAAGCCCGTGGCGTGGATTCTTTCTGCGTAACAGCGGCATCAGTTCTTACAGGACCGGCGGTCAACGGCTTTACCGGCTTAGAGGTGGGGTTGACCGAGGGCTTTGCTAGCTCAGAGGGAAGCGGCAAAGACATTGGTCTTTGTGCGGGCCGAGGAGTTCCTGAATTCGCCTGCAGTGGTGCAGAAACTTTGCTAGGGGCAACGTGCGTGACGGGAGCAACTTTACATTTCTCCTCCTCTTTCCGCGGCTCTTCGTCAAGATCATCCAGAGAGAAGTCGAAGTCTTGGGTTGATATAGGAGGCATGTCATCAACTACCGAAGGCAAAGTAATCGTTGAAGGCTTCGGTGGCTCTTTGACTGCGGGCGTTGCTTCTGAAGCAAGCTCCCGCGAAACCTGGGTACTACTTTCAAAGAAATCATCCCAGCAGTCGGTCGGTGGCAATGGTACTGACGAAGTCTTTTTTAAAACGGACGTGGGTTCGACCGCAGTAAACGAGCTGGACTTCGATGCTGGAGCTCCAGGGAGCTTGAAGCCTGGATTTTGGTTTGTGGTAGGCTTTGCTTTGACAGCAGGTGGAGTCGGTTTTCTCGCCAAGCTAGGAGGTGGCATACGCCCAGGTATAGAAGGGAGCTTGAATCCTGATCTTGATGTATCCCGTGGCACGCCGGACGGTGTATAGTCGATGGCCACACGTATGGGAAACTGTGTGCGTTGAAAAGGATGCTGATCCAGATTCTTGTACTTTGCGATAAATGGAACCCGCGTCAGGAAGGTCTTAGTTCCCTGTAGCTGTCCATCTAACACCAAGCATTCTAATCGATCGTTCTCACAGCGTAAGACTCGCAAGTGCTGGCTCTTGGACAACTGGCTGCTTGTATTAAGATCCCGAAGCACTGTTACAGTGCAGCCGACCTTGACGCGCAGACGATGTGGTGGTAGCCCTACTGGATTCAGCTTGTGCAGCAGCCCTAGTGAAGGATCCCAGTCTGGTGTTTTGAGCGAAAGATCTTGTGACAGCAGTTCAATCAGAGGCTCGGGCAGTTTGTCCAAGGCAGCCTCGATCGCTTTGTTTATGGGTCCGTGAGTACGTGCGAATTCGCGATCATCCTGTGCAGGAATTGGCTGCGGTGGAGGACTTGGTGCGGCGAGCGGAGCGAGGGCGATAGGGTGAACAGGTACAAGAGGTTGTACGACAGCGGGCGGAGCGGGCGCAATAGGAGCAACGGACTCAGAAGGCTGGACAACAGGCTGTAGCTCCTCTACCGGGTCTGACATGACCATATCATGTGCTTCGAGAAGTGTGTCGTCGTCTAAGTCGTCGTCGGCCCACTGCTGTCCGGAGGATGCAGTCGTCTCCGGCAAATCGACCACAGTGTCTTCCTCATCGTCATCATCCCATGGCTCCTTCTCCATTTGTTCCGCAATCTCTTCTAGCTTCTTGGTGAGTTCCAAGTTCTTTTTACGCTTCTCCTCTTCCTTCTTCCTGCTCAGTCCTAGGAATGCTTCCATGCCATTCTTCAACTGCGCCTGCGTATGACTATACCCAGCAAGCTGGGTCGCCAGTCCGACACCAATTTGTTGCCTTGCTCTTGCCTCCTTCGCCTCTTTTTCTTCGCGCTTCTTCTTGGCTGCTTTGCGACTCTCCTCGGCTTTGCGGGCGCGGGCGGCGCGCTGTTCTAATTCGGCCTCGCGCTCGAGCTGCTTCTGCTGCCGCTCGTTGAGACGCGGGCCATTTTTCTTGGCCAGCTTTTTGAGCTCGGTAGATGTTTGTGCGATTCGATGAGGAGTTGGGGCCATGATACAACGCGCATGGCGGTGAGGGGTGCGGGTGGCTGCAGGGGGAGAAACGTACGTGGTGGCGAATATTCCCTGAAGCCTGGAACCGCGCTAAGACACGCAAACACGTGCTCGGATGACGTGCATCAAAACAAAGTATTCCGACGACTAGGCTATTGCTGTCACCTCTAGCGAAAGCCACAACAGCTTTTCATTGTCATTCCCCTGTCAAAACGGGCATATTTTCCGTGTCCAAAAACGACCAATCGAAAATGCAGCGGCCTGCCGTGCCTCACAAGTCCATGCGCGCTGTCAAGTTCACGTAAACACTTTGTTGATAAACGGCACACGTTCGCATCTTCTCCATCGTCCGATCATATCCTAGATGCAACTTGATAGGCGTGCGTGGAGTAGGGCCGACATGACTCGCTTGTTGTTGTTATCACCAGGAAAACCGCAGCCGACATTGAGCTCAACCCCGCCTACAAGCATCTCTGACAGCAGCAGGCTTGCAGGAAATCATCGACAGTGCATGCTGAAGGTGCTCTCTAAGGCTGACAGCGTCTTGACTCGTACCATTAGGCTAACAGCAGGAGTGGTGGCAGCAGTGCGTACCATTGACATTCCGTGGACCTGACAATTGATAGCTCAGTACAGCTTGCAGAGTACACGCTGAGCAAGGAAACATGTCTTTCGTACTAAAGGGTGTAGCATATATCACGGGTGCTGGATCCGGTATGTCTGATCAAGCTGTGTAGCATATCCGACCAATGAGCTGACATCTTCAAGGTATCGGCCAGTACACTGCATATGCTCTTGCAAAGCAAGGCGTGCGCTCATTCGCCTTGCTGGATCGCAATCCCATCACCAAGACCGTCAGCGAACTGAATAAGATCTCACCAGATGTCTCTGTTAAAACGTTCGAAATCGACGTCACCGATGAGAAAGCAATTGATGACAGTATAGAGAAAACGGTAAAGGAATTTGGACGGCTGGATTACGCGGTCAACAATGCTGGCATAGGTGGAATGATCAAAACGACAGATGAAATACCTAAAGACGACTTCGAGAAAGTCATGGCTGTCAATACCATCGCCGTGTGGCAATGCCAGCGTGCGCAGATCCGCCAGATGCTCAAGCAAGAGAAGCTTTCGGACTCCTATCGATCATACCGGGGCTCTATCGTCAACGTCGCATCGATGTACGGCCTGGTTGCACCACCACTCAATGTGCCTGCCACCGCATATGCTACGTCCAAGCATGCTGTCATTGGCCTCACAAAGTCAGATGCACTCGCTTTCGCACACAAGGGTATCAGAATCAACGCGATCTCCCCAGGTTATGTGATGACACCCCTAGTGAAGGAGCACATGAGTCAGGGCGACATGATGGAAACAGAGAGGAAGAAAGTCCCTGTTCACCGCTACTCGGAGATGGAGGAAATCGGCGACTGTATTGCATTCCTACATTCCCAAGCGGCAAGTTACATGATTGGCGCCACATTAGTCGCGGACGGAGGATACACAATCGTCTAGAGCATCGTACTAGCCCAAGACTTGAATTATCAACAGCCGTCTCACACGTGTCCTAAAACACGTAGTCCTCTTGTCAAACTTGACCTTCGACGCAATTGTGCTTTGCCTGGTCGGTCGCACCTCGGCAGAGGTTCTCCACCCCAGTTCTCCACCTAATCCCCGCAAAAAAGGAAGACGCAACTTCCATATCCGAGAAAGATCTGGCTACTCCGAACGCCTCTTCGATTGGCTAATGGGTCGTCTAACAGATCACTCATCATTGCGCGACTTGGATGTCCCGGCATTGTTGTCTGTGCAACCCTCGGAAATGCTTTGCCAGATAAAACTCATGAGTAGCCATTGGGATCGTTAGCCCACATCACGAATCGTCACCATCGTTCGATATTCCAATCATGCATTCACTTTATTCGCGTAACCCCAGATTCAGGCATTCATTAGATTGACTCGCTATGTGGAGTCATTGAGCTAGGACCTGACTCTTGAAGCATGGGGATTTGCGGTGCAAACACACCGGAGCAAAGTTTAAGAGGTTAAGAGCCCTCGTAGCGGCAACGGTTTCCACTCACTGCTCAGCTTCAACTTTGCTTTTCTTCATCTTCCCGCTAGTTGTACACTATTCACAATGGCGGACGGCTTCATCGTTCCATCCACGGCTGCGCCAGAGACTGATGCTCAGCATCGGTTACGGGGTCCAATTCACGCGCAACGCCATGTGCGCGTCGTCTGTATCGGTGCAGGTGCTTCGGGACTTTTGATGGCATACAAACTACAAAAGCACTTCTCAAATTATAGTCTCCAAGTATATGAGAAGAACGCCGAGGTTTCGGGGACTTGGTACGAGAATAGATATCCGGGGTAAGTGCAGATCCGAATGGTTGTTGCGGGGGATCATGCATCCTTCGCCCCATGATTTACCGAACCGGCTGCAGCAAAGCGGCGCAGTTAGCAGAACCTTGCTAACATCTCGATTCAAGATGCGCGTGCGACGTTCCTTCGCATAACTACACTTGGTCATTCGAGCCGAAATTAGATTGGTCCGCGGTATACGCCGGCTCGAAAGAGATCTTTGCCTACTTTAACGATTTCGCGCGCAAGTACGGTCTCCGCAAATACATCAAGACACAACACCAGGTTGTTGGCGCAACATGGAACAAGCAGAAAGGAGGATATGATGTGCAGGTCAAAGACCTAGAGAGCAATCAGATCGTCAATGACCATTGCGACATCTTGGTAAACGCGTCGGGTATTCTGAACAACTGGCAATGGCCCGCCATACCGGGTCTGGACAAGTACAAGGGCACACTACTACATACCGCAAATTGGGACGACAACGTTGACCTTAAAGGCCGCCATGTTGGCTTGATTGGAAACGGGTAAGTGCCTTACATATGGTTCCCCAGCTCAGCAACTAACTCCATCAGTTCCTCTGGTATTCAAGTCCTCCCCACCATCCAACCACATGTTAAGAAAGTCACAACCTTCATCCGCGAGCCCACATGGGTCTCACCCGTGCAAGGCCTCGAACAACACGTCTTCTCCGATAGCGAAAGACTCGAGTTCGCCACCAAGCCTGGCGCATTAGTCGAATATCGCAAGCACATTGAGCGCGGCCTAAACGGTCAATTCGGCATCTTTCTCAAGAACACAAACGTCAACTCCGACACAGAAGCCTACTTCCGCAAGCAGATGACCGAAAAACTAAACAACGAGTACCTACAAGAGCGCTTGATCCCGAACTGGCATGTCGGATGCCGACGATTAACACCAGGCGTCGGCTACCTCGAAGCCCTAGGAAAACCCAACGTACAAACCGTCTACGGCGAGATAAACTCCATCACCGAGCGCGGCTGTGTGTGCGACGACGGCAACGAATACCCCGTCGACGTACTCATCTGCGCCACAGGCTTCAACACCTCCTTCAAGCCTCGTTTCCCCGTAATCAACTCCTCTGGCACCAACCTCCAGGACGTGTGGACCAAAGAACCACGCTCCTACTTTGGTCTCGCGGCCGCTGACTTCCCAAATTACCTCATCTTCCTGGGACCCAATTGTCCCATCGGCAATGGCCCTGTTCTAAGCGCTATCGAGGCGCAGGCAGATTACATGTGCAAGCTCATCGATCGCTTCCAAACACACAACATCTCTACTTTTGCACCTAAAGCAGAAGCTATCGATGACTTTGTAGCTTTCAAGGATGAGTACATGAAGCGCACCGTCTGGCATGACGCCTGTCGCTCATGGTACAAGTCTCTCGGCCCAGACGGCCCCGTCACAGCACTCTGGCCTGGTTCTACACTTCACTACATCGAGGCCCTCATGGAGCTCAGGCTGGAGGACTGGGACGTGAAATACACTGGTAACAGGTTCTCGTGGTTGGGCAATGGTTATAGTCAGACGGAGATTGATCCCACGGCTGACTGGGCGTTTTATGTTAGGGAAAAGGATGATGATGAACCGATAAGTAGGTTGAGGAAGTTGCAGCTGATAAACAAGAGTGGGACGTTGGAGCCGAGCGAGGGTGTGAATTTTGCGGGTGGAAGGGCGGAGGGAGTAGCCAGCATGAAGGAGTCGAAGCTATAGGTACAGGCGCGAAGGAAAGACGTTAATGAATGTATGATTGGTACGAAGAGTTACTTTTCAAGGCGATATGGATCATAGCCGGGTGCTGTACTGCTCAAATGTGGAAGAACGATTATGTCTTGAGATTTCGGCACATGGGAGTTTTGTGTTCTAGTTGTTATCGCGTGCATCGTGGACAAAAACCTCCAATATCATGTTGGCCCAGTACGACGTTGAGAAACAAGAACGAATGTCGCTCGAGGAATGCTGACCTAGGAAGTTTGCGGTACGACGGTCGCTGGATTCGTGGTTTAGTGTACGGAGCTCTGGAAAAGCCGCGTTCCGTCGAATACCTAGGTATGGCCTCACTTACGGGAAAACCTCGGCGCCTTCAACACGCAATGAAACGCGACAAACGCGAAGATAGCTACACCGGTCAAACACCTACCTATCAATCTTTACGAACGACGCGTGAACTGGTCAAAAATAGACGAGGCCACCGTAACGATCCATGGTGCGCTGACTTGTGATTCGCGCTAAAGAACTCCGGCTCCCCAACCCGCGGCGCCCGTCGCTTCTCCCGCCCCACCAGCGAAACACTCCGACACAGCTCTCGACCAGCACCCAATGACTGCAGTTGGGAATTGCGACCGAGCTTTGGAGATCCGGAGAATATGGGTTCGCTTCGTTATCTGCGTGTAAGCATTATACGTTGATCGACAGCATTGATGAGCAGCATTGCAGACGCCTTACGCAGGTCAACAGCTGAAGAAACGAGCGGCCGGCAGACTCGTTCCAGAAAGCACCTGACGTCGCAGGTAGACAGTAGTTACGCACACAGTTCTGTTTGGAACTACGCGACTCGAAGAATGTTTCCAAATTGCCCGCAAGAGCTATTTCTAGCTCTGTCATCGATCCCTTCAAACGTGCCAGACCCTGAGTTGTTCAAACTTCACTCCAAACTCCACAACTCAACCCTGTAGACCTTCTCTCGGCTAATGAGGTGATCGTCCCACATCACCATACCCAACCCAGCGCGCCAACGCACAGACATTGCCTATCCCGTTGGTCGGAAACAGAAACGATGCGTTTCGATAGGTACTATTCTCGTTTTTGGGCGAACGGATGATCGTCGGCGTGGTACAAACGCATGCATACGCAGTCGTACCAACGTCTGGAATACTGGGGTAGGTACCGGTATAGTGAGGACGCCATGCCGTGTCAGGGGTGTAAGACGTGCATCTTGACTGTGTCTTGACGTTTTGGACAACTGATTAGGGTCATTGAGAGTTTAGAGTAAAGGCCCTGGGTACGCGAATACGCGAGTAAGACCGGTAAGTTAGAAGATATATATTCTACTGCTTCCATCGCAAAAGCAAGATCATCATCCAACAGCTTCTACTTCTCTCATCTACTCTACAACACTCTCAACAACTACTCTATTCACCATTACTGCCGGCCAGTTCCTTTAATCCTCTACCAGTTTTCTCACCCAACAACAAATATCTCAAAATGCCTACTTCCCAGATCTCCACTCCCCTCAACGGTGTCGATGCCACTATCGTCATCTCCGCTCTCCACAACCACGACCTCATGATCAAGACGCTCTGCCCAGCGCTTGTCAGCTACGCCTTCGAATCTGGCGACAAGGCTACTTCAGCTACTTACACTGTCACCGACAAGAAGCCTATTGGCCAGGTACGACTTTCCAATCCCTACCTCCTTTCTGCTCCAAACAAGATACTAACATATGCCAGACTACCTACAAGTTGACTCTCACCAACGTCCCCGAGGGTGTCGACTCTCTTGTCAACGCTAAGCCCCCAGTCGGTGTCCTCACCATCAGCGGCAAGTGGCGCGTCGCTGATGGCAAGCTCAGCGAAGAGATTGACATCGACGCCAACTTCATGATGAAGAAGGTTGCTAAGAGCAACGTTGAGAAGACTCACCCTGAGCAGCACATGAAGCTCTTGGAGGCTGCTCAGGCTTAAGCGAATATCATGAATGAATGATGGAACTAGAGGGACAGAGATGCATGGGCTGGAGTAATTCCGATTGCATTTGGGTTTGCTTAGCATTTGAGTCGCGATGGCTGGGAAGTGGTTGTACGCATAGCTTGGTGTTTTTTGTTTGCAATGAAGCATTTTATCTTTTGTCTTTACTACGACTATTGACCATGATTGAGGTGGCGAACTGCTCCCCGCCCTCGAACACCATCCTTTCCAACTTGTTGCCTAACGAAGCACTTTTGTGGCGATATTAGAGCCTGTTAAGAATGACAGTACTATATTGCACCCAAGACCTCTGGTTAAATACACCCGGAGCTGCCACAATTCTACCATGTCTAAAAGACAGCACCACTCAACACTTGCATAGTTGCTATAACAGGGAAACTATGTTATTAGAGCTACTGCTCACTTCACATCGTATCTCGTTCCAAACACGACCTGAATTGAGACAGATTTCCCCATCGTCCACCCAATCCTGATCCGATGATCGTCAATCGTCGTTGAATCTGCCGGGCAGTCGCCACATCCAGTCGGAGAAAGGTTCATACGCAGTTTGCCAGTCGAGAATCTCTGCGTAATCACTAGTCGCTCGAAACTCGGCTAAGGATATGAGGTAGGGCGTGCTGCACTTGGTCTCATTGTTGCACATCAGGCGTCTGGAGCGGAAGCAACGCGCAGGCTCGTGCTCATCCATTTTCACACACCGTGGATCACTGTGGCTACGCACATCTCCTCTTCTGATCTGTCGTTCTTGCCCGATTATGAGTGTATCCAGCGACGGACACCTAGACTGTTGTTCCAGATCCGCAAAGAACTCCCTCGCCAAACAGTGAGTCAGGTTGTCAAAATAAGCCAGAACGCTGCAGTCGTAGAGAAAAGCTTGACGGAGATGGAGGGTGCGTAACTTGGATAGCTTGTGTATGGGCAACTACTTCACGTTAAAGATAGAACTTGTACTCGAGCAAGGGGTAGTCTTACCAGGGAACTATGAAAATCATCACGTGACATCAAGGATTTTTCTGTGATTCTATACCCAAATTGCTCTAGGTTGGGACATGCCAGACAAATCTTCTCCAACGTTCCTTGCATAACAACGGTGTCACCGCAACCAACGTTACGGTCCTCGGCGTTGTGTATGGATAAAAGGATGAGTTGCTGTCCAACATTCCGTAGACATGCCATGAGGGACTCGAATGACCGCCGATTCCAGCAATCCCACTCCAAGCACAGACTTTTTAACTCGGTACAAGAATATAGTAACGTATCAAAGTCCTCTAAGTTGATGTCGTTGTTGTGTATATAGAGACCTAGATGTTTTAATTGTAACTTGTGGCTACCAAGCCCATGTGCCAGAGCGCAAGCAAACTTTACGGCGTAAGGAGATCCCCAGAGAGTTAAGTGTGTAAGCTGTGAGAATGATATGATCTTGCTGATCCCTTCATAGAGAGACTCGCTAAGGGCAACTCCGGACAGTGTAAGTTGTCGAAGGTTCTCTAGGCGACCAGAATGATTGCTTCGGCATGAAAACGCCTTGGCAAGGCTATCACCAAGACTATGATCATAAGTTTTTCCCTCCTGCCCAGATTCTGTGCCAATGTGCAATCTTTCCATTTGCTTGTACGAGCTGATTTGTGAGAAGAAAGTCATCAACCTCTCCTCATCAAACTTTACCCAGTCGGCGTACACGTAAGGAAGCCAGAGGTCTGCCGTTTTTACACATTGAAGGGAGTTCAACAGAGTAAAGTCGTCGAGCCTAAGATGAACATGTGTCAGTGTGGCCGCCTGACGACGGAAGAGATCATGCGCGGTCTCCGCATGAAAGGATAGTGTCGAGAGGAACCTGCAACAGTTCAGCAAGATCTATGCTGGATAGTTCGTTGTTTTGTGGCAGAAGCATGTCATGTAATCTCACAGGTCTGGCGCTTATGCCACCCGGGTATTGCAGAAGTGAGGTAACGCACCGAAAAGTGTGCAAACGATTGGGCAGGAAGTAAGCTAAGACTGCTCTTATCTGACCGATCTCCACTGGCCTCAGCTTTTCTGCCTTGTAGAAGTGTCGATGTGCTTGGACCTGGAATTCTGGAGCTTCTGGTGGTGGTAGGCTGTCCATCAGCGTCAAAGACCTGGTCCCATCAAGATGCGCTTGAGCACCTGCATTCATGCAGCGCTCAAAACGCGCCACCTCATCCTCATCAAACACATTGATAGTAACCTTCCTGTATAGTAAAGGCCTAGCTAGCTCATCCCACGCTTTTGAGGCTAGACAAATGGCTTTGAGGTGGGAAGGCAATCGGATCTGCGTAGTTCAGTATAGAACCGCTTTGCTAATGGCTGCACTTACATAATCCAGTATCAGGAGCTGTACATCCGCTGGCAAAGTCACTAGGGTTGACATTGTCGCATGCATTTGTTGGGCTCGTGGAGTGGAGAAGGGAGTTGTTCAGCGCCGCGGAGCGGGGCGGCTCATAACGCTGATCTTGGCATCCAAGTCAGGGTTAGCACATGTTACCCCTAGAGACGGCATTTCGACTTGCATCCGCCTTCGCTCCACCCATACCATGAACGCGGTTTCTGCTCACAGTCATGCAAGTCACCAAGCTCCATTCAAGCATGATTTGGTATCTGTAAGAATCAATTCGCCTACTCGATCATAAATCTTCCAATGAAAATAGAAGCCTCTTTCGACAGCGCCCTGACTTCCTCACGAACATATGGTCGATCATCAAAGTGATCGAATCTGCTTTGCCACAACAGCCATCGCCCACGTGACAAACCCGGCTCACCGTCCCACAAGTCTGTTTTCACCGCCAAACCCCTCTCCCACCCTTTCCCGAACACCGTGTTTCCCCGCCTGTACATATCAAGCCCCCCCACCAAGACCCACTTTGCAGCCGCCATCAAGTCGTAGCTCATGAGCTCTTCAGCATCAATAGCAGAATGCTTGAATGAGGTTGGGCGGAGATGTTTGTCAAACTCTAACTCCCGTGACTGTCGACTCGTCTCAAGCGTCTGCCGAAGACAAAAGAAACCAAAGATGAAATACCCATTGTCAAATCCGGACTTGGCCAGCTTCACAGTGAGGACGTTGTAGTTGACCCACCTATCTCCAGGTGTGGTTGGTGTTGGTGTTGGTGTTGGCGCTTGCTTATCTTCTGGCTTCCAAAGGTATCTTAACCCTGACAAGCCATCGTAGTCTTCACGATGTATCGAGGCGAGGTATGTGTAAACTGGATTCGGTGAGGGAGGTATATCACGGATAGCGAAAAGAAGTTTGATGATAGCGTCGTGCGATTCCGAGAACTCAGCTACTGTTTCTAGCAACAACCGCACGACGTCAAATCCCTCATCTTCAGGCTTCGACGACGACGTGTGGACGGAGTCCAGGATTGCTTCCGCAGCAGATGCAGGCGAGGTGTCGTTTGAGACAAGATCTGCTAGGATTCTGCTGCATTTTTGTCGGACGGAATTTGGCCTACTAGAGCTCGCCTTTTGAATGAACCATTGGTCCATGGCGAAGAGTTATGCCTGTGAAAAGTGTTGGTGTGGTGTTGAGATTGGAACCACGGAGCTTCTTCTGATTAGGCAGCTGTCTTGGCACACCTTGCGTCATAACTAACATTCGGCACTAATCGCAAGGCTCATGTGATGGCTATTTACGCACTTGCAGCTAGGACTGCAATAGCTAAAATTATGTACAACGTTGCTTGATTTTGAGTGTGATGCGCTCCACAGATCGCTCTTCCCTTTCCATGTCACCTTACTCCTCGGAGAGGACGTCCTTCTTCTCCTTTGGGGGCCTGAATCCACAGTACAAGCAAGTGTCGGGGTATCCCGCCCATGGGCTCCCCTTGACTGGTACGCCACCGTTCGCGGTCCACATGTTGACCGGCTGAGGGTTCTGCTTCGCCTTGGGGTTGACGCCGACATCGATAGTAGCATATAGGCCGTCCTCGATGGTCTTGCCAATGAGCGAAATCTTCATCACTGGGTCATCGCCGCCTTGCTTAGCCATGTTGAAAAGCGGGTCTGCTGCGTTGGTAGTAATGGCTTGCTTGTTGGTGTTGTAGGGAGACGTCTTCTCGACTTGACCCATGAAGTTCTGCTCGATATAGAATTGGCCAACGTGCGAGATGGTACCGCCCTGAATGGTGTTGTTCGCAAGGAGCTTAGCACCATGGTGGATGATGGCTATGATTGTTAGTATCGATGTATGTGCGAAAGCTGGTAGTGAGGCTCACTGTGGAGATGATTTGTGCGGCCAACATAGTGCCCTGGGATCAAGGTGATGAAGGTGGCGGTGCCGTTAGCACCAGTGGGCTGCACACCCCGAAGAGCATTGGTTGCGATAGCAGTAGCAGAACCATCGCCATTACCCTTTGCCTGAACACCGGTGTAAACACCAGTGGCATTGCTTCCCCACATCTCGACGTAAGCATCGGTGACAGGCTTGCAAGACGAGGTGTCGATGATGTTAATATCCAAATGAGTGATAGCACCCTTCTCTCCAGTCAAGATGTCCTGGCGGACAAGCTCACCGGTAACCCCTAGAAGCTGTGAGCAAGCCTGCTTCATTGGGTGTGATTCTCTACTTACAGTAAGGGCCTTCAGTAGCCTCGGGGTCGAGCGTGCATGCTGCCTCAGCACCATAGCTTTCTTCAACTTCAGCAACGTCGCGGCGGACGAGTTCATTTTCCTTTGCGAAACCAGCTGCGACCCGAAGCTCGTGAAGCCTGGCCTCACGTCTTTGGTGCTGCTCACGAACCCATCCAGTCTCGACGAGATCCCGCTTACATGCTTGAACACTCCGACGATTCGGGTGATCTAAATGAGCCTGTCGCCTCAAGATCTCCCTGTTGGTGTTGCCGCCAGGATGCGCGACAACACCCGTAGCCAAAAGGACGGCGGTAAAAGCCTGTGTGAGCTGAACCATGATTGATGACAATACTTTGTGAACGCGAAGAGTCCCAGGACAACCCTCACCAGGCCATGCTTCCGACCTTCTTATACATTTGGCTCCCTGCGCGCTGATGCGTCACTTCTGCAGGTGCCGTCAACATCGTTCTGGATCTACGGATCTGTGCTGTCGCCATTCTCGTCACCGCACAGTCTAAACGGTTTACCCTGTTGTGTGCTACTCTCCACAGATTGTCCAGGATGATGTCCATAATCAACATGGTCGTGTTAGGCAGCGGCAATTGTTCGCTTCAGTACACGCGCCGCAGCTATATTGGCGTTCATCTAGTGCCCGATCTTGGCGGCGGGGGGAATGTCGCATGGTAGTCTTGGTACGACTCTCCAGGACGTCGTGTGGCTAATGTGAGCCAGTCGCATATTAACCGGAGGCTCCATGCGTGGTGATCGGTAGTTGAATGCGGTGTGATGCGTCCGTGTAGAGATCTAGTTCTAGGAACATGGATTCGGGAATACAGAAGCGAATATTTTTGTGTGTTCATAGCTACGTTAGCTACCTTCTGATTTGAGCTTGATCCGATGTTGTTGAATGCTGCGCGTGGAGACCGGGACAGAAGATCATGGACCTGACTTAGCCAACCTCGGTTAAGCGAAAGGAGGGCGGTTGGATTTTATTGGGCCTTGGATGTACTGTAGTATGTACAGTTGGGCGGCCAAGACACCACCTAGGTATACGCGTGCATTAATGAAGACCGGTAGGATTATAAGGTGGAGCAAATGACATGATCTGTATTGCTCAGCACCAACAATGTCGTCGCACGGATCGGGCCCATGATGCCGAGTGTGCGTGTCTCATGTGCCAGGCACGAAGCGGATCCTTGTAGCTGCGATATGTGACATGGTTTACAGTCGTCACTTGGCCTGAGAGCGGCACTCGCAGGTGGCTCAATTACTCACCCGCTTCTTGAGCGCGGAATCGATTCCATAGACTGTGCAAACCGGTTCAGTGGCGGGCTTAATCATCCTGAACTGAGTTTGTGCAGCTCATATGATTGCAGAGAGCCTCTTTCTCGGATCTCCTGCTCATAGTGGGTTACTCTCCGACTCTAGGGTGTCGACTGCCGTTGCACTACCCTTCAGACGATGCTTGTCGGCTCTTGATAACTCTTCCTTCGCATCTCGACATCCGATGCGAAACTTCTTTGCATGTGCATCTGCATCACCATCCTGGTTGAAAGATAACGACCCTTCCATACCTCTACTGTGAGCTATAGGCGACTGGAAAAACTCGATGGACTGAAGGACTCCATTCGGGGACATGTGTAGGATTCGATCACCGCTATTGGTAGCGGAACTGATATGAACGCTACTAAGGGGGCAGACAACGTGAGTGTTCCTGAGAAGAAACAGTGAGAACAGGAATGTGTCCACTTAGCTCCATGTCTTGCATATCCGACATGCCGTCCTCAAGCGCCGGCACGCGATGGCGGAGCGTCTACAAACATGACGTGGCTCCTTGGGCATCATCGCGGAGAGATAGTGATCTCAAGCTCCTAGTACAAAGGTAAGGGACATATCTGTTACATTGGAGTTGGTAGCCGTAGGTATAGCGACGTAAGTTGAGGTTCGTGTCTTCCTAGTGCTTCGAAGCCTGGAATGTTCTCCCTGAGCTACGAATTGCACTACAGTGCCCGTGCGCGAATTGATCACCAACGCGAATTGATCACCCCAACAACTCAATATATTCAAGAAGATGAGCTTGTAGAGCCACCACAAATCGTAATAAAATTGCGCAAAGCTAGGACTATACTATATACAGGCCTGCGGACGTTTTGGCTTATTCAGATAATTTTTTGGAGGGCGTTATCGGTCGTTGCCGTCGACTACGCGGCGGAGCAGCTCGTGCAACCCTTGCGGCTCCCACCACAGCTGGAGCAACATCACCACGCTTTTGACGCTTTGTAGCTGGCTTATGAGATTTTAAATCTTTGCGCTTACCTGATTGGGGCAATTCTATAGCTTTGGCAGCTTCGCGGAGGCTTCTACGATGCTCTCTTTCAGCTTTCTCTTCGGCCTTCCGCTTTCTGGTCTCCTCCCAACCCTTCTCCCGCTCAACACGCCTCGCAGCTCTGAGTTGAAGCTCACAATTACGAGCTGCTTTGCTTGCCTCGGCTTGCTTGGCTTTTTGAAGCTTTTCAAGCTCGGCTTGTTGTTGTTGTTGAAGTTTGTTATCCCGAACTCGTTTGACGCTTGTTGGTGACCACCAGACAGCTCCTCCATGATACTCAGGATGATCCTCAAGCTGTAGAGTATAGGATTTGATTTCCCGTCTCTTCTTGATGGCTAGGGATTGCCTGAGGCCTTTGAGTTCGCCGTGGAGGAGTGTATTTTGAGCTGCAAGGTGGTGTAAACTTCGTTGAAGCTTCTTGACGCCCTTGCTGCTTTGATCCTTCACCTCTTGACGTACAATTGACTTTAACTTGAGCCAATCCTCTGCGGAGAGTACAGAAGTTGAACTGGCTTCTGAATCCGACCCCTCCTTAGCAAACTTCTTGAGTACAACGTCCGGGTTGGGTGGGTGTATCCCAGTTGCTTCAAAGGACTTCTTGATGAGGGGAGGTTTGAAAACCTTAGTCCAGGACCTCCAGAAGAGCGGGAAGAAGTCTCCTTTGGTTATATTGAGTAATCCTTGGCTGTCTTGAAGGTATTGAGTCAACTCAGTTGAGTAAGCGTTTGCTAGAGGTTTGAACATCACCACATCAAGTGGTTGAAGCGTATGGGTAGCGTGGGGTGGGTATATAGCCAACAGGATCTTGTGGTCGTTGCAATACTCAATAAACTTCATGGTTACATGGGATCCATGGCCGTCAAGAAGTAATAAACGATACCCAGTTAAAGCGTATCGTCTGGTCTCCCGTTCAAACACCTCCTTGAGCCAATGTAACCCAATATCGTTGTTGCTCCAGCCGGAGGGTGATGACGTGGTAAATACTGAGTGGTTTCCTGCTTGTACAGCATCAACCCAGCTTGTTTGTATAGCTCCGTTGGCTGCCTTGAAGATGAGGGAAGGACTCAAAACGCTCCCATCCCAACAAATACAAGCCACAACGGTTATCCACTCACTTGAGCCATCCTCAAGCGGCTGGCGTACCCCCTTTTTCACCCAACGTGCCTTAGAGAAGATACGCTTTGTTCTGCCAATCCTCCCAAGTTGAAACCCCTTTTCGTCCATATTGAATATATGGGTGGGTTGGACGTTGTACTCCTCTATCTTTTCAGCCAGAAGCTTGAAATACAAGCTGTACTTGGCTCCTGAATCGGCGTTGCAACGAAGTTTGCTCATCCCCTTGCTGTACGCGGAGATGAGATGGTTTGGATGACGCTGGAGGAACCGGGTAACCCAGGTTTCCGAAACCTCTTTTCCAGCCAAATCTGAAGCAAAGCGTTGTATCATCTCCCTTGAAGGTGGCAAACGTCGTTCGGTAAGCGTATCGATGTATTGTACAAGCTCGGTTTCGTGATGTGGATGGAGAGAGAGGCGGCGCAAGCCATGTGCCTCGTGTATGCCCTTGTGCCTTCGGGCGAGCGTACAGCGGTTGACGCCATACTTCTTAGCAAGTTGTTGGTACGAGAATTGTTCTCCTGGTTCGCGCGATTCGATTTCTCTAATCGCTTCTTGAATCGGGTCCATATTGGTGGAGTTATGACGCGTTGAAGTTGGCTTGTTGAGTTGGTGGGGGTGATCAATTCGCGTTGGTGATCAATTCGCGCACGGGCACTGTAGTCCACATCGATCCCCACACAAGCGAGCCGTACCCGGCGGCCCACTCTCCGTACTCCTGGCCGAAACACCAACCCTTTACAGCTGAAACCCACAACGCCAGGACAGCCCCGACACCAGCGTCTTGTGATGTTTGGTAGCGCTTTCGCCAGAGCCACGGTGACGCGATCAAACCAGCGCCACACCTGCGTAGCACGTTGAACGAATTACAATGCTATAGCAAGTCCGTACGGGGTACGCCCTTGCGGCAGTCACGGTAGTGTCAGCGTCTCATGCGCACGAAGTCAACTATAGTGGCGAAACGCGTTGGCGTCTGGAGGTGATGAAGAAACGACGAAACATCGCAATGCTTTTGTAAAACCAATTTAGGCGTTCATGCTTGCTATTGCTAACATTTCCTTTACTTCACCGTTGTCGCTCCCGCCATTTCACAGAAGCATACATCGATATGGCAACCTTTCTCAATTCTCCGAACACACCCGCCGTCGCACATACATTTTATCATGACGATAATGTTTCTCGAAGCCACAAGGCAAACCTCTCTGGAGCGACCATGTTGGATCTGTTGAGTGGTCCTGAAGGTTCGATTGCCGCAGCCTACGAGTCTTCTAGTTTGCACCAACGGACTCCAAAATCGAGACGGCCTTCTCAAGCATCAATCACTAAATCCCAATTGCGCCAGACGAATAGGACATTGGTTGAAATCATTCACAGCGTCCAGGCTGAGTTGGCGACTCAGAGAGAAGCAATGCTCGATATGCAGGCGCGAATTGTTCAGCTCGAAAGCACGTCGCAAATCAAGATCCAAGACTTTGCGCCGCGCCACACAATTGCTGGACACCGCAAGCGGTCTCAGATCAGAAGCAAAGAAGGTGCTACCCGCGAAACACAAAGAAGCTGGGATGCATTCCAGAAGGATGCTGATATGCTTGGTCCCCCCATTATCGCGAATGAATTCTGGAAGTCACCCAGTCGATTCTCTGGTTTCAACTTCAACTTCGACCTGCTCGAGACAATACCAAAATCGTCACATCCTCTTCCAGATGTGGATGATGTTCCGGATCTCACACCGGACGAGCAGCCACAAGCCTATACGCCAGGACAGCGCCGGATTCCTCCTAGGATCACCCGCATCAGGACAGCAGATCCCACCACTATGTATCACGATGCCGTGAGCGATATCAGAGAGCACGTCATCGAGTTCGACAAGATCAAGGTACCTATGCCACCGAAACTCCAAACCCCGCCACGAAGTGCGCGCAGCAGGTTGGCATCGATGCACAGCCCGGACGATGAGATCACGGCATTGCCGCAGATTCCACTGGTACCAGCAGCACCCACGCACAGCTCACATCGCAGTATTATGAGTATCAAGAGTCTGCTCCTGTACAGAACCTCTTCGAAAAGTCATAAAGCCGATTACGCTCAATCTGATCATCGCCGTTCAGGCTCGTCTATGCGCTGCTGAGCAGGCTGTCGACACCATACGCGGTGCTCATCGTCGCCCGACCCGAGCGGATCATCTCAGAACATAGACCAGAACAATCCACGTGGAATATCATTTTGACGTTTCTTTCTCCTCATGACCGTTGATTGACATGCAACTGTTGCCTGCTTAGAGAGACTTACCTCGGAGTTAAGGCGGCTTGGCATTTCTCGCGCTTTCCACCAACGAAAACGTCATTATTCGTTCGCATATATCATCGTTCCGCCTTCCGCCTCTCCAACGACAACAGCACTGCAAAGGCACACACGCGAATCATGGCGTCCCTCTTACGGAGACCGTTCGCCATTACGGCGACACTGCGACAAGCTTCACCGAAATCGCAAACCCTCACATTCCGCGCTTTCCACAGCACGCCACTCAAGCAGCATCCGCACTTGTTCCGACCCGCAAAGCCTACGGTATCGACGTCGCAAAATGTCTCCAAGTTCCAGCAAGCGTTCCGACGCGGATACCAGCAGGCTGCCTACAACCCTGTAGCGCAGGGAGATATGCGACAGCGTCTGCTGTATGGAGGTGGCATCTTCGCAGGCACCCTGCTTGCGATCAATTTCATCTTCAATCGCGAGACACGCGAGGATGGTGGCATGCCGCCATTCGAGCGCGAGTACCTTAACGACACCTTCATGCACACTGGCCTTGGTATTGGAATGATCGGAATCGCAGCCCGCGCCCTGCACATGAACGGATGGAGCTTCAGGCTTATGAGCGCAAACCCGTGGCTTGTGCTTGGTGTTGGTCTCGTTGGCAGCATCGGAACTATGTACGGCACCATGGCCACTTCGCCTTCCAAGTAAGTATAGAGATCGATCTTCAAAGATAGAGTAGAGATGCTAACAAGATGCAGCTACGTCCAAAAGTACGCCCTCTGGACTGCCTTCAACGGTACCCAAGCCCTCCTTCTGTCGCCACTCTTCTTCATGCACCCTGCCATCCTCGCTCGCGCCGGTCTCTACACTGCTGGAATGATGGGCTCCATCGCCTTCGTCGGCGCCACCGCCAAGACGGACAAGTACCTCTACCTCGGTGGCCCACTTCTCGCTGGTGTCGCAATCGTCGCTCTCTCCGGTCTCGCTCCCCTCGTCGTCCCAGCCACCGCTGCCCGCACACTCATGGTCACCGAGAACCTCTGGCTATACGGAGGCCTCGCTGTCTTTGGTAAGATCCCCATTTGAATTGCCTCTAAGACAAATACTAACTAATCTTTAGGTGGTTTCACCCTATATGACGTTCAAAAGGTGTTGAACCATGCACGCCAGGCTCAGGCCGGCTTGATCCCCAAGGATCCCGTTAATGAGTCCATCTCGCTTGAGTTGGACTTTATTAACATCTTCATCCGCATGGTACAGATTCTGGGCATGAGCCAGAACAGGAGGAAGTAGATTTATCTAGAGATGATTGCATAAGGAGGATGTGAAGCTGATCCATCAGGTCTTGCTTGTTCTTCGTTTCGTTGCATATGCTATGAGTTTTCACTATAGCTGTATATTACTCCTCTCTTTGTTCTGTTATATATCATCAATGAGCAAAAACAATCGAAACAAACTTCATCATACAGCTTTGATGTCAGTTTTCTCCCTGTCCTGCTCCTTGTCCTTCTCGTCCTTGTCTTTTTCCTTATCCTCTTCCTTCTCCTTGCCTTCGTCCTAGTCCACATTCTTCTATCTCTCTTGGCAGCAGTCAGGCAAGTAAGATCGTGAATGAAACTCCTCTCGACCGCATCTAGCTCCTCAAGCACCATGGCTAGTACCCCGAGCAAGCCCGTGTCGTTATGGCGCTTTGCCTTCATTTCCGTTAGCGTGTATCTCAAATGCTGTCTGCATACCGTAATACCTAAAATAACATTTTTTCGTATATATCCTCTGCGGACAATCGGCTGCCTGGTATCTTTCTTCGTTCGAACTGGTCGGCATTGCAAGAATTGTATACCAGATTAGTCGTGGTAATTTATGAGTTTGAAATTTTGTGGTGGTGCAAGGGTGTGGTGATGCGAGTGAATGTGATTGTTGAAACTTCTAAACCTTCAGACTGGCGGGGATGACGGGAGTATCTACGGGCTGTAGGACGGAGATGAACGACTGGGTGAGATTGAGATGAGGACGTAAATCGCGAGGAGGCGTGCAGCTTAGTTACTTGAAGTAGCAACAAAACACCAAGCAATTAACGCGAACCATCCAATCGATCTCATCGATTTCGCAGGGCAAGAGACATTGATGAGAATGGTCTTCAGTATTGTCACGCACTCTGATTATGCGTATGGTTTTAACGTCCAAGTTCTATCATGTTTTAAGCCCAGCAATAGGGCATAGAAATGCATTTCAATTGCATCTCAGCCATCTACAACATTTCCTTACTCCTGTCCGATCTTGAACACGTACTTGACTCCACTTGCCTTGCCATCCCTCAAATTCTCCAACCCCTTCTGCACACCTTCCAACCCACCGGGTACAACCTCATGCGGATGCGGTGTAAACCAACCTTCCGCCAATCCCCTCGCCATGTATCTAAACATGATAAACGCATAATCGCTGTCCTCGCCGTGCGCTGTGCCCACCATAGTCTCAGACTTCTTCACGCTCTCCGGAATACCCTCGTACTTCTTGCCCGGCAGGACCAAAGTAAGTTGGCCCTCTGGTTCGAGGACCTGGACAAGGTTTGTGTAGGAGTTGTGTTCCGAGACGGCGTCGTACGCGTAGTGCAATTTCTGGCCCTTGAGGGCATCCTTGATGCCCTTGACGACGGCTTCGTCACCCTTGCGGTAATCTACTATCGTGTCGCCCTTTGAGCGGTCAATCAAGCCCTCTACGAACTTCTCGCCTTTACCCGCGACGGCGATGATGGGATGGATGTTTGCCTTTTGAGCAAGCTTGATTGCGAATGCGCCTACGGAGCCGGCGCCACCGTACACGACGAGCGGAGTGGGCTCCTTGGCGGGTGTCCAGGGATCAGGCAGACCCATGCGTTGGTGCAGGCCGATTGCCGCTGTCATGGCGGCGAGGGGGAGGGTGGCGGCTTGTTCAAAGGAGACGGAGGAGGGGATGTGGAAGGTAGTGTGCGCCCATCCTACGGCGTATTCGGCAAAGGAACCACCAGGCGTCATCATCTCGTGGAAGGAGGCGACCCGGTCGCCGGCCTTGAACTCGTAGACATTGGGGCCAACACTGTGGACGTAGCCTGCGATATCGTCGCCACTGTTGAAGTCGGGTTTCATGTCATAGGCGGGGATTTTCCTAGGGGTTGTGTTAGTTGAGGCTGTTGGATATTTTTTTGTGTTTTTAGGCGCAAACACGAAAGAGAGAACATGACTTACCAGTCCTTGGGATTACTTCCGGAAACAACAACTTTGATGATGACTTGGTTCGCCTGTGGCTCAGGGACAGCGACGTCCTTGACGGTGACCTTGAGGTCCTTTGCTACTTGTGCCTCCTTCATCTTGTATAGCTCTTTCTGGTGCTATTCTAGGATTGTTACAAAGTTATACTAGACTGCAATGATACGTTGTCAAAGTTCAGATAGGACGACGTGATGTTGAGTTCGAGGAGGTCAAAGATATGCCATGGAAACCGAGGCGCTTAAGCATGTTTAAATCTCCCAGCCTTATGGAAGCTTCCACCGTCCCTTGTCCGACATCCAGAACGTGGCATTGTGGATTAATAATGACGGAATGTGGGGTATGTTAGTTCGAGTGGAGTTGATCCAGTACGTTGTCGACGTCGATGACGCGACTTTTCGGTACTGATCCCACAACGGCCAATAGCCGAGATTGGCCGGGCTGGTTAACGTCTGCAGAGTCATGGAAATCCGAGAACATGCATGATGGACTTCCAGCTCTCCCTGAATCACGAATCATGATACACGCCATGTAATCGGGTTCCTGCATCCGATGGATTCTGGGGATATCCTAGTGTGACAACATGTGAGCGAGAAGCGATCGAACTTAGGCAATCATCATCACTAATCAGGGTCGAGTACGCGACAATGATCATAAAAGTTGAAGTGATGCTATTGACAAAAGACCCACAGCAGTATTCGCAAACAACTATACAAATACAAGCTGCACCCTAGATGCAATCGCAACCCAATGACTGACGCCCAGGGAACTGCCATGGGCAGGGAGATTACCCAGTAACACCGAACCCAAACCATCGTTAATGCGTCTAGACAGGGTTTTTGAGGATGAAGACAGATGCAATAAGACAGACACACCCAGCGCCGGATATCGAACGAAAGAAAAAGTCGTCAAAAGCCCCATCGATGTCTCCTCCAACCCCCTAAAACATCCAAATCAGCAAAGTCCGAGGCATATTACAATCATCGCCAAACGCTCTTAGAATTCGGCATCAAGCTACCTCTGCCGACAGACGAACTCCCACTCGTAATTCGAACGGCTCCCCTCGAATGCAAACTCGGTACTGCGAGTTCCGCAGTCCTCGGCCGAACGTCGTCACCGACATTCGCGACTGTCGTCCGTCTAACCGCGCCCTTCATGATGGGTGTAACGCGTGGGGACAAAACGCTGTGCTTCCAGTCAGCATCACCGTGATTGGATTTGACCATTCTGCGCGCCGCACCCGCGGAGAGAAGTGAGTTCTCGTTGGGCGGACTACCAACTGTTGTTGCTGCTGTTGGACTACGGCGGCGATGCGCGCGGTTTATAGGGACTGAGCCAGCGCCGTTGGTCGAAGAACGGCGCTTGATGGCATGGCTGATTTGACGTGCGTCTGAAGCCGTCCATTTTTCCCCCTCGGAAGAAGAGTCACCACCGCTGTTTCCCTCGGGTGCTGGGACTGAGGAGGCGTTCTCTACGTTGCTTAGAGATGAGCGCGGGTTGCTGCCGATCTCGCGGAGGGGCGATGCGTTGTCGGAATCGGAGGTGTATGCGGTGTTGCTTCGAGATGTAGGGGACCCGTCTGAACGCTTGGAAAGCGCGCCGACTGCGAAACGTGATGAGCCTTTCAAGTCGACGGAAGCTTTAGGCGGCGTTGGGATAGGCGAAGATTCGCGGCTTCCACTCCCATCATATCTGGCGATAGGGATAGAGGTCGTCGAGTAGGCCGGGGGCGACCTTCCAATGGCAAGGGCAGGGTTTGTTGGTGTGCCTGCTACCTGCTGTGGTGTTGCTGAGAACTCTGCTAGGGTACCGTTCTCAGTGTCATCCTTCCAGCGCACTCCGCGTTTAGTCTTGGAGGGTGACTTTTTCTTCTTCATTGGCGAAAACTGGACGCCTGACTGTCTCACTCTTCCCATCAACTTTCGGCGTGGTGATGACTTCATAGGCGACGAGGTGAGATGCGACGAATCCGCCATAGCTGGCAACGACAGCCTTGGCATTGCTATTGGTCGCATGGGAGAGGACTGAGATGGTTCTTGAATGTTCACTGGCTTCCTCCTTTTAGGTGTTCCCTTGTTGCTTGGTTCGAAGAACTCAGTGATTGGCAGACCTCCGTCTGGTCGGATAGCCTGCGAGGTCGCGTTCGTGCAAGAATTCATAATCTTCGTAAGCAGCTTTCTCGCAGCCTCAACCGCTTGGGCCTCGTCCATCTGGGTGATCTGGCTTATGATTGTGACCGTCTCGATGTGCGCCTGGATCAGCGCCTGCACGATGGCAGCATCACCACCTCGTTCTTGATCCAGTAATGTGTTGAGTAATTCGCGGTCGGCATTCGATTTGAGCAATTCGTACTCTCGTGTTAAGTTCGCAGCGTCATGGCCATCAGCATTTCCATCCACCTCCGCCAGACCCTTCAGTCCAACACTCAGCGCTGTATCCATCTTACTTGTCCAGACGGTACGCTCCAATCGCCGATGGCAATGTTGCCGCGTCTGCTCAAGCTCTGCCGATATTCCGACTGCGGTGTCCCTCATTGCCGTAACTTGAGAAGGCATCTCCTCGTTTTCTCGAACATCCTTGACGTTATCAAACGCTGCGATCCACGACGAAATGAGCGAGATGCGCTTCTCTGCCGTCTTCAGAGTCCGCGACATGTTCAGTCGCTCACGGCGTTCAGGCTCAGAATCCGCATAAGCCTGGCGTAAGCGTACGACCGCGTCACGTACTATGCCATCCTTCTTCTCGCTTTGCTTCTGAAATTTGACCATGGCACTTCCTTCAAAATCCTTTTGCTTCTTCATCAACTCTTCAATCAAATGTCTCTGCTCATCGATCTTGACAAGGTAGTCCTTTACGTGTCGGTTGACATTGTATACGTTCTTGGTGACCTTGGTCTGGATGTTCTTTGCGCGGTTGGCATATCGAAGGGTGTTCTGCGTCTCATCGAAGTGAGCGCTTGACGGACTAACACAGACTATCATGACAGTTTTACAATTTCCGCCGAGAGAGAATTTGAGCAATCGCGTAAGTTTCGAGTTGCGGTATGGAATGTGGTTTCGTTTCCGGGGATCACATAGGGCGTTAATGCAGCTGCCCAGAGCAAGTAGCGATTTGTTGATGTTGGCACCTTCGGTGAGACGCTCTCCTCGGTTCTTGGTAGCGCTCGCTCGCTCACTACCTGCCAAGTCGATGATGCTGAGGGTAGCCATGGTGTGGGGTTCGTTGACCGAAGCGTTGCGGTCCTTGGAGGAGACGTTGATCTGAAGTACGGCGTGCGATCGGGAAGAGGTAGCGTTCGCTTCGGTTGGAGACATGGTTCGGTATTCGTTGCCGCGGACAATGATATCCATGACTTCTTGGACCTAGGGTTGTTAGACGCTTGTCGAGCAGTGGCTACCGGTTACTCACGCTCTGCGGCCGATGGCTCGAGAGACCAGCGACGGACACAGCCTGGTTGGCATCCTCACGCAGCATCAAGGGTTGCTTGCTGCCACCCTCCACCAGTAAGTCGCGAATCGTCTCGTTGTAAATCTCCAGGTAAGAGAGCGTGATCTCGGTGACCTTTTCATCCTGTATATCCTGAATCTTCTCAAACAGCTCTTGCATGGTCAGGAAGATGATGCCGGGCTGCTGTGATGTTCCACTGGTGACATGTTAGTCCTCCTCAGAGCAACTAGCGGTGTACATGAACATACGTGATGGTATGCGTCTTTCCGCAACCTGTAGCACCATACGCGAAGACAGTCGCATTGTATCCATCCAGTACGCTGTCCAGCAGAGGCTTCGTGGTAGCTTCGTATACGTCGCCTTGGGAGACCGTGTCGTCGAAGACGCGGTCGAAAGCGAATGTCTGGTCCTTTGACCGCTTGCCCTGCGGACCTACAGTCGATCGTCCGAACCGCTGAACTGCGTTGTCTTCTGGGGGATCGAAGATTCTGGCATCGTGTTAGCTTCGGTGACTTGAAATGACACGAAGCCTCTCCTACAAGCACTTCTCGTCCATGACCTTGATGACAGGTCGGATGCCCTTGTGGAGCTTTGGCGCTGGCAGTCCCGCCAGCGAACCATCTCCGAGGAACAGCGTCTGGTCATCGTTCCTCGTGACCTGTGCTGCTTCCCGGATAGTAAAAGGGCGGACTCGTACGGTGACGGAGATGGAAGACGCGCCCGCGGCGGCCATTGTTGCGCCCAAGAAATGTAAGAAAACAAGGCAATCGCACTGCGCAGCCTCCTTGCAATGCGTATAGAGAAAAGAACTGCGAGCGAGGGGTTAGTGTTGCGGGCTGGAGTCGATAATGACGATGTTCCTTTCGGAACTTCTGTTATGGGACGCACGGCCGCTGGTAAACAGACAGGGATCTGGATGCGGCAACCACGACCCTGTTGCCAAGACCGTCCTCTTATCCCCACAATTTCCGACGTGGCTGCGACACCATCCGCCACATCTCTCCTGTCCTGCCAACGGGACCCACAATACTACTACCATGATCCTCATTGCTTCTTCAGCCTTGTGCGCTCGTACCTGTTGTCATAGCTTAGGTAAAGGGGCAAGAGTGGGTCATCACAACAAGTGGAGAACAAAACATGCGATGCGCATCTCACAATAAGATTTGAATATCATGCAAACGGGCAACATGCTTCCAACATAGCATCGTCAGCCTCATCCCTAACACCTCCTCCACTGGAAATCATCAACGTCAATCACCCACGGGCCGTTCACACTGAGCCAGCTAATCCAATGTCGCGGCCTACAATCAACCGCAATCAGTCATCTACTGCTTTGGCGCTGTGCACTTCTGCCACTGGACGTACACAACTTGGGTAAACTTGAGATCGGTTGAGTCGGTGGTGAGGAGACCAGTGGCGCTGGAGTTGGTGGTGGTCAGGCGGACCTGCGAGTTGATGTTGAGCATGCCGTTGGTGCCGCATGGCGCCCACACGACCGAGGTGCTGTCTGCTTCGTCGTGCTTGAGGTAGTCGCCGTTGGTAGGACCATCAAACTTGTACTCGGTGGATGTCTGGTAAGAGGATTAGAATCTTTATCAGAATGCTTGTGCTGAGATCGAGATTACCTGTTCGGTCTGGCCAGAGAAGTAGTAGGTCGACTTGAGCGTACCAGAAACGCCCTTTTGGATGGCAGAGTAGCCACGGTAGTCGGCAGACAAAATGGAGTACTGGAAGCCTCCTGGGTATTGGATGTCAACGTTCAGCTGGCAGTTCTTGCGCTGCTCTGTGACAGCGATACCAGGGCCGATAGATGCAATGTACGAGTCGAAGATCAAAGTCATGATGGTCCTGTCGGCATTGATCTGGGAGCTCATGGTGCCTTGAGGGCAACCGGTTCCTCCATAGCTAACACCACGAATCTTGACCTGGGTTGTGTGAGTTGATTGCCTCGTAAACATGTACTAGGAGTCCTCGTACCTGGCCAGGTGGTGGGGCATCACCAAGCTCGATGTTAGGAAGCGCGGGAGCCGCAGCCGCAAGAGGGAGGAGAGCAAGGAGCCACTTCATGTTGATGAATCGGAAGATGATCTTCGGAGAGTGCTGAGTACAAAGCTGATGTAGTAGATGAGGCCAAGAGTGGAAGCTGGATGATGATCATCAAAGGGCGTATGGACTGGGTTATATACCATTGCTCCGGCCTCAGCTCTTCACCTTTGAGTGTCTTAACCACTACCGCGGCAACACCATCTTGGTTGATAGCAGCTACGACCCGAGCGCGATAACAGCTGCCAAGAACCGTAGCAATATCGAGTACGATCCGACCGGCAGGCCGCTTATGCTCATAGGTCCAAATCGCAAAAGCTGCTCAGGTGAGTTCGTGTTTGTCGACTAGTTGTAGCGTGAATCTGTGTCTACACATCCTAAGCCAGCCTCCGGGCTAAGCGGCAGTCTCTGGGGTATGTGATAGACTCGTTCCGCTGTGCATATCGCTTCCAGCTGCCATGCTAACCCGAACCAAGATGGTGAGGCATGTTCATTTGAGCTTTCCGGGCGCGGCAATACTACATCCCGCATCGTGGCGGCTGTTCAGGTATCGTAAGTCTACGGTGTATGCAACCTACCCGAGGACTGACTGCCGACGGTATAGCTATCGATACAGACGCACACTTGTCGCGTGGACCGATAGAGCCTCTTGATAGTGGATACGGATAGCAGACTTACGATTGCTAGGGGATACAGCGGCCATCACATATCAGATGATGGTTAGTGTACCAAAGTCCTCCCACGCAAGCAAGTCGCTATTCGCTCGAGTCATTGTTCGCATGGTCGGCGGCCAACGCAGTGGACACACATATGAAGCCGAAATGAACTGAGCATATTAGCCTGGGGTACCGAACTCAGAATAGAAACACGGGGCCTGGAAGCTGGGAACATGCAGAACATGAAGCTGACCGAACAGCAAGGCAAGGTTCGCATTGATATTGACTTTCATCTATTGATCCTGTACGTAACTCTGTGCCGGAAGATGTGCGGAAGCGAAAACTGAAAACACTCTGCCTTTCTGAGACGAGCGGCCTGGCATTGCAAGCATATCGTGGTTGTGTTCATTTCGTAGATCTGGGGAAGTGAGGAGCTCTTGGCGTGTAGATTAACCTTATATTAAAGCTTGTCGTTCCATCGGTGCTCGAGGCCCTGACATAATCAATATTAGCGAATACGATCTGCTGCCCTTGCAGATATCTGCCCTGGAAGTCTAGAAAGGCGTCTAAAAATAATAGCGGGAAAGTTAGTCACGATGCATGCATTCGACAGCTGTTTGCGGCACGTGGTGACTCGGCAACACGCCACGACCGAGGATTCATCGTGTGAGCCCAGGCCTGACTACTGCCGGTTCAGCAGCGCAGGATGTAACCGGCGTGAAATTGCCAGGTGAAATAGATTGAGGATTGATTGCATGCTTCGTGTCGGAAAGACGACCAAGACGGTCAACCGAACCTGCCTTTGAGGGTAAAGCTTTCGAATTATCAGTCGAGCGCGATAACAACAGACGGGATGTATATCCCTCTATACACGACTGTAACGAGTGTGAGTCAATGCCAGGACTCAGCTTACCGCCTGGACTCCAAGCAAGAGGAGAGAGGGAAAGAGCAATTCTGGTCGGTAACACTGACATCAATGCAGCAATTGTCGCGCCATGGCTCTCGCATCTGTACATCCAGACGCGTCCACAACAGGTCTGCAGCAGGACCTTCCTGGGCAGCCGAATGTCAGCTCAGTCGAGACGTGTCGAGTGTGTCCGTGAGCGCTCTATCGGGTTGTAGGTGACGCTGCGAACGTGAACCGAGCAATCAAGAAGAAGGACAATGCTCCAGCAAAAATCCCAAAGAACCGGCCTATACATCGACGCGTTATCGCTAGGGAAGTATCTTGGACTTCAAAAATCGGTCGTGAAAGAATTCGCTGTGACTGATGTCCGGGTAAAGACGCGTAGCGAGACGGACAAAACGGAAAGTGCGCGAAATTCGTCAGATACAACAGGACTTCGACGTGTCGAAAATGGCTATAGGATGGGTCTTTGCGACTTTCCAAAGTCAGCAGGAAAGCGACAATTGTGTAGTCAAAAAACTAGACAACCGATAAGTCGCAAGGTTCGCGAAGCAACTACCCCGCCGCCACCCATGTGGCTCGCGCGTGGTGGCGGGGACCCTTCGATTTGTCACCCAGAATGATGGCATCATTGCCGCGGTCCATTCCCTTTTCCCATCTCAAGCGGCGAAACTCTCCCAATCGCTTATATACATAAAAAACAACAAACTATTCTTACCAAAGTAATTCTCCCTTGTTGTGCAAAACACCCCAAAACTACGCCAATCTGAAGCTCCTTACAGTCTTCCTCTTCATCTTCCTCTCCTACCTTTCCATGTCCTTTCTGACTAAATTCTTCCGCCCTTTCAGCAGTATGTCGAATGCGCCCGCACAGCCCATGAACGTACCCTCGGGTGCGCAAACCGCGACCGTTGCCGCAGGATGTTTCTGGGGCGTCGAGCACATGTACCGGAGGGAGTACAAGGGCAAGGGCCTGTACGACGCGCGCGTTGGATACATTGGCGGTGATAGCGAGAACCCAGGGTACAGAGCCGTGTGCAGTGGACGCACTGGTCGTACGTAATCACCTGTTGTGCGACGAGACTCGACACAAGCTAATCAGAAGAGTAGACGCCGAAGCCCTGCAAGTAGTCTACGACCCCGAAAAAGTCACCTATCGCTCCCTCCTCGAGTTCTTCTACAAGATGCACGATCCCACCACCGAGAACCGCCAGGGACCCGATGTTGGTACCCAGTATCGCTCTGCCATCTTCTACCACGATGCCGAGCAGGAGAAGATTGCGCGCGATGTTACCGACAAGGTGAACAAGCAATGGTGGAAGGGTGGTGTTGCGACGGAGATCCTGCCAGCGGGGAAATGGTGGGATGCGGAACAATACCATCAACTGTATCTGGACAACAACCCGGGAGGTTACGAGTGCCCCAGTCACTTCTTGAGGAGTTTCCCACCGCTGCAGGACTAGCGTGTTGGAATAGGATATATGATCGCTATGTGTGCAATGTAGAATGACATGTCTCACGGCATACCTATCTCGCTTTTGTCGGTGCCTGCACGTTTGCACAAGCATCAGTAATCGATGCGCCCAAGTTATGGTATTGATGATCTTGTTCACATTCCCAAACTATAAGATATATATCTACGATGGGGGCATAACCTCGAAAGTCTGCGCAACCTCCTTCTCCCAACCGAGTCGATCTTTTCCAAAGATTTCCGCTCCAGGCTGGAAGTTCTTGATACCGTCGTCCAACAATCCTGTCCTGAGTACGATACTATCAGGACCTAGGACTTCTTGCTGGTGGTATACATGTGTGGTGCAGTTTTTGCAGTAGAACTAATAAAACATTTGTATTAGTAGACGTTCTCATCATTTCTTCAACAAGTCACAGAGAGCGAGGGAAGGAGGATGACGTACGCAGTGAACGCTCTTTCCAGAGTCACCCTTGTACGTGTATTTGCCGAGGTCGTCGCCCTTGGTGATCTTGAGAGCTTTGAGAGGGATGATCTGGTTGAGTGTGTATGTCGAGCCAGAGAGCTCCTTGCAGGTGTTGCAATGGCTAGTTGGTCATTAGCTACTAATGCTCGATTGATTCCCTGGCCAGGACTAGAAAGTTGAATGATGCAAACTTACCAGAGGATGTGAGCCTGCTGGTCCTTTTCCAGGGTGGCAGTCCACTCTGTCTGCTTGCAGTGGCAGTGTCCCTTAAAGTCCGTCATTGTGATTGGTTCTGATTAACAAGAATTTCCGTATTGAGTTAGGAAAGACCGAGGTATAGTAATCGGATGATGGACATCAGGGTAGTCGGGAGATGGTATTTATACAAAGACTGCCCTCGGACCCAGCGTCCTGTCTGCTCCAACTTTATTCCATCGACCCCCCTCCATCTGGTTTTAGCCCGGTCCCTCCTCGTCGGAATAAGGTACTGCCAGCGTATCAGCAGCGGTCGCTCTGCATCCTAATCTCCCGATGCGGGTATTTGTCAAGAAAATGCGGGTGCTGGTGCTGTCATGATACATGGGGTCTGGTTATGACGTTCTAGGCTTCCTGCTATCATCATGTCGGAATAGACGCCGTTGTTTGCCGTTGCCCTGAAGCTTCTGCAATGTCGGCAACTAGACTTTGACTACCGCTACGGACTATTGCACTATGAGTGCCGATGGATATACTATCCGTAATCGGAAGAGATGGCACTTGAAGAAGGGAGAAGCTTGGGGCCTATATGAGGGGTAGTCCAGGCGCGTCCCAGGCGATCAACAACGCGGTTAGGAATGACGTAAGCGGGGCATTTACAACACAGCCGAGTAGCTCGATACTGCATTATTGCGGATCCGGCGTCTCGAAACGAGCTGAATTACGGGTGTGACGTGGCGAGACTAGGGTTGGATTTCAAATTGTACGATAGCGATGGTATGTTTGGGACTGTCGAACAACGGCTTGCCAAGTGTCATCGTATGCCCATTCAAAGAAAAGAGTCGATGAGAGTAAATTTATTCATCAATATCATCTTCAATCTACTTCGAGCAATTGGTATCGTCCGCCATGCTTATCTAGTGCATCTTCCACCCTCTCCATGACAGCCAGCACCTTCTCCTCTTCGAGCCGCCTTCCTACAACCTGCACAGCCACGGGCAGGCCGGCCATCTTCTGCGCGTCGTAGTGCTTGTACGCGCCTTGTGCGACACCATTTAGCTTCTTGAAGCTGAAATCTGATGGCAAGGCGTCTTTGACAGGATCGACATGTGTCACGGGGATGATTCCAGAAGAATAATCGAGCTTTATTCCGTCAGTACAGGAAAGTAGTAGGTAATTTCAAGCACGAGAAAGACTTACCAGGTTGAACATGAAAGTGTAACCACAGCTACTGACTGCATCATGCATACCACCATGAGGCACGGCAGGCGTCGCGTTAGGTGGGGTGAGCATAACATCCATGTCAGCCTCCTCAGACCACCACTTGTAGAAGTTTGCCTTGAACGCCTCGCGCTTGCCGGCGAGCTGCCAGTACTCGTGTGCGGATTTTGGATGCCAGTCACGTAGCAGGCCAGCCCAAATATCATCGCCCTTGACGTATTTCACGTACAGGTAGTGCATGTACTTGATGAAGCGAGGGAGGCGCATATAGTAGACTAACTGCGCCGCACCAAGATCATTCCACTCTCCAGTGCGGAAATGGCTCATGAACGTGTTGCCGCCATCACTGAGGAGGAGTTGGGATGCCAGTTGCAATGCCTCATATGGTGACGGTGGCTCAACATCAAAGACTTCATGGCCTTCCGCTGCGAGTGCTTTGGCTGTCTGGTCTAGAGCACGCGCGCATGCTGGTGAAGGGTCGGCGACGTGATCAGTTCGCATCACGCCTATGCGCAGCTTCTTCTTCTCCTTGAACTCTGTCTCGATGTGTTCCCTCCACTCCAGTGGATGGACAGTGTAGTCGTATTTCCAAGGCTTCATCTGGATGAAGCTGCGTGTAAAGTACGTCAAGTCGTTTAGTGTTCGTGCCATGGGGCTGAAGACGGAGGGTATAGCTTCCTGACCCGCCATACTTGTGTTCATGCCCACTTTTGGCCATCGTCCCGTCGAACATCGTATCGAGTAGCAGCCGGAGAAGTGGGCAGGGGCGCGGACTGAGCCAGCGACATCTGAACCGATGCCAATGCGACTACCACCAAACGCCAGCAATGCGGATTCTCCGCCTGTCGAGCCGCCTGGCGAGTATTTGTCGTTGTGTGGGTTCTTGCATTGGCCCCAGACGTCATTTGTGGATTCGAACGAAAGAAGCGTGGTAGGCAGGTTGGTCTTGACGAAAGGCACGGCGCCAGCATCCTTCAATATCTTCACCATGACTCCATCTTCTGTAGCAGGTTTCCCAACGTTCCTCGAATAGCCGACCGAGATATCGAAGCCCTTGACTTGTATTGAGTCCTTCAACGAGACAGGAATGCCGGCAAGTGGTCCTTTGAGATTCACCTCCTTCTCTGCCCACTCCTCGGCTTCGGGGAAGAGTATCTCCGTCACGCAATTCGTCTTCTCCTGTGCCTTTATCGCGACTTTGCCGTATGTGCGCAGGATATCGACGGGACTGGTGATTTGCTTGTGGACATCTTGGACGAGCTCCTGAATGGGTTTGCCGAGGATGGAGCGTTCTTGTGAGGACAGAGGGTATAGGTATGGTGTGGGAAGTGTCGCGATCTTAGAAGCGCGATCCGACTGCTTGCGCTTGCTGGTGGTGGAGAGTTAGCTTGTCGCGTCGGCGGGATTGTGTGGGGTTGGCAGGAAGCTTGGAGCAACTTACCAGTCGGCTTTGTGTTGCCAGTATTCCGAAAGACCCATCTTGTAAGTGGAATTATGAAGACGAAGCAGTCATGGAACCCAAAGTCAAAAGAAGAGCTCAATGAACCCTCGGGAACGATTACCAGTCACATGTCTTCTGAGAGCCGCGATTATGCGTCTGGCTATCTGGGAGCTGTGTCGCGTGGACCTGCCGCTTCGGAGCTGACCCGAGGTGGATTGAGCTTCCCGGCGGGGAGCTCTTATCACCGCCATGTCAATACACGCCCTGTATCAACACCACGCCTTACGACAAGAGACAACCCCCACTCTCGGCCTTTGCACATAGATCCTTACTACATGGTAGCCCGTATGACCTTCAACGACTTGTTACTGACAGCATCATGTACAGTAGGCCTGTATGGCGGGAGCGCTGCACTATGACAGCCACCAGGCACCCAGCACAACTCTGCATCATTGAAGCCTCACTTCCTACGTTTGACGCGAAGACCTATCTGAATCGTACGCAAAGATCAGCTAACCAATACCAACGAGGTACCACCAATTCCATAGCAAAGCATTGACGCATGTAGCCTCGCTGTCCTCTCATCACCACACGCGTCTCTTCAGCAACGCCATCACCAAAGCACAGAACTATTCTCTCAAACAATGTTTCAACTTTCCTCACATCTGATTGAGCCTCAACAGATAGCTCCCGCGCGCGAGGTAGGGCGGGAGGTCGATGTGGGACCGCGGAAGTAAAGCGACAGCCGCTACAGAACCTCTCACCCAGTCGATTCTGACATCAAACTGTGGCTCCACATTCTTCAGGTACCGCTGTGATTCTATGTACCTGAATGGCTTCCCCAGACTTGATGGCCTGGATTGTCAATGCGGTAACCGCTGGCGCACTGATGCGCGCCAGCTCGGACATTTTCTGAAAGTGCCGCTTCTCGACGCTGATTGGCCCACGCAGCGACTACTCGAGATGCCATGAAACCACTGTGGTCCAGACACACGATGAGCAAGAATAGCAGCGATTTCGACCTTACTCTTTTCGACATGTTGTTGAGATGGCATACAACTCTCACTTGTATAAGATGAGCTGGACGTAGCGTGGTAGTAACATCATCAAACACATCATCAACCAGCTCATCACAACTCACTTCTCTTTTCGTCTTTTTTTCCTCTTGTTTCCTTATTTCCTTGTTTCCTATCTGGGTCTCATTTATTCAACGGTCTTTCCTACTACGACATACTCTCTTCTGCTGTGCAGACCGCTATCCATTCCTTGCTGCATCAATCGCTTCGTCTGTCTACTTCCGTCTCCATCGGATCCTTAGCCACATCGACCTTACAACATCCAACTTTAGTCCACCAACATGCCTGTCCCCAGCTACAACGCCATGCCTTTGAGCAAGATGTTCCTTGGCGCCCGCGTCCTCCAGGCAATCTGCATGATCCTAATCATCGGCATCTGCTCCAACTTCATCCAAATGATCGTCACAACCGGTGTCGAGCCCCCCAAAGAGTTCGTCGGCACACTGAGCGTGGTAAGTACACATATCGCTTCTCGATTCCTACTCCATTTCTAACATGCTTTCTCAGACATGTATCGCAGCCCTCTACATCATGGTCAGTGTAGGCTACTACTGGTCGCAAGCCAACCTCGGTCTCCTGGTCATGACAGGCGTCGACTCCCTAATCCTCATCGCCTTCATCGTCTGCGCTGTCACTCTGGGTAAACCCATGTCTTTCCTCAACTGCTACGTCATCGGCAAGTCTTCCGCAGAAGTTGACACGATGTACGCCAACGCTTTTGTCACGGCGACGGTTGAGAACCTGAACAAGAGCACGAGCAGCTTGGGTCATTGGGCGGGTGTTACGAGGAGCAACTGCTTCCAGGCCAAGACTGTCTGGGGCATGGCTATCGCGCTTTGGTAAGTTTCGATCGTGTTTGTTAGAGTCGTTCGAGTACTAACATAGCTCAGCGTACTCTTCACTGTTTCTTGCGCTCTTCTGCCTACGCTTTGGTACAAGAACAACATGAAGAAGCCTGCCAAGACCGTCGAGGAGGCTTAAGCATCAAGAATCTCCGGCCTTCTATACAGCCACGAGACACAACGACTCAGCAGTCGAAAAAGGAATGCGCCTGACAATAGCGCTGTCTGCCAGTTCCTCCTCCTCCTCCTCCACACTATCAACACAAAAAACTCATGTCTTTCTTTTATCTGTCAAAAACGCAAAAATAGTCTGCATTGCGAGGGAGTTTGGAGTCGTCTATCATCATTTCTGTTCTCTTCTTCAGACATTGAATGTCGATAATCCTAATGGATAGTTTTGGGCCTAGTTGCCCTATAAGAATACGATTCTATGAGTCTACTATACTATGTGTGTGCTACTGTGATCAATAAAATTCACTCCAGTCATTCCTGCCACTTTTTGACTCCGTCCTCGCTCGCTTACTGAGCTACTTATCGCTGTCGTCATATGACCTTCCATCTCTTTCTTCGTTCCATAGATTGACGCTATAACCACACCGCACGCACAATACGTGGGCCTGTCGAGAGATTGATCAGAGAGAACATTTTCTATCAAATCCTCAGATGAGCCTATAGCCACCTGGCACACATGAAAACGGCACAACCTTGCGAACCTTCCGACTTCCAATATCTGCCCCTCGATAATCTCAAACTGGAAGGTGACAAACCGAAAAGCCTGGTGAAGTTTGCGACACGGTGAGATCCATGACCGATCTCGGCTTCTCCAGATAATCAATCATGAGCTGCGAGCAGTGTTTCGTATGCGTCAACGCTCTCACATGAAGATCGAGGTACTTCTGGTCTTCCTGATAGCCGCGATGTAGTCGTCGCCACATGAGCGCGCAGTGCACCATGTGCTCCCGAATCTCCGTAAAGTAAGTATTCGGCGCAACCACGTCGCCCATCTCGTCTTCGGTAAGGAGGCGCTTGGCTTCACGTGTCTCGTACGCTTGCCATTTGGCGAGACGCTTGAAGTCGTCTAGGTTCTTGTGGTCGATGCATGGGTTTGGCACCCAGATGTTGGAGAGGACGTCGTAAGTGCAGTTGTTTGCTCGGGCGGTGGTAGAATTTGTGCCGCAGTCAAGGGTTTTCATGCGTGGTGGCTGTGGGGGGAATGGACGGATGAGGTACCCAAGGAGGGTTGTGATTGCTATCGCGAGTAGGAAGACGACAGCATGTAAGGTGATGCTTCTTCTCCAGTCTCCGCTCTTGGAAGGCAAGAGCTTCAAGCTTTGCGGTTCTAGTAATAGCCTCTCTTCATGCGAACTGTCATGCGAGCTCTCCGTCTGCTTGTCGTCATTGTATGACTGATTTGGAGACATATTCTTGGACGGAAATCTATTCAATCATCAGTCTATTGACGGGAGTTCAATCGAAGATGGTAAAAATTACCGCCAGATTCCTGCAACCTACAAGCGGACTGTTGTATGTTCTGGAAGATCGCCGAAGTCGCGAGCGTGAGCAAGTTTGTCCTTCGACACTAGCATGTACCCAAAATGATAAGGTCAAGAAAATGTGTAAGCCTCAGAATTGCTGCCATGATGCAGCCTAGAGTATGACATAGATATGCGATAAGCCCTCTGGTACGTCGCTTCTTCTCATCATGATGAAGAGTACAGTCAGCATGAGTAAGCTTTTCGGCTGCGGACCGATGCGCTCTCTACTAAGAACTTGCGATGCCTAGTTTCTGAGCAGAAACTAAATAGTAACAATTGAGTAACGATGCATGTCTGAGTAGTGGCTTCGAGATGCGCTTGAATCGTTGTCGCAGCGGCTGTCAGCCCGTTGTCGTAATCCACAAACATCGCGCTCAACACACAAAGCTCGTGATCGAGAACCACGATCTGCCGTCCAAACACTGCTGAGCTTCATATGTGGTTGTATGTGAAAAGATTTGTTAGCATCAAATGGAGAATGTGATGTCTCTTGTCGTGGTTTCCTTGATGCGACACGCGTACAGCTATCGCGCACGGCGCGTCGTCAACGCGTCGATCCGCTCCTAGCACGCGCATCATCTCACTTTGACACTTGAGCCGCTGCGATAACCCCGGCCACCCTATTATGCTGGTCGGAGCGCCTTACAGCATGGGTCGTTTTGCCCTTTTGCCTCTCGAGCTGCTATTCTGAACCTCCCGCGCCCGTGCCTAATGGTTACAATATGAGATCCACCAGCCAGCCTCTTCCTGGCCCATGCATAGCTGCGTTCACAAGAAGCGACTCGCTTCCCGCCGAATCTCTCTCAACCGTGATAATCGCTCCTTCATCCTCTATCCACTTCATCGATGCAACCTTGGTTCCACTTTGTGCATTGTCGGTCCAGCCAACACGCATGGCGCCTCGACCTTCATGGAGATGTCCAAAACAATGCAGCCTCGGCTTGACTCTCTGCACAGCGTTTGCAAGCTTCTCGCAACCGCAGTGCGTTCCGTCCTGACCAACATCTAGGTCGTATTCTTGATTTACTGGAAACAGCGGAGGACCATGTGTCATGACGATATCGACCCCAGCGGCTGCCGAGTTCGCACCGATATTGAACCTATCCTCCTCTTTACCATATGCGAAAGCGTATCCGTTGAACTCGGGTGTGTAGGGGCTTGCATATACACTGAATTGTCGTCCGTCTTGGAGAGTGAATGTGTGTGTACCTTCGTCAAGGTAGTGAATCCCATGAATCTTCTGCTCCTTCATGAATGTGACACATGCTAGATGATCGGCCATGTCTTCCGGCATGTTCTCACGCACCCAGCTCTCGTCAAGCTCAAGATCGTGGTTCCCAGCGATGACGAGTTTCAGTTCCGCATCGACCGATTTGATATCTTCTATCGCGCGTTTGAAGCTAGGAAGACCGCCGACTTGTGTTAGATCGCCGCAGTGTAAGAGAACGTCGACTTTTGGCGCCGGGTTAGATGATGAATAAGGCCATGCTCCATGGGTGTCGGAAGTCGTGAGAAAGCGGACTGAAGATACCATATTGGATGTAGGGCGGTATGGAGATGGTAGTATTGAGTAGATTGGTGATGGGGACCGTACCGGTGTGGACAGTCGTACCTTTGTTGAAGATAGCACGGTGAGACTGGTGTAGAAAGCTTTCATCAAAGAGTGAAACGTTTCATACTCTCTAATACTTGTGAGTCACACGGAGCGGCATAGTACGGTTCATCCATACAATGATTTCTCGAACCTTGGTAATGTAAGCGAGTTTCAACAAACGATATTGATATGATGGACGTGCTGGTGATAAGACGCAGGCACAACGCTGTCGAGTTACACTGTATCGTATCGCAATAGAAGTGTTCAATAAATGATATGACACGAAAATGCTGTCTTAGTTGTTGGAGTATAGGAGTGATGGATTCATGCGCCGGATGATTCTGGCTATATAGGCAGTACGCTAGGGGGTATGGAAGGTACCAATAACAACATGAGATGGCTGTTCCTTCTTCATTAGCGATGCATCCTCCAATCATGTCTTGGATACATCAACGCATCATGGTTCACTGAGACACGTTGCCTTTTGGAAAAGTCTAGCCAGGGTGTTTTTGGAACATGTTTGGTAGGAGCCACAGCCACAGTGTGGGAGATTACGGCATTGTACCATGTCTACATCAGCTCTCAACGGTGACGACGAGCCAATAACTACCGCCGAATTTACAGTGTTTTATGTACAACAGGCTTTATAGAGAACTTACGTCCCCTGGATTATTGTGATTCTCATGATCGAAGTCCTAGTATGTCGAAATGAAATGGTCATCGAAGCGCCTCATCACACGGCTACAGCGCTTAGAAGGACAAAGCCACGATACAACGAAATTGAATTATGATAAGTCAATCTTCGTAGAGTTTGTCCAAGTGACAAGGACTGATGTTCTTGCGAAAGAGCAGTCGCGGTGATTACGCTGATAAAGGCCATCTCAGTTGGGCATTATAGGCGTGTTACAGATTAGAATAAGTACTTCGCGCTCTTATTTACTGGTGCCTAACCGTTCTGATTCGTAGTCATGCGTTATCCTATTCCGAAAACTCGGGTTCACTTGAAGTTACGGCTGCTATTGTGAAGTGTCAACATCAAGTGAAAGGGAGATTCTATTGTCCTTTTGACTAGAACCTATTGTACAAGCCATGCGTCAATAGCTGTTACGAGCTTCAGGAGACACTATTGTTCGTTCAGGGATAATCAAGCAGACATGTATCTGAGCTCTGCACGTTTGAACCATTTCTCAACTTCGACAGCTTCTCTTAACTGTCTGACTCCATCTTCTGAACAAATTCTTCACTTTACCAACTACCACTATTATCAGTCACTATCATGGCATCACAAGAGAACGTACCAGGATCACCTAAGTCGCCTCGATCTAGGCATCCTCGACCATCGTTGACTGGCCTTTTCGAAGGTCTCAACATCGAACCTAGTAGCACCTCTCCGACTGTTGGCAGAAATAGGGATAGGCCACAGACGCAAGGTTCCGAGGCGTCCGGTCACTCTTCTCTTCGAGGTTCTCTGTCGCAACGTTGGCCGCCCTCCTTCTCGGGGTCCGATGTTAGCATCGATGCTCCTGGCGATCAAGAACATCGCAATTTGTAAGTTTTTCAAAGGAAAATTCACATGTTGAAGCGTATGCTAATGTAATTTACGACAGATCTCCTAGCGTTACTCTTCGGATGAGCGACCTGTATCGTCAGCACGGTGACAATTGGGCACGCGATAGTAGCGTTGAGAATTTGCCAGTGGACAAGACCGATGACTTCCAGCTGGTTTCGAACATGATGGATGAAATCCACCATTATGTTGTCACGCTAGAAGAGAACAAAGACAAACTCGCGAGCATCATGATGGAAGAGATGGCGAAAGTCGTTCATGGCTCGAACGAGAAATCCCGGAAGGGTCTTGGTCTCGACGAGACTATGGAGTATTGCCGCATGGTCTTTGAGGGAGTGACTGGGCTGGAGTACAGTGAGAGGTATGTCACCATCGACCGAGAATTCATTTTGATTGCCGGCTAACATGTGCATTAAAGGACTCCGGAGTATCAAGCCAAGTTGGAAAAACTAGTTTTGAAAGACATGGAGTTTGCTCCAAACCATATTGTCAGGAGCAGGCGCGAAGTTGTCCAACATGCAGCAGCTTTCTACCACATCGTAACCTCCTTCGTCACCAACGACATGATGATAAGTGAGGAACTCATCAAAGAAACCCATCAAATCCTCGTCAACGGCATCGGGTCTGGAAGCGCGGGGTTTCTCAGCAACAAAGAGCATGGCGGATCTTACCGCACCGAAGATGTCTTCGTGGGTGCTATGGCACTACCAAAGGCCAATACCATACCTGCTGCTATGCGGTCAATGGTTCGGAAGCTGGAGAAAGATCTTGATGCAGCAGTCAAGCTCGGGCGATTTGACCCTTTTGCTCTCGCCGCCGAGTACTGCGACCGCTTCGTCAACATCCACCCCTTTCGAGACGGAAACGGACGCATGTGTCGCTTGGTGCTCAATGCCATACTCATTAAGTATGCCGGCATCGTGGCCAACGTTGGCGAGCATGATCAGAGTCGCGATGAATATCTCGACATTGCTCGGGAATCTACAGAAGTCGGAGGTCATGCAGGAGCTCTTGGAAGCTTGGTTCTGACAGAAGCGAAGAATACGTTGCGACGGATGAAGGCCAAACTTATGCCAAAGAAAAGTTGAATCTTACACTCGGTTTCTTGCAGAGTATGATCAGGCCATTAGATAGTCGATTATGTGAACTTGAATTAGGTAGCCTTTCCCCAATTTAATGGCAGACCGATCACCACTATCTCATCACTTGTCCTTCTTCTCTTACGACAACGAATACTACTCTACAGGTCCAAATTTCTGACGAGCACGATCTGGCTTGAGCCAGGGGAACTTCTCGTTCACTTTGTCCTCCAACTGGCGAAACCCGTTAGCATAATGCGGCGAGCTCAATGAGACGTCGCAGCCACTTACGTCAGGGAATTTTCGGCATGTTAGCCATACGAGCATTGTTAGACTTAGCGTAAGGAACATGAATACTAGGTACCACCACCATGGTGGATTGTCTGCCAGAATGTTGACATTCATGCCAAACAAGCCCTGATTGGGATCAGCAACGAAACTCAGTCGGTAATTGTTGATCACGCGTATCACGTACCGCAACGAATGTGAGTGGTAGGAAGATGAACTATAAAGTTAGTCGTGTCTGCAACTCGAGACGGTGCTGCACTTACCGTAATCCAGCTAAGTCGCTTCAGGCTTATATTCAGCGAAGTAGACCTTTGCGCTTCTCTGATAGATACCAAATTGAATTCCTAAATGCTTCTTAGCGACTTTGATATTGTCAATCTGAAGAGATAGACGTGGGTTGGGTCATAGGCAGGCGTGGGTGCTGCATTAGCATAATACTTACCAACTGAATAAGCGCAGATGATACCGCATCAAACTCGTCAAATCGTGATTTGATAACATCTTCAAAATCGCTGATAGTGTACACGACTACTTTGGAAGCCTGATCTTCATAACCTTGATTCTCATATTCATTGCAGAACTTTCGAATGGCCTCCACCTGGGTGAGAAGTCGGTGACGAAAATTGATCCATGTAGTTGCATCATTCAAAAGACGGCGGATGAGATAACGATGTCCTCCATTTTGTTTGAGAATATTCAAACGCTACACGAGATCAGATTGGTCAGCGTTCTTTGATCTTGTGGTTAGGTAACATGGAGTAGTCTGACTTACACAATCCATTAGATATTGATCGACGTTACGACAAATTCCGGTCCAATGTGTTCTGAGTTCATTCACCAAGATCTCGACAAACGCTAGTCCACTGCTTGGTATCGAACCGTCAGAGAGCGTACTACCGTGGTCCATGCTGATCCATCGATCGTTGCCAGAGAAATCTGGACGTACTCCCACATTCCAACTGATCATCAATCTCTCCAATCCGAACCCGAAAGACCCATCGTGTTTTATGTACATTGACGACGGCGTCCCGACTTCAAATCGGTAATACGGCCCTTGATAAGCTCGATTTGGTACGTCAGGGGACACCTGGATTATTGTAACTGCGTAGTTATCTGCAATCCTTGTCTCCTCAAACGACGAGGTGCTATTCAGATACGGTTTAGGCAAATTTCCAGAGTCACAATATATTCTGTTGCTCGAAGTCAGTAGGTTGCGGAGTGAGCCTAGACAAGGTTTGGGCCGACACTTACAGCAGTCTTCTCGCAGCGGGCGGTACTGGATGATCGACCAAGTCGAAGTTGTGCGATGAGAAAAACCCAATTTTCGTTCCTCCTGTTTCATATTCTGAGAGCTCAATTATATTTTGACTGAATAACCCAGAGACTGGATAAGCTTCCTCAAATGCCTCTTCCCAATCCGAGACGCGAAGTTGTGCCGTACTTGCAGAGTGTTCAAGTAACAGATGTATGGCATCGACTTGTCCAGATTTGCGGGCTTGTTTAATGGCCAACCCAATGGCCGAGTAGCCATTCACACCTTTCGCATCGACATCAACGCCAAAATTGAGCGAGAGTCGCATGATCTCCAAATCTTGGCGCATGACACCGATGTGTAAAGCAGTATTTGAATGCAGATCTTTGATTCTTGTTGCAGCAACCCGGAGCAAGGTATTAGCCAATGATGTTCGCGCCTTATCCAGTAGCAGCGTAAACGTTGTTCGATCGATACGACTTAGGAATTCCATAGTCTCCTGTTGGTCGTTCTCGATCGCGCACCATAGTGGGGTTCGCCCTTTTGTATCCACCATAGCTAGCCACTGTTGCTCTTCTCCAAGCAGAGAAGCTAAAACAGATGTCAATCCCAGTCGCGCTGCGACATGAAAGCCGCTTCCAGGGGGATCAAATTTCTGACTATAGCCTGGTCCCAGTGGCTTCTGGTGTAGTACTGATATGACCTGGGTTGCTGAGGCGATTTTTTCTTCATCCAACAGAAACAGGCGGACGAGATCCATCGGCAAATTTTGCAAACCATGGAGATGCTCCGCCCAGTGCTGTGCCGTATACTCATACAAAGCATGGTGTTCCAACCTTGACTCAAACTCGACATCCGTCTTACAAGGGCCATTCTTGAAGTCTTCCAAGATAAGATATACCAGACACCGTTTAGCAACCCTCATATTGGCATCCGGACACCAGGAATTCAGGGTTCGCAGGAGATAATCCGAAGCCGGAGGGTGCACGTCAAGGCAATTGCCGCCCCTGACGTCAACTAGAATATTGAAATCCTCGCACAGCTCCAAAACTTGTTCGTAGTCCGGAGCATCATCTGCATCCGACAGGGAGGTGTTTTGATCTCTTTGAAGGATGTGTCGCATCTCAGCTTCTCGCATAGGTCTCTTCACGAGGAGAAGCCACGCCAAAGTTTCTTTGGCAAAGTCCTGTTCGGCATCGTCGAGCTCTTGAATCCTCGCAATGAACCTATCATACAGCTCCCCGAGGAGGTCTCCGGTAGATGTCAGTCTAAGTTTTATTCTGGCGCCTCTCGTATTCATAAGTCCGTCCATGAGAAGTTTTGCAGCGAGTATCCTGGAAGCTTGTTAGACAAGCTTGTAGCTCAAAAGTGGTCACTCACAATCCGTTAGCGTCTTCAATAACTCTTTCTTTCACCAAAGTTTGTAGTATCGGTCTATTGCGAACAAATCTAGGCAAATCAGCCAGCCTTTGCGTGACGTAAGTGTCCAAGTCTTCTCCAGTGTTGGCGCCGGCAATCGATATCTGCGGAGCCTTGTGAAGCCTGCCTTTCGTGCCTGGACTGTGACGGGTAGTAAGGAATAATCTCAGATTATTCCTTCTCAGCTTGACAAGGCTCGAGCGCAGTGAGCCGCGATATTCGGTCATCTGGTCCAATTCGTCCACCACGACGTAGACCCGATCAAACTTGCTAATCACTTCAGGAAGTATTTGGGACACCATATCTACCATGGACGGGTATGGGTTTCTCTCACGCAGGGGATCCAAGACATCTTCCATGCGCGGTGGGCTGCGGCTACGCATATACGATGAGGCAAGTTGTTGTCCAAGCTGATATAGTAAGCTTCGTGACAGTTGCATCCCGTTACGTCTCCTTTCACCGGTGCCCACGTGAAGAAACGCAACGCCAACCCTACGTTCAAGGTTGTCCTGGTGCAGGAGCGTATCCACGACGAGAGACGCGGCCATAGTTTTTCCAGAACCGGGTCGTCCCACAAGGAGCAGAGTGGGTGGTCCATCGCTAAGCCAGCTCTCAAACTGAGATGTTTCCGGAATCCACTTGAAGGGTCCAGGAAGTCTTTCCGACCCAGGTCTTGTGTGTATTTCAGCACCACCATCATCGAGCCATTTCAACAACTGATTGACTTTAGCCTGATTAGGCTCCATTTTGGCCGCTCTGAAGCTCTAGCAATCAGCTACAGTATGCACGATCTACGCTGTTCCGTCGATAGATGGATGATACGCACGCCAAAATGTGATTATATGGCGTCAAAATGACACCACATTCTCAGTTTAGGCGGCCAAGGCTGAGGCTGGAAGGATGTGGTGTAGCACAGGTCGAAAGTCGATGTCACGATGAGGGGGACTAGCAAGGTCGATTCAGCAGGCGAAAACGCCGTAGTTGCATGCGTAGCGTGTAGGGAAGGGGAGAGTGGGGGGAAGGTGAATCGCGACGTTGTTTAGGTGTCCTAAAGGTGAGATGATGGCGCAGGGCAGCTGCTACGCCGATCATGAGTTGCTGCGACCACTTATCTGCAGGTGGCGCTCAACAACACCACAGCGGTCAGCCCCCCAGCGCTTAAGAAATCTGAAATATGACCGGAATCCACGCAACCAGTGGTTCAAAATTCTATTTTAGGCTACAATTGAAGGGTGATACATGCACTCGAGTTCGTCGCGGCGGAAAAGGTCGTCGGATAGTCTCTACCTCGAATCAGTCAGCGTTGCTGTCCACCACGATACAGAATGTGCCCTTGCGTCCGCTGGAGGCCTGATCTTGTATGGAAACGGTCCTTGGCCTATGCTTTAGTACATCGTTACTATCGCAGGTACTCACAGCGAAGGGCTATCATCATAGCAAATTTGGCATTCTCGGTAAAACTCGTGCGACTCATTTCGTCATGCGTGACCCTGTTCTTGAAAATCGCACAGCAGAAATCCATCCAGCGCCTTGCCATGCCATACATGCTGAGAAAAGAAAACGCAAATAGCAAGTTAGATACCAGGAAAGACACACCTCACATTCACATCCTCCTGCCTCTATCCTCCTCGCCAGGACTCGCTGTCCCACTTCCATTCATCGATCCGTATCCATTTATTTCACTAGCATTCGGCATAAGTGTCTCCCTCGCTTCCTCAGCCTCCTCTTCAATGTTCTCTCGTTGAATCTTATGACTCTTGCGCCACACAAATGCCACAAGTGCGAGACCGACAAGCAGCGCCAAGCTGAGCAAGATGACGTTGATAGGTACAGGGTCGTTCTTGAAGGTCTTATGCGTAGCAGCGTCGAGGGCAGATTGCGAGAAGTTGAGGACACCGGCAAGGCAGATGATGAGGCCGTAGACTTTGCCAAAGGTGGCGAAGCCGAAGACCTTGGCGGAATAATCGCTGGGATAGGTGTCAGTAGAAGGTTAAAATGTGGTGGAGGGATGACTTACGAGACTGCGGTGTAGTATAAAGGTCGATATAGCACAAAGAGGATGATGTTGGCGTATGCGGCCCATGTCTCCGGAATCACACCCAGTACTCCGATAGTTGTCGCCACGGTGACGAGTAAAGATAGTGTAAAGGTAGTGCTTGTGTTGTCGAGAAGCAGACCGATAAATGGAACTGACAAGACACCGCCGACTGGAAGTGCAACATCGAAGAAGTTGTTGATCTCAACCGCCTTGTTGTAGTCATGGAAAAGGTAAGTGTACTGCGTCCGGATTGTGGCGACAAAGTAGTTGATACGCGTCATCTGGAGGACAGTGAACAGTGTAATAAGAATGAACCAAGGAGTGCGGATCTGTTGGCTGGCGGTGCGACCGTGTAGCGCTCCCCAAACACCTGAGATATTCTTCTTCTTGTCTTCCTCTTGGGCTTGCTTCTTGCCGTCTTTGGTGCCAAGCAAAGATGTGATTTCGCTGACAATGCTGTCGCGATGTGCTCGTCGCGCATCCTGTATGCTTCGAACCGTCGCGGCATCTTCAATCTCGTCGTCAGAGTCGTGGATGACCTGCTCCTCCTCTGCACTGGTAACGAGTTCACCAACTGTCTTGTAAGACACCGATGGCATGAAAAGGACTTGCACCGCAAGGATAAAGGCCGGAACGATAAGATAGATAAGGAAAAACTTCTTGATCGAGAAGTTACCGTCTGTACCTTGGTAGATAAGTCGGTACATCAGAAAGATCGCGCTCGAAGTATCGAAAGCTCCAGTCAAAAGTGCCAAGATCAGTCCAGAGTATTGCGGGAATGTGTTACTGAGTTGGAACGATGAAATGAAGATGAACGGTCCGCCCAACGCCATGAACAGATATCCAGGGATATAACCATCAAGGGGCAATTCCTTTGCGAACGCGAAAAGCAATGCGCCAATCGTTATAGATATCGCCCCAGTTATACCGCACACGCGTGGTCCGAAGCGATCGAGGATTGTACCGACAGGAAGCGCGACGACGTTCGTGGATACAGCGGCAATCGTGAACATGAGGTTGAGCCGGAGCTCCTGTTCGTAGCAGACGTGTACATCTTGATCCAGTTCTTCCTTTGTGCAGTAATCTCTGTATACACCCTCCTCAAGCAGTACGGGTTTTATCGCGGCGTAACCGAAGACGACACCGGCGGCGAAGAGGCAGTAGATAACGGCGAGTAAGACCTGGACTACGCAACATTAGCTTCTGTGTGCCCATGCCATGCAGCATATGATACATACGCAGTCTCTTCCACTTGGGCACTTCGAATGCGCCTATTGTTGGTTCTTCGCCAGTTTGCTCCGTCCATGTGCCGACTGGGTTGAAGCTCATTTTCCGGTGCCTAGAGTCCGGGCTTGCCTCTCTACTCCACGGCTCATGCTCCTCTATCGACGTCACTCGTTGCGAGAGCGACATGGTGGGCTAAATTCCTCCTCTCTTACAATAGAAAATATCGATGTATTGCCCTCAGATGAGAACGGAAGTTGTAGTCCAGAAGCTCTCCAGCTGGCGTTTGAAGTTCACCCGGGTATGACTTCGCGATCTTTCTTTTCAGGAACCTCGGCGCAAGCAATTGGCCAACCAAACTACCTTGACAAAAGCACCACGGAACTAAAGTCCGCGATTGAGTATCCCGTGGCGCACAAAATTATGGGAAGCAGGGTCCTATATACCACAAGTACAGCGTCGAATGGCGCAAAGCGGGGACTTGCTGGCCTGCAGCCCGGGTGCATGAAGGCGCTGACAATCCGACGCGCTGGTTCGCGCGTGATCACAAATGCTGGGCTTTAAGGATTCTATTACGCAGTTTTATACCACGTGTGAGCTGTAACTGTGAGAGTAATGCGCTCATACTGACGATCTATATTCAATCACACGCAGGTTTCTGCATTCCAAAGTTTGCCTTTGTTGTGAAGATGGGATACTGCGAAGCTCGATCGTGAAGCTTGCTGCCAGCTACAACCAATAAACGCGCGAGTCAGCCGCGGACAGGAGCTTTGGTAACCGTGCAGATGAGATGCCATCAAGCATCAAATTTTCTTCCTTTCCACCTCCACATGTTCGCTGAACGCCGATGCACGATGGACGCCTCCTGCGGGCGCTTTCCGATGCAGAAACATTGAAGTTTGCGAGCACGAGTGCAACTGCAGAGTTTTCTATTGGCTTGCAAGGGGTGGGAATGTATATCTCCGCCGGAAAAGTCTAGACTTCCAGGGTATGCACTTGGTTGTCGTCCCTTCGTCCCTTGAAGTTTCAAGGATTTGGCCGTTGAGGTATACTAGGGCTGACATTCCGGATTCTAAGGCTGATATACCCAAAATTAAGATTCCCGGCCCCTCCGGACAGTTTAGGCTGTGGACAAAGATGCCATCGTCACATACCAAGAACATCACTTCCAGATATGCTGTCGTACCATGCGGTCGCAGAAGGAGCCTCGCTGAACGATAAGATTCTTGTGGGCCGCGTTGAGTAGCTTGTCCTTTCCTTTCACTTGATCTCTCCAATGCAAGAAAGCAGGTAAATGCATAACTTTCGGGCACCACTACAATCGAAGAAAACAAAGTCAATTTCTCAAAGTACGACCAAACGAGTGGACTAGGCTACAAGATACCTCGCATCCACCCTAACATCATGCCCAACCATATCTGTCAACTACCGTCTGTCGTCCAATTCCTCGTCATTCATCCAAGTCATGATCCCAAGCAATCTTGTAGGCTGGGCGTGATTGTTCACAGAACCGACGATCTGTGAAAATGAGAGTAGTGCTTTACTCAACGTCGACGGCGTCAATCTTCTTCTGAGGAGAGCGCTTCTCCACATCAACAGCGTCGATCTTCTTCTGGCGCTTTTCAACATCGACGGCGTCGATCTTCTTCTGAGGCTCACGCTTCTCAACGTCAACTGCGTCGATTTTCTTTTGGCGCTTCTCAACATCTACAGCATCAATCTTCTTTTGACGCTTCTCGACATCGACAGCATCGATCTTCTTCTGGGGTTCGCGCTTCTCAACGTCGACTGCGTCAATCTTCTTCTGGCGCTTTTCGACATCGACGGCGTCGATCTTCTTCTGAGGTTCGCGTTTCTCGACGTCGACAGCATCGATCTTCTTTTGGCGCTTCTGTGCAGGGGGAGGTACGAAGTCAGCCTATGTTTTGCGTAGGTTTCGTAGTGTTATGGCTCACCTCAACGTCAACGGCATCGATCTTCTTCTGACGCTTCTCGACGTCTACGGCGTCAATCTTCTTTTGGCGTTTCTCAACGTCAACTGCATCAATCTTCTTCTGCCTCTTCTCAACGTCGACGGCATCGATCTTCTTCTGTCTCTTCTCAACATCCACAGCGTCGATCTTCTTTTGACGCTTCTCAACGTCGACTGCGTCGATCTTCTTTTGAGGCATTCGCTTGGCAAGCCCAACTGGAACGATAAGGTTGGTTAGAAAACTTTTAACACTACCCAGGTCGTGTGGCTTGCTTACTGGGTTCGACGAGGCCAAGGCCATTGGCGTCTGCAACAGGTAGTGCAGAGACGAGAGTGGTCATGCCCATCAGGACAGAGAGAATGGTAGTCGACTTCATATTGATGGATGAGGGGAAGGACGGATGATGCTAGAAAGATCGTGTCGGAATGTGAATTGATGGTTCGTTTCGTTGTGATGGTGTTCAGCCGGTTGTAGGATGTTCTTCTTATGTATGACGAGGCTGTCCAGCCAGTCTGCACCACCAAGGACCTAGGTGTCGATTCGGCGATGTTCGAACCCAACTCTCCCGAGCCTTACTCACTGGTACCCTCATTGTGTCTTACTCAGTGCAACTTTGGCTTACCCTTACTCTACTGAACATCCGCAAGACTCAGTGATGGTTTCGGGTAATGTCTACATGCTGAAGTTAGGGTAAGCGATTACCTTACGGATTCTTTATTCTTACCATGACACAGGACGTGACTGATCGCTTACGCGAATGGATGATGACTGTTCATAGACAGCTAATCATCGGACCTTACTCAGCACGGACCAATCACTTTTACTCTGTTACTACAGCCTTGTGGGGTCTGCGCAAGCATCGACACTAGTCATTAGTCACAACGAATGACGACGTATCTCGCTGCTCTGGGTGGAACATCTGTTCACACGTCTATCACATATGGTTCGAGTTAGCGACGAATAAATTGAACGTCAAGAACACGAGCACTAGTGCGATCCCTTCTATAGGCCAGAATGAAAACATTCAGTATTGAGACCGTGCATATAGTGGTGTTCGAGTTTAGTTCCAGTGCATGTTCACAGTACTGCGGACGTGGACACCATGATCTTGCTAGCCCATCCATCAAGCAAGGATTAGAACACGGGTGTCTCGCTCTGGTCGAAGACGTGCATATATTCCCGAGAGCGAGGCACTAGTTTTAAAAAGTCATGCTTTGTACAAAACAACAAGTTGCCTGAACTTCGTTTAGATTTCATTTTCTGGAAATAACGGTGACGATGGCCATGTTAGACTGGTATGGTTGTGGAGACGTGCTTGATTATAAGCTATCTCGCCATTCGAGTGTCGCTGGGATCTTCCGCACTCGAACATTGAGTACCGAATCCTAGGAGGCAATGCTACCCTTGCTAGATCCCTCTTCGAATGATTCAGGATCCCTCAGCTTCTCTTCCTCGTCTCCAATCACAAACGGATCGAATTCCTCGCCTTCCACATGCCCATAGCCCTTCTTGTTGTCGGTGCGCTTCGCAAACATCATCGTACCCACTGCCAGCATCTCAATGGAAACCACCATTGCCCAGAGCCATCGTAACGTGATGCTCTTCCTTCCATGTGAAAGCCCAAGGAAGACATTGAGGTTCAAAGCTAGAAAGAGGGCGCGGCCAAGATAAACATGAACCAGGGAAGATCTAGTCCGCTCTCCGTACTTGACGTAGTTCATATGGTGTTTGTAACCGAATGTGATCTGAACCGGGACTGCGACAGCGATCGCAAGACCAATCATCTTGTGTATCGACGTGAAACTTCCAATCTTCGAGATGTTAGCTATACATGAATGCTGTCGACGCCATTGACCACATACCTGAAATAGGTGTGTGCTTTTCATGACACCAATGAGACAGCCAGCTAACAGACCAGAGGCAGAGAGTGCTTGCACGAGCCAATGACCACGAAACGCCCACTTAAGTCCGCTACGGATCAAGAGAATTCCAATACAGTTGAGAACGACTGCAAAAGATAGTATCGCTCCATGCGCGTCCCACATGTTGATGGAGGAGCGGATCACTGGTGTATGAAGCTCGGAAGAGCCCAGAGCATGAGTCGAAGAACGATCGCCAGTGATTATTGGATACTCCTCGGCCTGGTTTGTGGATATCGCATGCGCCATGTTGAGGAAATTGAGACCTTCGTCACAGTCAGATAGTGCTTTTTCAGGATTAAAAGAGTTATAGCTTACCATAATCTGTATGCATATCCATCCTCAAGTTTGGGTCGTTGGTTCTGGTCTTTTGTATAGAGCTGCTGGCAAACAACCATGGTTGTTGTTCGCTAGTAGCGTTCAGTGGACCTAAACCGACCGTCTCACACGAGTAACAAGTGGCCTGCAGGACATGGAAGCCATTCTCATCAACTTCCGTCCTATGAACGTGAACCTGTCTCTGATTCTTGAGCGGATGTGGTGCGTAGTGTCCAACTGTTGAGCGCAATGACAAGACAGTGTCTCCGCAATCTTAGCAAGTCCTTATACGGGTATTAGATAACGAGGCAACTCACCACCTTCTTGTTCTCCTGGCCATAACACAAACATCAAAGCTCGATCCATGATCTCTCCAACTCCAAAGGCTGCCCAGCCGTTACGTTGATGGAACTTGACGGAAAAGGTCATGAGCAAATCATGTCCTCTTGTATGCTGCGATTTGACAGTCTTTATTGCCATGCATGCATCCGAATATAGCCCTGAGTCGATGTGGCATGTTTGCACTGGGTCTGATGCTCTGCAAACATTGATTACGGCGAAAAGCGATGTGATGAACAAGTTGAGTCGCTTCATAGTTGCTGAAAGTCCTTGCGTCAAGAAGGAGGTTCAAAATCTCGTTTGAATTTTCGATGTAATGCAGAGTGAAGATGGTGTGTTCCCCAATCTGATCAAGAAAGCTAGCTTGAAATGGTCAATTGTGGGGCTGTAGTCAGCGTCTCACGAAACAACTACGGCTGACTATGGCAAGACAATGGGCGCACGCACTCGATGACAACCGAGGATTTTAGTTCGCACAGAAGCAATAGAACGATGTTCCTGGGGAATGAGCCTCTAGACACTTGCATACATCCGCTCGACCTTTGAGTATTCCGATCCCTTTTTGCGATAGCTCCTCCTTTTTCGCCCAAAGTCATACCATTCTCAACGCGCCAAAGCGCAAGTGATATGTCTCCAGTTTACTCGAACTTTGTCGACAGTCCTATCGGCGTGGTAAAAACCATGATCCACTCGATTCTCAGACGCCCTGCACCGTACCCGAGTTTTGCATCATCCTCTACTTCAGACCAAAACGAAGACACACCAATCCGACCCAACAAACACGAACTGGATGCAAGACCTGGTGAAAGACGATCGTCATATGCACTATCACCCTACATTATCAACATTTTGTTGGCAGTAGGACTGACAGTTCTTGTCGGATTTGTCTTCCGTCCTTTTCCACCGCATGGTCCTAAGATGAAGACATTGAGCTGCGGATCTAACCCAGCTGAGGCACGCAAGAACGGCTGCACATACGATGTGCTAGGGAATATCTGGGTTCCTACTCCCTGTCTGGACACGGAAAATCTCGCCGAGTTCAAGCGCATGGCTCCCTGGCTGGCATATGACTCTGCCAACGCTACTCGTCAGCTCACAGAGGAGGAGATGTCGGAATACCTCATACCAGATGGATATTGGACACCAGTGCGTGAGCACATGATTCATTGTGCTCTGATGTGGAGAAGATTGCATGACGGGTTTGAGAAGAACGGAAGGTTGTTGGATAAGCATGTTATCCAAATGCACCATACTGAGCATTGCAGCCAAACTTTGATGGAGCATCTTGATATGCCTACTTCCTTCCTCGACGAGATACGTACTCGAACAGAAGCCGGGTATTCCAGTTGTCAGGTTCCTGCTTAACTTGTTCGACGCAATTGTATTTAGTTATCATCCTAGGCAGCGAAGGCCATTTGAAACGTAGCTAGCCGATTTGCGCAAATTCAAAACGAACCTTGTGAAGCAACGAAATGAGTAAAGGAGAGAGTTCCAATGAACAGCAGTATGAATTGTGCGTGGACGTGTGCAGAGTGCGAAAGTTGGCTGGCTTTGATTACAAAGCGCAGTCTCGGTACAGTGCGTGACGGCTTAAGTCGAGATCGGAGATACTACTCAGAAGCATAGCGGAGAGTACGCGCACCGGGTTTGGGTATGTGTCGACGAGTGGTCAGGTTACGGATGGTTGTTAGTTTGGTCGTTGTGTCGTAGCTGGGTTGGTGAGCGCAGAGCTCGGGGTGGGCTCTATTTTCTCCGGCGCGTCCCTGGGGTCGCTGTTCAGCGCAACGCTGCGCCCAACGCTTGCCAGCCCGCCTATTTTGCCATCACTCAACCACGAAGTCATCTCGATCAAAGTAGGCATTTCTAGTCTAAGAAGACTCACTGATGATTCGCGCAATGTCAAAGATAGTAAGCAATGCTGTGCATTTGGTTCATGGAACGCTGGGTCAGCGCCACCGCAGATTGAAAGCCGCCTGGAGAGACAGGCCACACTGTCAACTGATGGTGATGACAACACCATCAGCAACGAGAGTAAAGACACTAGATCTGATGCGAATAGGTGAGTTTCGTGTCTTACACGTATGATTACTATACCCTTGTAGTAAGCTTTTCTTCCCCTGGAGCTCCGTCACTGGCTGCGATGGGTGGAGACCGTGCAGTAACTTCACGTGGAGTGCTGGTATGCTCGTTCCAGTATTGCAGCTCGAATCATCTTATCTGAGGATCAAGACCTCACCCGACACGCTTTGGTCATCAAATTACATGGAGAAGCTACAGATAGCTGAAGGCGTGGCCTCACAATCGTTGGAAGAGGAGGGACGTTCATGTTTACCTCTCACGGCTTCTGAGGGCGGCTTTACACCCTCGACCGCCTGTATGATGGGTGCCAGAACTCTCACGGAACGATCAAAACAGGGGTCTCGACAACTGTCCACTGCATCACTCGTAGCCATGGCATGTGGATTTGGAGGGTACGTCACATATCGAGGTGATAATGACATTCTTGCAACTAACTTCAAGCTGCAGCTTACAGATTCTTTGGTCCACGATCTTCTCCCACGGCTCATCCTACCTGTTTTCTCTCGGTATATCCACAACCCAATCATCGCTCATATGGGCAGTTGCACCACTCTGTGGGTCAACCATTCAACCTATCATGGGTGTCATCAGTGATCGATCACGTATTGCATGGGGCCGACGAAGACCATTTATCCTCGGCGGAGTGCTATCTACCATCTTTGCAGCCACAACATTAGCCTGGTCTGAGCCAATTTCGGTAGCGGTCTGCACGCTCTTGGGCATAAGTAACGCCAACGGATGGTGGGGAACTGTTACGCGGACTGTTGCTATTCTAGCGATTGTCATCCTCAACATCTCGATCCAGCCGCTCCAACTTGGCCTTCGCTCGTTGCATGTCGACATTTGTCCGCGAGAACAACAAGCCATAGCAAGTGCATGGGCAGGCCGTTTTACTGGTATGGGAAACATTATCGGCTATGTTCTTGGGTCCTTACCGCTGCCTTGGATCTCTGGTGATTATGAAGCCATGCGGTTCCGATATATGGTTTATTGGACTACCCTCGCACTCATCGCCACGTCACTTGTTACTTGTTACTATACCGAAGAGGAAGATCCGTTAATGTCAACGTACGACCCGGGTCTTGAGCGCTCAGTCTATCGAGTTTTCCGAAACCTTCTCGATGGCTTCTCGCAAGCTTCCAATAGGGTACGACACGTCTATCTCGTCCAATTCTTTTCTTGGCTCGGATGGTTTGGGTTTCTATTCTACAGCACAAGCTTCATCGGACAGCTTTACGTCGACGAGCAAGCAAGAGATAATGTCACAATAAGCTCATCAATCAAGGACCACGGGATGAGGTTAGGTGCTAGGGCGAATCTGCTCTTCGCCACTATAGCTCTAGCAACGAACATCGCGTTGCCGAGACTCTCAGTGATGTTGAGATCGATGCTTGCAAGGGCGAGAACTCATGACAAAGGCGCCCGAAGCTCTTCTATACTGACTATCATTTGGAGTTTTAGTCAGGCGCTTTATGCGACGAGCGTTCTATCCACGACATTGGTATCATCAAGTGCGACAGCAACGTTCATGATCGCTATTGCCGGTATCTCATGGGGTGTGACTCAGTGGGTACCATTCGCCATAATTGGGGAGGAGACAGCAAAGTTTTCCATTGACGAAGAGTCTGCTAAAAGAGAGGATGAACATGTATGGAGCGTGGTACAGGGTGGCACAATCATTGGTTTGCACAACACTGCCATATCCTTACCTCAGATCTTCGCGGCCCTTATCAGTAGTGCAATTTTTTGGGTTGCGCAAAACCTAAATCAAAAGCATGCTATAGTATGGGTAATAGGTTGGACTGGGGTTCCTGGAGCAGTAGCTGCTTGGCTTGCTTTCATGATGTAGGCAAGTCAGCAAGCCACAACCGAGTTCAACACAGATGATTCGTCACGAGCACATCTTCCATCGCAACAGTTTGATATCGATTTTCGTTACGACTTAAATTCCATATCTGCTCCAGCTCTGATCAACATGTCAACGATTTCAACGTAGTCATGCTCTATCGCTACATGTAACGGCGTCTCTCCTGCCACATTGATGGCATTGACATTCACGCAATGCGACAACCCGAATGATATCAAGGACGCATGGCCGGACTGCGCAGCAAGATGTAGGATGTTGTTCCCGTAATCATCTACGATGTAGACGTCTGCTCCATTCTCAACGAGAAGCTCTGCAATACTATCACGGCCTTTTATCACAGCTTTCTGCAAAGCATTGAGGCTTGGAGGTAAGGTAGAATTCGATGAGGAAGTAGACGCCGATGACGGGACCGTGGATCGACCCTATTAAGGCCGTGTCAGCATTCCAATATGAGTAGATATGGAGTAAAAGAGGCTGCAGCAGACATACAAACAAAATAAGATCGTTCTCTAGATGCGTAAGAGGAGTTGTCAAATCAAACACGTTGGTTATTTCGTTCTTTTGTTGCGAGGCGATGTTGCTGTTTTCTTGATTGGATATTGACGAAACGTTCCCTGCTTCTCCTGTACTGCCGAACAGGAAAGCTTGGACAGAAGAGTCGTCCGGTGATACCGCTGCTGGGAGTCCATTGCCCGTCTCCAGATTAGGCAATAGTGTATCTGAGGCCGTGGGGTTGATAGAATCTCGACGTGTATGCTTCGATTTTGTTGATTCTTTCGGTAGCGTTCGACAAGACTGCCGCTTTTCTTTGGGTGTTGTTGGTGGGCTATCTGATGTGCTGCGATTGAACACCTCCAGTTGCTGTAGTCGACGCTTGATGTTACGGCCTATGAAATTAGTCATGAATGGGGTCTAATTGGGGTGGATACCCTACGATAGTTGCGCTGCGCGATTCGATTTTGTACTCTTCTTCGCTCATTAGCATCGGTCAAAGATTTCCAGTCCTCGTCTTCCTCTTGTCGTGACATGATTCCTTGGATTTCTTTTGGTGACATTGAGTTTTCGTAAGGTTTGCGGCTCATGCTACTGAGACAATAGCTAGTTAAACCGAGGCGCTTTACATCTCGATGTCAGCTTTGTGATTCGGATTCAGCAGGTACGTCCGCCGTGGACACGGCCGGATGCTCTTTGGGCGATCCGATCCGCATCATTGTTCGATCGGCATCATCTTTCTGATTGTAGAGACACAATGACCTTACCAAACATGTGATTGAGGGTTCGTGCTAACCTTCATGGAGAGTCTTTCGGTTTCGCGTAACTCAAGGTGGGGACTTCCTAGGTATACGTAGCAGTCGTAGTGCGGCGTAACTACTCGGACCGACGCATGGCGAACTCGTACCCGGAACTTTAACAACGCAATCAACATACCTGGTCCATGTCAGATAGCCTGACGTGCACTACCAGGTCACATCGCGTATACACCCACGTTAATAGTAAAACGCATTAGTGTATTAGCTTGTGAATCTAGGAAGGTCGCTGAGTAAGATGCGTCAGCCTCGGAGTTTCCCCGCAAAATCACTATCAAGGTTACGTCTGACAGGCGATAGAGACGGAACCTTCCATCATAAGTATCAGTTATCCGACAGAGGGAACCATAGTTGGAATTATAGTCCAACTCATCGCTACCACTGGAGAAATCGGATACATATCACGATGCCGGCGTTTTCACTTTCACCAAATTCACCGAAACCTGACTTTGACAACTATCGCCAAAAGCCACTTCCAGAGGACTTAGAAGAGCAAGACACGTTCCTCCAAAAGAATGTTTCAGGGTCGCTTTGGTCAAAGCCCCGTCGAGGCATTGCGTACGCGAACCTAGTGGCTGTGGCCCTCTTCCTTTTCACAATTGTTGTCGGATCGCTCGCATGGCTAGGCGTATCTGCGACACAGCAAACCGACGAAGCACCGAAACCATCAAAGGCATACACCGATTGCGGTAGTAACTACTCAACAGCAATCGCAGCCGGATGTATATACGATATTGTTGCTCCCCAATGGACGCCACCAGAGTGCTACAATGCAGCCCTATCTGAAGAATATGCTGCGAAGATCCCAAAACCGATGTTCTTCCGTTGGGAAAATCTCACAGAGCCGATACCAGAAGACCCCGTGGAGATCTCAAAGCATGATACAGTCTGGACTTTCGACAAATATCATACGATACATTGTGTATACATCCTTGAGCTTGCAGCATTAGCTGCGTCGATGGCTTCTTCTGGCAACCAGGATGTTTTCTTGAATCACGTTGCAGCGAATTCCAAACATACGAGGCATTGTACCGAACTATTATCAGGAAACATCAGCTTTCCGGGCGAGACGGAGATTCATCGTCCTGGATCCGCGCTACGCTGCAAGGGATTGAAGTCTTAGAACAATGAATCTATACTCAATGCAAGTCTATCTTATGCAAGACCTCTATCTTAATGTCCAATATTGTGAAACACCAATGTATCGTGAATGCACTGGAACTGAGTTCTGTAGAAGCTTCTGGACGCTTTGCTGCGCCTAGACTAACATTGAAAATTAGACGTAGGCTCTCATGATCTTGCTGACGCATACATGGATTGGTCGCCGCGATGTTTTCCCGGTGGTAGATGCCCATGAGAAGTACACATGCGTGATATGCGTACAGCCGATGAATATTGCAATAGAGAATGAGGCCTCCGTCAGATCTAAAGAAACCTGCATCATTCTCGCAGCATGCGTACCTACGTAGGTAAACAATGTGCCATCTCAACCGGACATCAAGAGTCCCTACACGCAGTGCAGAACACCCATGCATACAGATGACCATTTTCGCCCCGTCGTCCCCGCATGTAATCAACCATCGCGCTCGATTTCGGGGCTGTCAACGCCGAGATCTTGAAGAACTTGTTCTCTCTACGTGACGGATGTCCAGACGATTACCCGTATCAACTACGTAGATACGCCAGTCACGTTTTCTCAATACGCGATGACAAAGCCTTGGATCGAGAACTATAGCAAGCACGCCTATCCAAGTAGGAACGTGCCGGTCGGACCGATGCTGGAAACCGCCGACGCACATCCGCATGCAAGTGTTTGCCAAGATCGCACCGGTGAACATAAGCCCGCTGGGCAGTCTTGACATGCGTCTGCAAGACATCACTATGCCGAAAGTGCACAGAACCAGATGGACATCACGTGGTCAATCGGTGCTATGGTCACTGACGCGCCTCGGGGCCACGTAGCTCTCCACAAACCCCGCCCCCAGATTTCGCATTCTCATCCTTCGAATCGACAATTCGAGATGCTCTCACCAATCCACCGCTGGAAATGAGAAGGAGAGCGACACATACATCCCTAGGAAGAAACATGCAAGAGGCTAATGGAGATTTCCGTAATGCAAGCAAAGCGGTTTCGAACAGGGACTGTTCCATGCTCACCACTATGCAGTAAGACGCTGAATTCTTGCAGCTACGGATCTGCGCTTCGGGCCGAGGCGCTAAGCACCTGCCCGTTGCTATGATCCATGCTGCACTGGCCGTACGATGTAAGGCCACAAACTTAATCTAGCCGAATCTCACTCCACACCGCCCACGTCTGTATGAGTCTCTACTCAGCAACTGCTTACTACATGTTAGTCATCGGGGTATTTCCGCCGGCTCAACGTTCCGCTCCCGTAGTAGACGATGCATGTTGCGACGTGATCATGTGAGCAGCTTCCGGATTTGCTCAGAATGGTAGCATCCGAGACTGGCGTTGAACTTCATCATTGAACGGTCCAAGAAAACATTGTCTGTCTCAACATACTAGGCGACTTTCCTAGCGACACGCAGTCTAGTTCGCCAGCACAGTTCATCCTCTCCAACCTATACGATCGGGCCAAAATCAAAGGCCAGTTATCGGAATTCGATCGAATCAAGAAGGCAATCGAGATGATGGGAGCCTTCTTGACGAAGTCTTCACGGCACGACAGTGGAAAAGAATATGTTCCCATACCCAACCCTGAGTCTGGCACCCCAGAGAACCATCACAGCAGAGAAAGACGCGGGCGTCTACCGAAAGGTGTCGTTATGGTGTCTCTTGCCGCTGTTCTGGTGCTGCTGATTCCAGTCACCTACTTCCTCTTCGCCGCAAGTACACGGAGTGGCGCATTCAATCACACCAGCCTACCCATCCAGCATGACGACAAAGGCACATTCATAGCCTGCCCAGAAGACCCTTCGTCGGCGCGGAAATCAGGCTGTTCTTTCGACCTTCTTGCCAACGGTTGGATTCCAGACCCTTGCTTTGACGCAACTATGCACCACGACTTCGTGGATGGCAAGGACTACGGTTTCTTCGAGGATCGAAATGGCGAGCACCGGGTACATCAAAACACAGTCATGGAAGGAGATAACAGCAGGTACCCAGATGGGCTCTGGGTGACCTTTGAAGAACACCACACACATTGTCGTTACTTGGTCAACGGATCTATCAGAGCCGTCTCACGACCTCATGGAGCTTTCCTCGACGTGTATCTGGATAGGGATCATATGATGCATTGTTATGGTGTTCTCGGAGAACATCGCGATTCTGACCATATCGAGACATATGTCAAGGCTTTCTTCGAATCGCGTAAATGTTACGTTCGTGATTGAGCCCCATCAGGCTCCCGAACTGTTTGCTGTTAGTGGGGTAGCAATCTTCAGCTTAGGAACAATTGCAAGACACAGTGTAGAAACTTCAAAACAGATGTTTCCTAATAGTCGCAACCTGAATAATGGAGGTGTTTCGTTGTTATGCCATCACGATAGTCTGGCACAGTGCACCGGGAGTGGTGACGAAATGATGTTGGACGATGTGCTGAATAGGCGGGCGGAGGAGGCGGGGTTGTCCAAGCGGGCGCCGGGCAAATTCAGCGCCAGATCGCTCCAAGGCTGGCACGCCAGCCTCACCACTTTTCCATCACCACTTTTCCATCACCACGTCCCAATTATCACCGACTTCATGGATGATTTACACGATATCCGACTTTCCACAAGTTCTCTATAGACGAGGTAGTGCATACATATAGCCCTATGAGGCTGCGCTCATAGCGGGCCGTAACGGTGGCATGCTCAGTCACTATACAGACAAGCAAACAAAACAACTGTATCGAAAATTACTGTCGTCAGTCATTGGACATGAGTTTTAGTCACAGTTCCACTCTAATGCGGATCTTGCTACTTTGGGATTGACAGCTGCTATGTTGCATACAGCCACCTTTCGATGAATGGCCAATGTCGCCTAGGGTCAGCGTCACGCCTGGTAAAACAACATAGCTTTAGCTCGGTCCAATCGTGTCCAAAACTTGTCAAGAGGATTGCAGCAGGCTGCGTTGCAAGCTTTCTATATAAACACTGTAGCCTTGCTGCAAAGCTTGCAGCCTTTCCATTTTGTCTCACGCTTAAATCTCCCATGTAATCTTTCACACTGTCTTCGGCAAGATAATGCCTTTCATTTCGCATGCGCTTAATGCTCATCAGCAAGAGCAAAGACCCTTGGGAGTTACCAACATTTTTCAAACTGTGGGATGGCGTTTGATGCTCGTCCGCCGTGCAAATAACCAATTGCAGTTCGTCGGGTTAAGGCTTATTTGTTATGTATTATGGCTCAAAATTAGAGCCTGTGCAATCATCATCTCCCATTTCGGAATTGGCCGCCGAGATTTTGCTAGCACATTTGATATTCGAGATTATATATTGGTATGTGCACCGAAACCACCTTGCGTAGATTAGAGGGTCTCACTAAATTCCAAGTCAATCGTCTTGGCTAGAGTACGGTCCCAGAGAACGCCTGAATGGCAAACCTTCTGGCGCATGTACTATCTCTGTGCAAGAAACGAAATGGATTTCATCATGGATTATACCATGGCTTGGAGAGCCCAGCCAGGATTTGATTTGGAAGTTATCATCTTTTTGGACAATGGCCGTCGTTTCTCAGTTCCTTGTTCATGTAGGGCGGACGATAAAGGCCTTTTTACACATCTGCGTATGTTTTACGACCTGCAATGCACAAGACGTGGACTCTTCGAATTGATCAGCGTCAAGTCGGTCCAAAGGATCGATGTGGTAAAGGTAAGATCACATTATCATCCTTCTGTCTCTTCGTTTACAGTCTAACACTCCTGCTTACCTCTAGCTTCATAACAGCAACACAGCAGGCAAGCGACTCAAAGATACACTGGATCTAGGTCAATATGGACCCTATGGTCGCCAGTCCCATTACTTCGAACATCCATCAGAATTGGATGGTGGTACCATAACAAACAGACTCGTCACCGAGGAAGTATTAGCATCACCCGACAAACAGCGGCACGCACTTAATATCATACGCAGCTGGGATCCGCAGGTCACTAGTATAGTGATTCTCTTCCCCATCGTGCTGAGTTGTATTATATCGATCGTCTGGTCTGTTGTGGCCTCGACAATGTTCAATGCGGATGTTCAAAGTAGTATACAGACTGGCTTCACAATCGGCAGCTATGTCGTGACCGCGGGTATTCCTCCGAGACACTTTTAGACCACAGAGCAAAGGACTAAACTTGGCAAGTACTCTGTTGGTTGCCCTAGTTGCATTCCTCGACAACAAGGTAAACGCTACGCAGCGTTGATCTTTGTGGCGAAGTATCTGGCTGCGTTCAGGAAGCCGTCACAATGATTCGCTTGCTAGGGCTTCGCACCTTTCGCGCTCAGCGTGATGTGCCGCCAATTGCTCCAGATCAATATCAACGAAAACAATCCGCCTCTCACGTCGTTTGCTCACCAAACTCCTTCTCATCACTCGGTTCATGAAGCGTACCCCGATACACCACATTGATATCCCACAGTTGAAACAAAGCCGTTTTGACACCCAGAAGTCTCGTATGCGAGTGCCAAGAGGGTTCGCTGCGCCTTTCTCTTCCCCTGCCTTTTGGCTAACCTCGAATTTTGCTGTGGCCCAAAGGACCTGTTCCGATCGTAATTATGGGCAAGATTTCGCTAAACTTTTATGTGGATGAGATGATCATCGGCAAGATAGTCGGCGAAGGCGTCAATACTGGTGGATGCAGCGCAGGAAACATAATTCGCGGCGGGTCACTCTGCAGCGTCCGTTGCTATTCCAGATATATTGACGAGAAGAGATGTTGTCGTGTCAGGAAGCGCAAGCGAACTACAAGAGGGTGCAACGTTGCGGAATAACAAAGGCTAGTCAATCCGATCAACGGTTCAGAGATGTGTGTATGGTTTGTGGCGGTGGGTAAAAAGGAAGAAGAGGTAGACGTGGGTAGGGGAGACCTGTGTTGTACTTGGACTACTGGTACTTAGCGTTTCAGATAGACGACCAGATGCATTACCTCAACCAAAGCTTACTCCAACCTCATGTGTTTGGCGCAACGCAATATAAGCTACGGTTGTTTCTTGAGCTTTAGCAGCGGGAAAGTTGAAGTAGCCGGCTGGACCCTGTTGTGTTGATTACGTTCCCATGATCAAGGACGGCTGAGATTTGTTCCAACACACCGTCGGCCTATTGGCGATCACTCGAGTCTTCAACGAAGTAAAAGTCTTGAACCGCAAACGACGCTTGGCTGTTTCCAAAAGCGTTGAGTGTGGTTGTTGTCGCGATTATGCTTGTAGTCGCCAAACCCAGTTTGGAATATAGACCGCATGAAAACAACAACATGATGATTTTCAGGATAGTCGTTCGTTACAGACGACCGACGTTCGAAAGCGGGCCGAAGCCAAAGGACGCGACTCGATTGCATCATGCAAGTGTATGCGTAGTCGGCACGTGAAAAGGGTAAGCGACGCGTTAACCGGGTAAAATTCAATGTCAATGGCAATGTCAGCAAATGTCGCGGCAGGGAAATGGCATTGTGGTTGGGTGCAGGTGTTCGCATTGTCTTTGCAGTGATTTGCACGGGATGAAACCTGGACACGATCGACACCTGGGCATGACGCTAAATTTAGTCTCCCGGCTGCGCCACTGCCCTAAGGCAAGAACATTAGGTTATTCAGCCGATGCGCTCAACAAAAGACGGGCGGCAGCCTGCCTGATGGAGATGATTTGCAGTGATGATGGGAGAGGTTTGTCGTGATGCTTGACATAGCATGTAGTCCATCCTTATATCACAATCAAAATAAGAGCAATCCCGCCAATAGCGCTAGGGGCGCGGCGGATGTGGCACTTCCGCATTCTGCAGTTGTTAAAAGTGTATTTGTGAGCCAATCACATGCGCGTCTGCTCCGTCGGCATCACGATTAAGCGTGAGAGGTCGCCCTACTCCTTTACACAGAAAAGTGGTAGCGGCATGACGATGACGTTTCGAGAATGCCTGCGATAGCAGACGTATTAATGCAATGGATCTTGCCCTGCTCGCCGGCGCGCAGTATCGTCACCGTCGCGCGTCTACGAAAACAGACCTTCCCGCACCTTCTCTGTGGCCAACCGTCGAGTCGAAACGGAAGGAGCGTGCTGTGCACCGGTATACGAAGCTAGCGCCTTGTCGCGCTTTCTGTGGCCTGGCTTTCCTCTTCCGCTGCACCCCACCGTAAACATTCGCCTCAGGAGTTTGCCTACCAGCGCTGCGGGTCACTCCAGCTTTCCAACCTCACCCGCCTTCGATTCCTACACTCGCTATACGACTCTTTTTAATCCCCCTCTTGTCCATGCACTGCCGCTGCTGATCACCCGGGCCCCGTCGCCCCTGCCAACTCAGCGTCGTAGCTTCCTCTGACGCCTGTTTCACTCGCTGCAGGCTTACCCTCGCTCGCTGTAGTACTCCTCCTCAGCTGCGCCCCAACGGATCCCATACCAGAGCAATTCGACCTACACCCGCCCACCACACTTTCGAGCCGCACACGACACTCTCACGCCGACCCACGATACCTCGCCGACCCACGACGACCGCGTTGAGAGGCAGATTGGAGGGTGAACATGAAGAGGGGGACGTCATAATGGCCGTTACCACCTCGCGCGATGACGCGCTACGGCTACCTGACAATACTCAGCTCGAGATGCCCTGCCTTCAACCCACACAGACGCCCCCACGAACGAGACGGAAACATTCCACGTTGCCGACCCTAAGCGCATTCATTCCCCTTGTCCTCGTCCTGGCCATTGCCTCCTTCCTCCCGCTCGCGAGCGCCGTATTCGTAAATTTCGAAGATTGCCTGACACGAGTCTACCTGGCCGATGGAAAACAGACACCCTACCTTCGCTTCACACCCGAGTACGTCTGGGCTGACTTCAGTTCCGATTACTTGTTAAACGTCACCGTCTACGGAAATGTCTCCGGCCAAGCCCAGCCTGGCCCCTACCCACCGCTGGACGACGACAACTGGAAGGACCCAAACATGACCTTTGGCAAGATCGTGAGACTCGCCCCGAACCACAAGCACTTCACTACTTTGTTCTGGAGCAACAGGGTCCTGTCATACTCGGCATACACGGCTCCCCCCACCTCGTTCTGTGACTCCGTCCTCAACACAAGCTGCCCGGTCGCCCCTTCCTTTGGTGGTAACTTGAGCGAGTTCTGGACCATGCCTGCCGTCAGTGTTGCACACAAGTTTGACAGCTCGTATGCCTTCTCAACATGGGCCTCGACACTGCGCATCGTCTCTGGTGACGACAATGCCCAGGCTCTTGGCTGCATGTCTGCCAACATCACCCCTGATCTCGGCAAAACACTCACGGATGCTTTGTGCTACTTCCCGGCTGCGATACTTACGCTCGTGGCTATTGCAACCGTCTTTGCCGCCACGTGCAGCCCCTGGGGAACCTCGAACATATTTCGCTGGACCACCAACTACGGTCGAGATGAGGACTTGTTGCGCTTGGTCACCCCGGGATTTGGAGATTGTCTGCAGTACATCCAGTTCGTCGTATTGGCAGGTAGTCTCAGTCTAAACTACCCCGGCTACTTCCAACCCGCCATCAGCCAGGCCAGCTGGTCAATTCTTTTGTGGAACCAAAGCTTCGTTAGTGGAGGTAATGGATCCCAGAGTCTTGTTGACGGCATCTACTTCGCCAACGGAACGTACGGTCTGACTCGGCTTGGCCAGTATGTCGGTATGACCAAGGAGCGTGACATATGGGCATGCATGGCTATCTTCCTGCTAGTCCTCATCGCCTGTGTCGTTGTGCTTACCCAACTTGGTTTCTTCGTACGCTGGCTCTACCGCTGGCTAACTCAAACGCAGGACGGTGACTTGACAGGGAAAAACTTCGCCTTCACAGCTGGCAACATCATCCGTGTCGTTTTCAACTATTTCCTGCTTCCCATCATAGCACTATCCTTGTTCCAGCTCGTGGTCGGCCCGCGCTCGCCGGCTACCGTCGTCTCTACAGCAGTCATCATGCTTATCGTCGTTGCTGGAGTAGCCACCTGGATCTTCTGGTTCATCTTCACCACACGCCCACGCGCCCACTTGTTCGACGACCTTCCCACTGTTCTGACCTACGGACCCCTCTACAACACTTATTCTGATGATGCGGCGCCGTTTTCTTTCATCCCTGTCTTGCTCACCATCATCCGTGGTATTGCTATCGGTGCTATTCAGCCTTCTGGTATTGCCCAAATCATCATACTTGCTATATGCGAAGTGATTCTGATTCTCACCTTGCATGCCTTCCGCCCGTTCCAGTCCAACACTTCGATGAACGCCTACCATACCTTCTTCTCGACTGTGCGACTCATCTGCGTTCTCCTCTCAGTGGCGTTCGTACCGTCCCTTGATGTAGACGAAGCACCAAAAGGGTGGATTGGGTACATCATTCTATTACTTCACGCCATTGTCTTAATATTCGGCTTTTTCCTGAATGCTCTTCAGACAATCATCGAGGTCTCTGCCCGACTTACAGGTGCAGGCGCTGATACGCGAGGTGGTCTTACCAAGGTCTTCGGAAAGCGACAGCTGTCGAAACGTAACGGTCGCCGAACGACTCGCGGCAGTCTCAACTCGAATGCCGCAATGCTATCCCACGATGAGAATAAGAACATACAGCTCATGAACAGCCGTTCTCGAAGTTTGTCTGCCAGTTCAGCTGTTCTTCTAAATGGACCATATGACCGGGATAGCCAACGCGCAAGTGTTGGATTTGACGGCTTCAGCCAGGGTGACTACGGAAATGTCAGCCCAACTCCGGGATCAGGTGCAGTACCTTTCACGTTCTTGGGCGGATCATCAGGCCAGAGCTCCCGTCGACCAACCATGGGCACCATGGATGCTGCGGATCCTTACTATCGACCTCCACGCCCTCGTAAACATACTATGGATTCCATGACTGCTCCGGCGCCCGGAAAGGGACCTTTAGGAAGTGCAGATATTGTGGATGCACCATACTCTGATAGTATGGATGTCGAAGCTATTAAGGCTGGTGAAGGTCCATCTCGTGGCTCTGGAACACCCGCCCCGGCCTATCTGCGGCTGAATCGCGACGACTCTGATCCTAATCTCGACAGACGGAACAACAACAACAATACCGATTACTCTGTACGCGAGTCTGACTTTTACTACGGACTCCGCGGCCCTGCCCTGTCTTCGCAACCCACGCGAAAGTTGAAGACGGGACCAGCGGATCCAATGAGTCCTGTGTCGTCGGCTACAGGTTGGTTCAAGAGCTTGAACTTGCTGGGTGGGCGCAAGAAGGAAAAGAGTAAGGGTTTCGAGGTTGTTAGGAGCACACGCATGCCGCCACAGATGATGGCTGTTGAAGAAAACGTCGAATCGCCAGAGGTTGTGCAGGAGCCATATCGTGATAGCCCAGAATCGCCTCCGCGAGCTCGGAACGTATCTGGAGGATCGGGCGTGGCGACAGCGGCCGTCTTGACTGGCGAGAGACGAGACTCTACCGATAGCGATTCAGATACGAGCGAAGATGAAGAAGATTACGGTCCCGTGGACCGTGTCTCACCCACTGCGCCGGCCCTGGGGCCTATCGAGAGCTTTGGCGGAATTGAGCTGCCCAGTAGAATTGGGTCGCGTGCCTCCCGCGTTACACAAGCAACAGGACCCCCAAGTCGCGTACCGTCAATACCACGGAAGAATTCCAGGCGTACAAAGTCTACGGAAGCGGCTTATCTTCCAGACCGGTTGTCCACAGTCATGGACGTGCCAACATCGGAAAGTCCGATGAGTCAAAGACGAAGTCAGCACCTGCAACCAGGTGGAGCTGGCGGATTGCCTATTCGCCTACCATTTGGATCTACAGACCCTTCACCGGAGCGCTCGCCTGGGCCATCGGCAGCGTCAAGCATATATCGCAACGACGGCACGAGTGAATTGCATGCGCCAACACCAATTGGCGGAACGTCGGAGCGACCTCTCAGCACTGGAGTCGTTCAGCATCATGTTACTCAGGACAGCGTGGAGCGGAACGTGTACGACGCGGGAAGCCACCTGGAAGCTTCGGCAGAGATTGTGGACCGGAGTCGCAGTGGCAGCACGCAGCACAGCGGACGCAGCTACAAAAGATGAGGTCATTTCATTCAGATGTTTTCGGCACATTATCAAGGGACTGATATGTCCCATTTGTAATCTCGATTTTGGCGCACAACGCGCACTTACGAGTCTCATTACTGTACAGTTGTTCAAAAGCGATTTTGATGGCGTTTATTGGAATATGTGAGCGATTGGCTCTTTAGGGCGTAGACGTGGGCGCTATATACTATCTTGAACTACTACATACAAGCGAGGTTGGAGGACGCTGGTAAGACCAGCACGTACAATAGTAATCTTAGTCAATTTGAGACTACCTATAGGGGTCTATGCGAAGCTTTTTGACACGTGAAGAGGGCTGGAAGGGATGCGTCGGCGATTCGTTGTTCCTTGACGAGGCTAAGGCAGGCGTGGCGGCGCAGATGGTCGCGTGAAGGGGCTAAGATAACGGCGATATGACGCCTGAGGCATTCAGACACGACGAAGCTCACGAACCCCTCGAAGCTAGTTGTTTTCCCTTGTTTGGGCCGTGCTACGTCTCGCGTCACCTGTTCTCTCTGGTCTGCCTTTGCTCCTCCTGATAGCCTGGACCTTGTCCCCTTAATCACGAGCGGCGCAGAGAGTGGTTGCAGTTCCCCTCGCCGAGCCGACGCGCGCAGGACCCACCCACCTCCGGCCTCTACACCGCAACCCAAGGCCGCGCAACTGATAGGTGAGTGAAAGCTACTTGGAGTGTGGCCACGTGCTGATTGGAAGAAGCAGCACTGTTCAGAGTGTATTACTAAAAACGGTGCGAGCGTTGTTAGCAGAAAGAAGTGGCGGCATGTTGCCGTGAGCCGGCCGACTTTCTCTACGAAGACCGCCCCTCCCGTTCACGTCGCATAAGCAGAGGCTCACTTGCCTTCGATTTCGGCGCAGTGGAGATAGGTTGAAACTGTCCTCCGTCTTCGGTCACGTCGATCCGTCATAAGACGTCCCAAATGCCTCCGAACGCCCACCAACGCCCGAGCGGTCCTTTCACCCACAACTCGCACGCATACGGCGGTCAGTATGACGGAGCGAGTAGCAGTGTAGACGGACAACGCGAGGCTGTGATAGGGAGCAACTCCAGACATCATTCACAGGGTGTTGTTGCCTCCCATTTCCTGGCTCAAGACCGCGAAACGTGGATGGACTTTCTGAGAGACGGTACCGAGACCACTGTCAACCAGCAACCACAGTCTGCAAACTCCTCCCCCGCTGCCGCCTCCGAAGCCCGCTCAAACCCCTCCTCCTCACGTTACACACTTCCAAACCGCCCCTCACCACGCACCGAGTCGTCGTCCTCTCGCAGCTCCGATCGCAAGCGACGCCTCACGACCGCGGACTCGCCTTTGAGACGACCATCGAGCATACGCATGCACTCGGAAAACACTGGGGACTCGAATACGGACCCGATCGTGTTGGACTCGTCGCCTGCTTCGAATAGACCACTTCCACCCACTCCAACCATGGGGGTTGCATCACATACGCATACGGGGCCTATGAGGAGGCAGAGTGATATTGTGCTGCCGCCATGGCAGCCGGATAGCGAGGTCTCGCAGTGTCCCGTGTGCAGGAGGCCCTTTTCATTTTTACTCCGGAGGCATCACTGCAGGTACGTACCAAGTCTCATATGCCAATAAAGTTGGGTATAAGGCGTTGCCGTCCGAGGTGCTTCGGCCTCATCCGAGGATACGGCTATATCGACTATGAACAGCATACTAACTACGGAGACAGGAAATGCGGAAGAGTCGTATGCGCTTCCTGTTCGCCACATCGTATCACCATCCCCCGCCAGTTCATCGTGCATCCGCCATCTGAAAGCACGGCAAACTTCATCGACCTGACTGGCGAGGATGAGAACGCTATGTCGCCATTCGGCCCGTTCCGTAATCCAGCGCTAGGCGGCGGCGAAGAAGTCCGCGTTTGCAACCCATGTGTCCCTGACCCAAACTTCAGTCCACCACCCCGATACGACTCACTTGGTCATGGGTCGCGCCCCTTTCCACCTCGATCGACACAGGTGCCATCTGCGCCGCCGCCGCATCCTCGTGCACACAGGAGTAGTTCGAGTGTACATGATGCGAGTCGCTTTACGGGTCAAGGACAGACCCATGGTGCACGTGATACCTCCAATGAGAGTAGTCAGAACAGAAGAGTGAGTTATCATGGTAATTCCAATATTGGAGAAAGACGTCTTCCACCCCTTCCTCCATCTGCGATTCAGCAGCAACACCAGCATCCTCACCACCGCGCCCCTTTGATCTCCCAAACCATAGCCAATAACCGCGCTCGACAAGCGCAAAACCACGTAAACTTTGGCTACGGATCTTTCTCCGGCACCAGTCCGTTTGGCCAAGCGACGTCCACGCCTGTGCCTCCTCCCCTGCAGCCACAGCACGCACAGCCACCCAGGCCCAGAAGACAGATTCCCGAAGAAGACGAATGTCCCATCTGCGGCGAAGAATTACCACCAAAGGGTCCAGATGGCGACGATGCAGAGAGAACGCAACACATTGAGGAATGCATTGCTTTGCACTCTGCTTCTCCTGGTCCTACGGCGGCGTTGAATCGAACGCAGACACAGAATAGCCAGAGTTTGCCTACTCAGCGGACCCGTGGTATGAGTAGTGCAGGAGCGAATCTCAATAATAATCATCATCATAACAATGGCGGCGAAGGGGCTAGTAACTTGCAGAATCGGATGAGTCATGCTGCTAGGGGCATGTTTCCTTATGTGGCGACGGAGAAGGATTGTGTGGATGAGGAGGGGAGGGTGGCGGAGTGTACGATTTGTCTCGAGGACTTTGAGGCGGGGGATAAGATGGCTAGGTTGGTTTGTTGGTGCAAGTTCCATGAGGTATGTTTAACCCTGAGTGAAGTGCGAGAAGAAATGCTAATGGGAGAACAGACTTGTATCAAGGAGTGGTGGGATAAGAAGGGACGGGGTGCTTGTCCTACGCATCAGTTGCAGGAGTAAGGGGTTGTGCTGTTGGGTATTGCACCGTTGATTGCAATGGCGCATCGTGGCTTCTTATAGATGGGGTCTGGTTCTGGCGTTATTTGTGGTATACCCCTCCATCATTCTTTAGCATCTGGTATCTCGCAGTGTTTATAGATCGCCTCTCCTTTGGAACGTGGTGGCGTAGCATAGTTGCGGATAACATTATTACTACACTCATTATATTCGGTGGTTCAATGTGCGTTGGTGACGTTGAACTGATTTCCGTTTCTTTTCCGTTAATGCTGTGTATTGTGATGTGGATATCTTTACGTGGGTCACAATTTGACGACTGTAGACAGGGACGTATCATGCGTGGCGTTCTTCTCACTCCTTCCCCGCGGCTGCCTAAAGCTCAGCTAACAACCCAAATCTCACTCTTCACGGCACTCATCTCTCTACAAGCACAGCACCCGGCAACGACATGTGTTGTCATGCTTGTGACGTCTTCCTTCAACCAATCAAGACGACATTCGCAATTCTGTTAGATCATGTCTTCTCGAGTTAGCGGTCAAGCGGCGATGGGCTGCGCGCATGAAGGCCAAATTCTTGAGTCGGAAACACAACAAGACAGTTGCGCTGCGATACATCAACCCACTCAAATAACCCTAACAAGTCCGAAAAGTGGAACATTCAAACACGATCCTCTTTCCATTGATGAACGGTCCATACGTCTTATCACGATTGAGCCTAATTTATCACAACCCGACGGACTTATTCAGTGTTCCATGTCGCATACTAAGCTGAATGGCGTCCACTACACATGTTTGTCGTACAGATGGGGAGATCCCGAACCTCGCAAGCTGATCCTCATCAATGGAAAAGAAGCTTCCATCCAGACGAATCTTTTCGACTTTCTAGACACCGTCCGTGCGACAAACCGAGATGCGATTTGGATAGATGCGCTATGCATCAATCAAAACGACTCAATGGAAAAGAATCATCAGGTTTCTCAAATGGGCGAAATCTACTCTGGAGCTCAGTGCGTCTACGCGTGGCTAGGTCTACCAATAAAGCGGCCAACTGGATGTGGCAATCTACTGGAGTGTGTAATGAACTTCACCAGGCACGATCATCATCACGAGCTATGGTTACTCACAAACCTTTTCAACAACGAGTATTGGAAGCGATGCTGGATCATCCAAGAGATCGCTCTGGCTCTCCATGTGGTTGTCCTGTTGGGACCTGACAGCTGCGACTTCTCACAGCTCGTGGAAGCCGCTAGCCGACCCAAAGTCTACGAATCCCAGGGCATTACATTTTACCGGCGTTCCTACGGATCTACGAGCAGTGTATTCGCCCAGTTCTCAAAACTCAATATCGGTCGCAGCCAGTTCGTCGCAAAAGGTTTAATCCCACTGCTCGCTGACTTTTCGAAGACGAGATCTACTTTGACCCATGATCGCATATTCGCTTTGGTACCGCTTTGTCGCGAGAAGGCCAGCTTCGAGATTGATTATAATCTTTCGATCAGGGATCTGATCTACGAGACCTTGACTAGCTGCAAGGGATGTTTATGTGCATGCTCAACTCTGCAAGTATTGTGGAGTGTCTTCAATTCGGAACTTGGTCATCCTAACGATCATCTTGAGATAAGCATACGTGGCCTTCGGTTCACCTTCGAACAAGGGAACGAAAGATTCCAAATTCATGGAGACAAGACATTTGCATCTGAAGGGAGGATCGCGATAATGAGGCAAATAAAGTCTGTGACGTGGAGCGATCCTCGGCACAAATGCCCTTCCCTATCAATACTTTTGAATCGTCTCTTTGTTGGTACTTCCATCATTCGTCTCCATAAAAATTGGCCCTCGAATCGCGGGCTCAACACGATAGACGACCACCCCTCAATGATCTTCAAAGTACCACAGCCATGTCGATACGTTCTCTCACTGACAGAGTCACCGAATCATTCGACTGAAGCCTGATTGAAGCCGACAAAGACTATGTGCTTACTGATACCTTCACAATGCGGAGTACAAGTACAGAATTCCTGATATGCGTATCAACATCGGTTCTTCGAAGCTTACTAGAAAACGATTTCCCCCTAAGCCCTGACGTTAATCCGCGGCCCATGGGGATGTTTGTAGTTTTGTGCAACAGGGGAAAGGGGAAAAAACATGACTCGTTCGGATCTCCTGCGCCTTTTCGTTTCTGTCGAGGACTGCAGGATGTTTGCGGGACGTCTACAAACTCTAGTCCTATAGCTGAAACAAGTAGCTTTCTTTGAAAACAACCTCTTTACCGAGTCGTTCGAGCAAAGAATCATTCTTCATAGTGTTGGTCTGCATTATAAGTTTCTCATGTCGGATTCATCGCGGCCTGTTACAGGCGCCGAATCAGGGCAGATGCGGGCACCAGTGCTAGCTCCGCGGGAGGGACGGGCGGATCATCGACCCATAAACTTCTTGATTCCCGACACGTCACATCTGATGCTCTTCAGCCTTCTTCTAGTCTTCGCCCCCGCATTCTGATGTAACATATTGCTGTCGCTCGGATTACTACTTTCGAAATGCAGAACCAAGGAAGTTAAACACAACGCGACAGCCATGACGAAGGCAATGTGTCCGCCGAAGACGCCAAGATGGTTGCGTGTCGCACGACCTAGCTACGATGCGTGAGCAATCCGCATCTGCAAGAGCGCCCTACACCTGCTCATTCGTCCCTGATCGTCGATACCAGATTGATGATTTGCGGTGAGCGTAGTGGGTGTATGCATTCAATGGTAGGGTGTGGACGCCGCGAGGCTGAAGAAATCGGTGATAGGTTGAGATAGAGCTGTATCCGCCGGGGCTTGCAGTGGCTGCAGAAGAAGGCAGATGAAGGCAAATGAAGGCAAACAGGCGTTCGTGTCAACAGAGCTTCTAGGCTTATCGCTGCCTCATTCGACGGGATGATATCACCTGCCATAGGTTCAGTCGCCTTCCATGGCCTCCACAATGAAGCCTGCGTCGCTGCTTTGACTGAAAACGGCCACGAGGATGCTTTTCGCTGGAGGTTCTAACTCGCTTGGCTGGAGCTGGACTGTTAATTTGAACAGCCACATGCTATGTGAGTGGCAGGTAAGCACGTAGCAGGCTTACATAGCTGTGCTCTCACCCTGTTCTGCTTGCGTAACATGTGTCACAGCCCCTTTCTCATATCTGCTCACACAATGGGAGTCCTCTTAGCGCGGTTCGCAACCTCCCCGCCTCCAGATTGCCTGAAGGACAGACTTATGGCTGAGATCGAAAGGCGGAGAAGTCAGAATCATTTGCCTATTCGAGGCGGTTTTCTGACCCTGGGTTATATCGACGAGCTCTTCACCGTCGAAGGAATCTCTCAACAACTCCAAAAATACGAGGAATTCCAACGAATCTCAAAGGCAAAGAGAGCTGAACTCGCTCTGTTCATCAAGGAGAACCAGCAAAAGCTCTATGCTATACTTCTTCTCATGGATCAGTCACACCACCTGATCTCGGACAAAGCCAGGGCCTTTACCGACAAATACCTCTTCGCCATTCAAAAGCCTGGCCTTGCGTCTCTGCCATGTCCTTTATCGACTCTGGAAACATTGCCTTTATTCCGTGGTTTCGCCTCTGCGTTCTACGAACAGCAGTATGTGTTTCCGCCAAGCCTATCAACACCGGAGACTGTAAAGCATCCATTACATTTCAAATTTCCGTTTGCCAACGAACGTGAAAGAGTAGGTAACGGGTCGTTTGGTGAGGTTTATCGAGTGGAAATACCGCGTGGATTTCTATTACCTCTTGCAGATGAAGATGTCTCCAAGGTATTTATGAGCTTCAGCCAAATAGCAGGAGTTTACACTAATCGTCAGTAGAACGTGGTTGTTGCATACAAAAGAATTCGGAGGCAAGCTACCAAAGCGTGGGAAAAAGTTGATTCGGAAGTCAAGGTACTCCACCAACGACCCCATAGGAACATCACACCATTGTGGGGAAGCTTCTTTGCAGGGCTAGAAGAGACTCGCGAAGCGAGAAGCTCCGCTCAATGCCTATATCTGCTATCTCCTGCAGCCACCATGAGCATGCAGGGCTGGATGAGTGATGAAAAAGCTGTAGCCGCTGATATATCATCTGGCTTCATATACTTCGACACCATGATGGCTCTTGCATCTGGATTAACTTATATTCACCGAGAGATCGACACGATGGTAGCCTACCATCGGGATATCAAGCCAAGCAACATCCTTCTATTCCAAAACAAAGATGGAAAGATCTGGAAATTCTGTGACTTTGGGACTTCGAACCTCAAGCGTGTAGATAATACTGGGACTGAAAGTATAGTTACAGACAAGTACTGGGCACCTCCTGAGTTCTTTGAGGACCATTCGAATGAGAACGGAATAACACATGCTCGCACCCACGACGTATTTTCTCTTGGATGTGTATTCCTCGAATTGGCGACTTTACTACACATGGGTGCTGACGGCCGCGACAAGTTTGAAATACTGAGAGTGGAGGAAGACCGCGACCCTCAGGCATTAGGTTATCGGGGCGCATTCCACCGATCGATGCCAGCGGTACGCCGTTGGATTGGAAAACTGCGCGATATACACGAAGAAGAACAAAGCCGCGATGTGCTTGCTCTCATATCCGATATGTTACAGCCCATAGATGAACGTATATACTCCTGGGAGGTGGAGATCGACCTGTTCATTCTTGGACCTTCAGGAGGAGATTCTGTGAAGGTAGTTGACTATCTGCGTCAAATTGGCCACCGGTCAATAGGCTACAGCGCAAGAACAAAGCACAATCCTTATACACGCGCGAAGAAACGGGCTAAGGAAAATCAACTTTACGGCGTGAGGTGTGCGAATCAGTTCTTCCAAGTTATGGAGACTCTTCGATGGCATGAGTATTCGCCTCAATCCACTGGAAGCTTTCAGCAAACTCCAGGACAACAAGTCTATTCGAACATATCGTTGGCACAGGAAGATGATATACTCTGTGGCGGTCAAACTCTGTATCAGGAGATATCGAATAGCTTCCACAAATCAGATATTGTAGCGCTTTACGGAGTCGCTGGCATTGGGTAAGCGAGACCAGTCACTCCGCGGAAGTCTGGCTAATTGCGTCAAATAGGAAAACTCGGAACGCTCTTGAATACGCGCGACAGTTCCTGAGTCCTGTGGACCAGACTTTGACTAGACACACGTTTATCGTAGATGCCACTAGCGCAGACAGCTTGTGGAATTCGTACGATGCTATCGCAGATACGATTAGCCAATCTTCAATAGGCGACAAGGTCACAAAAGCTACGCTTGGCTCCTGGTTGGAAAATAGCAAAACTGGCAAGTGGTTCATCGTCGTGGACGGCTTCAATCCGACTGATGACATCAATGAACTCAAGAAAATGCTACCAACGCCTAGACGTAGTATCGATCAGATACTGATTACCACAAGAGATCGCGCTATCGTAGATAAGTACTCGATCAACGAAGCGCGTGTACCACCCTGCATCGAGGTATGCGCGCTCACCTCCGCAGATTCTATGCGTTTCTTCAAGCAGAACATTGAAGAATGGAAAAGGTTGAAGAGCAACGAAGTCGACACAACCATGATCGAATCTCTGCTTAAAGAACTTTGGTCTCCTGCGATGATTAGATATGCTGCCGTGCATATGGAGGAGGACCGAATGGACACTGTGCAAATGCAGGAGCTGGTGGATGAGAATGGACTCTCGGTCATCAGAACCCCGTTCCCATCGTATCTTGAGTACGTTCTTCAACCGTTAGCCGGTACACTATCTCGCCCTGGGACTTGGCCTCGAGAGGTTGGAACTCTGTTTCTGCTCGCATTCTTCGACCCTCGTGGTGTCGAATGGAGTACGTTAAGGAACAATCACGCAACAAAGAGGAAGAGGTTGGGACTGCTGAAGTCTCTGGGAAGACTGCAAGACTGTGGCCTTATCGAGAAAGCTTCATGTGATATTGGCCCGGTCTACTCCATTCGCGGCAACATTCGTAGAGCCATTATGGAATGGATCGAACAGCATGACGGCCCTGAAGGCAGGGCGGAGGGCTTTCTGAATCGCTACAGTAAGGCGCTTTCGATAACATACAAGTCCTATCATTCTTCGCTCAAAGCTGCCAAGGCGACGATAGTCGACACATTTTCCGGGGCCCACCAGTCCGAAGAACCGTTCATGCCACACTTCAGATGCTTTGTACAGTTCACCATTGAATACCCTCAGCAACAGAAGCCTCTGATGCATCATCTTGCTGTACAGGCTGTTATTTCCTTCTCAAAGGTCCTTCTGGAGCAAGACAGATATAGAGAAGCTATCACAGTGACGGAGTACACTCGAAAACACTACAAGTACAAACTCGACGAAGATGACAGCGAGAAGCAAGTTCAAGTTTTCTTCACCCTAGGAAGACATCTAGTCACCATCTATCTCGCTTGCCCAAGAGACACATTGACTAATGGGTATCGATCGAAAGCAAGTGAACTGATCTCCGATCTACGGTCAGACATCAAGAAACTCAAGGGGTCGTACTCAGGGCAAGCCTGGATGACATTGATAAACTTGGAGATCAAGCTGGACGAGGTCAGAATGTATAGGCAGTCCGCAATTTATGACCAAGCGCACCGAAAACTATCGGACGTCAGCGACGCCGTAAACGCGATGATCAACAGTGGTGACAGAGTCATTCAAGAGACCTACGAGCATATCATTTTCAGAGACGGGAACAGGCGTACTCCACTGGCACCACTTTCACCACGAAAACTACAGATCATGGCGAATTTCCAAGATGGTTTGCTGCACTTAGCGGAAGGCAGCTCAAGACCTCGAACAGACCGGAAATGTGCTCTAGAGTTCTGGAACAGGGCTCGTGAGCTACTCATGTCGACCGAGAGTGCATTTGAACAGTATTGCGCGAGCGACGAACTTTGGCATGACGACATACGTGTAGCGAGCGCAGTGGTGAATACCAGGATAGGAGGCAAGGGCCTTATCCGAGATGCAATATACACTTTGGAACTCGTGCGAGGTAGGATGGAAGATAGGTACGGGCTGGTCCGGCGTACTATGGATGTGGAACGTAGGCTTAACGAGGCGAGGCTCCAGTCCAACAAGCAACATGTGAAGATTGCCATCGAAAGCCTACGGGAACTTCTGGAATGGTACACAGATAATTTCGGCAAGTACGCATCCCATGGAGAATACACTACATGCACCAAAACCTGCGCGTCTCTGCTTGTGAGAGCGCTGAGGCGAATGGGCAAAAGGGATGAGGCGAGTGAGCTTAGAAAAACATATAGGCTGGAGGCAGAACCCAGCGAAGAAGAAAGCTCTTGGGTACGGCAAGAAGTGCTGCTCAAGGTCTCCATCTTCGTTGTTGTAGTGCTGCTCTACCTGGGGTACTCGTATCAGAATTTGTAGACAGTAATTTGTAGGAAACCAGTTGGCCTGAATCTCACAATTCGTGCACACACCTAGGTACATCTGCGCAGTAAATATCATAGGTAGACTATATGACATCGATACTTTATGGTACGCAACATCACAGCACACTAAGTCTGAACAAAGTAGAGCAATAGTTCTAGGCTACAGTCTAGCTCAAAGACTCATGATCATCGTTCTCGAGAAGAAGCCTTTAGTCTGTAGGGGTTCTAAGCTTGACAAAGATGATAGACGTCAAACGATGGATACAGTTTCGTATTATAGGTATCAGGTATGTAGGAAGCACACCTGCTTTGCGGTCATTATATACAGGGTTATCTAACCGCATTATGTTGCCCAATCCATCGACAGCCAACTTCACTTGGTATAGCAAGAGAAGATCCATGAATTACTGACGTTATGGCCAAGAGATGACTCAACGCCTCGAGAAAAATGAAACCAAAACATCCCAGAACGTGCGCGAGAAAGGGTATTAACCGTGATACATGGTACAAGGGCCCTGAACCAGACTCCAATAAGAAACATGTTGACACAAACGCCTGAGTTTTCTGCATCTAAGCTTGAGGACTTTTCACATACACTCAAAGTGCCATGCCCTCACGTCGCATATTGACGAGGTGGGGGTGCATGGCGTAATGTCATCTCGCTCCTGAGGCTCTTCCTCCACAATCATATCACTTTCAGTATCGGGCCTGCGCGCAGGTAGTTGCGGTGATTCTAAGGTAGGGGTTTGCGGCGACTGGGCGGTAGGCGTCGTGTCTCCAGCGCTGGGCGCAGGCTGAAGTGCAAGGCCGAGATGCTCCGGATCGTAGCCTGAGGGGCTTGGAGGCTCAGATAAGTTGTCGTAGCTGATCGTATATTTGGTGATAGTAAGTTGGGGAGCAGGCAGATGCCATTGCCTCCGGTCGGCAGCACCTGTCGCTGGGCGGCTCGCAGGTGCAACGTAGGCTCCGCCAGCGCGGCCACGAGAGTTTTGTGAAACACTGTTTGCTCTGATGCGGTCAGCACATATGCCATATCTGCGCTTTCGGGTGGTCGACTAACTGCACGCGTTGGACGCCAGGTAGCTGCAAGCTAGGAAATAGAGCGATTTGTCGGAGATGGTCCATGAGTGTCCCCACAGTTGGCGGATCTCCCGCAGTTGGCGGATCTCCGGGGAACGTGTTGTTGCGTATCCACCGCCTTTGGCTGCCGTTGTCCTGGGAAGAACCCATCATATCAGACATATTGCAGACTAATAGGAGAGAGGGCGAGCTGGGACTTACAGGAGTTTGTTTGCTATAGCTACATAGCCCCGATGGTGGGTCTTCCAGGGTAGCTCATGCTTGCTTGCTAGCTAGCACCTGCATCACGTACTTTGCGTCACGTTCTGCCGCTTATCGATAAACCTTGTCGCCCAAGGCGTTCTTCCGAATAACGGAAGTCAAAGTGCTATCTTGTCGGCCTGATTCTCACTCGTTCATCCTCTCATAACAGCGGAATCCGAACCTTCGGTGAATCGTGGGTTCAGATGCGATTTACAAAAATTTGGCATGTAGAATGGTTCGATTGCAAACAACTATAGAGTATATGTCCATCATCATCTCCCAGGTCTTGCGCTGAACCACTACGGTCACTTTTTCCTGATGTTTTTGGTATCGAACACGAGCGGGTCGTGGGGCTCGGCATCTCGCGCCACTAACCACCGCCCAGAGCTCTCGCTCGACCCTCCAGGGCCCATCACAGTTCCTAGTTCCCACTCAACTAAGGATAGTCAGCGCACGCTGCAACCTTGTTGGAACGACACTGTACCATCTAACAATACCCATACTTTATCATCTTTCGCGTACGTGGCTTGCGACGTGGCCTGATCTGGTGTTTTTGGACGCGCCATATTTGCAGACTTGTGCCCTTAATTATCTCGATTCGTGTAGAATGGGAAGGCCGTTGATACCAGATCTTGGAGCTGGTGAGTAAATAGTTGAGCAAGACAGTCCGACGACAATCATGCGTTATATAGTGTTTGTGCAGCGTATGTATGGAGAGCTCTGCTGTCGTCATAGGGCATCTGTTGTGCAGCCCCAAATGCAGCCCTCAGCCTTCCCAGTCACCGGTGCAGTCCGAAGGGTTGCACTCCAGTTATATCATGTCGCGTCCAGCACACCTAGAGAATCCTCAAGGACGCGCTTGCCCTCCGTGGCTGGCCTCGCCAGGCGAAAGGGCGTACGAACTGCGCCGTCTTACGTCCTGCCAAGTTCGCCTCTTCGAGTACAAAGCTGATAGCCACCCAGCCTGGTCCGAATGTTACTCCAACACTTTACCCTTCGCTAAACTCACCTCAGCTTAGTCAATAGCGCGCGATGCCAACTTCTAGATTATGGACCCTATCTCCAGCGCAGCAAGTGTTATAACATTGCTAGGGGCGGCCGCAGGCACGATCAAAGTCATCCATGACGCGGTAAATTCGATTATCGATGCTCCCAGGGATATTCGAACGCAGAGCGAACGGCTTGGATTCCTCTCCATCACACTCGCTAGCATCGTTCAGACTTGCAAACAACTTCCGGGCGATTGTCAATTAGATCTGGAACTCTGTGGTATAGGCGAGCTCGTTAAGGATGCCATATTACTGGAAGGCAAATTAAGCGCTCGAGGAACGCGCATGGTCAGGAGTAGTCTCGGCAGGGTTCACGAAAGCTGCAAATGGCTTCTATTCGATCGGCAGCTCAAGCGGTTTTTCGAATCTCTGGATCAATGGAATACCATCCTTTCCCAAGTCTTCTTGGTAGCACAAATGTTCGTCATCTTGACTCTAGACCAATCTTTGGATCAAACGTTTACAAAAGTGTAGGACGCTCTTGAGACAAATCCATGCCCAAACGTCATTGTTAACGCGCCTACCGCATCCTACTCAACCCGTTCTACCGATAACCCCACAGATCTCGATGATACCCCACATCTACAAAGAAAGTCAGATGATGATTCCTGACAAAGTGTCTCGGATCTCGATGCGGATTCCACATACAAGGGAGAATCGGCTTGCTTCTTTAGCGAGGATAGCTGAACCTATTGGAGTACTGAGAGGTTACCAATATCATATCCAGATGCTAGGTATCGATATGGCTCTGTCTGGGGGAAGGCTAGTGGTAAAACGCTGGTCCCGTTCTGGGAAGGAAATACACACTACGCTGCCTCAGTCGGAAGGTCATCATTTTTCGCTCATCATGTCAATGCCAAAAGTCACTAGTCGGCGGTTGAAGGTGAGCGTTGCCGGCTATCGAACACGGTCTTGCGATCCGACCCTAAACTTCCGCTGGATGATACGATATCATAGAGTACTTGCTTACGATCATCCCCACTTTGTAGCTATAAAGAAGGACGATATATGTCACCTCCAAAACCAATTATCATCTAACACACTGTGTCTATCCGATCGCATTGCAGGAGGTCACAGTATGCTGCATGTAAGTATCACGCGTGGATGAGAGAGAGAGCAGAAATTGACAAAGCATGACACAGTATGCAGTGCGTCACAGTAGGCCAGCCATCGCCACGATGTTGATCGATGAAGGCCTTGACGTCAATGTGCAGAACGATCGTGGCCAGTAAGTGCTTTCGTCCTTTATCATCCTTTTTCGCTAAATACAATTAGGACGCCTCTCCATGTAGCTGTACAGCAAGGGACAGACTTCGAGTGTGCTCGCTTACTTCTAGAACACGGTGCAGACGCTTTCCAGCAAGACAACGAAGGTAGGAGTGCGTTACACTATTTCTTCAACGATGTGATACGGCAGCTTATGCTCTATCACGCCGATGATGTTGACCCTTGGATGCAAGATCGGAGCGGTATGTCTGTACTGCATTGGGCGTCATGGAGCCGTAGCTCCTCTCACCAAACTTTCCTCTGCTTTCCAAATAGACCAGGAGAACCATCATGCCATAGCTTGAAAGACGTGTACGGAAAGTCTATGCTGCACTATGCCGTACAAAGAGGTAACGCAGACCTCATCGCCTTCTTCCTTGCAGGTCCAGATGCAGCAGCCATGTCAATGCCAGACTTTTCTGGAAGAACCCTGCTTCACTACGCTACCGAGAGTGGCCGACCGGACACGATCAACTTGATGCTGGAGAGAGGTATCGATCTCGACACTATTGATGATCAGGGTCGTACGGTACTCCACCACGCCGCTATGCGCGGCAATCTTATCGCTGCTCAGCGTCTCATAGCGCAGGGTGCAACCCACCAGTTAAGCTACAAGGACCATAGTGATCAGACTCCGGCGGACTTGGCATGCCAATATGCTTCAAAAGCGGTCGTGGACTACTTCGAAACGCTTGGCCATTCGGGTGTTTGCAGCAGGAAACAAGACACTTGTTTGACTTCTGAGACGGCAAGTCAGGGCAGAAGTGCTGATAAAATGAGATGGAACATAGTTGCGCTACTACTTCTAACATTTGCGATGCTGTACTGGAGTACCCAGGCGAGTGACGGTCCTGCGATAAGCGTGATATGAGCGCGCATGTAAACTAGGATGTTTGAAAAGTTATTTAAGGGCGAATTCAGGTGGATCGCGCATTTATTAAATTACGTTTTACTGTTCTATTGAGGCTTTCATGAGCAACTCAACCAAATAGGAACTCAAAAACTATGCTGAAATTCTGGTAGCATCGCACGATTGCAAATGCCTTGTCAACACCATCAAGGCATTGTATCAGCGTACATAAATCCTGGTAGTTGTCGTGTACAACACAAATATGCTTTCGCTGTTTGTCCAGGATTTGTATCAGTCTCGAAGATAAGACTTTCTTATCATGTTTTATGGTACTGGTAGTCCTCGCAGTATGGATCCTTGTATTGAAAGACCATCCTTATCCTTGCGGAAAGATGCCGATGAGGTCTTCGATGTATCATAAGTCGATACTCGAGTCTGGATATGACAGACATACTTTTGAGAGGTTTGCGACAGACTCTTTGAAGAATGGTTGCCTAGATTCCGATGAAGATATGCGAGGCTGAGAGGCGGGGTCGTTAGCTCAACCAGCCATTGGGGCGCAGCGGGCTCAGCCGCACCAACATTGCAATCAACCCAGCGACGTAATTGACTCAGAAAGAGTTCATATCCAATCCAAAAGGTCCAGTGAATCAGCCACCATCTTCGGACGAGGGGTAAACACGGCGCTAAATTATGCCTTCATATCAAGTCAGCATCCGGTCAAACGCATGCACTGATCGATAAAGTCCTTCATCCCAGCCTTAAAATACAGGCCACTGCGTTTGACTACAAGCGCTCACGACGGTTCAAAATCAACACTTGATATGGATGTACTCAAAGAACCCATCACTATTACAGACTCGTCAGCGCAAGACCAGCAACATACCGGCATGAAGCCAGCTGAACCCCACCAACGCTTCAAGGACAAGCCCTACCTGCAATGCCTCGGGACCCTCGAAGATGCATTTCCAGCACTCAAATCATTCTTAGAGAAGCTGGCTAACGAAGAAGAGCCAGGGCGCAAGGCTGTCAATTCACACTACCTTGAGCAACACAGGCGAGCACCAGGACGATGCTATTGCTTGGAGTTCAAAGATGAAAGTAACTCCGTGATAGATAAAGGAGCCTTTGAAAGCGCTGACGCGCTGAGAGAATATCTGCAAAAGAAACCAGCCACGCAAAGTCGCGACGAGAAACACAGACGCCTCTTCATCTTGGAGGATATGGAGCCAGAATACGTCGACGCACTAGGTCATCATCTAGGTGTGGATCCTTTGGTTTTCAGCGAACAAATGAATACCTGGAACTTTACGGACTCCTGGTCTATTCCGCACAGGGGGCTGCCTTCGATGTCGATACCGGAACAGTCGTTTACCTTGCGCTATTACGAACTGCGTACCTTGCTCGAGCCCAAATCGGTCGACGTTCTTAGCTTACAAACGTCATTTGCAGTCAATCGGCGCGTAAGTGTCTCCGTGAATATTGCGTGTAACACATACACTAACTTTGTACACCCACTTTTAGAGGTACGAAAGGTGGAGAGATATCGATATACCTTCGCTGGGCAAGCCCGATCGAAGACATGCTTTTGTGAGACGATGCGCGTCATTCTGGACATCGCAGAGCTCGTTGTCAGATGGAACACCAGATGATCTGGGGTGGGATGGTAAGTTCTCCAGACCATCTCGAAGCCGTTACCCATGGCTAACAGTCATGAGTATAGCTGTTATCCTTGTAGACCCTGCATTTGCTGCCACCTGCGCGATACCACCCACAAAACCAGCAAACCCAGATGTTCCTACATTCAACGGCGTTCCGATAGAACCAAGCGAACTCAAAACTCTGGATGATTGTTTGATCCTGCAGGCCGAGAAGCCATTCAAAAGTAGGTCGGCGCTCTGGAGAGCGCAAGATTGGGGCGCAACTCACCCCCTCCAGGGTAAATCGCATCGGAGCTGGCCGTATCATAACGGATGCTCTACATTGGCTCCTTTGATGTTCTCCGAAGTTGGCATGGGAGCGAAAGAGGCAAACGTCGGAATATTCCAGAGGAGGCGGAATCTTACGAGTGCCATGGATGAGATGGTGTTCTACTGGACGAAGCTCGCCACTCCCGAGCTCATTCAGGAAACGAAAAAAAAGTCGTCCAACTCAGCGTTTTACCTTCTCAAACACGTCGCGCAACATTGGGTGAACCAGCTGGAACTCATGAACACCACCATCGCCAGAGCTGAATGGTTCTCCGATGACTACCAAGCCCAGATTGACGACAACTTGAGTAGGCAGAAATGGAAAAATGACCTACTCAAGATCAACGAAATCGCCAAGGATATCAACTACATGCGCCGACATTTAAACCACTTTTGGCGCGCCATGTACCTGAATCTCGAACGCCTGGGGGTCCAACTAGGTTCCGAGAGCGTCGATAGAGACGCGTCCCTAGCACTACAAGGTGCACAAAAGGACTTTCTCACCATTCACACAAGGATGCAACCTTTGCGCGATCGCGCGGAGGCCTTGAACTCCGTCTCAAACGATCTCGCCAACCTGCGCGCGGCATTCAGAGGCGTCTCAGATGGCGAATTCAGCCTGCGTCTTAGTTTGTTCGCCTCTGTTGTCTTTCCGCTCACATTGCTCGCGGGCATCTTTAGCATGGGCGATGATTTCCGGCCTGGAAAACCGCAGTTCTATAAGCTCTGGGCCATCGGCGTGCCTGTCTGCTTGGTAGTCGCGCTTGGACTGGTGTACGGAAGGCGGCCATGGGCGGTCACTATCGATATTTGGGACTATGCAAGAGCCTGGCTCGAGGACCTTAAGCTGGTGAAACCCAAGAATGAGAAGGCTGCGCAAAAACGAGCCAAGATTGGCATGGAAGAGCACAAAATGGAGAAGAGCAGATCTGTTGAGCAAGAGAGTTTGAAGAAAAGAGCAAGCCGAAAGAATCGTGATGAAGAATATGGTGACTGTTGAACAAGCAGAGAGTGGAGATTTTGGGGTGCTCGGCTCCAGCGGGGCCATTTCGTCACCAACCGCGGCAGCGCGTGGACCTGCTATCCTTATTCCCGCATCACCGCAGCAATGGCTTCCAGCTGCTCCCTCTGCCACCTTTGTGAAATAGTAGTATGGGTATCGTCTTCAAGCCTCAGCACAACCCTTCCATTATCACCGCCTAATCTCGCTGCAATCTGCACGCCATGATTGGCAGGCACGAAACAGTCGTCCTTGCCGTACCACAATTGTACTCGCAGATCCTTTCTGATGCCTTCGATCTGGAAACCCCAATCGCGACACAACACCTTCCCGTCCAAAGCTATGCCTTCAAATCCTTGCGCTCTCGCTTCGCGGGTTGACCGCAATACCAGGCGAATGACGTCATCATCGTTCATGATCTTTCGGTCCCTTGGATCCTTTATTTTGGCGAGACTTGAGGGAGACAGCGCGCGCTGAAGACGCTGTTCGTCGGTCATGTCCATTCGCCCGAAGACATCGCGGCTGAAATACCATTCCATCAGGAACTCGGGAGTATACTTCCATCCATATGGGAAGCCAATTTTGTGCATGAAGTCCGCTCCCTTCATGCCAATGTCCATCGGTCCAAGTCCGCATACGATGGATATGCATTTCAGCTTCGTCGGGGGAAGCGATGCTGCGCAAGCGAGAACGTATGGACCGCCTCCCGATGCGCCTAGTATTGAGTAAGATTCGAGTTGCAGATGTTCAATCAGACTCTCGAGGTCTTTCGGGCAGTCGAGTAGCGTTCGTTGGGGATGTGGTGTGCTCCAGCCTATGCCAGGCCTATCGACCGAAATTATCCTCAAGCCTAGCTCGAGGCCAAGGTCGTGGTAAAAGGCGGCTTCGAGACGAGAGCCTGGAAGGCCGTGGTGGTACAAGATTGGGTGACCGGTAGGCGAACCGTATTGTGCGTAGCCTAGTTTGCGGCCATCTGGAAGGGTGCAAATATCTGAGCTATCATCGCCCAAGGGATAGCGACACTCGTGCGAGTTACTATCCCGATTAGGCAAACTCTCTTGGTTGCTCTTGCTCATGATTGGGGGTTCGATGGTGATTTGATCTAACGTAGGCTGAACGAGTTGGGGTGGGCATACAGTATTTTGCTTGCAAGTATAGTCGCAACTGTCTGCATCGATTCCAAAGGTTATCACCACAAGACTCGGTTTTATGAGCATTCTGTTTGCTTAGGAGAGACATGGTCGGCTTGGACGGACAGCCGACCAACAGCGTCAGATGTTCTGCTTACTCCGACTTTTCCCGCATTCTCTTTGTTCAAGCCAGGCAACAGTCTTGTAGATGTCATGAAGAACTGCACACAACCAAACTCCTCCTTTTTCCAACGAGCGGAGTGTTTTCTCAATCTCGTTTCGCACTTCCAGTCGAAGTCAGACGGGTGCAGGCTAACGGGACATTCTGCTCTATTCTTTGCCAACGAATGCGACATAGGCTTTACCCCACAAGAGGCAATATCGCAAGATTGGATGGAATTGCTTTATGTCTTGGAATGGTATATTTATTGGCGGTCTTCGCAGCCTTCTAACATCTCTTCTTCGGCAATCAAGAATCCGAGATTGTATATGTACGTAGGCAGCCAACAGCGTCAAGAAAACACGACGAAGCTAGACCTTTACACATACACCAGGTTCTACACCAGACTTATCGTCAGAAAGTTTGGGTACACTAACCAGGCAGCTGCATGCGCACCATGCAGTAATCACGCCATGTTAGCATCAACAATGCTGTGAATACTCAATGTTGTGCTACTTTTCTACTTCCGCTGCGACATGACACACACCGTTCGGTACGTAGACAGACACTTCGGGGTGCGCGATCCTGCAACTTGCGTCTTAGCATTTCACCGAAAATTCACGCAGAAGTTGGCAGTATTCCACTGGTCACAAGTAAGAGCCAAGATTTCGACGTTACAGATGTCAAAAAACAAATCATTGCCTAAACTCATATCGTAAGTATCGTATCATAAGCGAGGCTGATCATCCTAGTAAGCACTACACAGCGCCAATAATGTCGTTGCCTTCTATGACGACTAGACCACGTTGTGGGAACGGATGTTCGACGTCGAAAAAAGCGTTGTTCGCTCACGTCCGAGATCAGCAAGACCCACGAGGCAGCTAGGTAATGCCTTGATCGTTGTCCTTCATGCACATCCTAGCACCCACGCGCTTACGGAGATCTTGCCCTGGCGAGTGAGGCTCAACGTTGCGCTGCATACCCCAACCGCTTTCTCTCCACACAATACGCCACTGACAAGTCGCGAAACTCTCCCAAACAGGTTCCCGTACGTCGATCAGGGTACTATCACATTTCGCACTCGGGTATGAACCAGTCGCCTCCACTGCCTCGGATCCGAGAGAACAATGGCTTTGACGGGATGACGCCCTGCAGCAGCGACTTTGTCGGCGCTGAGCGCTTTACTGCGTGTGCATGATCCCGGCTTTTCTGCTGTGCAATGTGGATTTCACGCGTGCTTCGCCAATGACAGGCTTCGCATGACGATTGTGTGCCGTTTTCAGGTGCTCGATCGAGATGAGGGTGACCCAGCAGCCTGTCACTCTTTCTATCGGGGTGCGGAGGATGCGTCTCTAGCACATGGCGTAATTGTTGCTGCTGCATGGGACGAATAATTGGTGGGATACCACCCACCAACCATATGCATGTGAGTATCTGGCTAGACCTGTGGCTCATATTGCGGGCCGTAGCGTCATTGTGTATGTTTTGCAGATTAAGAGAAACATGTTATCTCAATGCATTGAGGCAATATCCCCTTACACCCATCCTTTTCCTTCGCAGGGATCCGCATCCAGTCGCCGATTCAAGGGACGGCAAGGCTGTAACTCCGCCGCGCACGTTTTGAGCCCGCTGCTATAACCGGACTTTCGGGCTAAAAGTGACAAATAGCCGAATTGGTTTTCTTCATCATATCCGACACGGCCGAGGTGTTGAGGATGCATTGTTGCAACTGAAGAAGGAAATGAAGGAGAGAGCGAGAGTGTGACTTGGAGCATTCTGACCAGGTACTCGGGTCAGATGTGACAAATGACTCCATGGTCGCATACATCGGGACCATCACGACCACCATGTCGGGTACATGCACCCATACATGCACCGAGAAGCAAATGGGAAAGACCAACATGTGAATGTTAGGGGGTTTGGTGGGGGTATATTGTATTGCTGACTCCCATGACGGCATGCTAAACCAAAAGTCCGGGACGTGGGGTGAAGGACGTCGTAAAATGTATACCGATATTCGCTAAGTATGCTTCTATGTTTCCCGTTCGCAATGCTGAAAATGTGTTGCTCCAATAACTCCTCTATGCAAAGTGACCTCCACATTACTCTGTCATAATCATATCGCCTTATCTAAACCCCTCACTACCCATGAATCCACTCCAATCATCCATGTCGCGGCTCTCGGCTAGAGGCGTAAGCGAGGATAGAGGACCCACAGTCGATGGATGTATAGCGACCGAGCATCTCATATGCACTTGCTCTCCTTGTTGGGACATCCCGTGAGTGGTCGGCGCATATACATTTGCGGCCTCGGCGATACTTGACATCGGTAACGGTACTGCAGAGCTAGAGGCGAAGTGGTGGTAAGTTCTCGGATCCGAGTCGTAAGAGGAATACTGGGGTGCATCGAAGGGGTTGTAATCTCCTGAGCTAGTAGTCCGCAGTGGTGTGTTTCGCGATGTTCGGGCCGTTGATCTATCATTTTCGCTCGGCAGGGAATAATGCGGCCTCAAGAGTGGCGGGTGTGCGTTGGTTGGAGGGATTCCGGGACAGGATCTGTGCCTTTGCAGGCTGTGGGACTCTTCTCGCGGATGGCTCCATGCGGAAGGTGGGGTTTCATGTCCTTGACTTCCGTCCGGAGCTTCGAAGTGCCAGCCTTGATTCCAAAACATGTCGTTATCCGGTTCTGCTGACGCTGTGACCCTCTGCAACTGATTGTATAAGTGAAGCGGAATGGTTCTCTCGTCTCCTTGAGAGGTTTGCCACTCGTGAGGACCCATCGTGTCTTTCCTTACATGCCCATGCAACATGGAGAAGTCAGAGGGCGATGTTGGAGCCGTGTAACCATGCGGCTGCATGTAACCATCCCCGGACCTTGTCGCGTATCTTGTGGGCGTTGGTCGCAACGTGGTCGATCTGCGTAGACCCTGCATGATCTCCGCTGGTCTAGAACTATCAGCTTCCTCCTTGGAGGATGCTGTTTCTTTCTGATCTGCCGTGTGGAGATAAGATGGCCCTTGTTGTTGGTCTCCAAATTGGGTTGAGGTCCGGGAATCAATCCATATTTCCGGGACAAGCGCTACGTCTTGGATAGCATGTTGACCAGGGCCTTCGAGCAGGGACATTTCCATATGGCCCATGACTGTATCACTTCTACTCAAAATCCTTGTCGATTCACTCTTGTCAGCTTCTTGGGCTGCTGCATTTCCTTGTTTTCGTGGTGGAACCCCAGGCTGTTTTGTGACGGCTGTACGCAGCTCTTGCAGACCCCAGCTGATCTTTTCTACGGCTAGTCCGGCAAGGCTATGCACGTTGTTCTCGTAGAGATCTTTAAAGATGACAAACGCTTGTTCTGCCTTCATGGCGCCAACGGTGATTATCCGGCATTCTATGGCGTCCAATAGGAGGATCATGGAACTGTTGAAGGCCTGTTGCGCTAGAGTCCAACTGATCAGCGCTGCTGGGTCTCGGTGATAAAAGAAGATGAAGGCGGTAAGAAGAGCTTCCGATGAAGCAAGTACTAGCGTTTTTGCGCGACGAGCAGCTAGTGTTGACCATGTGTCAGGCTGGAAGCGGTTGACAGCCTGGAATGCTGTCGCACTATCTGCGCCGATAGGCACGGCGTCCTGGGTGGTGTGCTTCCCGAATCTCTGCCGATTCAAGAGCACAATGTACGTGTGCGTTTTACAGAAGTACACTATAACATGTGA